CTGAACGTGACAGCCAAGCCCGAGATGGCAGCGCTGGGTGGGGGCAGCCGGCTGGCCTTTGAGCCCGGGCCACCACGTCTCTCCCATCTGCCGGTGGCCTCTAGCACCAGCACGGTCCTGGGCGCCAGCAGCAGCGGGGCTGTCAATTTCACCGTGGGCACCGCTGCTGGCCTGAACGGCCAGTGTGACTGGCTGTCCCGGCTGCAGAATGGCATGGTCTCCGGCCAGTACAACCCGCTGCGGGGCGCTGTGGCGCCCGGCACACTGAGCACGCAGGCCCCAACCTTGCAGCATGGCATGATGGGCCCACTGCAGAGCGGTCTGTCCACCAACACCCTGTCCCAGATGATGAACTACCAGGGCCTGCCCTCCACACGACTGGCCACCCAGCCCCACCTGGTGCAGGCCCAGCAGGTACCTCAGGTGCAACAGCAAAACTTACAGGTGCAGCCACCAAATCTGCAGCCACCACCAAACATCCAGCAACCCCAGAGCCTGCAGCCCCAGCTGCCACCCTCGCAGCCACACCTCGGCGTGGGCTCAGTGGCCAACGGGCACCTGGGCCGAAGCTTCATGGGTGGGGAACCAAGTCAAGCGGATGTGCAGCCGCTGGGCCCCAACAGCCTGACCGTGCACACCATCCTGCCCCAGGAGGGCCAGAACCTGCCCACATCGATGCCATCCTCACTGGTCCCGCCCATGACCACTGCTCAGTTCCTGACTCCGCCCTCCCAGCACAGCTACTCCTCCTCACCAGTGGACAATACCCCCAGCCACCAGTTGCAGGTGCCCGAGCACCCCTTCCTCACCCCATCCCCAGAGTCCCCCGACCAGTGGTCCAGCTCATCACCACACTCCAACATCTCCGATTGGTCTGAGGGCATCTCCAGCCCGCCCACCAGCATGCAGTCCCAGATCACCCACATTCCAGAGGCATTCAAGTAAACAGCCACGCATGCCCCGAGGGACCCTGGCTTCCTTTCCCAAGCCCTGCCGGGCGTTGCCAGTGCTCCAGGATGCTGGGGCCAACCAAAGGAGCCTTTTTAAAAAAAAAAAAAAAGTTTTTATACAAAGTAAGAGGACAAGAATTTCAATTTTTTTGGTATTTATTTATGTACTTTTATTTTACACAGAAACACTGCCGTTTTATTTATATGTACTGTTTTCTATAGCATCAGGTAAAAATTTATCTGTTCCAAGGAAATAAACCAGTTTCAAAGTCGTGATTTCCTCCTCGGAAATGATGACATGTTTGTATAAACAAGGACTCATGATGTATAAATACCATTTATTTATTGATTCCTTCTTTTCAAAATCCAAAAAGTGACCCGTGCAGAGGGGTTGAACTGTGCTGTCTGGAGAGCTGCCAGGTACCCGCCCCGGCACCCTGAGTTTTGTAAGAAGATGGGAGGCAGACAAAGGCGGAACCTTCACACCTCGGGCACATGGATTCACTCGCATCTGGAAGGAGAAAATCAGGTGCTGTGTGTGCACTGTGGTGTTCGTGTTTCTGGAAGGTGCTGCTGCAGACGTGCTTCCTGTGGGTACCGGGAGTCCATCGGTCCTGTGGCACCAACCCTGAATGTCTTGTTCTCAGACCCAGTGTGACTCGCCCCCTTTAGCTGTGCCTGCTGCCCCGTCCTGACATTCAGCAGGTCCTGGAGCCAGTCATCAGGTGTGCAGGCACAGGATGACACAGAGGACTGAATTCTGCTGTCCCCACGGGGGCCCAGCTCCTCACCGAGTGATCTAGGGTCAGAGAGTAGACTGCTGAGGCCCAGACCTGACTGCGGGAGGCTCCCAGTTTTGGGGGATTTGCCAGTGCAGCCTGCATGGGGGGAGAAACCTGTGTCCTCTAATCTCCCAGCAGTCCCAGGTGCTCTGTGAGGGGTGGGGTGGGAGGTGTTGCGTCTCAGGGGTGCTTGAGGGTGACCTCGATCGTGCTCTCAGTACCCCCTCTAGGTTGAGGGGGCCTCAGAGCGTAGCTGATTCTTGCATCAAGTATACGCCTGTGGCAAAGTGAATACCTGTAAATACATTTTTAAAGACAGATTTTGTTTAAAAAATCTGAACAAGTCTGTGCTGCATCAGGCTGACGGGGGTGTCAGCACACGGCTCAGCTCGGTGTGACTCAGGCCTTGACCTGCAGGTGCCGAAAACGTAGCTCCTAAGAGCGCAACCCAGGGACAGCCTGCCACCCGCCAGTCCCTCCCTGTCCCTGTGTGCATGGGGCACCCAGCTCAGTGCCACCTCCTGGGGTCGGTGCTGTCCCTAGTGGGCCACCAGACATGTCCTGAGATGCTGATTCTTACTGTGTTTTATAAACTAGAATGTAGTTGCCAGGTTAAGTTGTCTACACACAAAACTGTAGATGATGAAAATGATGTATTTTTTTCAACTTTTTTTGTTAACTGATTTGCAATAAAAATGATGCTGATGGTCATCCAAATTTTGCTACCCTGGTGGGTGTCGTCTGGCTTATTTTTGGGTGGGGAGGGGTCCTCTGGGATAAGCGGGGTCCTTCTGATGAGAGCTGTGATGGACAGGTGGCCTGTCCTTGCCCATGGGAAACTGGGGACAGTGACGCCATCAGGTCACAGGGTCTGAGCTGCCCAAGCAGGGCCCTGGACTGTAAGCAGGAGTGGGATCTGCACAGGGCCCACCTTCATTGGCCACAGAGAGGTCTCTGTCTCAGGATGGCCTCCAGGAAACCCCACAGCAGGCCAGGGTGGAGGTGGTGCATGGAAGGTGAGGTGAGGAGGCCTGCAGTGGGAGGAGGAACAGAGCCTTGAGATCAAGATCAGAGGCCTGCAGTGGTGTCGTGGGGCATGACCCAGCCGGCCAGAAAGCTCCTGAGCCCCCAGGAGCTGAGCCTTCAGGGCATACCTGGTGACAAGGGGGTTTGATGTGATCCTTTGACAGCAAAATGCCACCTGGCCCCCAGCTGTCAGAACCATGGTGAGCCCACATTCAGAGGCTGAGCCCCTGCTGCAAGATGCTACCAGTGCTGGGACAGCAGAAAGGCAGAACTTTGGGACTGGGTGCTACCCGTTTGCTCAGGTGGGGAGATTCCCACAGGAGTGTGTGCCAGCATCCTCTGGGTGCTGTTCACAGCAGCTCAGTGCCAGATATCCCAATGGTACAGGATCTGACTTTGCTGTGATTGGGGATTGCAGGTGCTGACCTGGCTGGGCCACGTGGAGTGTGTCCCTGGGGTGTCAGAAGGGCCCTGCACCCCAGCCCTCTGAAGAAGTGGAGGGCCTCCCTGGTGCGGTGGGCTGCTAGTGCCAGCTTCTGCACCAGAGGATGGACGTCCCCTACCTTCAGACTTGGATGAAACATCAGCCCTTTTGGAGCTCAAGCCTGTAGCATTTGGAGCAGAACTCGCCTAATCGACTCTCTGGGGGCCCTGGGCTGCCACCTGCAGCTTTTGGAACTTGTCTGCTCCACCAAGTTCCTGTAACCACTGTTCTCTATGTGTCCCCCCCCCCCGCCCCCAGTTGTCTTTCTCTGCAGAACCCTGACCAGTACTAGTGGAATATCAGCTTCTGTAAAGGGACAAAGCTCCTGCACCTGCCATGAAGCAGGTGAGACTTGAGGACGCTGTGCAGTGAAAGAGGCCAGGCACGAGAGGCCACTTGACGTGCGAGTCCCTTCACACGATGCATGCTTGGTATTAAAACACGTGGAGACAGAAAGCAGACTAGCCCTCCTGGGGCTGGGGCTGGGGCCAGCCTGGCTCTGGCCAAGGAGTGGTGGCATGGTGAGCTCTGGACAGTCACAGTGGCTGTTACCCACACTGTGGCTGCCCCAGAAGTGTGTATTCTGGTGAGCGTTGATTTAAATTCATTGAACCCCTGGTGTAACTAGGGAGGGTGGGGTTCTGGTCCTGGTGATGGGACCCAGTGCTTTGCCGAGGCCAGGTGAGCTACACCCTGCCCTGCTGTGTGTTACCTCTGAAAAGATTGAGGTAGGTAGATTTGTCTCCCACGGACACAAGGTCCAGCCTCAAGGGACCCATAGCTCCACCCCCAAAGCCACTCACAGCTTCTTGCAGCTGGAGGAGCCGAAGAAGGAGTGATGTGGGCTTTGAGCCCTGAGCACAAATATTATGACTGAGACTCATGCTAGGGGCATGTCCCTGCAGAGGCGGCCATCCAGGGCCTGCACCACCACAGTCAAGTGCACAGTTTCCGTCCGCTGGGTGCTACCGCCACTTCAGTCCTGGGCCACCTGCCTACCACCCAGGTCTGAGTGTCCGCTGAGTGTTCCCATATGCCAGGGCCCTTGAGGGGCTGTGTCCCACTTCCCTGCCCCACAGCTGCTGGCTTTCAAGCTGGTCCTGCTCATTATGGGTGACAACCTGGCAGCCCACCAGGCTCCAAAGGGCCACCCTGCCAAACCCACCTGACATTCAGGGACACAGCCCTTCCTCCCGGCCAAGCTTGCAAGACAGTCCTAGCTTGGCCATCTGCCATGGGCTGACTTGAGTCCCTTCCCCAAAAGCTCACATTGGAGCCCAGACACCCAGAAGGAATTCGGTGTGTGTCTGGAGACAGGGCTTTCGAGAGCTCGCCTGGTGGCTGCTTACCAGTGCAAGTGCCTCCTCAGGAGGTGAGCAGGACACAGGTGTGCAGAAATGGGAGGGACCCAGCAGACATACGGAGTCCTCAAGCCTGATTGAGGCCCGGGTGGAGCCAACCTGTCTCCCTCCATCTGCCCTCCAGGCCGCACACCAAGCCAAGGCCCAGGTCCCTCCCTGTCCTGAATGTGTCCCTAGGGACACAGCCAGTGGCACCAGCCAGCTGCCCAGGCACATGCCCTTGTCCCCGCGCACTGTTCCTTCCCTCTTGGGGTGTGGGGGCTCCCTGTGGTCTAGCAGGTGCAGTTTTCGATCCTGAAGCATGACTTCCCATGCCATCCCAGGCCAGGGCATCCTGCCCCTCGAGGGAAGAGGACTTCCTCGGCACTGAGGGACAGATCAGAGCAGCCCTGGAAAGTGGAAACACAACCGAAGCATTTAATAGTTTATAGTTTAATATTACGGTAGCGGGCTGGGGATTTAGCTCAGCGGCATAAGGACCTGCCTTGCAAGCAGGCAGTCGTGAGTTCGATCCCTGGTACCGATAAAAAGGAAAAAGAAAAAAAAAAAAATTACCGTAGCCACATTCAGAAGAAAAGAAGGGGGCTCTCTCAGTGGTCAGCCTTTGCTTGGCTTCTGTGAAGCCCAGGGTTCCATCCCTGGCACCACCAGCCTCTAAAAAAGTGAAAAGAGTGAAGTTTATTTTAATAAGATCTTAATTCATCTAATCAATCTGTAATATCATTTCAACAAATAATTGCTGGCATGGTGGTGCATGCCTACAATCCTAACACTCAGGAGACTGAGGCAGGAAGGTTACCAGGAATTCAAGGCCAGACTGCTCTACATAGTGAGCTCAAAGCCAGCCTGAAATGGGCAGAGAGACCTTGTCTCCCCAAAATAGTCAATATAAATAGCCCACAGGAAAGGTCACCTTTGTAAAGGCACAAAGAGGGGAGGAGAGAGTCCCAGTGTCTACGAACCAAACTTCAGGCCAGGCCACCTGTGGGGCATCTCTCACCCAGGAAGCCTGGCCTCCAAAGGACATAGAGGTTTGGGGGAGCTGAGCAAATGAGCTGGAGTCCACTGTGGCCCCTCCTCCCATCCCAGGCCAGTGGCCACCTAGATCACCTCACAGCACATGCAAGGGACAGGTAGGAGATGTATCCTCAAGGTGCCCTGCTGGGGACGGCACTGCTGCATCAGGGACCGGAGGGGTTTCCATGGAGGTGTTTCTGTCGGGCGTGTGGTGAGGCCCTGGACAGGTTGACACATCAGGCACTGTGCCCCTGGGCCTGAGAATCCTCCACGTGGGATCTTAGGCCTGACACATATGTGATGTGCGTGGAGGGGCTGCATGTGTGCAGGACCCCAGAGACTCCCGGAACCCTTTTTGATTTTTTGAGACCAAGTCTTGCTCCAATGTATCATCTTCCCACCTCTGCCTCCTGGAGTGCTGGGATTTCAGGCACATATTACCATGTCCAGCTCAAAGCACGTCATTTGGGCTCTACTTGGATACAGGCCATGCGCAAGCCTGGCTGTAGGCCCTCTGCAGATGTGATCACTGCCCCCTGGGGGCAGGTGGAGGAGAGCAGCCCAGAGCAGTTCCTTCCTCTGCAGGAGCTTTGTGTCCCATCTCACAAGGGCAAAATAAAGTGCCTGGGGTGGAGTCTTGCATTCTCCCACGACCCTAACCTCACAGCCTGTGCCTAGGTCCACGGTGTATGGCGCACCAGCAGTAAACGCACATCTATCTTACCCGCACTGTTGCACTATTTCCACAGTTCTGTGTGTCTTACACCACACCAGCATTCTCATGACCCTCCTCGCAGGCTCTGTGTAAATACACAAATCACTAACAGCCTTTGTCACTGTGTGGCAAGGGAAAAAGCCACTGGATGTGTGTGACCTGACACACACATCAGTTAATTTTTCCCACCCCCATCTGCTTGTTTGGAAAAGGAGAGACCTGGACCCTCCCCACACTCTGGATGGGGTGGTCACCATGCCTGGTGGTGCTGTGTGCTGGGACGGAGTGGACTAGGTCCTAGGTCCCCAGAGCAACACTGTGAGAAACATGATGACCACGCTGTGTCCCTGCATGCACTTGGGCTCCCAGAGCACTGATGGGGGACCTGCTCTCTTCCTTCAGCAGGTCCCACTGCCCAGGGAGCCTGGGGAAATGAAGACTGAGAAGTGGATTCCAGTGGGGCACTGCAGCGGGGCTGGGTCCACAGGAGCCGAGGAGCCCAGACGCCCACAGCCAGGGATCTTTGGGATACTCTGCACCTCACTGCATACTCAGAGATGGCTCTCTGGCTCCCTCTGATGACCACATCCCACCAGGGCCCTTTTAGCCCATGCCTGTCCTCCCCAGATGCAGGGGCTTGTACCACCCTGAGGTTCAAAGAGGTGGGTAACTTGTCCACAGGTCCCCAAATCCCAGTGAGGCTAGAAGGGCTGGTAGAAATGTGTGACCCAGCCCGGGCCCCTTGGATGGGGTAGTGGACACTCAGGGAGGAGAGGACTTGGCAGCACCTGTGGCAGGAATGCAGCTGACAGAAGCTCAGTGCAGGTGACCTCAGACCCTGGAGCACCCTCCTGCCCCACACTCCCACAGAGCCCAGCCTACTGTCCCTGCTGCAGCCGGCGTCTCAGCCCCTGCCTGGCCTCTCCCTGCCATGGTGCATGGCTGGTTGGCTGGCGTATGATGGATGGACGCTTGTCCCAGGGGCCACAGGAGAGCCAGGTCCCTGTCCAGGGGGTACATGAGGGTCAACAGCCTTCCTGAGGCTGCCTCTGGAGTTCGGAGCTCTCCCTAAAACCTCCACAGATGGAGCTGTTCCCAGCCGAAGAGCTCCAGGAAATTCCCTTGTTCGATGTCCCTACAACTCGCAGCAGGCCTGCTATGCAGGTAGGTGGGCACTAAGGGTGTTCTGCCCACATCTGCTGCGAGTGGGCACTGGCCAGGGCCTGTCTGCAGAAGGCACTCTTTGGCACATTAAGTCTTGGGATGGGCTGGACAGAACACCCAGATGTGCAATCTTTTTTTTTTTTTTTGAGACAGGTCTTACTACACAGCCCAAGCTGGTTTTGCGCTCCCAATGTAGCTGATGCTAGCAACTCTCCTGCCTCCGCCTCCCGAGTGCTCACACATGTGGGCCTTCCGTTGCTGTTAGTGGGAGCAGAGCCCATGGGGTGGCTGTATGCCTGTGGCCGTGCCATGACTGTCGGTGGCAAGCAGGTAAGAAAGGGCATCAGGACCTGGGGCTCCCTCCTTGCTGCCCCCCATTCCCATTCCCTCTCTATTCCTGCCATATGCTCGACCCTCTGGGAGGCTCACAGATGGGGGCCACACACTGCTAGGCCTATGAGCAGGCACAGGCCTCTGCCTCCTGCCACTCCCTCCTTGGCCCTTTGCCTCTTCCTCCATGCAGCCCCCCAATGATTCTCCTCACTCTGCAGACTTCCTTGCTTGCGCTTTGGGCCTGGACCACTCAGCCAGCCCCCTCACCTCGAGGCTGCCCCACCTCTCCCCCTCACCTCCAGAGCTGCAGTGTCCATGGTGAGGGTCTAGACTGGGCCAAGGGCAAGCGCCAGGCATAGGGAGCCCAGCCTCACACAGCCCCTCCCACTGCCCAGAGTGCTAGACACACTGCCAGGAAGGGTGTGGGCAGAGGCTCCTGGCTGGGACTGGTGCACGCTCCAGGGAGCCTTGGAGGACTGCCCTGGCCTGAGGCTTGGGAGAGCCCACTCCATGTGGCAGCCTCCACCCAGAACCCAGAACCCAGCAGGGAACAAGCTGAGAGGGGTTGCTGCATGTGGGACCCTAATTCTCACCCTATTTCCTTATATTTCCTAGTAGCTACATTAAAAAAAAAAACAGGTGAAAGATATTTTCTTGAGACAGGGTCTTGCTGAACAGTTCAGGCTGACCTCGAACTTGCTGTGATCTTCCTGCCTCAGCCTCCTGAGTGCTGAGGTTACAGTGTATGCCACCACATCCCATCCAATCATAGTGTTTATTTAAATCAAAAGATTTTACATGCAGTTACAAACAACCACTGAGACATGGTGCATGGGTCCCAGCTTGGTGTGGACCAGTCCCATTCCAAGCCCAGTGACCACCATCCTGGACAGTGCTGAAAACACACAGTGTCCCAGTACCAGGATGACAGACAGGACAGTCCACCTCCTGCCACAGACTGGATGGGCCTGAGCCAGGCCTGTGGACTCTGTCCAGGCGCTGACTCTGACCGCCTAGGGGCTACAGGGAGCTGGAAATGCCTGCCTCCAGCCTGCAAGCTCAGGATTGGCAGAGGGGTTGGGAAGAGGATAGGCAGGGGCAGTGATGGCCATAGGGGCAGTCACCTCCTATTCACAGGCCCCTGGTGTCCTGCGACCAGTCACTCCACACCCTGTTTGCCCTAACAGTCCCAGCTCAGGTCCACTGGCCCATTTCAGGGCCCAGACAGCCTAGTGTGCCCTTTGCTTCCTCTTACGAAATGAGCCATGGGCTGGGGATTTAGTGCAGTGGCACAAGTGCCACAGGCACCAGCAAGTGTGAGGTTGTGAGTTGGCTCCCTGGTACCAGAAAATTTAAAAAAAAAAAGAGATGAGCCTGATGCTAAGGGGACTAAGGAAGTCAAGGAAGGGCACGCAACATCCAGGCGGCAAGGTGGACCTTAAAGAGAGGGGCTGTGACTCCAGGGCCCAGGCTCCGTGCCCCAGCGGCCTGACCAAACTCAACAGGATGCTGGGCTGTAGATGCCAGGCTTTCCCCTGGAGGAGTGGGAAGGGAGGGAAGACAGAGCAGCCCCCAGGATCGGGATCAGGCAGAAGTGGAACCAGGTACCTTTCTAATATGTCTTCCCTGAAGGTCCGGGGCAGGGGCTGAAACCTGACATTCACCCCAGAGCAGGCCAGACTCCCTCTCCAGCATACGTGCACCAGGCAGGGCAGGGCCCCAGTCTTGTTGGGACCCAAGGCCCAGGTGTGGGTGCCACTGCAGGGCTCTTCTGAGGGTCACTGGAAAAAGAAGAGCAGTGAGCCCTGATGCTTTCCCTCTGTGTCCCCTTCTTTTGACCCAGGGAACAATGACAGCTACGCAGGAGGCTCTGGTGGGACCAAGACTGAAGAGCACCTTGACCACAGGAGGACGTGGTCCTGGCAGTGGGCAGTGCATGGCTGCCTATCATAAGAGGCCAGGGGCCAAGCCTGTCACGTGCTCTCTGAGTCTGTGTTCAAACACATCGGGACCTGCCTCCTGCAAGGCAAATGTTAGCTTAGCAGCAAGGCCCAGGTGCCACGTCAGAGGGCTCTGCCTGCGTGGCTGCTCCCTTGTCAGTGTCACTGCGACAAGCAGCAAGACCACGCATCCTCCTCTCCTTGCCTCCAGGTACACCGGGGACCAGGGGGCGTCCCGATGTGCCACCTCGGCACCCCCGGAAGGAGCTGGGGACTACTCTGCCTTGGCCACCCGAGCAGGTATGCAGATGACAGCATCCCTGTCTTCCAGAGGCTCTTACCGAGGCCAGAGTTGGATGCAAGGGTGGCGATGTGAGGGAGGGGCGGCGGCGGTGACCTCGTGGTATCACCGCTGTCCAGTAGGGCACGCTTGAACGCCCGACTGCAGGGAACTGCGGTATGTGGCTACCGGCTGCAGCCTGGGCCAGCTGTGAGGACCCGATGCTGGGGGCTAGGCTGGGCGCGGCCAGATTCCAGGCTCTAGCTGCCATCGCCGCACGCGGTAACCAGGCAACCAGGCACGTCGTGCGGGCACGACGTGCGCGTGCGCAATCCAATTGGTCGCCCGAACGGCAGCATCGGCACATGCGCAGCCGCGCCGCCGGCCGCCAGCCAGGTCTAAACCGAGACTGGGAAAGGACTCGCTGGCTCTAAGGCCCGCTCGCGGAGCGGCCGTTCTCGGGGGGTGGAGCTGCTCACTTTGATTCTTCAAAGCCTACTCCTTCTTGGGGTCATGACTGAAGATTCCTGTCCCTTTTGACAGCCAAAAACGAGAGAAGAGTGGGAGACAACGTAACCAGGGCGACGTCCCTGGGCACCCTGCGGGGCAGGTGGGAGAGGGGTGGGACCGAGGGAGGGCGAGGTTGGGGCGGGGCCAAGGACGTGACGAAGAAGTGAAAGAGTGGACCAGGATGGGGGCGGGACGGGGGCGTGGTTAGGGAAATAGAACCGTGAAGGACACACAGGGGGCGGGACAAAGGGGGCAGAACAAAGAGACGAGGCGGTAAAAGACTGGATGACGGGGCGCGCTGAGGGGCGGGGCGTGTGACGTCTCCGCCGGACACGTCGGCGGAGACGCTACCGGAGCCGGATATGCCAAGATGGCTGCGGGGGTTTCCGTGTCTGCGCTAGGCGTCGCTGCTGGGTGGGCTGCGGCCCGCGGCGCCTGAGAGGCCGGCCACGGTCGCGCGGGTGAGGGGCGAGCGGGGTCGGAGGCCGGCAGGCGGAGCCAGGCGGTGGAGGACCGGGCCCAGGGCCAGCCCCTAGCGGGCGGCGCGTCTCTCGGGACGCTGCCGGAGCGGGCCACGGCGCTGGCTGTCGCGTCGCCGAGCGTGTACCGCGCGCGGGTCGGGGCGCGGCCGGGCCGTGTCGGTGGCCTGTCCTCGCGTGACACGGAGGGGCTGTGGTCGTCGCCACGGGCTACCGGGCACCCAAAGATGTTCGGGCCCGGCCGTCTCTTTGAACCTCCGCTCAAACGAAGGGATGCCTGGGAAGTTTCTGGCGGTTGAGCGTGTTTTTTGTGTGTCAGAGGTTTTGAAGGTGTTTGGTGTTCGTTGAACAGAAGACTCTACAGCGATATGGATTCACTGACGTTTGCACCAAGGAGCGGCAATATAGTTATTTGTCATCTCTTGGCAGTGGCCAGGATGTCGCAAGGGAGGTCGAGGACGGTGCGCTCTTCACCAGTTACAGGTGTTAAAGCGGAGCTTCCAGACACACTGAGCCACTTGGAATGAGTTTTTGTTGTTTGGCTCAGAAACATCTCTAAGTAGTTGGTAGATTGGAGGTGGATTGCTTATTATTTCCTCTCAAATCTGTAGGATGCTGGTGTTAGCCAGAGACCTATTTTCAATGTAGTAAGAAGCAGGGCCAGGGATTTAGCTCAGTGATGTAAGTGCCTACCTGTCAAGCGGGAGGTTGTGAGTTCGATCCCTGGTACACAAAACAAAACAAAACAAAATGTAGTAAGAAGCGGCAGAACCACAGGCAGTAGTTTATGCGTGGTACTTTTTGAAGTTTCAGCGTAATACAGCCTGCCTGCAGGCTGTTTTGTCCCTAACCTCTTTCGTAAGGTTTCTGTGCTGGTGATATTTTGCAAAGAAAGGAGGCAAAGTAGTAATGTGTTCTTCCTGTGACCCTGTTACCCCTTATAGCAGTGAATCTTGGTATTGTCTTGGCAGTTTGCGCTGAGGATTGGATACATGTAGTATGATTCCGTTCTGCTTCTGTAAACATTCTTTGTGTCAGAGTGTCCTCTTTGGTCTGTCACTTTTAGCAGTGTTTAGGCTCTTCTGCCTTTTTCACAACATCTGAATGTCTGTGGTTCCAGTTCTAGCTGGGAAGATCGTGCCTATGTCATATGTCCCGAGTCTGATAGGGGTCACTTTCGGTCACTGTGTAGGAGATTGTAATCAGAGCCCTGCTGATTCTTGGTACTCCTTTGGGTTTGCACACCTAGAGCTGGAGACTAGTGGCAGGGAGACGAAAGTGCAGGAGTGGTGGGGGAGTAGGTGTGTCCTATAGTCAGAGACTCATGCTGCGGGTGGCTTGAGTAAGTACTGTAGATACAAGGCAGGTGAGCTGAAGAGCTGGGTTTGTGAATAACGCATCTTTAAGATGATCACCTGGCCTCTGAAACAGTTGCCTACTGGATGTTAGAGGACTTGCTAGGCAGTAAATTTACTGTAGTCCTGAGTTTTAATGATCTGCAATCCTCTGTTTTTCTGTTGGCAAGCAGAGAGGAAGATGAAGAGTAATGCTCAAGTCATGACATTGTTTGAGGTAAAACTGGCCTTACTGCTGTAGACCTGTTAGTTGGTTTGGGGATTGGGAGGCTTCTCTGTAGGTGGTAATGTTTCCTTACAAAACAGCCTTTAGTCCAGTAGTGTTGAGAAAATCTTAAATTTCTGCAAGGAACTCATTTAAGTGTAAGATTTCCTGTTAATTTGCCACCTTAAGTGCCAGCTTGTAAGATTAAACCCAGCAGTGACCTTAGGAAAAAGGCATTGTGTTCTCTCATTTTATGGATGGAGTTTGTGTGTGTCTCCATCAAGTGCATCCCAGGAGAGAAGTGGCTTCCCTGGGCCGCTCAGGTGGACTGTCAGTCTCACTGTCACAGTAACTCCTGAGGAACCAGTTCTCTAGGTCTGTGCTCTGCATCTCATTTTATTTTAAATAAGTAAGTAAGTAAGTAAGTTGCATGGGGTGGTTGAAAGTGGTGTGTTGAAGGATGAGCTGGGAAGCCCATTACTCTTTATAGCCCGGGTTCTACAAGGAGGCAGAAGTCTTGAGTCCTGCCTTTAGTGGGAGGATTTGCTGTGTGCATGGTAGCTGCACTGCTGGGTAGATAAATGCAGAGGGCCAAGGGGAGGAGACCGGGCTTCTACCTCTGGGTCCCTGGAAAGTGAAGTTGAAAGTGTCATCTCAAGATGACAGCTCAGAACCAAGTGAGTGCTCTGGTATTGATCCGAGCAGGATGTATTGAACTGGAGTGGATTTTCAGCAAGCTTGCAGTTGGAAAGGAGCCCCTGTTGACCATATGGGCAGCGTTAAGTGAATTATTTTTATTTTAAAAAAATTCCTTTGAGCTACTGGGGGTCGAACTCAAGGGCACTATACTGCTGAGCAACAACCCCGACCCTTTTTATTGTATTTTTGTTATCAAGGATCGTACTCACAACCTCACGCTTACCAGACAAGTGCTTGAGCCACTTAGTTAAATCTCTAGATCCCCCTTTTTAGTTTGACATTAAGTTCACCTGGCTTTTTGAACTTGTGATCTTCCTGCCTCAGCTCCCTTAAGGAGCTGGGCTCGTAAGGCTTTGCCTCAACACACCTGGCCAATATCAGTGAGTTAAAGGATTGGTAGGATTAGTTTTCAGGAAGGAATTAGAAACTTATTTCTAAGTGGTTTTATTTATAAAACAAACATTAGTGTTTTCATTGTATCAGAAAGACTGGGGAGTAATTGATGTGTGGATTAAACTCCAGAGGCCTCCAAGATTTCTCCCTTTGGTTTAATTTTCTCTTGAATTAGCTAAACAGATCTGAGAGCTGAACTGATACAAAGATAAAGACTTTAAAGGTGTAGAACTTGAATGTTTGCCTTGGAGAAGGATAGGTTAGCTAGTCAGGGTCGCATTTATTGTGTTTTGTTAAAAGCCAAACAATGGAAGATGCTGTGGTGTGGCTGTTGTGTGGTGAGGATTATGCCCCTTTATTTTCCAAAGAGATCTGAAGTCTTCCTCTTGGAAATTTGACAGTTCATTGAGCCCCTGTGAATCTGCTGTACACATCCTTGAGATTTCTTTCCAGGCTGAGTTACAATGTCAGGGGTCACAGGCAATCTTGTTGGGGACTTCATGCCCACTAGGGAAGTGCTCGACTTCTGAGCTTAATCCCTATTTTTTCTCTTTTTTTCAGTTTCTTGATTGCGATCTGTAGTTTATGGGTTCATTTTCATTTCTTTTTCTTTTCCAGCTCACCTTGAGGAATAGCTTTGCCTGCCACTTCTGTTAAGCAGCCCCTCCTGTGGAAGAGGCCCATTATGCAGCCACCGTCCCAGGGGGTTGTACCTGGTGTGGCTGGCCCCCCTCCTGCTGGGACTCCTCGGAGCATGTTCTGGGGTAGCAGCGGCTACAGGAAGCTGGCCAGTAGCAGTGCCCCAGTGGCTCCTCCTTGCTCCCTGCAACCAGTCACAGATCCCTTTGCTTTTAGCAGACAGATGCGCCAAAACAACCCCCTGGATGCTTTGTCCAGGAGCAGCCTGCCTGCCAGCAATGATCCAGCCCTGCCAGTGTTCTCTCAGTGGCCTGGCTTGCCTGTGCCTCAGGTCAGTGCAAGGGAGAGCACCCAAGGACCCCCGGAGCCTCTGGCAGGACCTCTGTCACAGCCCAACGCAGATCAGTTTTCTGGCGCATCTGTCCCTCCTACACTGCCAGGGCACGAGATGGGCCAGAGCGCTGAAGTCAGTTCTAGCTCAGGACCTGAAGTTCTGACTGCTCCGCTGCATCCAGCCCACTACATTCCAGGAGATGGTGCTGACCAGTCCTCTGGGGGCCAAAGGCATGGGAGTGGGCCTGACCAGGCCCTGAGCAGACACGCTCTGAGGGACAGTGTAGTGGCTCCGGCAGCAGTGGCTGCAGCAGCATCCTCGTTCTTCTCCCAGCCTCGGCCACGGATGCCGGCACAGTGGGGCCCAGCGCAGGGCAGCCTGCAGCCCTCCCAGCAGGGTCACTCACCCAGCCCAGAAGGACCTGTTCAGAGTGTGGGGCCTCAGGCCACCAGCACTCACCACTTTCCTGCCTCGTCAAGCCTGCACCACAGCCCTGGCTATGAGCTCCATGCCCAGCTAGTGTCTCCTCCGGCCCCTTTGGCCAGTGGTAGAGGAAGTGAGGTGGCCCCCTTGCAAAGTGGAAACCACTCAGTAGGTGACTTTCACCATGAAAATTCATTCGGGCACAATCCCAGGATCGGGAATATGTGGGAAAGCCAGGAATTCATGCAGAATCCAGGAGTGAAAGAGCATTTCCAGGACCCTGCCCCTGGGAATTCCCTTACTCAGGGAAATAGTCCTGAAAACCAAGTCCACTACCCCTCAGGGGCTGGGAGTAACCAAGCCCCCACAGAAACAGCCTCAGGGGCACTCTCCATGTTTTTCCAAGGAGAAGAGACCGAAAATGAGGAGAACCTCTCGTCTGAAAAGGCAGAGTCAGCTGGCTGCCTGGACTTAGATGGTTTCTCCCCCAGCCCTGGACCGGGCCATTCGCTTCGCCCTGTACATGGTGCTGGCATCGTCCACCAGGCCTTTCCTCCAGGTTCCCACAGTGAGACCACGCAGCAGAAAGGAGGCACACAGCCTTATTTCTCTCAGTCTGCAGGCTTCCAGAGTGATAACCAGACCACTAACAGTGCTGCTGGTGACGCTTGGGGTGACACAGCAGGGCTTTGTGATGCTGGTGGCTCACAGTATGAGAATGTCGAAAATTTAGAGTTCATCCAGAATCAAGAAGTTCTGCCAGCTGAACCCCTAATTTTGGATGCTCCCTCCCCAAATGATCAATTCCGATATGGACTCCTGCCTGGGCCACCTGTCTCCAGGCATGGTACCATAGGCGTCACCCGAGGTGGGGCACTGAATCTCGAGGCCCCGGACACACCCGTGCACCCAGTTCGATCTGACAGCATGTCATCCAGCTACAGCGGCCAGAGCCACAGGAGCCTTTCTGGGTCAGCCAGGTCCCAGGAGCCGGTGGGCACCTTCATCCAGCAGGAAGTGGGAAAGCCTGAAGAAGACGCGACAGGCAGTTTTTTTAAGCAAATTTATTCTTCCCCTGTGGGAGGCGATTCAGAGGAGATCAGTGGGAGCCAGAATTACTATAGCACCTTGTCCCAGCCCTCCACCCCGAGCCCCCCGAAACCTACAGGGACATTCCAGGCAAGTGCAAATAGTTCTTTTGAGCCAGTAAAATCGCACTCTGTTGAGGTGAAGCCGGTTGAGGTGGATCAAGCCAACATGGTGGGTGAAGTGAGGGGCACCCATGAGCAGGCCAAGAAGTGCAGACCTGTGGCCGTACCACCCAACGCCTCCCCAGGCAACTTGGAGCAGCCACCAGACAACATGGAGACACTGTTTGCACCCCAGGCCTGCTCCCCACCTCTTCCTCCCACTGTGGAAGCTATACACACAGCAGCACCTCCCTTGGATACGGTGCGCTCAACTCCAGAGAAGAGACCCTTTGCCAGGGCTCAGGGGTCTGTGAAGTGTGAGAGCCCCGCAACGACCCTCTGGGCGCAAAACGAGCTGCCAGACTTTGGTGGCAACGTGCTCCTCGCCCCCGCTGCTCCTGCACTTTATGTACCTGCAAAGCCTCAGCCATTGGCAGTTGTTCAGCCTCCAAAAGAGGGGTTGCCTGGGCAGCCATCTCGCAAGCCTGCCCCTGCCCACCCCTTGCAAAGCCAAGCTCTGCCGAGCACTTCTGAGAACCTTGAGAACCCTCCCAAGGTGGGTGGCAGTGAAGCCCTTCAGTCCCAGGCAAGTTCCAGTTATGCAAGTTTGCTGTCCTCACCACCCACTGAAGCTTTGCAAAATCAGCCAGTCTTGATTGCCCAGCCTGACCAGAGCTATAATTTGGCTCAGCCCCTTAATTTTTCTGTGTCTTTGCTGAATCTTGCGGAGAAGAATCAGTGCTGGGGAGATGCTCTGGTGGGGGACAGATCCACAGCGAGCAGCCAGGCTCTCAGCGCAGATTCTGGTGACCATGCTGCTTTGTCTGGGGTTGTGCCCAGTGCTGCGGTTGGCTTGTCTTTGCCCAACAGTGTCAGCCAGAGTAGTGTCCCACAGGGGTCTAGCTCTTCTGAAATGGGTTCTAATCAGCCCGCTAATTTGCTTGTGCAGCCGCTGTCCCTCCCAGTCCCTAAGGGCTTGCTTCCAGAAAGGCAGAAGACTCATAATTCAGAAAAGCTTCCCGAGTTTGTTAGTAGCCCTGCTGGAGGCACTGGTGTGGTGTTAGTTCCCCCAGCAAGCAGTACCTCAGTGCCTAGTAGCACGAAGGCAAATTACTCCAGCAACCAGGAAGAAGCCTCTGGAGCCTTAGACTTTACGCTGAGTAGAACTTTGGAAAATCCTTCAAGACTGTACAGCCCATTCCATGTGGAGGGCCCGGCCGCCCAGCAGGCTGCCACCAGTCCTTCCAGACAGTCAGGGGTTGGGGTGCATGACCCAGGCCATTTCTACCAGCAGGTAAGGGAAGATGACCAGGACCATCGAGGCCTCGGAACCCAGGCAGAGGCGGCGCCCCCTCAGCCGCAGGCTTCTCCCCCACAGATGCCCCAAGCAGCTTCAGATGCAGAGAGTCCCCCCACACAAGGGCCGTCCCAGAACTTGGTCCAGCCACCAGCCAGTTCAGCCCTGGCCAATGCAGGCCAGAAGCCGCTGCCTCAGCCCCCTCAGTCTACTTCTGGTGCGTCGGCTGTGTCTGCAAACTCCAGCCAGGCAGCGGTGCGGCCCGAGCAGCCGTGGCTTCAGCCTCCACCGTTGAGTGCATTTGGCCCTCCGCCTCAGGACCTGGCATCCTACTACTATTACAGACCTCCATATGATGCCTACCCAGCCCAGTACCCAGTGCCGTACTCATCGGAACCTGGCTCAGCCTCCCTGTCCTACCAGGTAAAGTGAACACTGCTACTTAGCCATCTTCCCTTGCTTTTCCTGTCGGGATTCTCTCGTGCGTTCCCCAGTGGTGACCTGTTTGTCCAGACCCACACATTGCTGCCGGGAAAAGTCCTGCTCGGCCATGCGCCCCCTTAAGGGTGCCTACCAAGCATTAGCATGCTGGGTTGCTGGTATGTAGGCACCTTTTCTGTGTAGCCTGGAGTTTCCCATTAGGGGACAAAAAACCCTTTGCTTCCTGGAGCCCGGATGGATTGCTGCAGGGCACAGCATTGTGTAGTGCATTTTGGGCAGTAAGCTTAGCCCCTGGAAGCCTGTGTGTGGTGTCTGCCTGTGTGTGGTGTTTGCCAGTGTAGGAAGTAGGAGTAGCTAGAATCATTTTCGTTTCTCCTAAGGAAAGAATGAGGGAAAAGGTTAGATCTGGAGAGTTAATCCACACACCATAGTGAAGGGAGATGGGACGTCCTTACACTCCCTCAGGTGTGGGGTGGTAGCACCAGCAGGTGGAAAGCCCTGCCCTGTTGCAGGCTCCTGGCTGCTGTTTGAGTTAGGTTCTCTTTAACTCTGCAGCAGCTTGAAAAAGCATAGTCCAGGTGGACACACTTGATTGCTACTTGCTTCCCCTGCCCTCTGGCTCCAAGGTGGAAGGTGGTATCCCTGGAGCCACAGGCCTGGTATGTGTGGGCTGGCAGGTAGGCTCAGGCTGTGTGGGGAGGGCCAGTGATGCCAGGCTGCATGGGCTATGCCCGCAGCTCCCAGTGACATAGCCCTGGGGCTGCTCCTGCCTCTTGGCCCAGGCCATCCTCACACCCTTAGGTGTAAGCAGTTGCACATGCAGCTCCTGCAACCTGCTACCCTAGGTTTGGGAGAAGAGAGCAAGGACGTCATTGCAGTACTCGGGTGTTTAGCTCTGCTGCTGGAACCTCAGGGCAGTAGAATGGAGGTGCCAGGAAGCCCAAGCCTGGAACCACTTCCTGTCTTCTTCCTCTGTGGTCTCCAGTCATGGGGAGAACATACCCTTTGCTGTGACTTACGCAAGTCCAGAGCAAGTGGCTGCAGATGTAATGGGAGGAGTTGGTGCTGCACCTGCACTGCTGGCTTCTCTTCTGATCTCAGCATCCACCTTACCCTTCTTTAAAGGCGGGCTGGGGCCTGGTGGTTTTGGGATTGGCCCAGATAGATCCCTGCTTCCATTGCACACCTGAGGCAGGACACGTGTTCTACTACAGTCAGCAGAGACTTTAGGTGCCCTTTGGAGAGCTGGCTGGCCACACACTGGCCCCCAGGCCCTTCCAGGAGCCCTCTTCAGCAGGGCCAGGCCGGCAGCATAGGGAGGCTCTGCTGCCTGCCTTTGACACTGACTTTGCCTTTAGGTTTGGGTTTTTCCTTTGCAGTCTTTGGGATTGAACCAAGGACATTTGCACTGAGCTATACCTCCAATACTTGGTTTTCAGAGATAGTCTTATTAAACTGCCTGGTCTGGGCTTCCACTTCCAGTCCTCCTGCCTTTTGAGAGTGCTGGGGTGACAGACATACACCACTACCCAAATCCCAGGTTTCTGTGTGTGTGTGAAGGAAGCCTGCTGTGTCCCAGTCCCTGCTGTGCGCAGTTGTATCTGTCGTGTGGCTGCTCAGGATGGGACCTAACGTGTTTGTCCTCCTCCTGCAGGATATCTATGCCCTCTATGATCACCGGTACAGGTCCTATGACAGCTCTGCGCCAGCGTATGCCGAGAACTACCGCTGTTCTGAGCCGGAGCGGCCCAGCTCTCGGGCGAGTCACTGCTCGGACCGACCCCCTGCCAGGTGAGCGCTGCACCAGCAGCTGCTTCCTTCTCCCCAGGCTGATGCTTTCACTCCTGGTGCTTGGGGGGGATGGTGAGCTAATGACTGGAAAACCCTGTACAGAATTCTCCAAGCCTCTTGCTGCCTGTGTGTAGCTTCCGTCTGGCAAGTGGAAGGTGGCGTTGTCACATTGGGCTGAGCACACTGCCTCCTGTGGTCCATGCTTAGCCAGTCACCACCAGGCCCTGCATGTACTCCCACTTTTTGTCCCTGTTACCAGGCATATTCCTGACCCAGGTAGGCTGCTGGGTGTCTAGGGCTCTCAGACCGAGACTTTGACCTGGTCTGGGAGGACGAATTACAGACAGGGCACAGACCCATGTCTGCCAGGCTGGCTCTTGTGCTTTGTTCCCAGTGCTGCCTGTTTGGCCACACAGCCTATGGGTGTGGGGCCCCTGTGTATTCTGTGCTGGCCAAGCTGGCCCCTATTTTGCAAGGGAAAGTTCGGAGAGCATCAGGGCGTGGTGTCCTCTGCTGAGGGAGCCCTTCCCCAAGTCGAAGTCTGCCGGTGCTGCTTTTGCTTTGTGTGTGCAGGCCTTGGCATTGGTGGGACTGGGTGAAGCAATGAGGCATGGGTTCTGTTTGCTGCCATGGTTTGTCATCTGAGCTGGGAGCAGTACCTCTTGGCAGCCACATCGGGTTCTAATGTGCAAAAGCATTTTAGACAAAAGGTCTTACCTGTGAGCCTTGGCCCATGTGTCTGTTCCTGGTACACCTGGCTTCAAAGGTTCAAGCCGAACACGTGTGTGGTTGGCACAGCCGGTGGCTCTCAGTTATGGAGCTTGGGTTTGTCTCTGTGCAAAGCCCCTGCTCACATGTGCAAAGCCCTGGGTTCATTACCGTCTCTGCCCCCAAAAGAAAAAGATGGCTATGTGAAACCACGGTACCCCACACCCACTGGGAAGCAGGGTTTGCGCTCACATGGTTTTCCGGTGAGAGCCTGAGGGGACCAGGCAAGAGCAGGAGGAGGAGGAGGTAGAGCCAGGCACTCATTTTCCCCTTGCACCTACAGATTCATGAGGGAGTTCGCTTTGTGAGGCTGGAAGTGGCTTTGTGGGGCCAGCAGGCCAGGTTCATCTCTATGACTTTGGGCTTTCTCTTCCTTAATCTGTCCCGGGCCTCAGAGGGTCCTCAGCCTGACTATCACAGCCTGGACAGAATCTCCGTTCTCCCCTTCCCGGCAAGCACACGTGGTGGGAGCATGGGGTCCCTGATGAGCTGGCCAGGCCCCTGGCAGCCCCACATCTTTCTGCACTGCTGTAGGGGGCTGCTGAGGCCGGCTGAGGACGTGGCCGTGTCCTTGGCTCTCTCTGTTAATGCGGCACAGATCAGTATGGCCTCCGGGGCAACTCCAGGGCCTTCGGCCAGGCCAGTGGTATGACCATGGCTGAGCAGTTGGGTGAGCAGGGTGTGGGTGGCCTTGCCTCTCAGGTGCTGTGCTGGCCAAGTAGCCAGACTCCCATCAAGTGACCTTTCCTGAAGGGGTGTAAGAAAAGTCACATTTTAAAAAGTCAGATAGTGTATAAAAACTGCTCTTAGGGAAACTAAAATCATGCTTTCGGGAATCTAGAGAGCACAGAATCTTTTGGACCTGACCCTTTTGCTAGACTCCCTTTTCTCGTGAGAGGCAGGGTTGTGGCTGGGGGAGGCATGTGGAGCTGGCACTGAGTCAGGCCTGGGTGGCCCTGGGCACAGTCCCCTGGGCCTGCTCTCACCCCAGGGCCAGCTGAGCATATACAGGGCTATTGCCATGGGGGTGTTAGAGTGAGTATAGCCTGGGTTCGTTCTCCTGCTGCTGAGCAAATCAGAAACTTCTTTGTGAGCCATGGCACCAGATGCCAGAGAGGTTGGCTTACTTCTGGTGCTGTCAGGTAGGGGTTTTGCTGAGCTGAATTCCATTAGCCTTGTGAGGGAAGTTTGTGACCACATCCTTGTCACCATTTTGGATTGTCTTTGGGAGGTGGCCCTGGGAGTTGAACCAGGGACACAGTACCACTGAGCTGCATACCCAACCCCTTTTTTATTTTTTTATTTTTTGAGACAGAGTCTCAGTGAGTGGCCAAGGCTGGCCTCAAACTTGCAATCCTCCTGCCTCAGCCTCCCTCATAGCTGGGGTGATGGGTGTGTACCACTGCACCTGTCCACATTTGGGTTTTCTGATTAGAGTTTTTCATGAGGTTTGAGTGCTTTGGTGAGTGCCTGCTGCCATGAGTGTAGTCTATGGTGTGTATTGTGAGTGTCTTCCACCCTTGAAGAAAGGGGTGGTGTGTGTTTAATAGCCCTGTGTGCTTTTCAGGCCGGGGTACCCCGATGGGCACTATGGTTCCAAGAGTGGATGGAGCAGCCAGAGCGATTACTACGCGAGCTATTACTCCGGCCAGTACGACTATGGAGGTGCGTTACAGTCCACCACCAGCGCCCCTGGCTCTTCGCTCTGCCATTCTCCTCCATGAGCCAGAGTGGTGAGAAGGGCCGCCAGCCACTGCTGTCTGTGACATGCAGCGCTCTGCCATTCTCCTCCATGAACCAGAGTGGTGAGAAGGGCCGCCAGCCACTGCTGTCTGAGACACGCAGCCTTTCCACTCTGTCACAGTGGTAGCTGCACTGTGATCCATGCTCCAGGCGGTTCAGCTGTGACCTGGTGAAAAACCCCTTTCTGGTCACACTGGCTGTGCTGGCCTGTCACTGCGAGAGGGCGGGATGTCCTGCACATGGGCTGCAGACATTGGTGTCTTGGAGTAGCCAGGAGTCCCCTTGTGACCCTGCTGGCCATCCCTGGGCAGTGTCCCCACCTGGCCCTTCTGCTTCCCAGGACTGCTCTTTCCTCCTGAATGCTGACACCTGCTTTAAGTAGAGCCCTGCACACACTTCCCACAGGGTTCATCCAGCTCGTTCGTGGCAGTCATGCTGCTTTTCACACTTCCAGTTTAGCTGGCTGTAGTAGTGCATGCCTGTAACCCTGGCACCTGGGAGGCTGAGGCAGGAGGGTCATGAGTTCAGGGCCAGTCTGGACTACATAGAAAGATCCTGGCTCAAAAAACAAAACAAAGGCAAAAATACTTAGGTTTCAATGTTAAAATAGTTTTTTAAAGTTTTTTGAGATATAGTAGTAAAATTTATAGTCAGGAAATTAGCTTCTTATGTGTGTGTGGTACTGAGGATAGAACCAAGGCCTTCGTGTTGAACGATATCCCCACCCCTTTTTGTGTTTGTTTGTTTGTTTGTCTTTTTCCTTTTTATCGGTACCGGGGTCACGATTGCCTGCTTGCAAGGCAGGTGCTTATGCCACTGAGCTAAATCCCCAGCCCCGCCCTTTTTGTTTTTAATCTTTAATTTTGAGACAGGATCTTGCTAAGCTGCTCAGGCTGGACTTGAATTTGTGATCTTCTTGCCTCCACCTCCCAGCATACTGGGATGACAGGCATGTGCCTCCACACCTGGCTGAGATTTAACAATTAAAAAGTGGTCCTTGGAGCTGGAGGTGTGTGGCTGTAATGGGGAATTTGTCCAGCATATGAAAGGCCCTCAGTTGATCCCTAGCACCACAGGAAAAAAACAGTAGCTATAAAAAACAAAACAAGACTTTATTTTTTTTGTCTTTTTCTTTTTTATTGGTAACGGGGATTGAACTCACGACTACACACTTGCAAGGCAGGCGCTTATGCTACTGAGCTAAATCCCCAGCCCTCAAAACAAGACTTTAAGCAGTTTTGTTTTCTTTCATTTTTGGCAGTGCCGGAGATTAAGCCCAGGGCTGCCTATTCTAGGCACCACTAGCCACCGATCCACCTCCCCAGCTCTTTGTTAACCTTTTTTTTTTTTGGTTCCACAAATCGAACTCAGAACCTCACTCTTGCAGGCAGGTGTGGTGCCACTGAGTTAACGTCCCTGGCCCTTCGTTTTTTCAGACACGGTCTTGCTGTGCAATTTAGGCCGCCCTTGGATGCACTGTGTAGCCCAGGCTAGCCTCGAACTTGCAGCTATCCTCCTGCCTTAACTTCTCAAATGCTGAAATTACAGGCCTGTGCCACCATGCCTGGCCTGTTAACTTGCATTTTGAGATGGGGACTTGCTGAGTTGCCCAGGTTGGGCTCAAACTTTGAATCTCCCTTCCTTGGCTTCACAAGTGGCAAAGATTACCGGTATGGGTCACTATACCTGGCTAGTGTTTTTTGTTTTTAATCAAAAACATCTGTATTGAGAACAGCCTGGCAGCCTCTACAGTGTGTCACCGTGCAGCAGGACAGTGGCTGCCCCGTGTCAGGGCTCCCTCCTGCTCTCCCTGGAGTGGGGGCAAGGGTCCATCTGCACACTGGTGGGTTCCTTGCCTGAAGGTTCTGTGGAACTGGGTTTCTGGTGTGCACCAGCACCGAGCCCACACTCTTCTCTTGCAGACCCGGGCCGCTGGGACCGCTACTATGGCTCTCGGTTCCGTGACCCCCGCACCTGGGACCGGAGATACTGGTATGACGCTGATTATGACCCGCATAGGAAGGAGAGCTATGCCTACAGCGGCAGGTCAGTACCTGGGCACACCTGCTGCTCCCTGCTGGGGGTTCTCTGCAGCATCTGTCTGTGGGGGCCTCTCCCATCCTGTGACTCAGTGCTGGTTCACCGCAGGCCTGAGAAGGGCGACGACCACTGGAGGTACGACCCTCGCTTCACTGGGAGCTTTGATGAGGACACAGAACCGCACCGTGACCCCTACGGGGAGGAGGCAGACAGGCGCAGTGAGCACAGTGAGCATTCGGCCCAGAGTTTGCACAGCGCACACAGCCTGCACAGCCGGCGCAGCAGCCTCAGCTCCCACTCGCATCAGGTGCGCCCAGCCCCACACTGCGCCCAGCCCATCCGGCCCCGTGCCTGCGGCTCACGCTCCCCACTCCCTCTCTCTCTCTTCCAAGAGTCAGATCTACAGAAGCCATAATGCAGCCACCGGCTCCTTCCATGGGGACTTCACCTATGGTGCCTACAGCAGCAACTTCAGTGGCACTCATGGCTTTGCAGACTACGGTTACCCTGTGGACGCCTGGCCCTCTGCAGAGCAAGGTGCCGCCTGCCACCCACCTGGCCTCAGAACCAGGCAGTCTGTCCTGGGCTTCAGACCGAGAGCTTGACCTTGATCCTCCCTGTCCCCTCCCCTGGCTTGGATTGCAGTTGGCTGTGTGTCTGAGGGCCGCCTGCCTGTTGCCATGTATGCTGTCGCCAGACCAGGCAGTAAGCATGCTGGGAGTGGATGAGTGTTCAGGCCTGTGCCATCAGCCACCCTGTAACCTCCCCACCCAAGCGCTTGACCTAGTGAGGGCCAGCAGATGTGGTTGGCTAAGGCACCGCCTCAGCCAAATCCTTTTCCGCTCTGGTTCTGACCATTGCTTCTGCCAGGTGCTTTGCCACCATCTCAGTCTGAGGCCAAACTTGCCTTGATGCCCTGGGTAGAAAGTCAAAGCGGTGGGTTGGGGATAGGCACTCCAAGAAGTGACGAGCCACCTGTTTCATGTCCAACCAATCGAAATACAGTTCCGTCAAGACCGACGTCTCCTGAGAAGTTCTCAGTGCCACATCTGTGTGCCAGGTTTGGTCCCGGCGGTCAGCTCATCAAGGTCATCCCTAACCTGCCCTCAGAAGGACAGCCCGCCCTGGTGGAGATCCACAGCATGGAGGTAATGTGGGCCTGGGCCTGCGACTTGGCTGCCTCCGCCTTGCTTCTTGTCCTCCCGGGAGCTCAGCCTCAGGGAAACGGCCTCTCCTGGGAAGTAACCACGTGCAGAGTGTGGTATGCCTGTGTGGATCTGTGCTCCCAGAAGTCGGCATTTCAAGCAGATGCTTTGGGTTAGGCTTGGTGTCACCGTGCTCAGTCTTCCAGCTATGTTGCTAACATCTTGTCTCTGAGGATGTCGTTTGTGGGTGACTTTCAGTGTGGCGGGGCAGGGCTATGCCCTGCTTCAGTTCTGGGGGAAGAGTGTGTGCATGGGCCTCACTGCTTACCTGCAAACCCTTACTGGAGTCAGAGCTGTGCGGGGTACCCATGTGTGTGGCTGCCAGGCTGCCTCGGAAGCTTCCTGCTGTGCCTCTGTCCTTGCAGATCCTGCTGCAGCACACGCCAGAGCAAGAGGAGCTGCGCACATTCCCAGGGCCCCTGGGAAAGTGAGTTCTGGGGCATTGTGGTATGAGCTTGGCGGCAGTTGCCGGCTGGGCCTGGGGTCAGGGTGTCCGGGTTCACTGAATGCTTGTTCTCCTTACAGAGATGACACCCACAAAGTGGATGTCATTAACTTTGCACAGAACAAAGCTACCAAGTGTTTGCAGAATGACAGTCTGCTTGACAAAGCTTCTGCGAGTCTGCTGTGGAACTTCATCATCCTGCTGTGCCGGCAGAATGGGGTCTGTGCCCTGGGCTTCCACCACTATCGCCCACTGGCCTTAGCTTAGGGTTCACCCTGGCTGCAGCTGGCCATGAGGCGGCTCCTCTAGGACAGTGTTGCAGCAGCACCTGGGGGAGGTGGGTAGGAAGGGGATGGCACACAGGCGAGCTGGGGGTGGGTCCACGTGGCCACAGGTGGAGACCTCACAGGGACCTTGCCCTGCAGTCAAAGGGTGGTCCTGACCTCGTGCTGGGGGCTCTGTTGTGGGAACCCTGTTGTCACCCCCCATCCTGTCCCTGTCGGCCCTGCAGACTGTGGTGGGAACAGACATTGCGGAGCTCTTGCTGCGGGACCACAGGACAGTGTGGCTTCCTGGGAAGTCGCCCAGTGAGGCAAACCTGATCGATTTTACCAATGAGCCTGTGGAGCAGGTGGAGGAGGAGGAGTCTGGCGAGGCCCAGCTGTCTTTCCTTATGGATAGTCAAGTGGCCGCCACCTGCACTCTGGAGAAGGAGACCGAGAGGTTCCGGGAGCTGCTGCTATACGGCCGCAAGAAGGTACTCTGCCCATGGAGCCTGGCCAGGCACCTGTGGCTCAGCGCTGTGCAGCCTTTTGCCTGGATGCCTGTCTCTGCAGTGAGGTCCCCTGCTGGCTGCATCCAGATCAGGGCTTGTGGGCTCAGTCTCACATGTGTGAGCAGGGAATGCCGAAGCCCTGCTTGGCTGAGTCCTGCAGAGCCTCGGGACAACGGTGCACAGTGCACAGGAGACAGTTGAGCGTGCTTCATGGACAGGCGGGCCCAGGCCCCAGAGCCACATGCAGGCGTTGGCTCTATGGCCACTTCGACTTCGGGGGCAGAGTGGAGGAACCATGGTCCAGAGATGTGGGAGGGGTGATCCTCCAGAGCTGCCAGGAGCCGGCTTCACTGCCCTGGCCTCGAGGCTGTGCATGGCAGAGACATTAGCACCCAGAGCTTCTTATGATTGACTCAGAAAGCTGAGGTATTTGTTTTGTTTTGGTGAGACCTTAGAGCACTGTTCTCTTATTACATGAAGTACATCCCAACTTAGTTGTGTTTTTGAGATGGAGTTGCTGTACGATACCTAGGCTGGCCTTAACTCCTGGGTTCAAGTGACCCTCCTGCCTCAGCTTCCCATGTCACTGAGGCTACAGCATGCACCTAGGCCCATTGAAAGATCACTAGGGTTGGAATGGGGACATTGTACAGTGGTGGGGTTATGTGACCATTTGCTTCTGTAGACACTCACCTGCCTCTTGTGTTTTCCCCTGGCTGGAACGTTCGGGTGTGGGCTGTGTTCATGTGGTGTTGTGCCTGCTCATTTTTGGGGTACACATGTCATCACGATAGGGGGGTGGAGCCATTCTGTTCTCAGCAGATGGGTGGTCAGGTGGGGTGCTGCTGCCTGGCCCCTGCCCCGTCTGTGTCTTTATGCTGAGGTGGAGATAAGAGCAGTGTTCATGCTCCTCCCCCACCCTGGGGACTTGGAAACTAGGGCCAGTGAGGAGCAGTGACATTTCTGTCATTGCCAGCCACAGGGGATGTGCTCAAGTGGCCTGTTGGCTACAGTGTGGAGTAACTGATGGCTCTTGTGAGCCCTGAACTACTTTGCAGGACGCGTTGGAGTCTGCCATGAAGCACGGCTTGTGGGGCCATGCCCTGCTTCTGGCCAGCAAGATGGACAGCCGGACACATGCTCGTGTCATGACCAGGTGGGTGCTCCACTGCAGCCCGCTGTGCCAGGGCTAGAGCCTGCCCTGCCTGTCCTGGCAAGGTATTTTTCCATTTCTTATTAATTGCTGCTCCATGAAGCCACCCTGGCACCTCCATAGCGTTCCTAGACCCGAAAGTATGTGTCTCCTGAGGTGCAGCCTCTGTATGGTGTTGAGGGAAGCTGCTGGGACTAGGCTGGGTCTCTCAGGCAGACCCAGGGTCAAGTCTTTCTGTCTCATGTCTACCCAGGTTTGCCAACAGCCTTCCCATCAACGACCCTCTGCAGACAGTCTACCAGCTCATGTCCGGGCGCATGCCTGCCGCATCCATGGTGAGTGTCCATGTCCTCGGGGCTGAGCCTGGGCCTCTTGCCCTTGCTTTTCTGCGGACCCAGCCCTGAGGGTTTGCTTCTGTCTCTTTTAATTACAGTGCTGTGGAGATGAGAAGTGGGGGGACTGGAGGCCGCACCTTGCCATGGTTCTGTCCAACCTGAGCAACAATGTGGATGTGGAGTCCCGGACCATGGTCACAATGGGCGACACCTTAGGTGGGTCAGTGCAAGGTGGGCAGGCAGCTGGAGGGGCTGCACCAGGAGTGCTGGGGCCTTGGCTGCTGCTTGCCAGATGCCCCTGTCGGCTGTTTCTCTGGGGCTGAGCCAGCTGCTCCATGTCTTCCAGCCTCCAAAGGCCTCCTGGATGCCGCGCACTTTTGCTACCTCATGGCCCAGGTTGGCTTTGGGGTGTACACGAAGAAAACCACGAAGCTCGTCCTAATCGGCGCGAATCACAGGTGAGGCACAGTGCCACCTGGGGCGGTGTCTGCTCTCCTTTAAGGAGGAGTGGACCCTGTCCTGTAGTTCGTGTGGAGATCGTGGCCTTTGCCTGTATTAATTGCTTGCCACTTTTCCAATCTGAATAATTCACTTTCCCAACAGCTTGCCATTTTTGAAGTTTGCTACCAATGAAGCCATTCAGCGGACAGAAGCCTATGAATACGCACAGTCCCTTGGGGCCCAGACCTGCCCCTTACCAAGTTTCCAGGTGAGCAGGAGGGTGTGGGTGGCGGTCAGTGCTGACAGCTCTGGGACCATCCCTTGGGAGGCAGTTGATCCACGATGCTAGGAGCACAAAGCACACCAAAGTGAGGGTTTTTCCAGGTTGGCTGTGAGGCAGCACCACCTGTGATTCTGCCCCCTGGGAGGCTGAGGCAGGCTCACCGACAGATTAAACTATAGGGCTGCAGAGTGGACAGTGCTGCTCCAGATGCATGGTCACTGGGTTCAGTCCCCAGGACGCATGGCACAGGAGCTTAGCTGTGTGACCTTAGGACATCCCAGGGCTTGGTGATCAGTGCTGTTGGTGGCTGGCACAGGGGCATCGATAAGCAGGAGGTGGTAAACAGGTCACAGCATCAGGACCTTGTTAGGAAGGTAGGGGAGGCCTGAGGGCTCAGCCATGCACCCCGCTCTAGGTATTTAAGTTCATCTACGCCTGCCGCCTGGCCGAGGCGGGACTCGCCACCCAGGCCTTTCACTACTGTGAAGTGATCGCAAAGAGCATCCTGACGCAGCCCGATGCCTTCTCGCCAGTGCTGCTCGGCCAGCTGGTCCAGGTGGGTCTGGTACCGTCGATGAGGCTGCTGTGCTTCGGGTGGGGAGCAAGGGCCCAAGTTGCAGGCATGGGGTCATCGTCACCATCAGTGCTGGCTCTAGCAGGTGCCCAAGAACCTGCTGGGGCACTCAGTGCCCGGGCAGGTATTTTGTGTTTTTCAGTCTTGCGGTAGCAGGTACTGTATTCCAGTACAGCTCAGCGGTGAGTTTCAACATCAGGCGGACCCTGTGCCATTTGTATTGGAGCCATTTAGTCTGTATGACAGGGTTTGGGTCCAGGTCTCTTCTCACTCGTTTGATGGAAATGCATGGCCAGCCTGCCAGCCACCAGTGCTGGACACGTCAGGATGGTCCCTTCCCCAGTAGCTCTGTTTCTGAAAATGTGCCACGTAATAACGATGAAAATTTGAAATAGTAGAAATCTCTAGACCTACACGAAGTACAGATAGTGATTAAAGAATGCCCAGGGCCACTGTCTCCAGCAGTTATGCGTGCCAAACCTGTCTCACTCGTACCTGCCGTGTTCCCTAGTTATCAGCGAGTGTGCCCCTTCTCACAACTGAGCATGGGGTTGAGGGAGCCATGTGTGTGGAGCACCCCGCCTCGGGCTGCTCTGCTCACCCAGCTTCTTTTTTTTTTTGTCTTTTTCATTTTTATTGCTACCAGGGATCGAACTCACAACTGCCTGCTTGCAAGGCAGGCGCTTATGCCGCTGAACTAAATCCCCAGCCCCCTTTCACGCAGCTTTTTATCACACATGGTCACTTGCTTCCCACTGGCCACTGACCCAAAGGACAGACGTCACGGAGCAGTCTTCCTGGTGTTGCCCGGTGGTAACAAGGCTCTGTTTTGGGGGGGTTCTAGATGGCTTCCCAGCTGCGCCTCTTTGACCCTCAGCTGAAGGAGAAGCCTGAGGAAGAGTCTTTACTGGAGCCTGTGTGGCTGGTCCAGCTGCGGCACGTGCACAGGCAGATCCAGGTAGGTCCAGGCTCACAAGGCACAGCCCTCTGGGGACTGGCCAGGGTGGGTGACTAGGCACTTTCCTGTTGTTCCACAGGGAAGGTTTTTGAGCTCTCGGTGTAACCTCAGAAGTGTGTGTGCTCTTTGAGTCCCTCCTCCAGGATGGGCATCAAGTGGCTGCCTGAAGGGGGACACTCGTTCTAGTGGTAGAGAGAGGGCTTGCTGGGTGCCCACAGGCTACAACACCCTGTCCGCGGCACTTGCTTCTCCTCCCTTAGGAGGGCACTGTACCCTGCAGCCAGGATGGAGCTGAGCCCCAGCAGTGTCCCAGCACACTGGGCTCTGAGGCGGAGCAGCTGGACGGCCCTGGATTCAGCCAGCTGGTGGGGCTGGGGGCTGAGCCCTCCCCACTGTCTGGGCCAGAGCACCTGAGCCCAGGCGGGCAGCCACCACTCACAGGTGGGTCCTGTGGCAGCCCAGCCTGCCCTCTAGGGCCTGCTTTTGTCTTTCTGCGTAGAGGGTGGAGATGCCGTGGGCCAGTGGGTGTCAGGCCTCCTTGTTCTCTCCTTGCTCTCTGCTTCTGCCCTGCTCTCAGAACTGGCCATCACTGGTGCCCTGCCCCGCTGAGCTGCCTCTCAGTGCTGTACCTCTGCAGCCTCGAACCTGCCTCGTCAGGATAGGGCTCCCGCCGCCCACCTACATCTTGTTTCTCCTGTCCACCTTGTCTTGGGAAAAGTCATCCCTTTCCTCTCATTTTCATTCCTCATCTTTGCTTGGTGGCATGTGCACCTTTCCTGCCTTGCCCACCTTCTTACTCCTGCCCACCTGCAGAAGGACAAGTCCTCAGCCCTACAGACTGTGCCTCCTACACCGGCCCTAGTGCGGTGCCCTCAGTCAGATGCCACCCTCCCCCACCTGCAGCTCTCCTCAGCGTTTCCTCTGTCAGCTTGTGTGGTTCTTCCCTCATTAGCCTGTTTTGTTGATTGAGACGGGATCTCACCAGCTGCCTGTGCTGGTCTCAAACTCCTAGGCCCAACTGATCTCCCTGGTTCAGCTTCTCAAGCCACTGGGGTGACAGATACACACTGCTGTGCCTGTTGCCCTGTTCTGTCACCTGTGCAGGTGGGGCCCAGTGTGTGCTGGCAGGCACAGGCCCCTGCTCATGGACAGGGTGGCTGTGGGTGTGTTGATGCCGTGGGTAGCCTGTGACTCCTGTTGCTGGAGGAGAGGACTTGATGACCAGCAGGGTTGTGGGCCCTGTGGCCACACAGTGGCCTGCGTCAGCTGTGCTAGGGTAGAGCCCAGGTCCAGGGTCTACCCTGCCACCACCCCAGGAAGTAAATGTGCCTTTGCTGCATCCCAGTGGCAGGGGTATTCCCAGCACCCCAGTCAGAGTGGCTGCACAGAGTGATGGGGAAGAGATGTGTTGTCCATGCTGTGCCTTCAGCTGCTTCAACCTCAGTGACTGCTTTCTTTTCCACTGTCCCCACAGCTTCGCAGGCTCTCTCTGGTGGCCAGCCACCCCACCCTGCTAGGGTGCCAATGTTCCCAGTGTCATCGCCCTTGGGCACTCTGGAGCCAGGTCCTGGCTATGGACCCCCAGGGTCTGCACTTGGCTTCCCAGAGCTCCTTAGGCCTGATCCTGTAGCTCTGTACCCAGGACCAGGCCTGCCACCTGGCACCCCGTCTCTGCAGGACAATGGCCCCCTGCTACTGGCCCGGAGTCCCGACCCAGGTGCGTCTGCCAGGTGCTGTCCTGAGTACAGAGCCAGGCTGGATTTGGCTCCAGGGGACTAGAGGCAGGGACTGTGTCGCCCAGAAGTTCTAGGAGTTACAGCAGGGTGGTTTGTTATTCAGGGAAGCGTCACAGCAGTTCCGGGTGTATTGAGAGAGTCTTGTGTATCTGTTGGGTCTGTCCCCAGGCTGTCCTGGTAAATTCCTCTGTGGAGAGATGGGCTTCCACCCTTGGTTGGTGCCCACCTCTCTGGATCGGTGTGGACAAAGGGAGGGAATCACAGGCCTGGCAGGTTCTCTCAGAGGGAATCACAGGCCGGTTTCAGACACCAGCCCTGTGTGCCCTGGCCCAGGCCACTCTCGTCTCCCCACTGAGTGCCCTGCCCCTCCCACATGTCACAAGGTCCCTGGTGTCATGGCCACTCTCTCCTGTGTTAGCAGGGACGGCGCCGCAGGAGTCACCTGTCAGGAACTCACTCCCCGAGCCCAGTGAAGAGGATCTTGGAAATTTTGCTAATCTGGTACTTTACCGCTTCTTTTTTTCAAAGTGTGCTTTCTAAAAAGCTGATGGAGTAGGTAGGTTCTGCAGCGTGAGTAGGGAGATAATGAAGGTTACAAAATTACCTTCTAATTTGTACTTAAAGTCACTTCAATCCTTAAAGTAGGAAGCTAGTGAAAATGTTGATAGGAAAAGGCAGGAAGAGAGAGCTCAGCAGTGGAAAAGCAACTCCCTTAGCTAAGGTGGGAGAAATAGCCCGGGAGAGTGGGAGCAGGCAGTGCTCTGGAGCGGAGCCCGCCCCGGTCTTGTGCACCAGAACCTGTTTTCATGGACTGCTCTGAGGTTGCCGCTCATCTTAGCCATGTGTTGGGAGCTGCTGGGCGGGCACCTGGCCCCAGCGGGCATGGCATTCACCGGCCCCAGCTCTGGTGTGGGGGTGCATTACAGTGCCATGGTTTCAGACATCCTGCCCATGCCCATTCTTGAGTGTGGACAGCAGTGTCATCACCAGAAGTAGCAGCTTTCAAAAAGCTTTTGATTGGTTCAACCTCTCGAAGTGGGCTCTGAATGACCACGCCCTCCGATCTTACTTTCTGCTCTGACTGCCCGGTCCCACCCTCCATGCCTTCTGGTGCCCTCTCCCGGCTAGCAGTACCCATCTAGGGTATCACAGCACTCCTGGTGGGAGTTGCTTGTTAACCACGGTGGCCTCTTTCCTCTTTGCCTGCTGCACTCAGAAACCCTGGGTGGTCCGCCCTTGCCACCTTTCCTCTCCAGGAGCCTCAGGAGAGCCAGTCCCATGCTGTCTTGGGACAGGGCTCCCCGAGGACGGCCCAGGACCTGGAGAAGCCCCCAGCCTGGGACAGTGTGGGCCCAGGATCGCCAAAGCCTGCTCCGCCTCTGATGTCTGTGTCTGAAGTCAAGAGAGCAGCCCCAGCCCCCATGAAAGAGACCAAAGAAGCCAAGAAGGTAGAGCAGGGCCCTTGGGGAGCCCTCCGGCTGGGCAGGGGAGGTGCTCTGGGATCAGCAGAGTGGGCAGCTCCTCTGGGGAGGACTGCTGTCTGCACGGCAGGGGTGTTGGCACAGCAGCTGTCAGTGAGGACTTCTCCAAACTCCAGAGCCACCTCACACCACCTGTGGCAGCATTGGCCATGTGTGTGCTGTGGGCCACGGTGTGCGGATGGGCTTGGCCTGGTGTGGCAGCCCAGCCACATGAGTGCCTGCCTGTCTGTCTGTAACTCGGGGCCCCAGTGCCCACTGCTGTGGGACTTCTATCCCAGGGAGGAGTGTTTAGGGGCCATCATGCACGTTCCACTTGGGTGTCTGCTGTGCGGCTCACACACCTGTGGAGGAATACCCTTCCTGTGGCCCAGCTTCCTGGAGCCTGGCACACAGGGGGCGCCATGGGGTTCACTTGTGCCCAGGCAGTCTCGGTGCAGGGCCCCTTGGCAGATACTTGTTCCCTCTCCACCCTTGCATAGCCCTTGCTCCAGTCTTTAGCTTTCTTAAAAGCTTTTATTTGCATTACTGGGGGCTCAGACCCAGGGGTACCACTGAACTATATGTCCCAGACTATTTTGGTTTTTAAATTTATTTATTTTTTGAGGCTGGGTATCCCAGGTAGGCTTTCCACACCACCATTCTCCTACCTTAGCATCCCAAGGCTGGGATCACAGGTGTGTCACCACCCTGCCTTAAACTGTGAAGGAGTGTACCTGCCTGCCAGGCCCCAGCAGCAGGGCCTGCAGGTGTGTGCCACCATATCCAGCTGCCACCTTCGTCCTTAGTGGGTTGCCATATCATCTGTGGGAGTGCTTCCTGGCTTGGGGGTACAGGTCCTGGTGAGGTGGACACAGATGGATTTGGTACCTTCCATACACAATGGTGCCTTTGGAGAGGGTCCAGTGCATCAGGTTGTTGTGTGGCAAGTGTAAAAATAAACGCATGTTTACTTGAAAATAGGGAGTTTGAAGAGAGTCACACAGAACTTCTGGTAGCTTTGAGAGTAACAGTGTTGACCTCCCAGGACATGTCATCTTTCTGGCCAGTTCTTAGAAAAACAGAACGGGAGCAGGACACGGTGGCACAGACTTGTAATGCCAGCTGCTCGGGAGGCTGAGGCAGGAGGATGGTGGTGTGGAAGCCTACCTGGGATAGGCAGGAGGCAGAAGAATGTACCTTCGAGGCCAGCCTGCGTAATTTAGCAAAACCTTGTTTTGTAATAAAGGTGCTGAGGAGGTATCTCACTGGTAGAGGGCCTGCTTAGTATGCATGAGGTCCTAGGTTTATCCCAAGTAGTAGAGAAAAGAGAAAAGCAGAGAATTGGTGGTGTCTGTGGCTGCTGTTTGCTCCTTTTTGATAGAAACAGAGCCCCACATGTGGGATGCAGGTCCATTTCCTCCACCAAGACTCTGAACGAGACACTGGGAGGCTTTGCTTCAGAGCTCCTCTAGCTCTGCTGCCTGCCTGTCCACAGTGAGGAGAATTCCTGGGTGTGCCTGTGGCTCACCCCTAAAGGCTGTGCTGCTCCTCTGAATTTGTTTCTCGAAGATGAGCCTGGGCCGGGGGGTGTAGTAGAGGGGTGAGTGCTTGTCTGGCTTTAGAGAGGTCCCAGAACCAGGGAAAGTGGGGAGCACACACAGGGGTATGTGTGGGGGGATGTTTGTGCCTCCCATGTGTGCAGTTGCTTCTCCGCCTTCCCGAGACCAGCCGTGATGTCTGTTACCCATCTGACACCTGACGTGGTCTCTATCTGAGGACTGTGTGTAGGTGGAGTTGGGAGCCCAGAGACGGAAGGGATATCGCTCCTGCCCCTCCCCTCAATGATGTAGGATTTCGGCTTTACCAGGACAGTGCCCCCTGCTCCCCATCTGATTGCAAACATAAAACACTCCCCACCCTGTGCCAAGTGCACAGTGTGAAGTAGAAGAGACCCCTTGCCAGTCCCGGAGCTTCCCATTCTCAGGTTGAGGTGCCGATTAGGCCCTGACACCACATTCTGGCTCCAGATCTGGCTCCAGATCTGGGGGGCCTGTGGCACTGCAGCTCAGGGAGTCTGAATGGTTCTCGTGTAGAGTGAGTCCTGGTTTACGCGCTGGCTCCCGGGGAAGAGGAGGACGGAGGCATACCTGCCGGATGACAAGAATAAATCGGTGAGCGTTCCAAGCGCGGTCCCCACAGTCAGAACAGTTGTTGGGACAGGCCTCATCAGGCTCGGGCTGCGCAGAGCTTCAGCCTGCTGATTCTCCCTTCAAATCCTGGCAGATCGTTTGGGATGAAAAGAAAAACCAGTGGGTGAACTTAAACGAGCCGGAAGAGGAGGTACGATGTGGTCTTGAGTGTTCCCACCTGTGTTCCAGAGCTGATCCCCTTGGGAGTTGGGGTGGGGGGGGGGGTGGTGTTTAGGGTATGGGCGGGCATCTGATTATCTCTCCCTCTGCAGAAGAAGGCTCCACCCCCGCCTCCCACAGTGTTTCCCAGGGCCCCCCAGGGGGCTCCCCCTGGGACCGGCGGGGCCCCCGCTGCCTCAGTGAATGTGTTTTCCAGGAAAGCAGGTAACAGTATGTGTGTGTGGCATGGGGGGTGGGGACTGGGGCTGAGGGTGAGTGGGGTGGTGGAGGCGAAGCCCCGGACCAGCACCCAGCTCTGGCACAGGGTGGCGCTGCTCCTTTTGTGTCACTGGCCTGTGGGTGAGGGAGCACCTATCCCCCATCACGATCCTGGGGGGGCATCCTGTGAACATGCACCCCTCCCCAGCAGGCGGTTCCAGAGCGCGCTACGTGGACGTCTTGAACCCAGGCGGGCCCCAGCGCAGTGAGCCCACGCTTGCTCCTGCAGACTTCTTTGCTCCCCTCGCCCCACTGCCGATCCCTCCTAACTTGTTTGTACCAAACCCAGGTAGGCAGCAGTGGATGCAGCAGGCTAGTCTGCCGGGCCTGCATCCTTCCGCCCTCACCCTCTTTCCGCTGACTCTGCCCAGGTCCCGATATGGGCTCAGAGGATCCCTGACCCCCAGAAGCTCTCCTGTCCCTGGCTATGGGACAGGACACCCCAGCGTCAGGTGTGCAACAGCTCCTGCCCTTTTCTCTGACAGACGCAGAGGAGCCGCAGCTAGCCGACGAGGCTGGCAGTGGGGGCCAAGTGCCAGCTGGGGCACAGGCCGATCTGGAGCCCACAGAGGACCCCAAGGTAGGTGGACACAGTGGGAGAACCTTCAGGTGTCCCCTTTCCTCTGTATGAGGGGCCCAGGCTGTACACACACATGGGCTGTGCTCTCCGTGTTTAAGGCTTCAGATTGTGACAGTTGACACGGTGTGGGAGGGCAGGGGACAGTGTCCCTTGAGAGGTGGAAGGCATAGTGGTCACCTGACAGGCCATGCTAATGCTCAGACTACGCCAAGGAAGGCTTGAGTGGAAACTTTTTATGTATATATATTTTATCATGGCTGTTAAAAATGAGAAAAAAGGGGCCAGGGATTCAGCTCGGCGGCATAAGCCCTGCCTGGCAAGTTTGAGGTCATAAGTTCGATCCCTAGCAAAAAAAAAAAAAAGAAAAAAAAAAAAAAAAAAAAGAGAGAGAAAAAATGAAATTACTCCAAGTTAAAAAGGAATTTCTTAGCAGCAGTGGAAGCTGGACACAGTGTGTTTTCCTCTAGAAAGGATGGGTGAAGTCCTTCGTGGAGCAGAGCTGCTTGGGCCTAATGCTGGGCATGGGGTCTAATATCCCTCGCTCCTCCTATGACACTGCCGTCCCTCCCCCAGCAGCTTCCCCTTCCCCTGGGAGCCACAGTGGTGTACCATTAGGAAAAGGATGTCCTGTCAGACTGGGGCCCAGAACCCACAGGCAGACAGGGGGTCCTGGGGAGGCGCCCTGGTGCTACTGCAGAGGAGCCAGGGCTGTGGTGGCCTGCAGCCTGGCCAGTCTTTCTGCCTGGTGCAAGAGACTTCAGCTCCCTGGGTTTGGATCACTGTCACATCCACGTGTCCTTGGCAGGTGTTGAGCTCGGCAGCATTGCCCCCTGGTCTTGAGCTCCTGCCCTCCAGACTGGACAGCACTCAGGGTGGAGAGGTAGGGGCCCTGAATAAACGCCTTCCCTCAGTGCCTCCTGGTAGCTCTTCTCTGCCCAGGGGCCTCGCCCATTAGGAACTAAGGAATGAGAACTAAGGAAGCTGAGGCAAGAGGATTGCAAATTCAGCTTAGCAGAGCCCTGGGGATGTAGCTCAGTGTGAGGGTCCGAGGTCCAGACCCTAGTACTGCAGAAAACAGACAACCCTGAGAAAGTCTGTGAGAAACACAACGCTGTGGGAAAGAGTGGGATACAGCTTCCCTGCTGTTCCCTTGAACACCACGTGGGGACCCCCTTGCTATGTCATAGTCTCCCAGTGTGGCTTGAGTGCCCTGAATTTTGAAGCTGGTGTGACCTGGAGCTGTCTCCAGGCAAATGGGCCTTTCCTGACGCAGCTGTTTGTAGAGGGCTGTGGGCTCGCAAGCCTCTCCCTGCAGTGCCACGCCCCTGCCCCGACCTGGGATTGCTGTCCGCGCTGGTGGTGCAGTGCTGGCCGGCATGCTGATGCCGCCTGTCTGTGCTCTTGCTGTCCGCAGCTGTCACGCTGGAGCTCGGTGAGCTCGCTGTCCCGGGAAGTGGGCCAGCACTTCCAGCAGGTACTGGCTGCCAGCCTTCCCGCGCGTCCCAGGTCCCCTCGCTGCCCTGCCTGACCCGAGCTGCACACCTCTGAGATGTAGTGTCCCTTTCCTGAGTGGCCCTTGTGGGTTTGGCATTAATGCCTGGTGCCCCAGTGACAACACTGACCTCACGGAACAGAGGAAGCACAAGCGTCCTTTGTCATTCTGCTCCAGGGCTGGCATCCCAAGCGCTGTCCTACAGCCTGGTCACTTTGTTCCCTGGGGCAGGACATTTGTCCAGAGGAAGTCATCTTCCTGTTTCAGGGGAAGTCATTCTGGTCAGTAGGAGTGACCTGCGGCCATCCTGGCCATCCAAGGAGTCAAGAAACACCCCATTTTTGGCCTGTGTTATGGGCTTAACGGAAAGGCCCACAGGGCCATTGGTGACCTTTTCTGGTCACACTTGAGGCCTAACTGCCAGGCGACGCTGACAGGGCTGTGCCCGTGCCTTGTCTGCATGTGCTAGTGTCTGAAGCATTTCACTACTCATGCCACTCGGATTTCTGTTGTTACTTGTGAGCCACCTGACATCCAGTGTCATCAGCGCTGTCCCCAGTCTTCTCCGGGCCTGCCTAAGAGCATTTCAGCCTTCCTAGGGCAGCCCTGTCTATGGGGCAACAGCACTGTGCCATGATGCCGCCCTGAGTGACTTCTCTGCTTCACAGGCTCCCAGTGACCTCCGTGCTGCAGGGGCTCCTTCCAGCAGGGGCATGCCCCTCTACAGCCACACTCAGGTGGCCCAGGTGAGTGGCCCTGAGTGGATGGCCAAGTGAGTTTTTTTGTCCCATGTTTTTTCTTCTTCACTCAAGCTACACCCACAGGTGTGTGAGGAGGCTCGGTCACCAGTCCCCGCTCCTGTGCCGCTACCTGTCCCTCCCCGCTGGGGTTCCCACCACTGTCCCCGCTGTCTGCTCCCATCACTGCTGCTGGGCTCTGCAGTTCCTGGCCTTTGCTCATACCCCCAACCTCAAGGCCTCCTGCCTGGCGCTGGTATATGTCAGTGAGCACCGCTGTTCCCTTGGGCTGCAGGAGTGGGCCGTGTGACTTCCCTGAGTTGAGTGTAGTGGCCATGTGGCATCCACTGTGTTGGGGCTGGGGCATTGCCTCCGGCCAGGAGGCCACAGCCCAGCACTGTACTCTGTGGCCCTTTGCACCCGCTGTGGGATCCTTCACAGCCTCTCCAGGCTGACCTGCATCTTGGTGACACACCTTCTAGTGGGTTCTTGACACGGTACACAGCTATCTGGGAGGTGACCCTTCCATGCCCCTCTTGGGCAGGGGACAGCAGTGCCCTTGCTGTCCTGGTGCTGGCAGAGGCTGGGCGGGGCCACCTGTGGGCACATACTCTCTTCTGAGCTGGAGATGTTTGGCCCTGTGGCTGTGTCCTCCTCTCCAGCCTGAAGGGACACCTGTGACCTTACAGCCCACACTGTGGTAGACTGGCCCGCGGTCGGGGTGTGCTGCCTCAGGAAGCAGGGCTGGGTGGGTCTCACACCTCGAGTGTGCGGTTTACTCCACCTGACCTTGCAGACCTGGCCTCTGCCGCTGACCGGCAGTGAGACTGAGACCCCGGTTGCATCTGGGTTGCCATCTGTGCTTTGTAGCTTCCAGATTGAGATGTCCTCAGTTCTTCCCTTCCTTCCCCTTCCCTCCCCTTCCCTCCCTCCTTCCCTTCCTCCTCCCTCCCCTCTCTTCCCCCTTCCTTCCTTCTGTTTCCCCCCCACCAGTGGTTTACCTTGTTACGATGTCAGGTCTCTTGAGGGAGGAAGGGCAAATGCTGGCCTCACCACCATCCAAACTGCTGTCCCTGCTCCCTGCAGTGAAAGATAGGCCACCATCTATCCGGGTTCTCTGGACACTGCTGGGCCAGCCCTGCAGGACTGACCTAAAACATGACCTCTGTGGCCCTGTTTGCCCGGCACCGCTGATGCTCCAGGCCCAGTCCCGTAAACCGAAGCCTGGGGCTGAGTCACCAGCACTCAGCCTTGGGGCCCCCCGCCCCCCCTGCACATGCACTGTTCCCACCGTGCTCTGTGTGGAGCCCACCACCCGACAGCCCCTGGGGTTTGCCCCCCAGGGTGACACGCAGAGCTCAGCGCTGGTCCTTTCACTGCAGGCCTCCACCAGCTCAGGGAGCCCACGGCCCGGGAGGATTGGCCAACGGAGGCACCCGGCACTCAGTTAGCACGGTCCGTCATCTGCCTTGCCTTGTGGTTGGGCCCCTGAAGTGACTGCTGTTTGCCAGGAGCCAGGCAGGCGGCTCAGGGTCGTGTGGCCCCCGAGTGGACACTGCAGGGACTCAGCCAGCCGGTCATACTGTGCGCCTCCCTCCCCCAACCTGTCTGTACTCGCTATTGCAAGGTTAATTCCACTGGCCTTTTCGGATACTGAGTGCGCGACTGTGACTCGGACTTCTTCACGTGAAGGATGGTCTCCTTCCTCAGTTGTCTAGGATGACTTAGGGACGTGGTTCTCACAGACACCTTGGGATAGTCCTCAAGGGCAGCCTGGGCCTGGCGCGGTCCCGCACCTCCTCCTAGGGTCTCGGGAGGAAAGAGCACCAAGAGTGGCTGGGCTGACCACTGCGCTCCCATGGTTGGCAGCAGCTGGCCCAGCTGTCTGTCTCTGGGAACAGAGACCCGTGCTGCCTAACTAGGGCCAGGCAGCTCCAGGTGTCTAAGTGAGGGTGTGGCATTGTCTGCTGCAGCATCGGGAGCTTGAGCAGCTGCTCTGGCTCCCTCCCAGGCCCAGCCTGCAGGTGCCTGTCCTGGAGGCCCAGAGGAGCGCGGGCAGAGCGCAGAGCTGCAGGGCAGCGCCACCAGGCCCCAGGCTGCTCGTAAAACTTCTCACTGACTACAGGACTGAGGACATTTATGAAATCAGTAGGTAATAATTAGGTTCTGCGGGGGATGGTGTCAACGGTTTGTTTGGTATTTGAAGTAGAGCAGCGGTAGAATGTGAATTAGCACAGCCTTCCCCGGTAGCCCATTCACCTCATTCTCCAGGCCAGACCCAGAGCAGTTTCTAGAATGTTCCACAGACAAGGCCATTTGGACACCCCTGGCCTGTCACTGGGAAGGCATCCCCCACTGGGCCGGGACCCTGACTTCTGGAAGTCCTGCCCAATCCTGCCCAGGCTCTGCGTCAGCTACCAGCCACTTTTGATCCAGAAGCTTCCTCCAAGGTGGGAGCTGTATTTTTCCTGAATGTAAATTGTTAAATAAAATATTTTGGGCTCTCAAGCACCTTTCCCTGTGGTGTCATTTTTTTAGAGGCGAATGAATTCCCGGGTGCTCAGGACCGCTGGTGTGGGCCTGGGTCTGGGGTGCTGGGGCCAAGAGAAAGGCGCCAGTTGGGGGGGGAGGCGGGGGGGCGGGACTCCATCCGGGGGCGGGGCTCTTGGAGCCTGCCATCGCAGCGCGGTCTTCCAGCCGCCAGGCGCCGCTGTGCACGGAGCGGGTATCCTCTGGGCGGCCCGGCGTGGGCACGTTCGTTGCTCGGGGCGCCGTGTCCACGCTGACCCTGCTCTCGGCCGGAGGGGTAAGGCCCCGAGAGCGGGCTCAGGTGAGTCGCACCCCGGTGACCTCCAGCGAGCGGGGGGGGGGGTGTCCTTGGTAGGCTTCCGGCATCGCCCGGGCCACTGGCTCTGTCGCCTCGCCGCGACCTCCTTCAGGGATGGCGGGCGGCCTCAGACGACCCAGGATCCTAACGGCACTTTTTTGGGTTCTCTCCAGGGCTCGCGGGGACCGGGACCCAGGATGCGGTCTCCGGGACCCGAGAGCGCCTTCCACGACCTCTGATCGTGCCTCCCTGATTTGGCTTTCTTTGGGCGGCTGCTTCCCCAAGGCTAGGTCCGTGGACCATGCGGTCCAAGGCCGTGTGTCTGCGTCACACCACGGCTCCCGGGCAACTGGAGGCTGGGATGCTCAAAGGGCAGCTTCCCACCCCAGCCCAGGAACTGTGCCCGGGGACTCTGCCTGGTGCCTGCTATGAGGCCCCCGAGGACGGCCCCACTCTCCCCCGCAGCGATCGCTCCAAAGTGGACAGCGAAACCTCGCCGGCCACCGCGGCGGAGCCCCTCATCCCACACCCCCCAGCGCGGCCCAGGCTGGAGCGAGCCCTGTCTCTCGATGACAGGGGCTGGAGGAGGAGGCGCTTCCGAAGCAGCCAGGAGGACCTGGCCTCCCGAGACGGGGCTGGCCCCAGCGAGGGCTCCATGCAGAATGCACCCTGCAAGGCTCCCGGCCGGCGTTCCCCGCTGCCCTGCCTGAGCACGTCCTTGCAGGAGATCCCCAAGCCCCGATGGGCCTCGGGCAGCGCGGGAGGCAGCCCGACCTCCTGGGGCGACCGGCTCTCTGGCATGGTCAGCACCTCCTTGGATCTCCTGCACAAGGAGGCCACTCTGGCTGGGGGCTCCCCCAGGCTAGCAAGCCTGCACACCCCACGCCCACCATCCTCAGAACCTGCTATGGCCTCCGACACCCTGAGGACTGCAAGCCGGTTGGACTCAGAGCAGGGCGACCGCAAGCAGGGCACACCAACTAGGCTGGTCCGCACCCACAGCAGCCTGGGCCCTGGCCGGCCCCGGAGTCCTCTCACCTGTGATGACCACTCGCTGCACTCAGCCAGGTCCTCCTTCAGCCTACTGGCCCCCATCCGCACCAAGGATGTCCGTAGCAGGTAGGGCTTCCCCCCTCAGCGCCGCCTCCCCCCTCAGCGCCACCTCCTGCAGCACGTCTCAGCCCCTGCACGTCTCACTAGGATGTGCCTGGCCCAGGGACCCTAGGCAGGCACCTCCGGCCTCAGCAGTGTTGTCCAGCATCCTAGTCCTCAGCCTGTGCCTGCCCACGAGCTCCCCTTTTACTCCGGTCTTTTCCTGGGCTCAGGCCTCAGCCCTCAGCCCTCAGCCCTCAGCGTTCGTGTGGCCCAGCAGGGTCTGGCCTGCGTGGGTTTACACAGTGGGTCATAGCCCTCCCAACTCTGCAGGCAGGGCTCCTGGCCTTTCTCACACGGTCTGGGGGACCCCCTCCTATCCAGCTGCATCTGTTCACTTGTATTCCGTCCATGATCTCAGGGCACCCTAAATCCCAGGTGACCCAGAGATCTAATCAGTTTGTCCGCCTGAGGGCCTAGGGTCCCCTTGGCCCCTGCAGTCCCACAGGTTGCCTGAGGGCAGCTGCAGAGGCCTCTGTACCACCGCCAGGACCCAGCCTGCTGCTCGAACGGCCTGCACCACAGCTGTGGTGGAGTTTGAGTTTGTTAGTCCCTCCTCTCCCTCTGTCTCTCTCTGTCTCTCTGTTTCTGTCTCTGTCTCTGTCTGTCTGTCTGTCTCTTTTTTTTTTTAGCAGTACTGAGGAGCAAACCCAGCTCTTTGCAGTGTATATTTTGAGACGTGGTCTCACTAAAATGCCCAGGTTTGAGCCTGATGTCAGATGTGCTTCGCCAGGCCAGGTTTAAGAATCAGGATCTTTTTTCAGAAAAGAGGCCAAAGGTTTTTTTAGTGAACTGAGGTTGGAACAAGGTCTAACCGGCCTTGAAAAACACAGGTTTTCCATAGACTGATGTTGACTGACCATTTTTGAGACCTTGGAGGAGAGTGGTAACACAAGAAACAGGACAGACACATGAATAGAGACCTAGCTGGGCAGTGGCAGCAGTGTGGGGCCCTGCGGGTGGGCGACCAAACTCCAGGAGCAGCTGCTGCACGTGAGTGTCTCCTGTCACCCTGTCACCCACAGCATGACCTCTGCTGTGGCTTGTCCTCCCATGCAGGACCCAGAGGACAAAATGACCAGGGAAGAGTGACCTTGAGGTCGTGTCCACAAGGAGTCAGGGGCACTGTGTCCCCGTAGTAAGAGACAGTGTCTCCCTAAGAGACAAAGTTCCTCTCTGCGGCACCTGGGCCGCAGCAGGTAGCCCGGCTGGGCCAGTGTCCTCTGAGCTGGCTGCTCTGCACTGCTGTCTTGGCCTGGCACAGGTGTTCCCGGGTCCCCCGAGTCCTCACCTGGATGAGGGAAGACGTCCAATCACGTGTCCCCAGCACGTGTACACCTGTGGAGGCCGTACATGGGTTGAACTTCATGGGACAGACCATCAGGTCTTTCAGCAGATGGTGACTTGGGGAAAGCAGGAGCCATCATACAGGCCTTGTTTTTTAGTGTCTCCCTAGGAGTTCAGACCCGCCTTATACTCACTATGAAGCCCAGGTTGGCCTCCGCCTCACGAGAGTCCTCCTGCGTCAGCCTCCCCCCAAGTGCTGGGATTACAGGTGTGCGTGCCACTACACCCAGCTGTTATAGAATTAGAGACACAGAGGCAGAGCAGCTTTGGAGTGGACATTGCCCGGTCCTCGTGGGGAGCACTTGTCCTTGGCCCTGGCCCGCCAGCCATGCAGTGGGAGTGATGGCCACTGTTTCACAGTGGGCTGAGCTGTCCCGCTGCAGGGGCTGGAGGGCGGCAAGCACCTTGCACCTCTCAGTGTACACCAGTTGTCCTTCCAGCTGGGTGTGGCCAAGCCAGGGGTGTGGAGGTGTGTGGCCAAGGCTGTGCCTGGGTGCGCACAGCGTCCCTTCCAGGGATGCATGTGTCTTGGGCAGACTTAGCACATGGACTGCTGGTTTCAGACATCTGCCCATTTTCCTCACGGCTTTGTTTTCTGTGCTAGAAGTTGAACCTGAAGCCTCTTACATGCTAGAAAAGCCCTGTGCTGCCGTCCGCAGCCCTTTCTGTTTCATCTTCCACAGTGCCTCCTTAAGCTGCCCAGACTGGCTCAGACTTGCAGTCTTCCTGCCTCGGCCTCTTGAGGAGTAGGGTGACATGCATGTTTGGAGAGGGGTGTATTCACTTGCAGCGTTTCCTTTTCGACCGCCCTTCCCCAGGGCCAGTCCCAACCTGCTCAGGACACACCGGTCTGCAGGTCTTCTGTGGCCTCCCAGATGTCACCTGTGGGGCAGCCACATTGCTGCCCTTGGGTCCCTCCCAGCGGTGTGAATCCTGTTGTGTCCTGTTGTGTCAGCTGTGCTGCTCCCGGATTTGGACTCCATCCCAGCCTTGCCTTATACCACTCTCTCCACAGGAGCTACCTGGAGGGCAGCCTGCTGGCCAGCGGGGCCCTGCTGGGCGCGGAGGAGCTGGCCCAGTACTTCCCCGACCGCAGCATGGCACTCTTTGTGGCCACCTGGAACATGCAGGGCCAGAAGGTGAGTAGCAGGCAAGGCCCTGCGCCCCAGGAGTTGACGCCTGCCCAGCCCGTCACAGCCCTGACATGGGGCACCAAGGCGGAGGCGGGCAGAGGGCACTACCTGGGAGCGGGTGCCACAGCAGCCCGCAGCCACAGCCTGGGAGGTGGGAAGAATTAAACCAAGGTGGGTGGCGTGCACATGGGCACAGGCTCCTGGGGTCCATGGGCAGATGCCGCTTGGCACAGTCTTGGTTGCCTGTGTTCAGAGGTGACGCTGGGGAAACAGCCAGGGTGGCAGATCAGCAACCCCAGCTCCTCCCTAGCCTACTGGGGGCCGCCCGCCCTGGCTGACCACACTGCTTCCCTGTAGGAGCTGCCACCCAGCCTGGACGAGCTGCTGCTGCCCCCTGAGGCTGACTATACCCAGGACCTGTATGTCATTGGCGTGCAGGAGGGCTGCTCTGACAGGTAGTGGGGGACCACGGCCCCAGCCAGAGCACGGGAAACAAGGGGCTTGGCCCTCTGCAGAAGAGGGGTTGATGGGGAGCCCCTCCCCTGCACTGCTGGGCATTGAGCCAAAGCCCTGCACCCTACGCCCTGCGCTCCACACTGCATTCCCCAGGCCTTTTTTAGTTTTTTCATTTTGAATCAGGGTCTCATTACATGGCCCAGACTGAACTCACACTTGTAGTCCTCCTGCTTCAGCCTCCCAGCGTCCTGGAATGATAGGTGTGGGCTGCCGCAGCTGGCCACAATGCTGGCTTCTTGTGAGGCTGTTCTGGGGTCATCCTGAAGGGTGTTCCTGGCCCACGCACCCTGGCAGCACCCTGTGGCACGTGAGGAGTCTGGGGGCTGTTAGGGGAAGCAGCCCCTATCACAGAGCTCTTTTTTTTTTTTTTTTTTTTTTCTTTTTCGTTTTTATCGGTACTCATGACTGCCTGCTTGCAAGGCAGGCACTTAAGCCACTGAGCTAAATCCCCAGCCCCATCACAGAGCTCTTATGGGGCCAGGACTCCAGAGGGTCTCAGTGGGGTGCAGTGGAAGCGCCCTGGTGGGTTTAGGGACTCGGGACGTGCACTGTCAACACAAGGAATAGGGCCTGCTGCTCCCAAGTGCTGACCCGCGGCCCCTGATGGCTCCTCACATGGCCAGGCCCAGTCACAGGGGCCCCCTGCTTCCCAAGCCGGCCCTACACCCCATGCTTCACACTCCACAGGCGGGAGTGGGAGACCAGGCTGCAAGAGACGCTGGGCCCGCGCTATGTGCTGCTGTCCTCGGCGGCCCATGGCGTGCTGTACCTGTCCCTGTTCATCCGCAGGGACCTCATCTGGTTCTGCTCAGGTAAGCCCCATGCCCCTGCATGTCCCACCCCTTCCCCTGCCCTCTGACGAAGCCAGGATGTGGTGCGGTGGGGGTACCTTGCACTAACTGCCCAACCCCGCAGAGGTAGAGTGCGCCACGGTGACCACACGGATCGTGTCCCAGATCAAGACCAAGGGTGCCCTGGGCGCTGGCTTTACCTTCTTCGGCACCTCCTTTCTGTTCATCACCTCTCACTTCACCTGTGAGTCGGCCTGCTGCCTGAGGCAGCACCCTTGGGAGCCCCAGGCCGGTGACTGGGCAGGTGGTGAGCCACACCTGGGACTCTAGTGCCTGGAACCCTGTGTCCCTCAGCCAAATTCTGTCCCCACAGCTGGAGACGGGAAGGTGGCAGAGCGGCTGCTGGACTACACCAGGACTGTCCAGGCCCTGGCACTGCCCAGGAACGTGCCAGACACCAACCCCTACCGCTCTAGTACGGGTAAGGCTTGGCCAGGGAGAGCAGATGGTGGGGCCGGGTGATCTGGGGGAGGCTACAGTAGGCACAGGGAGGCCGGCATCCACACACTGTCCTGTGTGCCCAGCGGATGTCACCACCCGCTTCGATGAAGTCTTCTGGTTTGGAGATTTCAACTTCCGCCTGGGCGGAGGGCGCGCAGCGGTAGAGGCCGCCCTGAGGCAGGAGAGGGAGGTGGCTGTGCGGGCACTGCTGCAGCAGGACCAGCTCACGCGGGAGATGAAGCAGGGTGAGTGGTGGGTACGGCGGGCACAGCGGGCACCAGGGCTGCGGGCTGAGCGTGGCACCCTCGCAGGGTCCATCTTCAGGGGCTTCCAGGAGCCGGACATTGTCTTCCTGCCATCCTACAAGTTTGACCTCGGGAAGGACACCTACGACAGCACCTCCAAGCAAAGGACGCCCTCCTACACGGTAGGCCACCCCAGGAGGGCCCCTGTGGTGCTGCTACTCAGGGCACCGGGCACTGTGTCCAGCGCCAGTAAGAGACAGACAGCCCATGCAGGCCCACGCCTAGGGCCTTGTGCTCCAGCTGGCCAGGCTAGGGGTGTCCCCTCCCTCTGTGAGGTCTGCCCAAGAGCACCCATGGGCAGGGTACTGTCCAGCCCCAGCTGGATGGCATCCTCCCTCGCTGTCTATCTGTCAGCTCCGGCAGTGGATGGACAAGTGGAGACGCTGGCCTGGCTGCCCTGCAGACCCATGTCAGTGCTGGCGACCATGGTGTGGGTTATGGAGGCAGCCCCAGGGTTCGGGGTCGGCCCAAGCCCAAGTGCCCACAGCCCAAGCTGCAGAGCAGAGGGTTGCTGGCACCAGCACCCCTGCTTCGGTCTCCCCTGAAGGACCGGGTGTTATACAGAAGCCGCCACAAGGGGGACATCCACCCAGTGACCTACTCCTCCTGCCCCGGGATCAGGACTTCTGACCACCGCCCTGTGTATGGCCTGTTTCGGGTGCGGGTGAGGCCAGGACGAGACAAGTGAGTCCCCACTCCTATCCCCTCCCTGGGCCGGGGCCAGTGCAGCACAGAGGGGCAGGCTGCCCGCAGCCTCTGGGGTTGAGGAAACCCCTAGTCCATGACCCTCAGACTTCTCCCTCCCTAGGGCCTGGGTGCCCTGTGGTGACCCTGGGGGCAGGGCTGAGGGCTTCTCCTGAAGGTGGGCCCTGGGGGCACAGTGGAGCTGGCAGATAGGACAGAGCAGGGCTCCCGGCAGCGTCCTGACCTTCCTAGGCCCTGTCTGTGTGTGAGACCCTTGGGGTCATGCCCCGTGGCTGACACCCAGGGCACCTTGTCACCCTGCCGTCCCCTCCCCACAGCATCCCACTGGCTGCTGGCAAGTTTGACCGAGAGCTGTACCTGGTGGGGATTAAAAGGCGGATTTCGAAGGAAATCCAGAGGCAGCAGGCGCTTAAGAACCAGAGCGCCAGTGCTATCTGTAGTGTGTCTTGATGGCATCAAGGACGACTCACTGTCACCTGCAACTCAGGACATTTGGCCTGGAGTCACTGGAGGAGAGGGGTCTGCCCCTCCGGCGTCCTGCTGTTTGGGCCCTGTGAAGGGCTACAGGGCAGCCCTGGTTCTTGCCAGAAAAACCCCAGGACAACAGCAGATCTGGCGCCCCACGCCCACTGGTGTCCCTGTGCCCCTCCCCCACAGCACAGGGCTTTGCTCTTGAGTGTCTGAGTCGCAGCCCCACACAGGGCAGACATCCTGCAGGCTCCCCCTCCACTTCCTGTGCTCACCCTACGCCCACACCACACAGGCCATAGCTGGTATCCTCCAGGCCTGACCCTAGGTACCCAAAACCTGCAGAGGCCAAGGCAGTGTTAGAGGGCACAATCTGACCCTCCCAGGGGACACGGTCATCCCCATCACTTCCCCAGCCAAGGCAGGACCAGTTCCCCACCCCCTTTGCCACAGAACTAGTCTTATTCAGTGACCTCAGCCACAGCTGGTGTCAACAGCAGTGTCTCTATCTGGGACACAGCCCAGCAGCCCCACCTTGTGGTTCCTGTCCGTCAACATCTCCGGAGAAGCCACGACAGACATGCCAATGGAGAGGGACCTAGGGACATCCGCTCCAGCCTATTTATTTTTTCATATTTGTATTTTTAAATAAATGCATAGATTGAATCTCTTTCCTGGCCTGGGCCGAGTGCAGGGCTGTTGTGTGTGCAGTTCTCAGGGCACTCAGGCAGCACGGAAGGCCTCGGCCCAGGTCTGTGTGATACCAGCTCCCCATACACGGCTGGGCAGCACTACTGGAAGAAGGGGATACCAGGCTCAGAGCCAGGCTGGAAGGATGTGCAAACACAGGGTCCACAGCAGATCTTGTACTGGCATCACTTGCTGAATGCAGCTGTGCACAGTGGGGCACACACACCAGAGGACGGCCACCTGCCACCTGCGTGGGTTCTCCCAGACTGCTTCTGACTTGAGCCTGGGAGACTTGACCATGACCTTAGAGGAGGTCCTGTCTTGGCTGGGACCCCAGTGGATGGGATCCTGGGAGAGTGCAGTGGTGTCCACACCTGCTGCTGTTCCAGATGAGCCACATTTTACTTGGAAACTCAGCTTAAAACTCAAAGCAGACAAAGCTGGCCCATCTCCAAGAAGCGCGGGGTACCAGGTATTGGGGCTGCAGCTTAGGGGAGCAGGGTTTGCCTGGTGGGCACAGGGCCTCAGGTTCTAAGCCCCCATAAAATGAGGACACAAGGGTGATTCCCACGAGCCCAGCTCAAGCAGAGGACTGTGAGCTCGACCTGCTGTGTGGCAGGACCCTTGTATACAGGTTGTGCTCACTGCCATGCAAGGGGCCAGCCCAGGGAAGGGGTCCAGCATCCTGGGCTCCTGGCCAGGTGGGCAGCACCTGGTGGGGCCGGAGATTTGGCGGCCTCAGCCTCTGGACCCCCAGGATGGTCTGCGCCTCAGCCTGGGAAGCTGCCCCGCTGCCCACTGTGTGTCCTCAGGCAGGTGGCAAATCCCTGTGTCACAGGGAATTCCAAAGGCAGACACAGCAGGATCTCGCACTGATGTTCCTGCTGTGTCCACAGTCACCACACCCTTCCTGTGACACCAAGTGAAGCCGAATCACAGTCTTGTGCCACCCATAATGCTGCTGTCTCCAAGCTGCCCTGGCCAATGCACTGCTTGAGCCACCCAGGCTGTGTGGGTTCCTGGCCCAGCTCCGGTGGTCTCACAAATTCATGCTTGAGAACCTCACAGACCTGGCCACACCCCCTCGGCCTCTGCCTGAGACCCTGGACAGCAGGGCTTCACCTTTCGTCTCCTCCAGTACCTGGGGAGCCAGTCCCCATCCCTGCACTCGCCAACACCACAGGTCAGAGCGCCCTGCCACTGGGAGGCAAGACAGCCCTCCAGTGACTGAATGTGCTCCTCCCATTCCCTGCTTTAACCTTTAAATTCAGGCAGTCTCAATAAGCCGTCTAGGCTGGACCGGAACCCGCAATCACCTGCCTCCCAGATGGTGGGCTTTGTGGTGAATCCTGAGGTGGCCGATGGCAGCCTCAAAGAAGACATGGCAGAAGGTGGTGGTCAGCATTTTATTGGCAGAGATGGCAGCGCACACCACTCCCACCGGTTCAGTCTGCACCACGTGGCTTTTGGGCCAGGGAGAGCCAAACCCGTAGTCCGCGCCCAGGGCTCTGCCATGGAGAGTACCCTAACGGGTGGACACCACCTTCCTTCTGGGGCGAAGGCCACATTGCCCCGCCCGTCGAGCTGCCTCCCAAAGGGACCAGGGGTGCAGGCTTCAACAGTCACCCCAACACTGCTCACACGAGGTCCTTCACATGGTCCAGGCCATGGCACATGTGCACACTGTTCTCAGCTGGCCCTCCAGGGGCTCTACCGGAAGAGCCGGTACGTCCTGGGCAAGCGCCCGTCCCGGCTGGACAGCGCAGCCTGAATGTGCTCGTAGCTGGGCAGGCCGCTTAGGTCGCCCAGGGCTGCCACCGCAGGCTTTCGGCGCAGCATCTTGGCAGCCACCCGCTTGATGTCCTCTGGCTTCACGTCACCTGGCGTAGGGCAAGACCTGTCAGACAGTGCCACACCTCCGCCCGCCAGCTGAGGGTGGGCAGGAGGGACTAAAAGGCCTGACAACCCCTAGGGCCGCTTGTGGCAGCCTGACCACCGGGGAGAGGGATGGGCACTGTGGGGGGTGGGGAGACCATGTACCAGCCAGCCTGCTGTGGGGAAGGGGCGGGACAGGTTACGGTATAGGTGATGCCAGTCGGCCAGGCCTGTGCTGCCCTCCCCAAGAGCTCAGCACTGGGACATGAGGGGCAGAGGCTGCACTAGGGACTTTGCTGTCCCCGAGGACACTGAGGTTCCCCTAGCACAGAGAAGTTAGGGATGGGCTGCTGAGGCACCCCCTGCAGACTGTACTCACGGATGAGCGCACAGAGCTCGTGGGGCAGCTTGCGGGAGTGAGTGGCTAGCACCTGCCGCCCCACATCCTCAAAGATCACGGGTCTGGACTCCAGGTTCATCATGAGCATGGACATCAGCTGCGTCTTGGCCCGCTCCAGCTCCACCTGAGGGCCACAGGCACTGTCTGTCACGTCACCCACAGTCAGTGCCAGCCAGTGAGGGACAGACAGATCTGCAGCTCGGGACACAGCGGGCAGCAGCTGTGTCCTGGGCGCACAGCTCGTGGCCTGGACCCCATTTCCTGGCTGGGGCTACATGGGAACAGGGACAAACCTGACCCTGGCTCCTCTTTGCTACAAAAGAGTAAATGGTTCCAGTTCCTCCAGCCCCTATGCAGAGGCCCCAGACCACTGCTTGGCAGCCCCCCAAGTTTCTAGGGGGCAGCCTACAAAACCTCAGCAATTGGGGCCTCATGAGCCCAGAAAGGGCCAGGAGGGACGAGCCCAAGGGTCTGACAGACTCTGCAGGATCAGGTATACACTCTTCTGGTGCTGCAGGACTGGACAAGGCCTCACACATGCCAGGCAAGTGCTGCCTCTGAGCACACAGCAGAGTGGGGCCACATAGCATCCACTCCACACTGCCCTGGAAGGGTGGCTGGGGAGAATGGATGCACTGCCCCAGGACACTGCTGGCCACCCCCACCTGGGCCCCTGCTGACCCCAGAGTAGGGTGTTGCCTCACCACATCCACAGTTCCGCCCATCAGGATGAATTCCTTGGTGATGATCTCCACCATTTCTCGAACCTAGGAGGGACAGGACAGTGGGAAACATATTGCGAGTGGCCCTGCAGCCCCTGCAGCCCCCGCTGCTGTGCCCGTACCTGTCTGGGGTCAGCACTGGCGTGGATGCACAGGAGGCCAGTGTCCTCATAGCTGTGGTGGTAGGAGGTGGCGTTGTACATCCAGTGGTGCCTACCAGGGGACAGAGGGGACCCACAGCGTCAGGCCACGGATGCGGGAAAGACACTGTAGCCTCTAGGGCCCATGCCTGGGAGCCCGGGCCATGGCCCCCACTGACCGGTTGAGCACGTTGAGGTAGAGTCTGGAGAACATGCCCTTGCCGGGGCCGCCAGCCGAGAAGGAGCCACCACCTCCCATCATCATGTTCAGCACTGCAAAAGGGATGAAGTCGTCCTCCTGCAGAGTGCAGGGACCATTTAGTGGGGGGGGCCCTCACACCGGGGTGCAACCCACTGTGCCCAGACTCACCAGGAAGGAGCAGCTCTCGAGGCCCACCATAATGTGCGTGAGCTCGGGGATGGGGGTTGGGCCCAGGCTGACGTTGGACATGTCCTTCTCCAGCTGCGGCGAGACCAAGGGGGGCATCACATGCAGCCTCCACCATGCCACCAACAGGACATGGGGGCAAGGTCCTGGGCTTTGCGGTGCACACGGGACAGCGCAAACACAGAGCGCCAGTGGTACCCATCAGATGTAGCACAGTGCCACGTTACCTTGACGATCCCACCAGTGTACTGGGCCACTGACCGGTCCACGGCTGTGGGCCCCGCATCCCCCCAGGCTGGCTGCACCCCCAGCAGGTGCTTGGTGGCGGACTCCACCAGGTGCTCGTGCTCCATGCCCACTCCAGCCAGCACCATGCGCTCAGGCGTGTAGTAGCTCCTCAGGTAGGAGTGAAGCACTTCCCGGTCGATCTTTGCAATGTTTTCTGGGGGACAGAATCGGTGGAGGCCCACTGTGTTCCCCCTGTAAGCAGCCTACAGGAGGGAGGGACACAAGTATGAGAGCACACGAGGGTCTCTGGCCAGCTGTCACCTGCTGTCAGCTGAGCCTCTGGACAAACCTGACACTCGTGGGCACCTCAGCTGTGGTTTGACATCAGCTCAAAACCACCCTCTTGAGGATGAACATTCACCGAGGAAGTAAACTAAAGGCCACTCTAGACAGAGATAGGAAGGAGCCCACGAGGGCGAGAAGTGGACATACAGCAGTGCCACGGGCCATCCCCGGGGCGGAGGCCACCTGCCCACCACATGTGCGGCGGCCCTGGCTTCTATGCCCGGCCCTGCCAGGATAAATGAGGAAACAGAAGAGTGACTGAGACTGTTCCCTAAACACCCAGGACCTGCAGGACGGCAGGGACCTTTCGACTGAGCCCAGCATGGAGCCCTGGCAGGTAATGGCGTAGGTGAGTGACTGCTTACCTCGTGGATCATCTCAGTGAGGAGTGGCTCCGGGTCGGGCCGCATGTTCAGGTCCTCCAGCTCAAACTGGACTGCCATCCGTGTCATTTCCAGCTCCTCATCTGCCAGGAACCCAGACAGGGCTCAACCTGAGGCTACCAGGCACTGTGGTCACCTCTGCCCTCACTATGCCAGCAGCTAGGGATCGGGAAGTAGGGACTTGGAACTCCCGGCCTGCACTGCTCTGTCAGGTCCCAGTGGGAACCCTGGCTGGCTGACCTGTAAAAGACCAGTACCAAGGAACCTGATCTGTCTGCCCAGGTGCAAGACCGGACAGAAAGGCGCTCAAGAAACAGACACAGACCAGTGTGGCCACCCTACCAGCTCCCTGAGGCCAGGCCACAGAATCCTAACAGAAACGCAGCCCTGGCATAAGGGAGCCGGTTGGGATGCGACAACAAACAGCAGGACAACCAGGCCCTCCCACGCGCACTCCTGGGAGGATCTCAAGCCCTGTCATTTGCAAGCCCAAGAAAAGTTAAAAAGACCACGGGGCAGAGACTCCCCGCAGCACAGCGGCCACGTTGTTTACAGATCGCATGAAAGGTATTTCTGAAATAAAACCTCAATGAAAGTCTCAAAGGGCAGAGATGCCATCACAGCACTGAGCATCCCCACGACGCCAGGGGCACAGATCCAGGGCGGGCAGCGTGCACTGTACTACTAAACCCCATGCTGCCAAGGACTTTCTGATCCCTGGCACTATCCTGGGGGACACTGTTTATCACTGCAGGCTAAGGCCCCAGCCCCACCCTCACCCTTGGGGCCACTGGCACCCCTCCTGCCCCCAACCACAGGGCCCCTGCGTGTGCCATCCATACCTGTCAGGCAAGGCTGCAGGACCACGTCGGCCAGTAAGCCCACAACAGTATCCAAGCCTCTGCTGTCGGCAGACACAGCGTACATAGTGGTATCTCTGGAAGGAATAAGTCATTGGCACTGGATCTACACCTAGCAGGACGCTGAGGCCACGCTGGGTGCAGGGCACTCAATACCACCGTGGCCAGCAGCCGGCAAGCTTGCAGCCCCTTCCCTTTCTGGTGAGTGTGAATTCCTGCAGGAGAAGACACCGCTGAGTCCCTACTGCCAATCCCCCTGGCATGGGTGAGCTCAGGCTCTTTCCCAGGGGCCACTGTCCAGCTTTTGCCATGGACAAGAGACCTGACTAATGTGCAGACATGCAGGTGGCTCAGGGGAAGAGGCTGGGATGGCCTGCAGGGCCCGGCGTCTCACTGTCGGTCACCCTGCACAGCCAGATATAAGCATGCGAAGCAGGGAGGTCAGGAGCAGCAGCCTGGGCTGAGGATGGAGTTGCTTTCAGCCACTCCTGGCCTCCACTGCCTGGGTCTAGAAGACCCAGCGACCTGCTAGAGTAGTCCCTAGTCACACTTCCCATGTCACTTCCCAACTGCAGGCCTCTATCGCCCGGCTCTTGTCCCAGGTCATGAGAGTGGCTCCTGCCCACCCTGTGAGCATCTTGGGACTGGGGCATCCAGCCAGAGTGCAAGATGAATGAGTACCCTTCCCATGACTGTTTCCCAGTGTCACTGCCACCACCTGGAGTTGGTTCCATCCCCACCTCCACCCCTGCCCCACTCTCAGCTAACCCAGGGCTTCCTTCTCACTGTGAACCATGACAGGGAAAGCGCCACTCGGAGAGAAAGTGTGTGACAACTGGTATACCTGGAGGTCTGGCAGTCGCAGATGCCCCCATGCTTCTCCAAGGTGAGCAGAATCTCATCTTTACTGTCAAATCGGGCAGTAGACTGACAAAAATAAACAGGAAAGCTTAAATAAGCAATATGAAGCAGACTTGCAAATGTAACTTTTGTATAATTTCTTCTTTTCAAAACACAAACTACACTTCAGCTTAAAAGACAGTCTTTCAATGTTAATTCGGCCATTTGAGTCATTTATAACAATCATCCTCGGGGGAAGAAAATCTGGAAAAAACCCAGAACATTCCTTCCTAAGCAAAGTCTTCAAAAATCACACACTGGACACTGACCGAAAATGCCAATTTCTCCAAAAAGTGAGCAATCCCGCTAACGTATTTCGCTTCATATCTTGATCCTGAATTAATAAGAACTGGTGATAAAAGAAAACAAGTTAATGAGATATTTAAAATAGGAAGCTTAATCAGGATAAACCTTTCAAAACTGCGACTCTAATGGCCAGGAGTAATCAGAGGAGGCTGCTCACTGTCTTCAGTGATGACAGTGCCACAGGGGTGGTGCTACCTTGGCTCACAGATTTCACTTGCATTATGATTTTGGGGAAGATGGCCTCACGTTTGTGTGGGGAAGATAGCCATGGCTGTGTTTGTCATCTAAAGTGGAGTTTTTCAGTGGAAGCAAAATTTTGTTGAACACTTTTGTTCGAAAACTGAACTGTAAGGGCCGGAGATACAGCTCGGCAGCACAGTACCTGCCTGGCAAGGGCAAGGTCCTGAGTTGGATTCCCAGAAGGATAAAACAAACAAAAAAGAAAACAATTTTTCGGGGTGGCAGGGGAGCAGTCTTTTTGAGACGATGTCTTTCTATGCAGTTCAGGCTGGCCTTGAGCTATGTAGCCCAGGCTGGTCTCGAACTCATAATAATCCTCCTGCCTCAGCCTTCCAAATGCTGGGATTACAGGCGTGCACCACCATGTCTGGCTCAAAGAAGACTGTTATTTGTGAACAGAAGTGTTTGTGAACTGTTATTATCACAGATAACATTTGTGGAAACCTGGAGTGATTCCTGAAGAAAACTGCTATGATTACAGAAAAGTTGAAAAAAGAGAGGATGACATGGAACCCTAAATGCTACTACCAAAAATGGCCATTATTCAAGTATTCACGTATTTTTTTCTCTGTTTTTCATGGGATTGACTCCAGAGGCACTCTCCCATTTAAGTTACATCCCTATTCCTTCAGCCACCCGCCTTTTTAAAGACAGGGTCTTATGGAGTTGCCAGGACTGACCTTCAATTCACAATTCTCCTGCCTCACTCTACTGAGTGGCTCACATTACAGGCATGCACCACCACCGCAGCAGTTTCAGGTTTTTAACCATGCTTCTGTTCAGAGCATGGTTCACAGATGACTTGCTAATAAAGACTGACAGTCAGCTAAAGCACATCTGAGCGCCTGAGAGGCCACCTGCAACACACCAAGTACTTACTTCCCACTGTACAAAACTGTCCGAACTTATTCTGAGATGCCACGCGAAGCCCGTTATTCAGCGTGGTGACTTTGGTTTCAAATTTTTCCTGTCCGTCGACTGTCGCAAAAATGGGTTTGGGTGCGCCAGGTAAGGGAGTAGAGAGGGGGATGCTGGTGCCACCTCCACTACTAAACTGCCTGCGTGCAGCGAGTCCAAACCAGCCACGGAGCCTGCAACAGAGGAGATGAGCACCCACCCCTGGGTGCAGCTAGGTACCCATCTTCCGCCGAATTTAAGTCAACACTTCATTTCTACATGCCTTGAGGGACAACACCGGGAGCGACCACGACCCAGGCTCAGCCAGAACCTAAAGCAAGACGGTTCCGTTCTTTGGTTCTAACTGCTAAGCGATGAAACAGTTAACAGTAAGTCGCTCTGAGAGCAGCCAATACGGAAGCCCTCAGGCAGCCCTGATCTTCCACCGCCCGCGCTTGGCTGGTGTGCACGGCCACGACCGTGTGGCCTCTGCCTCCCCTTCCAGGAGGCCCTGACTACAATCCCGGAACGCTCGGCTCATCCCCGCAGGAGCCCCAGTCCTTTCTGCACCCCGCCCCTTCGTCATCTCCTGGCTTTAAGATGTCACCGCAGAGCGCTTTCCCTGTCTAGCCTTTCCTATTTCGTAGCACAAACGCCGTACCTCTGCGTCAAAGCGACTCCGACTGCCGACCGCGGGGCCAGCGATCGTCCGCACCCGAGCCCTTAGCCCGCGCCCTGAGCGGACCACACACGTTTCCCGAGGGACGGGGCGGCCCGGCCGTGGGGGGCCGGAAGCGACCTCGAGGCGGGGCTTTCCCCGCGATCCCCCAACCCTCCGCGTCCAAAGGACGCCCGGCTCACCTCGGCCGCACCCCGCAGGCCCCGGAGCCGCGCAGCAGCCGCGCCGCCGCCAGCACCGCCGCCGCCATCGCGCCCGCCGCACTTCTGCCGTCACTTCCGCTTCCGCTGCGCGCCCCGCCCCCTCTCGCCCGCTTCCGCTGTTCGGGGCGGAAGCGGCCGCGGGAGCTCGGAGGGGCGGCGGCGGAGCCATGGGGCCCGGCTAGGTGGCCGGCCGAGGCGATGTCGGGCTACGGACGCCGCCAGGGCGCTCCCCCGCTGTCCCGGGCGCGGAGCCTCGTGGTGACGGACGGTGAGCGGGACCGGGGCCGGGGGGCGGCCGGGGCCGGGCGGGGGTGAAGCTGCTGTCGTTGTCGCTTACAGCTCCTGCGTTCTGTGAGCGCCGGTCTTGCCTGCCCCAGCTAGACTGTGGGCGGCCCCCTTTCCTCGGCTTTCGGCCGACGTTTATGTGCTATGTGCCCAGCCCGGTGCTGGCTTCCGTGGGAGACACAGGTGAGAGTCGGGGCGCAGACCCGGCAGGGAGCCCCGAGCCAGCCGAGCGCCCCGGCCTAGCCGACCCGACGGCCGGGGAGCCCGGGCAGGAAGGTCGGTGTCCGGGGATCACAAGCCTCTCCTTCCTGGCGGGGCAGAGGGTGGGGAGTCGGGGCTGCCGTGCCGGCTTGTCCTACGACCATCAAGGTAGCTGTGTGCAGGCACGTAGCTGTGGCACTTCGGGGTGTCACGGGACTAGCAAGCTGTGCCTGCCCCCAGTTGGGCGCCGAGCCCACACTCCCAGAGGCCAGGGGACCTACCGGGTCTAGAGCGCCCGGCTGGTTCTCAGTAGTTCCACGGGCAGTGAGAACCACTGCAGTAACTCCACGTCCCCTCAAGCACTGCAGTCACACAGCCACCTGTGATGTGGCGGGGCAACCCTATCTCTTTGCAGATTTTGGCTATGAAAAAGGGAAATGTACTAAGCAAGGTCCATCAGGAGCTCACGAGACACGATTTGGAGGTAGAGTAGTTCGGAGACCCATCTGTTTTCTTTTCACTCACCACCCAGTGCCAGGCTTGCATCCAGGCCCTGGGGCTGTGGATCTAACAGGATCTGAGGGGTGTGGCTAGACTACTAAAGAGCAGGTGCAGGTAGAGTCCTGAGGGTTCCGTCTTGCTCCTTGGGGTGATAGGGAAGGAGAACCTCACATGGCAGGACACATGAGGTAGGTAGCAAGTCCCACCGAGAGCTGAAGAAAGAGCAAGGAAGGATGACAAGAGCCCTCCCTGCACGGGGCCAGTACCATCGAGAGGGTAGGGGAAGGCACGACAGTCAGGTGCAGGGTGGGACCCTGAGCCAGGTGAGAAGGCTGGATAGTTTGAGGTGGGCAGTTCGCAAGAAACTCAGAGCCCCATGTGCAGGTCACCCTGCCCCTGGTAACCTGAGCTTCATAGCGCCATGTCCTAGAGATCTGGGAGGGGGTGGTGGTGTGGAGATGTGGCTCAGGCAGAGCATTTGCGTAGGCTGCTCGAGGTATCAGGTACCATCCTCAGCCCCAGAGGGTTTCCTGGTGGAGCCAGGGGTGAGGAGTAGGAGAAGCAAGATGCAGAAAGACATCTGTCTCTTGCCCTCTTTCGGGGCAGCTGGCCCACTTCTGGTGTCACCCGAGTCAAGTGGCATTGTGAGGCTGGCCTTCCCCAGTAGGTGCAGTCAAGTTCTGGAAAGGGGAAGGGGAAAGCTGCCCTGAGTGATCTTTGCAATGCCTGTTACTTCAGATGATAAACCTGAAGACCTTGAAGAAGCAAATCCGTTCTCCTTTAAAGAGTTTCTGAAAACCAAGAACCTCAGCTTGTCGAAAGATAACACAAACAACAGTAGAATTTACCCAAAGGTAAATTCATGGAGGTTGACCCTGCCACCGGGAGGGGACATGTCGGGCAAGCAGGGCTGCTGTCACTGCGGTGGAGAAGCCCAGTGGGTTAACAACTGCTTAGCTGCTGAGATCAACAAGATGGCCTCTTTATTTCTCCCTTGTGGTACCCAGGTTTAAACCCAGGGCCTTGTGCATGCTAGGCAGGTGCTTCACTGCACCTCCTCAATGACCTTTTGTACACTTCGGGACAAGTCTCAGTTGCCCAGGCTGGCCTGAAACTTGCCATCCTCCTGCCTCAGCTTCCAGAGGAGTTGGGAATTTAGCCTATACCCCAGGCCTGGCTAGGATGGGCTTCTCTTTAGGTTGCAGGCTGAGCAGAAAGAAGGGCAGCTGATGGCTTCTGGCTGTAGCATTCACCTCCGATGTTTTCAGGAAACCTCGAGGCGCTCCCTGGGACTGGACTCTGGCTCCCCAACTGCCCAGGCTGTGGGCTTCAGCCTGGACTATCAGCAGCCATTTTTCGAAGACCTGACAGGGGCAGGAGATCTCCTGGAAGAGGATGATGACGAAGAAGATGGGTGGAACGGGGCCTATCTGCCGTCTGCCGTGGAGCAGACTCGCTCATCTCGGGCCACGGCCAGCACGTCCCCCTGCGGCACCTACCTTTCCTTCTTCTCCACCCCGTCGGAGCTGGCAGGGCCCGAGTCCCTGCCCCCGTGGGCGATGAGTGACACAGACTCACGCATCTCCCCGGCATCCCCACCTGGGAGTCCAGACACCAACTTCCCGGCTCACGGAGAGTGCCTGGGAGACAGGCAGCTGCGGACGCTACAGATAAGCTACGAGGCGGTAAGTGAGGGCTGTCCAGTGGGGGGTGGGGGGGTGCTGACCTACCTCCGGGGGACACTTGGATAACTGCTGCTGCAGTTTTACCACTGAGAGCTGTACCCTCGGCTGCCTTTGGGTACGCAGTAAGTGCCACCAACCAGAAAGTACGGGAACTATGCCGGGTGTGGTGGTGCACGCCTGTGATCCCAGCATTCCAGAGGCTGAGGCAGGAGGATCACCATGAGTTTGAGGCCACGCTGGGCTACATAGTGAGTTCAAGGCCAGCCCTGGGCTATATGTCGAGTCGAGACCCTGTCTTAAAAAGGAAAAAGTGCACTGAACCATGTCAGGAAGCCAGGCTTGTTTGGGGCTCGATGATGTGCTCAGGGAAGGTGAGTGAGAGCTGTCAGCTCAGGGACATCTCACCAGTGTTCCAAGAGAAGCTTTTGAGAAGTCATAGTCACTAAAAAGCTGTGAGCAGAACCCGAGTCTGGCACCAGGTCTTCCTTGCATTGGTGCTGAGAGGAGACTGGAGACCCAGGATATTTCTGCCCCTCAACCAGGTGTGGGCGAGGCGCAGCTCCGAGATGGCGCACGCACCAAGCACGACAGAACACAACCCAGAACTGGCAGCACCCCTCCCAGAAGCACTTAGGCCTTTGAATGAGACTCGCTGGGTTTCTAATGAGGGTTTTCTTTTTCTGCAGCTGAAAGACGAAAACTCTAAGCTAAGAAGAAAGCTCAATGAGGTTCAGAGCTTCTCTGAAACTCAGACAGAAATGTATGTAAGCTTTCAGTCAGGAGCCGACTCAAAACATCCTTTGCTGCCCAGGGAAATTGGCTTCTAAGTGACAGCAGTGCCCTGGCTTTCCTCTGGGGTCACTGTGTCCCACAGGCTTCCTGGGTGCATTGTTTTTCTCCAGCACTGGGGATTGAACCCTAGGCCTTCACACCGAGCCACATCCCCAGCCCAGTTTAAAAGCTGAAACAGGGTCTCAACAGAGTTGTCCAGGCTGGGCTCGAGCTTCTGACCCTCCTGCTTCAGCCTCCTAGAGTAGGAGATGTGTGCCACCACACCGGCTCCATGTGAGCCTTTTTCTTTTTTTTTTTTTCTGGTACTGGGGATCGAACTCATGACCTCGAGCTTGCCAGGCAGGCGCTTATGCCACTGAGCTAAACCCTTGGCCCTTGTGTGAGACTTTGAAAGTGTCAGACTCAGACCAGGCAAAGCAGAGTGGCAGAGCAGGCTCCCCTGCCTGGGACAGCCCAGCGGGGCACTTGGGGTGGTCACTGCTCCTGTTGCCAGCCTGTGCTTCGTCATCTGGCTGGGGACTCTGAGGGGTTTTTTCTAATAGTGAAATAAAAGTGCTTGTAATTTAAAAGTGTGCTTGAAAACAGCTGTGTAAACTCAGCACCAGGTTTCTCGTCCCACCAGGGTGAGGACGCTGGAGCGGAAGCTGGAGGCGAAGATGATCAAGGAGGAGAGCGACTACCATGACCTGGAGTCGGTGGTGCAGCAGGTGGAGCAGAACCTGGAGTTGATGACTGTGAGCAGGGCGTGGGTGCAGTTGCGGTCTCAGGGCCGGGGAGCACCCCCAGAATAGGGCTGCTGTCGCCATCCTGAGACCCAGACTGCTCTCGGGTGGACGGGCTCTGCTCTGGGCTGGGCATCGCACAGGCCTAGCAGGTCCCCAGTCCCCAGGCCACAGTGAGATGAGGCTAGGCACGGGGCAAGCTGGATCCTGAGGGACTCGCACTTAGTGACACAGCCTGTGCTTGTGTTTTGGGTGACAGAAACGGGCCGTGAAGGCAGAGAATCACGTCATGAAACTCAAGCAGGAAGTGAACCTGCTCCAGGTGAGGAGAGTCCTAGAATCGCCTACACAGGAAGTTTGGAAACAGGCATGGGCTGCCCTGTGCAGTAGCAACAGCAGGCAGAGGTGCTGTCCTCGCCTGACAGTGGCATCACGCTCTGCTCAGGCCCCAGCCACAAGGCCAGAAACGGGGGGGCCACATGCTGGCCTTTCAGTCACATTGAAGATGTTGAGGCTTCAGGGTGGGGTGACCGCACACGGAGCACGTGCTGAGGGCGCCTCAGATTAGAAGGTATTGGGCTCTGCTCCGGGACCCCGCTGGACAGGAGCACCTGCTGGGGTGAGGGATGGTCTGTGCCTGTCCCCAAGGCTGACCACACAAGCCACCTGGTGCGCTCCACTCTGCTGCCACCCAGCAGTCCATTCCCCTCTGTCCCAGGCACAGGTCTCCAACTTCAAGCGAGAGAACGAAGCCCTGCGGTCAGGCCAGGGTGCTAGCCTCACGGTGGTGAAGCAGAACACCGACGTGGCCCTGCAGAACCTCCGCGTGGTCATGAACAGTGCACATGCATCCATAAAGTGAGCACAGGGGCCAGGAGGTGGGGAGGGAGGGGGACATGGCTTGGGCGCTTTGGGGTCCTGATGGCCCTCCAGTCCCATCCAGTTCCACTTTCTAAGAAGGGTGGCCTTGGTCACACAGAGGGATCCAGCTCTGAAGCTGGGGATGGAAGGAACAGTACAGTACAGTACAGCTCCCCTCTGCTTGCACAAACCTTGGAGGCTCCCGGCACCCCTGGCCACAAACCTGGAGGCTCCCGGCACCCCTGGGCGATGTCACTGTCTTGCTAACACCACAATCCAGGCACTTCTTGCCACGCAAGGGCCTGCATCCTGAGATACCCACGGCCGAGAGACAGGCACTAAAAATGCATTTAACACACCCACCAGGACCACAGCTCAACACCCTGAACCTCGGCTGCCCCTGGTACCTGCAGGGTACAGGCATGCAGAGCAGCAGCAGGCCACCTGGCCAGAATGGGCTCATGGTCATTGCTGGGCTCATGCTGCTACCGTTCCAGCAGGAAGTCACAGTGCCATCTGCACCCGTCTCTCGGGGGCTGAGCCTGCAGGGCCCAGTGCTGGCTACCCCATGTGCACTCACTGCCAGCAAGAGCCGTTCTGCCAACATGGACCCCTTTTCTTCTGTTGGCCGTGAGTGCTTGGAGTAACAGCCCCCAATCTCTGCTCTCATTGTAGGCAGCTGGTTTCGGGAGCCGAGACGTTGAATCTCGTTGCTGAAATCCTTAAATCCATAGACAGAATCTCTGAGATTAGAGAAGACGAGGAGAACTCTTGAGGCCACCAGGTGCTTTCAGCTCCTGGCTCCCTGCACCCGGATCACCGCCGCCATCTGAGTGCGCAGCTGCGCCCCATTACGCGTCCTCCACTGAGTAAAGCATCATCATGAGACCCGGACCCCACCACCCACGCAGTGTTACTGGCCATCGTTCTAGGAGCGGCACCTGTGTGCTGCACCCACGGTTTATAAATGGTCCTTCTTGGTGAAATTCTGCTTTACAGATTCAGTGATCTATCGGGAGGAATTTTTACGAAATGTAGTGGTTTTTGAAGGAAATTCTAAGTAGCCTCTCTGCAGTAAGTATTTTTATCACCATCCCAGCACTAACTGCAGGACACTGCATGGCCAGGACAGGAACTTGTGCCTTTTTGCTGCCACTTGGTTTGCAGCTGGCTGGCAGCTCACACCAAAGCCTTCAGGGCAGCTCAGTACTCGGACTGAGTGTGAAGCCCCACCTGGGGGACACAGCTCCCCTCTCGTTCTGGGGGCAGAGGCCACACATTCCATGGTAGGGAGTCTCTGAGCTCTCAGTTTGGTCCATGTTCCCGGTGACGTTTTGTGCAGTGCCGCGTAGGGCTTGGGACATGGTGTGCAGAGCCTCCTGGGGTGGCAGGGCCTTGGGTTGCCCTTGTCTTTCCTGCCTGGGGAGGACACAGCCAGGACCCTGTGCTTTGTTGGCTGTCTTCCCATATGTGGTTTGTTTTAGTAAGTTTAATCCTCTAACACTGTTGTTTAAATAAACCAAAGCCCATGTGCTGTGTCTGCATTGTGACTTGGCTTGTTCCTCATGCCAAGACCCATGCAGCTGTCCTCTTAATACTGTGGTGTGTGTCTTATTCTTATCACTGGCAACCTGTGCCCTTTCAGCCAGACCCCAGTTCCTTGGCCTCAGGGTCAGGCCACAGGGATAAGACACAGTATGCACTGCGCAGCTGCCCATCTGGGGTCTGCAAGGTCCTCTTATGAGTGCACGGCAGCCCTGGGAAGCCCAAGAGGGTTGGAGGTCTAAGGCCATCCCTCAGCTGCAGACCTTCCCTGGGCAGCAGGTGGCCCCTGCACCCACAGGGTCCCTCAGATCCCATGCCTGCGGGTGCCTGTACTCTAGCCCCCTCAAGTGTGGGGGTGAAGAGATGGACTCAGCCTGGATTCCCGGCATCTGGTCATGTTTGCAGTGTGCTACAATGTGATTCACCATCCATGATGACCTCTGCCCGACGCCCACTGTGGCCTCAGCTTGGAGGCCCACGAGAGCAGAGCCTGGACCAGGGCAGGAATGAGATAGCGGGTCCTGGAGGAGCCAGGGGTTCCAGCTCTGCACTGGAAGCCCTCCTTCTGGGCTCATCCTGCAGCTTCCTCCTGCAGAGGCGCCTGGGGCCTGCCAGGCTACCTGAGGGTGGACGTCTTGGCCTTCCCATGTGCTGCCAAGGGTGCAGAGGGCCTACCTTGTCCAACTTGGGTGCGCCTGGACCAGTGGTCTGACGTGAACACCCTGTGGCCCTGCAGGTGGAGTGGCATGGAAGGCGGGCTCTGCATGCAGCCAGCCCTTCAGTCATTTGCAACTGTGTGCATGGGCCCCAACCGAACTTCGCCTTCCACTGCTAACCATCCATAGAAGCATAACGGCCTGGCCAAGCCCAAGCGTGAGGCAGTACCCAGTCCGGCCGTGCAGGGGCAGCGCCGAGCAGCGCGTCTTGGCCCTGAAGTCCCCGGCTGCTGTCCCAGAGTGCCCTGCGCCGCATTAGGCGGGACTTCCGGTGCGCATGCCTAACTCCTGCCGCAGCCGGAAGCGTTGTGATTGTAGTCTCCTGGGCGATGGAGCGGGCCTTTGGGCCAGAGAGTTCGCGGTGCTGGGGAGGCGCCCCCAGGTGAGGGCCTGGCGGGACAGACCCCGCGGAGGGGTTGCTGTCCGCAGGAGCAGGCTGCTGAAGCGGAGGGTATACGACGGGTAGACTGAGGCCGGCGGGCCCGCGTCTCTTTTGGGGCTAGGTAGTGGCGCTCCGCGCAGCCTGCACCACTAGATCTCTCGGCGCACGCGGGACGGCCCTGTGCCTTCCTGCCTCGGTCTCCGTCCGCAGGGGCGCCAGCGGCTTCTCGCATTGATGGTTTATGGGGTGAAGCCGTGAGAGCAGCTGAGCCCGAGCTGCCGCGCTGTCCCTGGTCACCCCGTGGGCCTGAAGTCCTCTCTGGGCTGTGACCTGCCCGCTGGAGAGACGGTTCGGTTGGAAGAGGGTGACCCTGGTGCTGGGGAAGGCGGCCGGCTGAGGCTTAGGACTTGAACTTGTGACGTTGACCTCACGGAGTGAGGTCGGGGGCTGGAGAGGAGTGACATTGGTTTCACTACGTGAGCTGCCCTTGCCTGAGGCCAGGCCACCCAAAGAGAGCACCTCCTCCCACCTGGCCTGCCCAGTAGATTGCAGCTTTGACTTTGCTGTGGTTCTGTAGACCCGCTGGCTTCTTGCTGCATGGTTAGCAGGTTGACAAACTTCGCCCAGTATGAGGAGGTACAAGCCTGGTGCACCTGGATAGCACCTGCTGTGGGGTGCTTTGTTGCTGATAGCCTCCACTTGGAAGCGGGTGCCAAGGATAGGGGAGGCTGTTTCTTTGCCATTTGGCCTGCTAGGCATGGGCATATGTTTTTCTGGAATATTCTTTGCCAGGGCCTTGCTTTCTCTTTCTAGCTTCCTTTCCCCTTTAGACTTTGCTGACCACTGTTCCTAAGGAGAAAGCCTCCTGTTTGCTTCACTAGCTGTTTGTGCAGTGTCAGCCCCTGCAAGATGCTGTTCTGGCTAGAGAGAGTGCAGGCACAGATGGAGCCTTTCCCCAGGAGTCCCTTTCTGGTGCTGTCCAGGTGCTGTGTCATCTGTCTGGTGCCCTCTACGTGTCTAATCCACATATGGAGCACTGGATGCCTCTGCAGCTGGAGTCATGGATTAGCTCTCAGTCTCCCTCCAGAGGACCATGGCAGGATGGGTTCAGTACTGATACTCTGTGATGTGTGTTAGAGGCAGGCAGAAATCATGGACATAGACGCTGAAAGAGAGAAGATATCGAAGGAGATCAAGGAGCTGGAAAGGATTTTGGACCCCAGCTCCTCCAGCATCCCCGTGGACATCTCTGAATCGAGTCTCGATTCAGATTCTGATGCAGGTGAGCCTGTGCACCTGGCCTCCTCCAGGCGTGGCTGGACCCCTGCCCCCAGCAGCCCCATAGCCCTGCTGTTTCCTGCCCAGCATGGCCTCTGCCTTTACTGCAGCCACAGAGCCCCATTCCTCACCTCTGAGCTCCTGACTGTACACACAGCCTGTCCTCCTGCCAACTGGCTGGGCTCTGGGTGAGCATGCCATCTTGGAAGGAGGGGAGACCCAAGGCTTAGCCCTGGGCCTAGTCAGTCACCTGGGATCTCTTCTGCCCTGGGCTCCCCTGCCAGGAAGAATCACCCCTTCCCTGCTGTACACTCCCCCTGTCCCATGTGCCCTCTCTTGGTCCTCTGGTGTCCAGCATGGTGCACTTGTGTTTTTGACAGAGTCACTTCCTGCGGAGGACTTGGACATCGCTGGTCCCCCAGTCTTGGTAATGCTACTCCCCCCGCTGACTGCTAGGTTAGGCCAGCTACCACTTTCCCAAACTCTTCAGCGCCATGCAGTGTGAACCCCTTTCGGCTTTTCTGCACTGTGAATTTAATGCATATTATAAAAATAAGATGCCCCAAAGTACTTGGCTCTCAAAAACTGGCCCTGGAAATGACCACCACTAGTAGTAGCCTGGTGCTTACTCTGCCAGCTATTCCTGGCAAGTACTACCTCACCTCCCACGTGACGTTACTTCTTATACCCGCTGCACCTTGTGTCCACCTTGCCTTCCTTTTCAGTCAATGTGGACCAGCACCCAGGACTGTGCCAATTGGAATCAGTGGTGCCAGCTGTTACAAACCGTCTCTTGTTCATTTGGAGTTTTGTTTGAAGAATCTTTTGCTATTTTTTTATTTTTGTATTTTTGAGACAAGGTCTCGTTATGCAGTTCAGGTTGACCTTAGGCACACTTTGTAGCCCTGGCTGGTCTCAAGCTTGCAAATGATTCTCCTGCCTTAGCCTTCTCGGTGTTAGAATTACAGGAGTGCAGCACCACTCCAGGCTTTTGCAGTTTGTTTTCTTTCCCACCATGTCTATCACAAAATGTGGAGTTACCCCACATGTGGAGGGGTATGCAGGCTCTCTCTTGGGGATTGGCACGGTTCAGTGGTGTGTGGGTACTTTGCTCTGTGGGCATTTTGGCATCTCCACCTCCAGGCAGAGTTTTGGGCAGCTGCGTCCTGGGGACCGAATCCTTGGGCAGTGCCTGTGTTTCTTCACATCACTCCACGCCAGCCCCAGCCCCCTTCTTGTAGTCACTAGACAGGCCCCTTGGGGACCTCTTGCTTCCACACCCAATGGTCTTGTGCTAGAGCAGCCTCAGTGTCCCGGGGCCCAGCAAGCAGAACGTAGATCTCGATAGGGTAGGAGGGGACCTCATGTCCCCTCCTTGGCGGCCATTCCATTGTTAACCAGGTGGAAGAGAGATGGGGTGGAGGCAGCAATGATGAGGAGGACCCCAAGGAGAAAGCCCTCCCCGAGGACCCTGAGACCTGTCTGCAGCTGAACATGGTCTACCAGGAGGTCATCCAGGAGAAGCTGGCTGAGGTCAGCCTGCTGCTGGCCCAGAACCGGGAGCAGCAGGTAGCTTTGCCAGCTATGCCCACGCCCGAGCCCCTCTGCCCCTGGGGCCCTGCTCAGCCTTGCTTTGGTCCCAGGAGGAGATCCTGTGGGGCCTTTCTGGGTCGCAAGGCCCCAGAGTGAAGGACAGCAAGGGACTGCTGCCACACATGTATATCGGACACTTCATGAAGCCGTATTTCAAGGACAAGGTCACTGGAATGGTGAGTGTCTGGAATCCTGCTGTGGTCTGCATAGCCCACACGGTCGGACCCCTGGGCAGGAGCTCCGTCCCCACAGCCTGCTGTGAGTGGTCCCAAGTTTCCACAGGTTCTTGGGGACATTCTCCATCCTCCCAGAGTTCCCTTGTCCCTGGGTGAGAGTCCCTGTGTGCCAAGCTCTGCCCCAAGAGGGTGGTGTGGGGTGCATTTCCCTGAGGCAGCTTCTGGGCTGTTGGCAAGTTCTTGTTGCACAGCCTGTTGCTGCTGACTGCAGGCTTGTGCTGCTTGTCCCCCGGGAGCCTCTGGCCACCCCTGCTGGTCAGGTCACGCCCAGGCCATGCATGTGGCTACAGCCCCAAGCAGAGGAGACCAGGAGGGCTGGGGGAGCTGAACACTGCAGGTGACTGCAGCACAGCCTGCCCTGTCATGACATCATGCTTCTGACACAGGGGCCTCCTGCCAATGAAGACACAAGGGAGAAGGCTGCCCAGGGGATCAAGGCTTTCGAGCAGCTCCTGGTGACCAAGTGTGAGACCCTCTCTGGGCCTTTGGTGTGGAGACCTGGTGGGGCCGTGGGGGGGGGGGGGAGGCGCTCCCCATTGAGCAGGCTATCTCCTCCCTGGGGACTGCCAGCCCCATAGTCCCCTGCGGCCTCGGAGGGTTGTTGATGGAACAGAGGCTGGCTGTGGGCCTGGCTGCTCTGGTCACAGTGCCCAAGGCTGGGGAGGATGCAGCATGCATCCTGGCACCCCAAGCCTCCTGTCCCCTGCCCTCCTCAGGGAAGCACTGGGAGAAGGCCTTGCTCAGGAAGGCGGTGGTGAGCGACCGGCTGCAACGCCTGCTCCAGCCCAAGCTGCTGAAGTAAGGGTGGAAACAGCCATGTGGGGTCGATGTTTATAGCCTGGTGGGTGGGTGGGGCAGCCTCCCCCACGGCCAAGAGTGTCTTCCCTCCACAGCCCCCTCAGGGACACAGGTGTTCCTGTCTGCTCTGCCCCATTCAGCAGTGTGGCCAGGCCCTGAGATGAAGGACAGCTGGTAGCCACCAAGTGCCCCATCCTGGGTGACCCCAGAGGGTGCAGCAGTGAGGGGCCAAGGCAGCAGAGAGGCGGTCGAGAGTGCCTGCCCAGCCTCTTCACATGGCACCGTCTGCAGCTCTCCTGCCTTGCAGGCTCGAGTACCTGCGCCAGAAGCAGAGCTGGGTCTCCAGTGAGCCAGAGCGGCAGGCCCTGGAGGAGCAGGCCAGGTGTGCGGAGCAGGAGATCCAGGACATCAAGTGAGCCAGGGCCTTCCGGGTGTGGGGTGCCTCCCGGCTGGCATGACACCCACGCTCTGTGTCTTCCTCTAGCCAGCTCCCGGAGGAGGCCCTGCTGGGAAACAGAATGGACAGCCATGACTGGGAGAAGATCTCCAAAGTCAATGTAAGTCAGGGCTCCCGGCTCCCCTTGAGAAGGAGGTGGGGTGTGGTGGGTGCTCAGGCCTTGTACCCCAGCCTGCACTAGCCCGATGGCTGTGTACATGTCTAGTGGCCAGGAAGAGCAGCAGTGGCCTTGGGCCCTCCCTGTCCAACCTAAGGCCCCTCTGAGACAGGTGATCTCAGAGGCTCCTGGCTTTGCTTTTGGGGCTAAAGCTGCTTGTGGTGGCCAGGTGAACTTTGGAGGGAGGCTCCACTTCCTCCTGGCCACAAGCGTACTGGCCACAGAGGCGGCTCATGCCGGCTCGTCCAGCACCCAGCAGGCTGTGCTCCCCACGCAGTTCGAGGGCAGCCGCAGTGCAGAGGAGATCCAGAAGTTCTGGCAGAGCTCCGAGCACCCGAGCATCAACAAGCAGGAGTGGAGCATGGAGGAGGTGGAGCGACTCACAGCCGTCGCCACCGCACACGGCCACCTGCAGTGGCAGCTGGTTGCCAAGGAGCTGGGGGTGAGGACAGGACTGGGCCAGACCCTCGGACACTCCTGGGCTTTGCATTTACGCCCACAACCGCCCCAGCCTGCAGCCTTCCCAGCAGTGAGCAGGCAGCAGGGCTCAGCTGCGCCCCTGCCTCTCTAGGCTAGGCTCCCTGCCACCCCAGGGCCCCGGGCCTGCCAGGGCAGCTGGGTTCTTCTGCCCTTTCAAAGTCTCCTGTGGCCGTCTGTCTTTACTGCCAAGACATTTGAGACCCTGCTTCTGAGAAGGGTGTGGTGTGGAAGGTCCTTTCCACAGGCTTCTAGAGAATCTGCGATGTTGGCTTTTGCTACCCTTGACCCTGAGGTTTTCTGGGAACATGGTTTCCTTTATTTAAGTAGTTGTCTCAGCCTTTTCACTCTTCATCCTACATTCAGAGTCCTGCCCGGAGAATGTGCTATGTGAAGTCTGCATTTTAAATAATCTATCCTTTGTTTTGTGACAGAGCACATGGCTGCAGCACACAAAACTAAACTTGCTCTCCAAAAAAAAAAAATTTTCTTAAAAAGCATGTTTCCGGACAGGCACAGTGGTGAATGCCTGCATTCCCAGCCCTAGGTGAGGCTGACACAGAAGGGTTCCAAGACTGAGACCACCTGGCTACAGAGCCACTCCCTGTCTTCCCAAGGGAGGAGACTGAAGCATGCTGTCCTTGCCATGCCCAGCATAGAGGGCATAGAGGGAGCCAGACCATGTCCTGGACTCCCCCTGCGGAGCAGGCAGCTCTGCACTGGCTAGGCTGGCTGTGGTCCTGATTCTTTCAGGCCTTCTTGGTCAGCTGCAGCATGGGGCACCCCATCAGGGTTCCTTGGGCCACCTGTGTCCTCTTCCTGGTCCTCCTCCCTCTCCCCCTTGCCAGTCCTGACACTGCTGTGGGCACTGGATCTGCTGTCTGCAGACCACAGTCAGACCTGCTTCTGCTGGTTTGCAGCTTTCCCCTGGGATTCTTCCTCCCTGGAAATCGTTTTGGTCACCATCCAGGCTGCCCAAGTCCACTACATGTGGCTCCTCACACAGGTTCCAGGCCTGGAGCCTCACTGCTGTCCAGCCCTATCTCCTCTGAGGATGCCAGGCCACTGACCAGTGGGGGCCTGTGACCTGGGATGTTGGATTTTCACGAGTCAGGAGGTGGCCCACCCTGGTGCAAGAGGGCACAGGTTCCCATGTGCAGGCCGGTGTGTCAATGCCCACAGCACAGGCTGACAGGATGGTGTTGGTGCCACCCCAATAGGGAAGTCATGCTGCAGACGTGCTCAGGTGGTGGCCAGAGTCCTGTGGGCCTGTGCTGTGCACCTTGGGGAACAGACTCCACCCAGAGCAGTCTGCTGGCCAGTGTGCCTGGGAGGACAGGGTGAGGGGCAGATTAAGTGAGCCCCTGGAAGCCCCTTCCCAGGAAGAGATGCAGACTAGGCAGGGTACTGGTGTTGCCGAGGTGTTTGTTTGGTGCATCCTCCCGGGGGCATCTCCAGAGCTGTGGCCTTCACACCCAGATCCATCCCAAGGGAGGCTCCAAGAGCCCACCATGGTGGTAGGGAGCAAGAGGAGGCGCAGGTGCCAGCAGCCTCCCCGCAGCATGTGTCCTCCCTTTCCATATGGAGTCACAGTATGGCTCAGGCGTCATCTGCTTCACCTTGCAGCTTTTCCTGCTGGTCATCCTGGTCGTGGTCAGGGGTCCAGGGCATGGCAGAGGGAGAACCCAGTCCCAGACGTGTGCCCATGTCCCTCCAGTGCAGGGCCAACCCAGTGTCCCTGTCTGCTTCTCTCGGCCTCATGCAGACTGGCCGCAGTGCCTTCCAGTGCCTACAGAAGTTCCAGCAGCACAACAAAGCCCTGAAGCGCAGAGAGTGGACAGAGGAGGAGGACCGCATGCTCACGCAGCTGGTACAGCAGATGCGCGTGGGGAGTCACGTCCCTTACCGCAGGAGTAAGTGTGCTGGGTGGTGCAGGGTGGGGGGCAGCCTCGCCCGGGTCTGCACTTCCTGCCTGTCAGAGACACTTCCACTTGGCCACCTTGAGCCCCTACTTTGCCCAGTTGTCTGCTGTGTGGAGGCTGCATCTCAGCCCCATACACCCGACTGTCCTGAGTGGTCTCCAGCTGACCTCTCTGTCCCCAGTTGTCTACTACATGGAAGGGAGGGACTCCATGCAGCTGATCTACCGGTGGACCAAAAGCTTGGATCCTAGCCTGAAAAAGGGGTTCTGGGCCCCAGACGAAGATGCTGTGAGTTGGAGGGGTCCAGGGAGAACCCGCCCCCTGGGAGGCCTGCCTGCTGTCCTGGGTGACTGTGAACAGCAGGCCCTGGGGTTCTAGCTGTGCCCCTGAGGTGCTCCTCACCTGCCCATCATGCCCGCAGAAGCTGCTGAGAGCAGTCGCCAAGTATGGGGAGCAGGATTGGTTTAAGATACGGGAGGAGGTGCCAGGCAGGAGCGATGCCCAGTGCAGAGATCGGTGAGTTGCTCAGGGGTTTGAGTGGCTGACGTCAGGGTGACAGGGCCAGGTGTGGCTCCACTGGGCAGGGGCGTGGCTGGAGGGGGGCATCACGATTGTGGTCCACCCAGCAGGGAACCTGGTCACAGGGCCCACTGTGTTCCCCTCCACACACACACACACACACACACATTTTGTGTTTGTGCCGCTTGTCACCAAGTGCAAGATGCTGGCTGCTGGGCCACCTCCTGGGTGCAGTTCTGAGCCTGGCCATTGAGTCCTCCAGGTTGCTGGGGCTAGAGTCTCCAGGCAGCAGCTGCAGCCCTCCCCTCCCTTCCTCACTGCCTTCTTTAGAGCAGCTCAGGGAGATGTAGCTCATGCACCTCACAACGCCTTAAAGCCTGTGGGTCAGCAGTTTGTAACCAGAGCATTGAGCCACGTGACATCGCCACAGTCACCTTGAGAGCTTGAGGGTGTTGGGCAACGAACCCAGGAGCGTCACCCTGAGCTGCACCCCAATCCTTTGTTAATTCTTTTTTGTTTTGTTTTGTTTAGTTTTTTTTTTTAGCAGGGTCTCACAGTGTAGTCCAAGCTATCCTTGAACTTGCTATGTAGCACAGGCTGGCCTCATATTCATGGCGATCCTCCTGCCTCGGCCTCCCAAGTGCTAGGATACCAGGTGTATGCCACTGTGCCTGGCCCGTTAATGTTTTATGTGAGACAGGGTCTTACCAGGTTACCCAGGCTGGGCTCACAGCAAGCCTCCAGAGTCTCAGGTTGACAGGTGTACGTCGTGTTTTTACCAATTTTAAAACACATTGACCATTCTGGAAAGCAGCTCCACTCAGCAGTGACACAGACCTCAGTCGATAAGGCCAAAGCCAAAGTCTCGCACAGAAGCCCTGCTGCAGAGGTGGTCTGGGCTTGTGGAAACATGCCTGCCATCTGTGATGTGCAGAGCCACAATGAGCCCACTTCACTGCCTCAGGGTGTCAGTGAGGGCAGTTGACAGGTGTGGCAAGGACGAGGGGCAGATGTTGGATGCTGTGTGGAAAGCGGGTGACTTCTCAAAGTGTTGCAGGTAGGACAATGTCCCTGGGTGAACCCCAGGAACAAATGCTGCCCAGCGAGCCGCAGTAGGACCCTTGGTGGTGACAGGACTGCAGTGTGCATGGCTGCTCAGCCTAGACAGGAGGGACTCAGGCCACCGTGTGACCCAAGCACGTTCTGAGCCTTGGCTGCAAGTCCTCATGTGAACATGTAACACGTTCCTCTAGGGGCAGGCCAGAGTGGCCCGCTCCAGCAGTTCCTGCGCTGAGCTTTTGAGGGACCAACAGACTGGCAAAGCAGCTGGGCCCCTCATTTCTAGCAGCAGTGCACAGAGTGCCCTGTTCTCACACCCATGCCAGCACCGCCTCGGCTGTGCCCTGACAGGCGGCCATAGGGCCTCAAGGGGAAGCAGTGCCTGGGTGTAGCCCGGGGCAGACTGATGAGAGGCATCTTTGCCTTCGCCTGCCAGCCATCTGTCACCGTCTCTGGCGAGCCAGCTGTTCAGATCCTTTGCCATTTGCAAAATCCCCACATTGTGGCCTTTGTAGGGTCTGGCCCTAGGTGCCCAGCAGATACCATGCCCACCTGTGGCTTGTCATTCCCTGGGGGCACCCTGTGAAGCAGAAAGGCGCTGGTTTTCAATGAAGTCCTTGCACATTGGATCTGCAGTCACTGCAGAAGCAGGACAGCAGTGGGAGGTGCCCTCATGTCTCAGGTCTGTTTCTCTTGGTGGCTTTCAGGTACCTGCGGAGGTTGCATGCCAGCCTGAAGAAGGGGCGGTGGACTGCACAGGAGGAAGAACAGCTGCTGGGGTTAATAGAGAAGCACGGCGTTGGTGAGCATGGATCCAGGATGCTGCCCTGTGGTCCCTGTCCTGATGGCGCTGGGCTCCCGGACACCTGGGGCTTCACTCATGCATGCCAGGCCGAGCGCACCCTCCAGATGCTTGCATGTTCACAAAGGGAGTGCAGGGGCTCAGGTGGATGGGAAGGAAGGCAGCTTGCTGCGCGCACCCACTCCCCACTCCTGGCTCTGCGCAGACAGCTTCCCTAGGCAGTGGCACGAGCCTGCATGCAACCAGCTGCCCGCCTGGGCTGTGTGTGTCTTCCCATACCCAGTTTCAGTGGCCTCGGGGCATTTCCCTGAAGAGCAGTGTGTAGGTTGTGCAGCCAGCCTTCTCTTCTCCCAATGAATGTTCCAGTTACTCCCTAGACTTTTGCTGCCAGGGAGGATTAAATGAGCAGTTTTGGCTTAGTCTTTGCTCATGTTTGTAGCATCGCCTCAGAATAAAGCCTAGTGGTGGGATTGCTATGTTTGAGGGTGACATATAGAATATGGAGGCTTTTGTTCCCTGTTGTCCCACTGTACCCACGTTCCACCCAGTGCTGTCTGAGAGACACAGGTTGTGATGGTCCTCAGTGGTGGACGTGCAGGGGAGGTTGGGCCCACACAGATGGTTTTACTCTCAGCTAGACGTTTGCCAGAGCTGCCCTGAGGGGTTCTTCATCCCCAGGATTCAGAAACTGTATGCTGTGAGTGCACCTTGCTTCTGCTGAGCCTGCAGGGCGGGAGGCAGGAAGCCCTGGGACATCCCTGGCTCTGGGACCCCACAGGCTTCTTGCCTGCCCTGGTCACTGGGTCAGCAGTTTCCATGTGGTTTTCCTCTTAAGGTCACTGGGCAAAAATCGCCTCTGAACTCCCCAACCGGTCTGGCTCCCAGTGTCTCAGCAAGTGGAAGATCATGGCTGGGGTGAGGCGCTGCCCGAGTCAGGGTTCGCTGGAAGTCAGGCCCCATCACCTCTGGACTTGCTGAGCCAGACGAAGGGAGGGAAGGTGGCGGGTGCATGGTTCCTGGCCCTGGCATGTCATCTTCCCAAGGACCCTGCCCTGTCAGCAGCAGCCCTGTGCCCCAGGGCTGACCTGTCCCCAGTGCCCAGCGCCTGCCTATTGTCCCTAAGTGGCCCTTTCCCCCTCAGAAGAAGCAAAGGGTGCAGAGGCGGCGGCGGCAGCGTCGACCCCGCCCCAGGGTCCGATGGAGTTCCAGCAGCAGCAGCAGTGGAGATAGTGATAGTGGTGGCAGTGGCAGCAGCAGCAGCAGCAGCAGCAGCAGCAGCAAAGACTCTGAGGTGGAGCTGGAGGAGCCCCCGCAGGCAGGCAGCATGCCACCGTCCCCGCAGTACACAGTGCCCGATATGGACCTGTGGGTTCCTGTCCGGCACAGCGCCACCCAGAGGCCCGAGGCCTCCCGAACGGCCCTGGCTCCTGGAGAGGAGAGGAGACAGGTGCAGGCGTCCTCCGAGGTCCTTGGCACCCACTCAGCGGGCACACAGCACACAAACCTGGAAGAGCCTGCCCACAAGGTGGGCAGGGGTACCCTACACATGTACAGAGGAGAGGGGTGCCTGGGCTCTGGGGTCACAGGGGCTGGCACTCGAGCAGCAGGCTGGCCTGGGCACCGCCACGCCCAGCTTAGATTCCTGCTTCCACCTGATGCAGCCGTGTGAGACCATAGCCTTTGGCAGCTGGCAGCCTCTGCTTTGCCAGCATGTTTGCTTTAGAGGCCCCTGGGGTGCCCTGCCTCAGGGACATGCAGGGCTGGCAGAGTCTCTGAGACATTTAGCCTCTGGGCTGGGAGAGGGGAGAGGAGACGGCACAGTGGGGAACGATGGTCCTGTGGCCTCCCTGTCCAGGACCCTGTCCACGTGCTCCGTGTGGCCACCCCAGTGTATCTGCCTGCCCCTCTGTCTTCGAGGACTTGGGCCCTAGGTGGGGCCAGAGCCCTGGTGCCCCTAGACTGCCTGGAAAGGGTAGCAGGGCTGGTGTAGCCTGAGCACCCACACGTGTGCCTCGGGCTTGCACGTGGTGGCATCCACAACAGCAGGCCTTTGGCCTGTGGTCTTTCCAGAGTGGACAGTGTTTGCTAAAAGTGCCACTGGAGATGGTGCGAAGGGTGCTTAGGAGCAGCACAGCTGCCCGGAACCCCTCACTGGTGAGGACCGGGGCGTACGCCCACTCCCGTGTGGCACCACCAGTGGTCCTGTCTTGTCCACTGTGGCCTGAGACAGTGGGGGCCACTCAGCACCTCCATGTCCAGCAGTTCACACGCCTGTCTTCTGCCCACAGGAGAGGCTGAGGCAGCCACCACGGCCCAGCTTACCCCCTGGGCCTGGCCCTGGTGACCGTGAGGCTGGGGCCCACCTGCGGCAGCTGTGGCGTAGAACCTTCCAGAATAGACACCAACGCCGCAGGCGCATTCTGCACCGGCGGCTCCTGGAACGCAGGCTGCTGCTGGCTGTGGCACCTTGGGTGGGTGATGTCAACCTGCCCTGCACACTGGCTCCCCAGAGGCCCGCAGTGACAAAGACTCGAGGTACTGCCCTGCCCCAGGGTCCTGGGTGGAGAGAAGGGGTACCACCTGCCCAGTGCACATAGGCTAGGGCTCTGAGCAGCAAGTCCTGGAGGCAGGAGGACGCACAGTCGGCTCCTCCTTGCCCTCACTGTTTCCCCAGGCCAGGCAGGGGCAGCCAGCTGTGGGGGGAACTTTGGAAAGAGACCCACCCGTGGCTGGAGGGCGCTCTTGGGCACCAGGAGGGCGGCTCCGTGGCACAGCCCCTTCCTATTTGTGCCCTTGTCCCCAGCTGATGGAGTCAGGACGCAGCTGGAGCGAGTGCACCTGGCCAGCACACCCGTGTTCACACTGTGCATGCAGGTGAGCTCCCCATGGTGGCGGCAGCTTTGCTTTTTGGCAAAGAAGTGAAATTCGCAGCAGGTTTCTTCCCTGCACACTGGTTACCTACGGTTTTCAGTCCCAGGAAACAGTCTTGTGGCTGCAGCTGGTACTGTGTTCCTGGGCCAGGAAGGGGCAGCCAGCATTGGGCACCCCAGCACCTGACGTCCCAGGGAGGAGGTTGGAGATGAGGGGAGAGGAGGCCCAAAGGAGCCGAGTTGGCCCTGTCGGATGGAAGGCGGCCGGCCGAGGACTGAGTGGGCTGCAGGCCCAGGGTTGGGCAGTGTGCGATGCCGCCCTGTCCTCGAGGCACTGCTTGGGCTGCAGCCCGAGCAGCCAGCGCCAGGGCTGCCCTCCATCTCCTGCACGCCTGCAGTCCCACTCGTTCCCCAGCTGCTACAGATCGACACTGCCGGCTGTATGGAGGTTGTTCGGGAGAGGAAGGCCCAGCTGCCCCCACCTGGCCCCCAGCATCCCCTACCACGTCCTCTGCAGGTAATGGGCACTTGGAATGAGGGGTGAGGGTGGGTGCAGGCCTGGGCCTGGCTCTGGCTGTGCTGCTTTCTGCGGCAGTGCTGAGCCTGTGTTCTGCGTGACTCAGTAGCAGGAGCTGGGGCGTCAGACTCACACACACATGGACAGTGGGAGGCCTCACCTCAGGGCCCCATCACCTGGGGGACAGCACCTCACCTCAACAGTGTCAGAGGACCCCACACTGCCCGACTGCCCTGTATGCTCTGGCCAGGGGCCTGGTTGTGGCACAGCACCCGGCTGAGCTCTCAGGGAGTGGGGAGCAGTAGGGTTCAGTGAGGACCATGCTGCCTGACTCACCCCCTTCCTTTCAGGTCCCCCCTGGAGCCCCAGCTCCCCCAGGTACTGCCTCTGCATTTCTTGGTGGGGTGGGCTGCACCTGCCACGTGCATGGGCCTTGGCAATGGTCACAGTGGTCTTCCTGCAACACCTAGGGCCAGCTCTGTTGGCTGCCACAGTCAACAAAGACAGCAGAGCTGGGTGGGGCCTGGGTCCCGAGGGCACGAGGCTGTCACACAGGAGAGAGCAGCTTGCAGAGTCCAAGCTCAGGGCCCAGGGGCTGTGCTCAGGCCACTTGGGGGCTTTGAAGTAGAAGACCTGGGAGCAGGTGTTGGAGCCCCTACCCACCACATCAGGCTCTCCCAAGCCTGTATCTAGCCACAACTGTAGCAGCAGCTGGCTGTATCCCTAGACTAGACGCCAGGTCTCCCCATCAAGGTGGTGTCCACCCTCCATAGGCTGCCGCCCTCAACAAGCATCGGCTCAGGACGTCGTGAGGAACACGCACTCCAGGAGCACAGAGCCAAAGTCCTGCTGGGTCCAAACCACCTCAGCCCAAGCACTCACACCGCCTCCACAGGGCCCCCGGCCCAGGCCGAAGACCGTGTCACAGCTGCTCCGAGAGAAGCGGCTCCACAAGGCTCCTACCAGGAAGGCCACCCTGGGCCCTGTGTCACTTACACCACAGCTGCTGATCTCGCCAGTGGTCCTCCAGCAGCCCCTCACATCAGCCTGCCAGGGCCCCCCAGTGGTGGGTCCTGCCTTCACAAGCACAGGACTCCCCAGGCCCGTGACTCCCACAGCAACTGTCACAAGTGCTTCTGGCTCCCAGCAGGAAGTAGGGACTTCAGGCAAGGACAAGGACCAGTGTCTGCCCATGTCACAAGTCCCACAACTTGCTCCCACCCTGGGCCCCGGCCAGGCCCCTGCAGGCTGCCCTCCGAGCAGTCTAGGTCAGTCTCAGGCCCCCACCACGACTCGGAGGCAAGGCTTACCTGAGGTTCCAACCTGCCTGCCTGCAGCCCCCAGCCCCGCTCAGCCACATATACAGCCCCTCAGCCTGACACCCGCGCTGGCCACCAGCATCCCCCTGCCCATCACCTGGGTGCTCACAGCCCAGGGGCTGCTCCCTGTGCAGGTACCGGCCGTGTTGGGCCTCCCCACACCGGGAGAGGTGCTCCAGCCCCCCAAGACACCAGCACTAGCACCACCAACTCCCTCTGGGCCTCCCACTTCCCCTTGTCAGCCCCCAGCCAATATGGGCACAGAGCCAGCACCTTCATCCAGGACAGCGCACTCTCCACCCCAGAGTTCCACAGAGGCAACTGGTGGAGAGGCGCAGGTGGCCAGGCCAGCATCAGCACCCAGGATGTCCTCCCAGGCCAACAGCCCCCACACAGGATCCCCACAGCCCGACCATCTGCCTGGTCCTAGTGGCCCCAGCTCTGGGGGTGATCCAGGAGGGACAGCGGTGCCCAGTGGACCCCTGGGTCTGGAGAGGCCGCTTCTGCCTGGGCTGGAGAAGAGGGCCCTGGACTTGGGCCTGCTTTGCCTGGAAAGTGAGGTAGTCACACAGGAGCAGTGGTTGCGAGGCCAGCGGGGCGTGTGTGTGCCCCCCTTGGAGACCAGGCTGCCCTACCAGCCCCCGGCCCTGTGTAGCCTGCGGGCACTGTCCAGCCTCCTGCTCCACAGGGCGGCCCTGGAGCACAAGGCTGCCTCACTGGCTGTCGACAGAGCAGTCGGACCTGTGGCCTGGAGGACCTCTCTGGAGCTGGTGCGCAGGCAGCTGCAGGACAACCCAGCCTACCTCTTGTTGAAGGCGCGGTTCCTGGCACTCTTCACACTGCCTGCACTCCTGGCCACTCTGCCTCCTGACGGTGTCCCCACCACCCTCTCGGCAGTCCTGAGCACAGGCCTGGAGAGCACTGATGAGGACCTGAGCGAGCTGGAGTCCGGGGATGGGGACGGGAATGAGCAGCTGGGCTGCACGGCACCCAGAATTCAGGCCAGGCCCATGCCTATGAGCCCCATGCAGGTGAGGACACCGGGCCCAGCCCTCTTCCCCTGTGGCAGGGTGACCTCCCTGCCTCCTCTGCTCATGAGGTCTTAGCTGTGTTTGTGAAACCCTTTCTCTTTTCTACAAGGACCTGTGACAGAACAACTGGGACTGTCCCTGGGCCTCCCTGGCTACATGTCATGAGTTCCCCCAAAGTCTCCCCGTTTCCAGGAGGTCTCAGGCGCTTGTCCTGGGGTTCAAGGCAGGGCCACGCCAAATTGCAGGCTGCAGAGGCCATGCGGCTAGGGGAAGGAGGCTCCTGTGCCCACCTGCGTTGCCCAGCCCTGTCCCTCTCTCAGTTGCCCTACTTCAGGGAGTAGAATGCCAGCCCCCTTGGATCTCAGAGGGGACTGGAGACCCCGCCAAGAGGACTGTAGAAAGCCAGGGTGCCTGTGGACCCTGGAAGGTGTCACTGGGGTCCCGGTAGGGCACTATCCTCATGCCTTCACCCTGTCCTGTGCCTAGAGGTCCCACATCTCCCTTCACCTGGGGTTTTCTTTCAGGGAACCCCAGACTCTGGAGAGGGCGCAGTCTCCTGCCTGGATGCCTCTGATGACCTGGATGTGCTCAGGACCCGGCATGGCCGCCACAACCGGAAGCGGAGGTGGCAGCTGTGAGTGCAGTCGAGGCCCTTGGAGGCGGCCTGCACTCAGGAAGAGGCAGAGTCCAGCATGTGGGGCAGCAGCATTCAGTGGACTGGCTGGGCTGATCACAGGCGTTCCTGGAACACTTATCCACCCTGTCTGTTGCCCCCACCCAGGTTCTGCCTGTAGCCTCTGGGCCCTCACCAAAGTGTCCCCTCAACCTAGCAGCCACCTCCTGCCATGAGACCCCTTCCCCTCCTCCCTGGGATCTCAGCGCCTCAGAAACATCCTCCGGGCCACCATCCCAGGGAGGGCACTGCTCCGACAGTGTCTGCCCACTGCTTTGCACACAGCCTATGCACTGTCCCTCTGATCCTAAGCCTGGACAGCGCCTCGCTGTCACTGGGTCCCAGGAGCTGCACGGCAGGTGCCCAGGGCCCCAAGTGGGTCCCCACTGAACCCAGAGGGGTGGCAAGTGGTCCTGAAGTGGGCAGAACCAGGAGAGGTGACAGGACCTTGGGTGTCAAGGGCTCTGGCTGGGGAACTGGGCCTGCTGGGGTCAGGGCATCCCTCCGTTCCAGGACAAGTACTTCTGGGGCCCAGGAGCCCACCCCACCCTGCAGAGGCCACAGACTGCCCTCTGCCTGTGGTGACCAAGCTGTCAGAGCTGGCCCTGCTGGAGTTTGGGTGTTAAAAGGAACAGACAGAACACTTTTGTACTTAAATGCAAGATGCAGGCTTTTGTGGTTTTGTTTCGAACACTGGGTAGCATGCCCATCTCAGGCTGCAGCCAGGGCCTCTGTGGTCACAGCAGTCAGCTCTGTGGGCATCCCCGGTTGCACCCTGGGGTCCTCCAGAGTCTTGCACCCTGGCCCTCATGCCCACATGGCCTCATGGAGCATGGGGAGAAGTCACAAGTGGTCCTTGACCATTCAGAGAAGCTGTGGCTCTGCTCACACCACGTCCAGCAGGGACTCCCAGAGCCCATGGTCACTGCAGTCACCCTCCCTTCTATGCCGGCAGCACATGGCAGGAGGCCAAGCCGCAGCTGTCTGTCCCTCTCCCCAGTGACACTGGCTGTCCTGTGGCCCCTGCTGTCTCAGCTGTGACTCCCTGTGCTCTTGCACAGCCTCTCACGTGGGACACAGGCTCTTAAGGGGGCTCCTCCTCCAGGCCCACGCCCTCTCACATGGCTGCCTTCCCCCAGGACTTCCTCTGCCTGAGGGCTGTTCACAGGTTTCTTCATTTCAAATGCCTGGGGGTTTTCCAGAGGCCTTTCTCTTGCTGATTTGGTACCTTCGTGTGACAGATTTTAAGAGCATGTACCCCAAGGAAGACACCATTGTCCTCTCACAGCTGGGAAACGGTGCGATGGGGGGCTCGTCAGCTCTGCACATGCCTGTTAGCACTGAGAGGGCTGGACAGGCAGAATCTCCAGTGTAGTGCAACCATAAGAGCCCCTCCACAGTTGGTGTGGGGTCACTGCCACACCTGTGGGGCGCCCTGCCCTGCCATGTGCCAGTTTCTGCCTGTCCACCTGTTGCCTCAGCCCAACCCAGCATGTCCACGGGTAGTGCTGTCCAACCAGCTACACCAGCTGAGGCTCAGCCTGGGGATTTCCCTCCTCCGTCTTGGGGCTGAGGCTCCAGAGCTGCCCAAGGTGGGGCAGAAGTGCAGATTTGACTGGGGTCTGCCATCAGCACCTCCTGGGGCTGGTTCTGGTGTCCTGAAGGTGCCTATATGACAAGGATCCAGATTAGGTCAGGGGCCCTGGCCCGACCATGGGCTAACAGCAAGGTGAAGCCAACAGGCTGGGGCCCTAGGCTGCTCTCTGGGGTTCCATGTGGGGGCTGCCAACTCTCAAACCTCTGTACCCAACCTATGCCCTGCAGGCCTGACACCAGTGCTATGACCCCCGGCAGCAGGTGGGGCTGTCTGGAGAAGCCTCCAGATGTTGTGCCCAGGCTACAGTACATAGGATGAGGTTTGGGGGGGTTGGCCTCCAGCTCCAGGGGTGTCTTTGCCCCTTGCTACATCCCCAGGTGCAAGACAGGGACTCCAGGTGGCCCTGGACCCCACCTCTGGACAGAAGAGAAGGCACCTAGCTCCCCAGAGGACTTCCACTTTACTGGGCCCCGCCCTAGAGCCACTGCGCTGGCCAATCAAGGCAGGCCAGCAGGGACTGTGCCCCACTGCAGGAGGACCCAAAACCCATCAGGAAGTGCAGCCTCCCGCCCAGGCTCCACACTCCTCCAACCCCAGGCTGGCAGCATCTTGCAGACACCCCAGCAGCTGCAGGCAGGTGGCTTCACAGGACCCCAAGGTAGGCCAGGCTGGCATCCTTCCAAAAAGTGGCTGAGCGGACCAGAGTGGGCTCTGCTTGGGTCCCAGGCAAGCGCCCCAGAGCAGCCTTGTGCTCTCACAGGCTGGCTGGGAGCCTTCATGTTCTTCCATTTCTTCACAGCCACTCAGTAGATTACAGCAGTGGGAGGTGGGAGACCAGGGTGGGGCTGTAGTAGGTTGGGAGAGGGTACGAGGGCAATGGCCCTGTGGCCCACAGACTGTCACTGGGTCTCTGCACAGAATGGCAGGAGGCACAGAGGATTAAGAGCTCCCACAGGGACCAGGCTGCTGTAGGACAGGGACCCAGTCAGGGGCGCTGGTCCTGGCAGCAGCTGCCTTACCCAGTCCCGACGTGAGTGGCTTCCTGTGTGCTTTGAGCAGGGGTCCCCATAGGACTGGTCCCAGCAGTTGTGACCATCCCAGGTATGGGGCTGGGGCCAGGGCCAGGCCTCATCAGGACAGCAGAGCAGGGATGGTGAACAGCAGCTTCCCAGCATGAGTGGCAGGGGCAGCCTCTCCCAATGTGCCCATGCCTGGCAGGGCAGCCCTGACCTGCCTGCCTGGGCAGCTCAGTGACAGCACTGCTGGGGTGGTTGCATCACCAGCCTCGGTGCGGAAGGATAGGAGGGCACTGGCCTCTGGGGAATGAGGAAGTGGGAGGGCCACTGCCAACCTACCTCTCGCCCCAGCCTGGATAGGGCAGGAGCGGGTGCGGGGGCAGAGTGCTGGGGGGGCATCCTCCCCCAGACCCACCTGCCCCTCCCGAGACCCAGGGAAAATTCCGAGGTGGCAGTGGAGGTGAAGGGTGCTGGCTGGGTGGCCTGAAGGGTGCGGTCACTGCACTTTGGCTGTCCACCCACACCACAGATCTGCATCCACCTTAGCAGCTGCCCTGACTCCAGCCCACCATGTCAGACTACGAGAACGAGGACGAATGCTGGAGCACGCTGGAGGGCTTCCGCGTGAAGCTCATCTCTGTCATCGACCCCTCGCGTATCACGCCCTACCTGAGGCAGTGCAAGGTCCTGAACCCCGACGACGAGGAGCAGGTGCTCAGCGATCCCAACTTGGTCATCCGCAAGCGCAAAGTGGGTCAGTGCCTCGCTCAGCGCCCTGGGAGCCAGTCCGGAGGAGGGGGCTGAGGGAGAGGCCTGACCGGCACTGTCGTGCGCAGGCAGGGAGCGTTTGTGCCCTGCCGGCCAGGCCATTGTGGTGAGACCCCAGCAGTGCGGAGGGGACACTGACAGGCCAGCGTTCACCCTCGCCCAGAGCGCCCAGCCCGCAGCCTCCCTCCACCTGCTCTGCGGCCCTCAGGTTTGCTCCTGGACATACTGCAGCGGACCGGCCACAAGGGTTATGTAGCCTTCCTGGAAAGCCTGGAGCTCTACTATCCACAGCTGTACAAGAAAGTCACGGGCAAGGAGCCGGCCCGCGTCTTCTCCACGATCATCGGTGAGGGGTGGGGTGGGGCCTAGACGGAGGGCGGGGCAGGTCGGGCCCTGTGGGCGGAGCAAGGATCGGGGGCGTGGTCAGGACTTACTGTGGGGCAGACCCTCTGGGGGCGGAGCCTATGTGCATGACAGGGGCGGGGCTTAGGCAGGCCCTACCCTATACCCCTGTCTTCCCTGCAACGGAGGACCCGCAGGAAGGTCGCCCTAGGGTTCAAGGGTTCTTGCCTGGCGTCCTTCCCACCCCTCAGGTTGTAGGGGTCCTGCTGTTCTCCAGAGCGGCAGGCAGGGTGTCTGCGTGGTGTGGGCCTCCTGGCCTCAGTATTCGCTCAGGCTGGACCCCCTGAAGCCCTGTCTTAGATATGTTTCAGCCTGGATGTGGGACCCTGTCGGCGCAGGCGGCCGGTAATGCAGAGCCAGCTGCCCTCCTGGGTCTCTGTCTGACCAGGGCGGGAGAGGCCGCCCTGACTTGGCTGCTGCCTCCCGGACCCCAGATGCGTCTGGGGAGTCGGGCCTGACGCAGCTGCTGATGACCGAGGTCATGAAGCTGCAGAAGAAGGTGCAGGACCTGACGGCGCTGCTGAGCTCCAAGGATGACTTCATCAAGGAGCTGCGCGTGAAGGACAGCCTGCTGCGCAAGCACCAGGAGCGCGTGCGGCGGCTCAAAGAGGAGTGCGAGGCCGGCATGCGCGACCTCAAGCGCTGCAAGGACGAGAACTACGACCTGGCCATGAAGCTGACCCGCCTGAGCGAGGAGAAGGGCGCCGCGCTCATGCGCAACCGTGACCTGCAGCTGGAGGTGGACCGGCTGCGCCACAGCCTCATGAAGGCCGAGGACGACTGCAAGGTGGAGCGCAAACACACGCTGAAGCTGCGGCACGCCATGGAGCAGCGGCCCAGCCAGGAGCGGCTGTGGGAGCTGCAGCAGGAGAAGGCGCTGTTGCAGGCGCGGGTGCAGGAGCTGGAGGCTGCGGCACAGGTGGGCACTGTGGGCAGTGCACACAGGGACGGGGAGCGAGAGTTGGGGGGCGAGGTTCGCACCAGGCCCACCCTCACTGCCCCCACCCCGCAGGACGGGAAGCTGGAGCGGAGCAGCCCCTATATCCAAGTGCTGGAGGAGGACTGGCGCCAGGCACTTCGAGACCACCAGGAGCAAGCAGCCACCATCTTCACTCTGCGCAAGGACCTCCGCCAGGCGGAGGCCCTCCGTACCCGGGTATGAGCAGTGATGCAGGCCAATCGGTGCCAAGCCGCAGGGGTGCTGGGGTCTGCTGAAAGTCTCCCTGTGCGTTTTTGTTTGCCTTTTGAGACAGGGTCTCACTATGTAGTTTAGCTGGGGTTAAGCTCACTGTGTAGCCCAGGTCTCAGACTCCTGGGTGCTAGGATTACAGGCATGCACCACCACCCCTGGTCTATGTGCCTGTTTTTAAAATGCAGCCTTTTTGCACACAAGCCTTGTCCGTGGCCCTGTCCTTTGGGCTCAACATGCCTGTGGCCAAATGCTGGCGGTGGCCATGGTCTCCCACAGAGACCATGCTGCTGTGGTCCTAGGCTCACGTGGTGAGCATAGTCCAATCATAGGAGCCCCCCAGCTCCTACCCTGAGTCCACCAGCCTGGAGGCCAGATGGGCCCTGGGATTGGGGTGGAGCTAAGGCAGCTGCCACTCTGCAGTGCTCCGAGGAGAGAGAGATGATTGAGCTGCAGTGCCTGGCCCTGCGCAAAGACTCCAAGATGTACAAGGAGCGCATCGAGGCCATCCTGCAACAGATGGAGGAGGTTGCCATCGAGCGGGACCAGGTGGGCATGGCAGGGAGGGCTGGTGGTGTGGTGGTACTCACCTGCGATCCCAGCTTTCTGGGAGGCTGAGGCAGGAGGATTCAAATTTCCAGCCCCACCTGGTGACTATAAACACTTAGATCCTGTCTCCAAATTTTTTTTTTTGGTCTTTTTCGTTTTTATTGGTACCAGGGATCGAACTCACAACTGCCTGCTTGCAAGGCAGGCGCTTATGCCGCTGAGCTAAATCCCCAGCCCCCTGTTTCCAAATTTAAAAAAAGGACTGGAATGTAGCTCAGTGCACAGGCCCTGGGTTCAATACCCAATACCAGGGGGAAAAAAGTATGTAAACAGTAGTGTCGTCAATTCTCCCTCCTCCCCAACCCCAGCCTTTCCTAGCCTCAGGGAAAACCTTAGCCATCTCAGCCCCTTCTTTTCCGGCTTTCCTCAGTGCTGTGTATGGTAGTTTTGTTTCCTGCATCTCACTGTGCAAAAACAGGAGCTTTCTACCTACCCTGTTTTGCAAGTGGTTTCAGTGAGTCATGGACGCGTTGGCCTGCAGAACCCCTGGCACCACATGATGTTGAAACAGGCCGGTGGCCCACACTCATCCTGTGAGGAGTCGGCAGAGATGGGGTGGAGGTGGGAGGACTCCCCAGTGGGCAAAGCCCTGTGTCTGCTTCCTGGATGGGGCTGTGGCAGCCCCTCCTCCCTGGATTCCCTTCCCGGTGAGCTGAAGTTTGGCTCCTTCCAGGCGGCTCTAAGTTAGAGTGGGACAAGAAGTGGGGTGATGGTCAGGCACTGGCCAGCAGGGCTGGGTGCCCCATGTTATCTGAAGGTGGTATGGGGGTGGAGGTTCTTGGTGTCCCAAACAAAGAACTGAGCAGGATTCTCGGACAGCGTAGCAAGTATCAGGTTTATTAAGAAGTAGTGAGGACAGTAAGCGGAAGTGGTGATGGTCCACTGTGAGAGTACCAGTGGCCAGAGAGCCCACTTCTGAGTCGGACGAGCACTGGTTCCCTTTCGATGCCAGGACTGTGTGAGATGGGGATAGGCAGGAGTCACGGCCCAGTGGATGGGTGCCCTGCTTGCTGGCCTGTCCTAAGGGCAGACTTGGACCACACAAGGTTTTCAGAGGAGGTGCCATGGCACCCACAGCCCACTGAGGGGAGTCAAAGCCAAAATGCAAATGAGGCTGGAGCAGGCCAGGGTTTGCACATGCCTGGGGCGTCTAGGGGATAGGGTAAGCATTATTGATTGGTTTGCTGATTTGTGGGTTTTTTTTGCTTTTTGAAATAAGTTCTCAATATGTAGTTCAAGATGTCCTTGAATTCACTGTGAAGCCCAACCTGGGTTTGAACTCGTGACAATTCTGCTTACAGCCTCCCAAGTGCTGGGATTAAAAATTTAAGCCACCATACCTGGCTGTGATTTGTCTTTTGAACCAGAGTGTCTCTATGTGGCTCAGGCTCAGTGATCTTCCTGCTTCAGCATTCTAGGTGTTGGGATTATAAGCGTGTGCCACCACGTCTGGCTGGTTTTCTGGCATTTTGACATAGCTGTTCTGGTTCCGCCTTCTCCATTCCTACGCCACAGTTTCTGTCATTTGCTTGCCCTTGCTCTATCTCCCATCTCGCCCGGGGCTCTCCACAGCTCCTGTCACTGAGCTGGGGTTGAGCTTTCTCCTGAGCTGTAGTCTGGCCCTCCGCAGCTTGCACGGGGACCTCACACCTGGGGGCCCTGAAGGGATGGGCATTAAAGGACCTGAGGCAGCATGGGTGATCATGTTCTTGGTATTGGTTACCTCCCAGAGTTATAGGACACACACCTGTGGGTGGGGCATAAATGTGCTGCTTCTCCACTATGGGGGCGCTTTTTGTGGGGGACACGGTCCCCAGGACTGTGCTCAGCACTAAACTGGGGAGTTTCTTCTGCTTCTTTGCCCCTTTCACATCCATGCTTTCCATCGGGAGCCTCCTGACTGCTTTCACAATTGCTGGAAGCTAGCACCGTCCTCCATGCCCTGGGGTGCTGTGGGTTGCTGGAGTGGGGCATGCTGCCTGCCTCGGCCTGCCCGCTGAGCTGTGCCCTGGTGTCCCCAGGCCATGGCCTTGCAGGAGAAGCTGCATACACAGTGCGCCCGGAGCCTGCAGGAAAAGGACGAGCTGCGCAAGCGCATCCGAGAGCTGGGAGAGAAGGCCGACGAGCTGCAGCTGCAGCTGTTTCAGAGTGAGGGCCAGCTGCTGGCCGCCGAGGCCCAGCTCAAGCAGCAGCAGCAGCTGGACACGCTGGTCCTGGTGGGCCTGGGTTGGAGCAGCTGAGTGTACAGTGAGGGAGCTGGGCAGGTGTCAGCCCCTTCCTTCTCGGAGGGGCTGTGTGTCCTTGTGGTGGGGCAAAGGCATGTCCATGGCTTTTGCTCGAGTGGGAAGTGGGACTGCAGAATGGTGGTGGTGAGACCGAGCGACAGCCCACAGGCAGCCCAGCACGGAGGGGTGTGGGGAGGGGAGAGGAGAGAAGCACACAATCCGCTGACACCCCCCCCCCCATCTGGGAACACAGAGCTCTGACCTAGAGGACAGCTCACCCAGGAACTCCCAGGAGGTAAGTGGCTCCCACCCTTCTGCTCCCCAGCCCCCAGGACCTCTGTGGACTCAGAGGTCAGAGGACTGACAACAGGGCTACCTCCTCGGCCCCATCGTGCCTGGCCTGGCAGCCTACAGAAGACAGTGTGGGCTGTAGAGTGGGCCAGGTCCAGGGCCGGAGGGGCAGTGGTAGCCTGCAGGGTGGCCTAACAGGACAACCTGCCTCTCTCCGGAAGCTCTCACTGCTTGGGGACCTGGAAGATGACGGACAGCTCCCAGACAAAGGTGAGCAGGCAGGGATACACAGCAAGCCTTCAAGGCGGGTCCTGGACAGCTCTCCAGAATGCTCTCAGCAGGTTCAGCCAAGCGATGCATTCCCCTGCTTCCATCACCTGCCACACCCTCACATTCACATGGAGAAATGAAGGCTTGGGGATAAGCCACGAGGTCAAGGACACCCAGAGAGCAGAGAGAGAGTCAGAGTCTGATTGGGACGTGTGGCCCACAGCAAACTTGTCCATGGACACAGACTGTGGACACCCCTCCCTGTGCAGGCCCTGGGATCACAGAGGGGACCAGGTCTTGCCTGTCTAGCTTCCCTGCAGAGGGACACTGCAGTAGACCAGTGTCCAGGTGTACAAGGCTAGGAAGTGAGGGTCTACTGTGCTCTGGGCAGTGGGGCCAGGTGACTATGTGCTGTCCCCAGTGCCAGACGTGGCAGAGGCTTTGAGCAGCTGGGCAGCATCCCACCTCTGCTTTTAAAATTGGGCTATTCATCCCTGGGCCTGGGCCTGGGGTGGGGAGAATCTGTGGGTGTGGTTGCTGGGAAGGTGAGAGGTGGCAGAGGGAGGAGCTGGGGTCTGAAGTTGTGTGGGAAGACACACCGACTTCCCCAGATCAGCCTGACCCAGCTTCCATGCAAGGGAAAAGGGGGAAGCAGCAGCAGCAGCAAATGGAGAAGTGGGGCCAGCCACCAGCTGCAGCTGGGCCATGTGAACCTGAGGCCAGTGAGCCCACATGAACAGAGGCTGGCAGGACTCAGAAGCTGCCAGGCAGTGTGAAGCTGGAAGGGGTGGGGAGGGTGTCAGTCAGTGCAGATCAAGGGAGACCCTAACAGTGCAGCCCTACCCACCCCCACGCACCTTCTGCCCAAGGGGCCAGAGGCCTGCTCTACTGAGGCCCTGGTGCACTCTGGCACTTGGGCAGTGTAGAGTGCCCAGCTTGCTACTCATCCCCACGCCCACACTCTGGGTGCCAACTTGCCCCAAAATGCCCAGCATCTGCCTGGGGCACACACAGGAAAAGTGTCCTGGGCTCGAGGTCTTTCCTGTGTGCACTTGCTCTGTTTGGGGCTGTCAGCTTAGAGAAGCCGGCCGCTGAAGGTGGCCCTGGGGACCAGTGCTGGGTCTTGCCCTGGGGCCGCCTCCTGTCTCTCCTCTGTGCGGTGGGAAGTCTTCACAAGACCTCCCGGACTGGCCTGGGCAGAGCCAGCTTGGCAGAGGGCAGGGGCTGCAACCACAGGCCCTGCCCTGCTGTTTTCCAGGTGGCCTGGCCGAGAACCTGGAGCAGCTCTGTGTATCCCTGCAGAAGGAGCCGTGCTCCCTGAGCCCCCACGTAAGGCTTATGGGGTCTTCGCTGTCCTGCGTCTTACTGGCCCTGGTCGGTCATCGGGGAATCAACTGCGGGGTGATCCCCAGATCCCCGCCTGGACGTTCTTGGGGTGCAGCGTCTGGAACACTAGCAGCGCCACTCATGTCCTGCAAACAGGCAACAGTGGACTTGGGGGCCTGACGGGGCGGTCGGGAGGGGGCGCAAGGGAACCCGGGAGGGAGGAGCGCGCGGCTGCAGCTGGGCTCGCCTCACAGGACCTGGGTCCCAGTGTGGGCGGGGAGCCCCCCGAGAAGGAACGACGGCGCCTCAAGGAGAGCTTCGAGAACTATCGCAGGTAGGTCGCGGGCGCGGGCCGGGGTCGAGACCACACGGGTGACACCTGCTAACACCCGCCACCGCTCCCGCAGGAAACGAGCGCTCAGGAAAGTGCATAGCGGCTGGCAACAGGGTGAGGGCGACCGCGGGAACAGCAGCGGCAGCGACAACACGGACACAGAGGGCTCCTAGCGCGTCAGGGATGCGCAGACTCTTCCCCAAGGACCTGGCGTCCTATTCGCATTGTACTCTAAATGTGCATTGTAGGAGTCTGCAGCACGCGACTAAGTAAATAAAAACAACCTGCGAGGCAACCACGCAGTAACGCAGGGGGCGGCGGAGCGCTAAGCTCTGGAGCGGCGGACGGAAGCCTGGGGAGCCACTTCCGCCTGCGGTGCCCACTTCCAAGATGGCGGGAACAGCGTCGGGCGCGCGGGGCGGGGCCGGGGGAGCGGCCTAAGTGGTCCATGCCGGCGAAATGCTGCGGGCCGTACTGGGTCGCGTGCCGGCATTGCTGGGCGGTGTGCGGCGCTGGGGGACCGGCCTGAGGCGAGTGAGGTGCCCCCAGTCCCACCTGGAGGTCGCGGAGAGACGGCAGGCCTGGTGCCGGGGCTGGCGGCACTTGAGCTCAGGGCCGGAACCCTCGACTGGGCTGGGGCGTGTGGAGTCGGAGCACTACCAGCTCGTCTACACCTGCAAGGTGGGCACAGGGCGGGGACGGGCCGTGCAGGGATATGGAGGGCGCTACGAGGGGACGTGGCCTCGGTGGGCCCGAAGATTGCGCCTGGCTCCGAGTGGGTGGGGCTTCTCAAGGGGCGGGGCTGCCTAGGGTCTAGGCCAGTCAAAGGACGGGGTCTTCCAGGGGGCGGGGCTACGGGGTAGGGTCTTCCCGGGGGCGGGGCCTTCCTGAGGCGAGGTGCTCTCCGGGGACTAGGCCGTCCGGGTGGTGGGACTGTATCAAGGAGGGGCCGTGCCGGGGCGCGGGGCTCTGGGGCGGGCCCATCCCGAGGATAGATGACTCGGCGGCGGGGCCAGCGCGAGGGGCTGGGCTTTCCGAGGGCGGACCTTCCCAGGTGTAACCTGTCGGGGGCGGGGCCTTCTTGAGAGGGGCGGAGCTGTCCATGTTGAGACTCGCTAGTCCTGGGGAGGACACTTCCCGGAGCCTGACCCGGTTCGCCCCAGCCAGGTCTGTGGGACTCGATCCTCCAAGCGCATCTCGAAGCTGGCCTATCACCAGGGCGTGGTCATTGTGACCTGCCCGGGCTGCCAGAACCATCACATCATCGCAGACAATCTGGGCTGGTTCTCCGACCTGGATGGGAAGAGGTGAGGCCCGTGGCAGAGTGGGGTTGAGGAAGGCTTGGGCCCTAGGACAGGTGGAGGCCCCGGTGACACCGGCACAGCAGCACTCACCTGGGCCCCTGCTCACCCCCACCGGGCAGCCCAAGCTCCTATCCTCCAAGAGCCTGGCTCAGTTTGAAGTTCAGGTCAGGAACGGCCTTTTGGTACTGGTGCTGGCCCTTCAAGGGGCAGCTGTGGACCTGGGCAATCTGGGCTGCTCCCCTGCTGTGCTCACTGCAGTCTTGTCCGTGGCTGTGGTAACTCCTGGGGAGGGGTGAAAATAGCAGTGCTTGGCAGAGCAGAGGCAAAGGTCCCGTGGAATCCATGTGCCAGGCGCTGGGCTGCTGCTGGGCCATGGCCCCATGGTCCTGCTGAACACCAGCAAAGTCTCTTCTTCCACCCTGTGGGAATGGGGCCGGCTTCTGGGAGTGGCCCTTGGTAAGTAGTCACCTCCTGCATTACACCTCGGGTCACCTGCTGCGTCACCCTTGTACCATATTCCTGGCCAGAGCCAGCATGGGTGCCCACAATGGGGCTCTGTGTGTGGTGACACTGCTTCTCTGTCTTGCAGGAACATTGAAGAGATCCTGGCAGCAAGGGGCGAGAAGGTGCACCGGGTGTCTGGTGAGGGGGCCCTGGAGCTGATCCTGGAGAATGCAGGGCCCCCCAAGTCCCCTGTGGGCCCAGAAGTGGATGATGATGCGGATCCCACCCACACTGGCCAGACCAAGCGGAGCTGACCCCACAGTTCCTGGCACTGTTGGTGTCTTCCTTTGGCAGGGACATTTGGTTGATCTGGGTTGCTTGGCCACAGCTTCCTCCTGTCGGTAAAGCTCCTCTGCACATGGGGCCTGGCTCTCTGGTCTCTATTCCAGGCTCAGAACCGTTTCTCTGAGCACCAGAACCCTGCTCAACCTGTCTCCTCATCTTTCCCTGTTCACAGCATACCCAGGTGGATCCCAAACTTGTGTGGCCTTGGACAGGGCGCACCTCCCTGCCTTCCTGCTGTGCCCCCTGCCACCCCCTGGATGGGGTGGGCTCACCAGAGCTGGGTGAGGAGCCTGAGTCTGCAAGGATCCCCCAGCCGCCTGGCCCCACCTCCTGCATGTGCTTCATCTCCGGCTTTGTTTGACTGGTGCGCAGGATGTTCCTATGTTTAGGGAAGTGAGTGATCCCAGGCATGGTCCTCTCCAGTTTTCTCTGCCATGTGACCTTCAGCATTAATCACCCGCCCTGTCTGGCAGGGAGGCACCTAAAAGGGGAGAGGGTGGAGGTAGTGGCTGAGCCTAGTGAGACAGGGACACAATTTGCCCGTCCCTCCTGGACCCAGCTAGCGACTACAGCTCACTCCGGCCGTGGGAGGCTGAGCGTAGGTGCAGCTTGTGCCCTTGTTCGATTACCCCCTGTCCTCTACTCTGCCAGCAGCCTGCTATTATCCCCACCTGTCACTGGGGAGAACTGTCGTCAGCCTCCAGGCTGGGCCTGCCCCCCGCCTCCAGCCTGCTCCTCATGGAGGCCCAAGGTCACAGGAGACCAGCTGGGGCTTCCCAGGGTCCTGGAGCGGGTTAGGTGGCTCTGGCTGGGCCAGGCCTGGGCTCCTCCCTGCCTCTGACAGTCAGATGCTGGCTAGACCTGGAAGTGCTGGCTAGACTCTGCTTTTCTAAACGGGGAAACAGGCCTGCTGTGCAGATGGGGTTATTCACCCTGCCTTTTCCATATCCCAGGGCCTGACAGCCCATTCCACATGCACCCTGCAAGTCAGAGCCCATGCCTCGCTGTCCTCCCTGGACTCATGTTAGGCTGCTGAGCCTGCCTCGATGGGGGCCCGGGAACAGCAACCTAAGCCAGCCTGTGTGACCGGCGCAGCTCCAATGAAACAGGACACAGGAGATGCTTTTGTGGATGACAGTTAACTGCTGCTTTATTCATGCGGGCTCTGGTTTATATATTTGGCCGTGACCAATCACAGGCTGCCACAAGGAAGCAGGGCGGGAATGGGATGCAGGCTCCGGCTACTATATCCAGCTGTGGCCAATCAGGAGTTGCCACAGAGTATGGAGTGAGCACGACTTAGCGCACGGGTTGGCTAATTTAAAGAGGGACGTAGCGCATTGCGGAAGCTGGCGTGGTCCTTAGTCCCGGGTGGGGTATGGTATGTTGAGCGCCTGCGCCCAACACCTGTGTGCCTGCCCAGGGCTCCGAATTGCTCAGGCCTTCCAGCACCCAGCCCTCAGCTCCTGCTCCCTGCTGTCCCATGGAAGCCACACCACCCTGCCTTGTGTCTGGATGCAGCCTTCCCACTCCAGCTCCTGTCCCCGTAGGGTGTCCTCTGGATGGTGCACTGGGTCCATGGGCCTAGGCCAGGTCAGGTCCGCGGGCCAGTGAAATGTGACCACACAGTGTCCCCTGCAATCTTTCTGCAGGACATCTCAGTTCCCCGGGGAGCTGGCCCTCTTAGAACAGTGGGACAGGTTGACAGTCTGTCCTCAGTGCTGTGAGCCACCAGGAGCCCCAGTGGCCACACCCTCACCCACCTTGCCTTTTCTCCTGACCTTCCCTCTCTAGAGGGACAGTGGGCACCTTCTACGAGTGGCCCAGCCCTTCCTGCCTGCTCGTGCCCAGCATGTCGGGCTCCTAGAGAGGGCTCTGTGCCGTCTTCCCCACAGCTTCTCTGATTTCTAGGTGGGTGCATGAGGTCAGGGACCTTGTGATCCAGCCCAGCTCAGTGGCCACAGGCGTGACCCTCTATCTAGGGTCCTCACTCTGGGTGTCCGTCCTCTCATCTTTGGCACTACTGTCCTCACTAGGCCTCTTGTCCAGGGTCAGCTACTCTTTATACTAAGGGGGCCCTGGCCATGTCTCAGCTGGCTTCTCCCTGGGGTAGCTTCTCAGGGAAATGGGTGCAGTGATTCTGACTTAGAGAGGTCACACAAGGGTCCCCAGCCCCTCCTGTGATGGGGTGTTGGGTCAGGGTGAGGGAGCCTGGGATGGCCGTGGCAGAGGGGCTGCTTTGCTGGGACATTGCTGCACCTGTCCCTGGCCTGCACCCACAGGGTGTCTGTCACCCACCCCATGCACTCTGAGCTCCTACGATGCTTCTGAATCGGACCCACCTGGATCCGTGTGGGACTGGGCTCTAGGTTGAAGCCTTGGGCTGGGGTGGCAGCAGTAGTCCTGGCCTGTGACCATAGGGCCCCTGCCACCTGCCCTTGGGAAGTTGGGGTGATGGGGCTTGGGAGGCAGAGGCCTCCTATGCCAGTGGGCTGAGCCCAGTCCACGGCCTCCCGACAGCCGCATTTGTGGTGGGCTTGGATGGCCTGGGACCCCCCCCCCCCCAGAAGGGCCAGTGACCCTGCCCTGCCCCAGTCCCAGCAGGAGGCACAGTCACTTGGCAAACTTTATTTATCAGGATAAACGCAGACGTACCTCTTAGTGGCCGTGGGGACCCCTGGACAACATGGCACAGGCGAATGAACAATAAATACACATGTACATTCAAGTATCAGGTGCCGGCCCAACACCCCACCTCCATGCCCCCTCACCTCCTGGGGTTGCCCCTTCTTAAAAGCAAGGTCACCCTGCTGATGGCCCAGCTGGTCTTCTAGCCTCGCTGTCCCCTGTGGTGGCTGCCACAACACTCTGGGGATCGAGGGGCCATGTGTACCCCAGAATCTGCAGGCAGGAGTCTGGATGGGAGCAGGCAGCCATGAGCCCCAAAGCAGGGCCAGCCCAAATCTTGGGGTCTCCAGCTTGGTGCCACAGACCAGCCCCCTCTGGGAGAAGGCTGCAAAGTCACCCCCTTGCTGGTGGAAGCAGGTGCGCATGGTGGGTCCCCAGGGTTGAGCTGAGCCACCCCAACTTGGTGTGGCGTGTCTGTCAGCCGGCACCCATGATGCATCCTGTCAGCTCTGGGGCTGCCCAGGGCTCAGAGTTCCTGCCGTCTGTCCACTGTGTGGACAGAGCTGGGGCAGGACCCGCCTGCCCCACCACAATGCCAGGCTCTTAGTGCTAGGTGCCCAGTGCTGCTGGGAGACTGAAGCCTGGACTACACTGTCCACCAGGACCAGCTGGGGACAGAAGCTGCCTGTGATGCTGGCAGCCCCGGGAAGTCGTCCTAGACCGCCCCAGGGGGCCTGGGGTGGCGGTGGGTTTCACATTTGGCTGGGCACAGTGGAGGCTGGAAGGGGATTCTGGACAGTACTGGGGCTAGGGCTGCTTGCCAAGGGCCTGGCCATGAGCAGGGCAGGGCTGGGCCTGCAGGAAGCCAGGTACCAAGTGGGGACAAGAGCACACCTTCCCTCACAGGCAGCTCCAGGCCAAGGGCCCAGAGTGGGGTGCTGTGTGCCCAGTCTCAGCTCAGCGGGAAGGCCCAGGGGTGGGGGCTCAGAGCTAGCCTTCAGCCATGGCTTCCTGGGGGCATAGCCACTGTGGGCAGTGAGCCCCCAAGCACCCAGAGGTGGGTTGCACAGCCTTAGCTAGCACCAGGCTGGCTCTGCTGCGGGGGCTGGGGCGGCTCACCAGCCTCCTGCTGCCCCTGGCTCCCAGTGAGGGCAACGCGCTGCTCATCCATGCGCTTGGCCTGCACCCTCTGAATGAGGCTGAAGAAGTCCTCATCCGGCATGGTGGGGCCCCGGGGCAGTACGTCGGGTGGTGGGCACCGCTGGTCGTCGATCCTGGAAGACTGAGCAGATGTGGTGGATTGTGGTCCCTCTGCCCTGGCCCTCACAGTGCCCCTCCTGGCTTGGGAGGTCTGGCTGGCCACCTCAGGGCTCCCTGCATCCCCCAGCCCCACAAACATCTGGAGCTGTGTCTCCCCTCTCCAGATTGGGTTGAGAGATACCTGCTGGGTGGGGAGTGAGCCAGGCCTGGGACAGGGCTGTTGGGGTTCCACTCCCTGGGCCTGCTGACCCCCAGAGGCTGACTGGGGTGTGGCTGACCCTCCGCACTGGCCTTGAGGGACCCTGAGTGGCCTGGAGTGCACAGCTCCAGAGCCCCTGACGTGCTCCCAGTGCATGGTTCTCCCTTGGGTCAGATGGCCAAGTCCTTGAGCCCTGCTGCCCTGGCGGGGATGCCGTGTGTCTGAGGGGGCTCCTGGGCTTCTCTGCAGGACCCGAAGCAGGAGGGATTGGAGCTGCTGGTGTGCGCGTGCGAGAGGGTGGGGGGCTCTGGGCCTCTCAGAAGAGGCTGGCTCAAGGGTGACCGCTGAGACACCTGGCCTGCAGTCCCGCTTCTGCCTCTGCTGTGAGAACGAAGGTCACATCTGGAAACTGGTGGGTCTTGCTCAGGATGGCACTGCAGCTCCTGCCCCAGCCACCCTGCGTCTCCTGACCCCAAACCCCAGCTCTGCTGCCTCCCTGGCTGTGAGGGCCCCTATGTCACTGGCCCCCAGAAAAGTCTTCCCAGACCTGTGTGTGAGGCTGGGGAGAGGGCAGGGTTCACTCTGGGCTGGGCACAGCAAGGAGAGAGAGGCCAGGTGAGGGTCCCGAGGCTGGGAGGCCCCAGCCTGGCCCCCATGGGCATCCAGTGACACTGGCCACACTAGCCCTATCCCTCAGCCTGTTGTTCCACTCCCTGTGTTCGCCTCTCTGAGGACATAGCCTGAGTCAGGGACTGGGCCACTGCAGCCCACTAGGTGCTTCCCCCAAAGCTGGCAGCACCCGCCCCTGGCCTCCCGACTGCAGGCCCACCTGGTATTTGATGAGCATGTTGAAAAACTCGTCCCCTGGCTCCTGGGGGTCCCCATCCCCTCGGAGGTGGCCCACGTTGTTGTGGGTGATGCGCAGGCCAGGCAGGCTGCCCACACTGGCCCGCTGGTCATCCAGCCTGCGGCTCTGGGAGCTGGCAATGAGATCGAAGAACTCCTCGGTCTGCGGGGACGCTGTCACAGAGGGCTGGGCTGCAGGGGCAGAGCGGGAGCCTGGGTGGGGTGCACGTGTTCCGGGAGGGGGTAATCACGTGTTGCCCAGGGTGCAGGCTGGGGATGAGTGGGGCGCTTGGTGACAAGGGGCCCTTTGCAGCTGGCCTGCCCCCCACCCACTGTGGGCTCACAGGGTCCCGCAGGCCTGTGGGAGATCTGGCTGCCCAAGAGGCCCATGTGGAAGGGGGCGGGGCCTGGGCCCTGACTCACCAACCCGCTCTTTTAGTGTGGCAGCTCCCGTGGCCTCGGTGGCCTCTGTCTGGCCCTCCTCCAGTGGGCAGCGCTGGTCGTCCATGCGGCTGCTCTGGAACTTGCTCAGCAGGTCAAAGAAGTACTCCTCGTCTGAGGATGGCGCCCTTGGGATGCCCTGTGGGCCAGTGCAGGGTCAGCACAGTCCAGGCTGTGCCCTGGCCATGGCAGAGGTCAGGACCCTCCTGCTCCCTGTCATCTACACCCAGGCCACCACCCCCTTGACTGTCTTCCCTGGCCACCTTGTGCTCTGGGCCAGGAGCCCACGTCCTCTGGGTCCTCCTTGTGTCCTGCTCTTGAGCTCCTGTCCACCCCAGGCCAAAATGCACCTGTCCAGGCCCTGGCACAGAGCACTGTCCACTGGGGACAGACAATGGATGCACTAGCAGACCATGGCAGGTGGAGACTGGAGAGCCACTACCAATGTGCTGGCAGGGGGCAGAGAAGCAGTGGCAGGGAGCCCCCAGGCAGGGCAGCCTACGCTGCCCTCTAGGTTTAGGGCAATGTGTTATGATGTCCTGGGGGGGCACAGGTGGGTGGACCCAGCCCCTGGGATATGGAAGAGGCACTAGCACCCTGGTCCTTCTCTAATTCAGAGATGACTAGAGGGTTGATTTGGGAGGCCAGATAGAAACTCCCTGAATCAACTGAGCCAGGCCACCTGCCCCAGAGTGCCACACCAGGCCTCAGTCCAGCACCAGTCCTGTCTGCCTTTGTGGTATGGGGTGGGCTTGGGATTCTGTTGGACAGGGTTGACCTGCCCTGGGGTAACCTCCCAGGTCCCAGGCAGGTCCCACCCATGGCAGAGGGATAAAGGGAGGACTGTGGGGGCTGAAAAGCCTGATGCCGGGTCTCGGGGCCTGTGTGTGAGTCCAGACCTCAGCTTGTACATCATGGGGCACCGAGGGTCCCAGCCGGGAGAGGACTGAACAACAGAGTCAGGTCTGCAGAGTGGCGGCCAGCTGAGTGCTGGACACAGCCTTAAGTTTCTGCCACCTGTGGTCTCATGCACTGGAGGCAGCCCTGTGCCTAGAGGTCAAGGCCCAGAGTCCGTGTCCCTGCTCCAGGTCACACAGTGGCAGGAGGGCATGTCCTGCATATGTGGCTCTGGATTAGCACCAGGCTCAGGTATTGAAGGTGCTGTTAGGAACCAGGCAAGGGTGTGTGGGCAGGAGGAGGTCTCCAGGAAAGGAGACCCCTTCTGCTTGGGGCCGGTAGGTCTGCCCTCTCCTACTGTGCCCAGGGTGGGCTCTGTCATCTGGAGCTGGGACAGAATGGGGAACAGGTGAGGGGCTGGGCCAGGGCACCCTCAGCCGGGCACAGAGTGGCCAGGAGCTACACGGGCGCAGGTGAGGGCTGTGGGCCTTGACCGAGTCAGACACAGCAGGTAGGGCAGCTCAGCATGGGTCCCCCAGGCAACCCAGCCGGGCCCCTCTGGTAAAGGCAGGACAGGAGGGGCTGTCACCTCTGTGCCAGCCTCCCCTGGCTAAAGGGATACACATGAAGGGAGCAGGGTTTGCACCAGGGTCCTCCGGCCCCCACCCACGGGGCTGGCAAGATGTCACAGCAGTGTCAACCCCAGGGTCCCAGACCTGTCAACCCCCTTCCCAGCCCCGGGCCACCTCCAAGGCCCAGGTACAAAGCCTGGCTCCTCCATGGGCTGCAGGGGAGGCCCCCTTGCCCCCAACCTGGAGCCCAACTCAGAAAACCACGGGGTTCCTGTGGGATCACCCCTGGACCCAGCCTCTCCTTTGTTCCCAGACCCTGACCCCTCATCTGAAGTTCCTGGGGTGCCTCTTCAAGTCTGGCTGTGGTCTCTCCTGCTTTCCTTTAAGCCTGGTTCCCATAGGAGCGGGGCACAGCCCAGTCCAGCCCACTTGAGCCAGCAGAAGCCCCCGAGCCCCTAGCCTCTCCTGGGCAAGGGCTCTCACACTCACGCAGGACCACGGACTCCTTCCTGAAGCAGCAGCCGGGAGCTGGAGCTGCCCGGGGCTCCTGGCAGAGAAGCCCGGGAAGGAAGCCAAGGTGCCTGGCACCACCACCGCCACCAACACCTGCCTGAGTGCCAGGCGCTGCCTCACTGCCGCTGTGTGTGGGGGTGGCTGGTGTTCCCTCGCTGCTTAAATAGGATGGGGCGCGGGCTGAGCCCCCCCACCCCGGCCGCCCTTGCTGGAGCACACACCACTCTCGAGAGAGCGCTCAGGCTCACACACACTGCTCTGTAAACACTGCAAACACTGCCGGGCTCCTGGGCGTCACCAGGAGGCGGGTGGCTGGGCTGTGGGGAAGGACAGCCCCTGGAAAGCCTGCTCCCAACCCCAGGCAGGACCTTGTGGGCGACCCCAGCTCACTCTGAGTCTGGCGTCCCTTGGCATTAACATCGCCTAAAGGCTCCCCTAACAACTGGGTGGCTGGTGACAGTGGCCCTCAGAGCTCCTGTGAGAAACAGGCTGCACTCCAAGAGGCCTACAGGTCCCCAGGGTCCTGGCCATCTTCCTGAGGCGGGAGTGAGGGGGAAGGTCGGGGCAGCCCTCCTGAGCTCCAGGGAAGGGTGGGCTGCAGGCAGCCAGGCAGAACGAGCTAAGAATACCCAGCCTGCCCACACCCTCTGCAGGCAGGGGGTGCTGACAGCAGGGGAGGGGCTATTTTTAGGCTAATTTCTGAGAGTTCAAACCCTGGTACCCATTGTGGGGGGCTGTGAGCTCTCCCCCACACCCGCCTTTGTGCACCCTGAACCCCACCAGCTCTCCTGTCCTTGTAGAGGGTGCCCCGCCACCAGCCTGTGTCCCCTGCTTCCATCCACACCTGGCTGCTGGTCCCCGCCATCGACTCCCTCGGCAGGCTGTTCCCAGAAAGGGCTCCAGCCAAGGACCCAACACCCCAGTCTGTGCCATGGGCCCTGTCTGGATGGAATGGGGAACTTGGGTGGACTCAGCTTCCTGCCATCCTTCATCAGAGGTACTGTCGCCCCGGCCACCTCCCTCACGTGACCCGTGTGTGTCCCCAGCCATCCTGTTTCCAGCCCTGCAAAGGACAAGGAGAGCCTCACATGCCCACAGACTGCCCAGCAGGAGCTCTGTGCCCTGTGTGCCCCCAAGTTGGGCCTGACCTCTGATGGGATTGCTGACTGCTCCAGCCCCCAGGGGCTGGTGTGGGACACATCACTGAGGACCCTGTTGGCTGGCTCTGAACCCCCAAGGAACTGCCGAGGTGGGAGGACCAGCTCCCTCAGCCAGGTCAGCTGGGCCCTGTAGGGAGCATAGCTCTGTGACTTGCAGATGGATTTGAAGGCCCAGTGAGGTGGGGAAAGAGGCAGGGATAGAGCAGAGCCACAGAGAGAGACTGAGGTCTGAGAGGGCCAGGCAGCCACCAGAACCTCTGGCTTCACAGAGTAACCAGGCCAGCCTGACCTCCACTGTGCCCGTCCCCGTCCTAGCTGAGGGCACCTACCGTGCGGGGCACCTGCACACGTACGTCAGCACTGTCCAATGGGGAGTGGCCGCCCTCCCTCGGTTTCCTCTCGCTGGCGACTGGCCCTTCTTGGTACTTCCAGCTCCTCACAGGAAGGGGCAGCGCATCCCTGCCCAGCCCCCGCCAGTCCCCAGCCTGGTAGGTGTCCCCATTCTGCTCCTGGGGAAGGGGAGGCAGAAGATGTTGGGGAATGATTCTAGACAACCTCCCTTGCTCAGGATGGCTGGGGGTGCTGCCTCCTCCTCCAGGACACCTAGGACGGGGAGGTGGAGGGAAGGGTGGGATTCGGGTACTGGGCTGTTGGCCTTGTCACTAAGGCAACAACCGTGGGTCCAAGCCTGGAGCCCATGCTGGGTCCTGCAGGTGTCCACGTCTAACCAGTGTTATAGCCAGGAACAGGTCCCACCCAGGGCCGCTCAGCACTACACTGCTCCCCGAATCTTGTGTCTGGGGCTCACTGTGCCCTGCCAGCCTCCTTCCCAGCCGTGCCTCTCCCGCTGTGGGGGAGGAACCCAGGAAGGAGCACCCCACCGCCGTGCCACAGCCAGCAAGAGAGCAGGTGCTCAATGCAGGGTTCAGGGGCTGTGGCAGATGGGCCTGGGCAGGGCCTCCGGTGACCAAGGGCACATTTGTCTCCCAGTAAACAGGGCCAGACCAAGCTGTGAGAGCTCAACAAACAGCCTCCCCAGGGTCACTGGCCTGCCACCGCAGCTGGCCACATCCCTGTTGTCTGCCCGCACCCACTCACCCTCTCCGGGGGCAGCCGCAGCAGGTCCCAGGCCTCCATGTTCAGCCTTTGTGTCCTCTTGGGTCTGGCCCCTGGAAGACAATGTGTTCCCATCACCGGTGCTGGCTGAGCCTAGAGCCTAGGCAGGGTTCTCGGGGAGCCATCAACAAGCTTTCCTGACTCCTAGCCTGTACTGCTGGGATCGATGTATGCCTGGATGTTGGCAGCTGGTGGGGGCACCTCAGTTTGCCTCTCTTCCTCAGGATCATCCTGGAACACAGGGCTCTTCCCGGCCATGTCCCCAGCCCCCCAGCACAACTCCCAGGGTTCCTCCCAGAATGTCTTCCTGTCCCCCACTCCTCTCCTGAAGCCACATCATGGTGGCATGGGGTGGGCAGGGGACTCTGGGTCCATCCTGGGCAGCCCAGGCCATGGAAGGGGGACCAAGGCCCCAGATAAGCAGAACCTTCCCTGGGACCAAGGCCTGCAGCAAGGGGATGCTGGGTTCTCAGGCAGCTGAGGTGGGCAAGGCGGGGTGGACCCATCCGTCATAGCACCCTGTGTCCTCAGCTACAGCAGGGGTGAAGGAACAGCCACCTGACCAGGTGTGTGCTTGGTGGTTGAGCCATTGTAGGTCCTGGGTAGCTGGACAGCCCCTGCCCTTCATCCTAAATTGTCCCCAGCCAAGGCAGGTGCAGCTCCACCCTGGGCCCCAGTGCTGGCCCTGCCCACACAGTGGGTCTGGCAGGAGGTTTGGGAAGATGAGTTCGGCTTCAGGTGCCACTCATGGAGCAGGCACAGAGCCTGGGCACAGCCAGCCTGGCAGAGTCTCCACACACAGGGAGCCTAGATCTGGTAGGACCAAGAGCAGGGTTATCCAGCCAGCCACAGGGGAGGTGGCACACACTCCTGCCAGAGATGAGGGTGGAGAGGGCCAGGCAACCTGAAGACCCCGTCTCTGTACTGCCCCCTTGGCCATCCCCCAACCTGGTCCTCTTGGGCATCAAGCCCTCCTCTATGGAGACTCGAGACCTGTGAGGGACGCAGGCAAGTGGATAGGCCTTGAGTGCAAGAGTGTGGTGAGCCCTCTGGTGCCAGGACACCCTGGGGACCGGGTTGGCACTGCCCACGTGGGGCTCACCCCACACCTGGCATGATCAGCCAAGCCCCCTCCTCCCCAGACCAGGGCATCCTAAGATGCAGGCTGTGTCTACAAGTGGCTGACAGATGGCCAGGCGAGAGAGAACTGTGTGTGACATGAGTGGCACGGGTCTGCCCTCCCCTGTTCCCCTTGAGCTCTGACAAAGTCACTCCTCCCCTTTGCTTTCCAGTGGTCAAGAAGTGAAGTGGCTTCAGTTAGGATGACAGCGGGGGCCACTGTGGAGCGGCTGACTGGCCGGTGGCTAGGTATTCTCTGCACACAGCAGTGTGGCCCCGAATGTTTGGGACACAGCCGGCCACCTGCTGCCTTTCCACCTGACCAGGCCCTGGCAGTCGGGCTCGGGGTCCTCCTGTGCTTCTGACCCTGGCACATCCTGCCAAAGCTCATGCTGGCCTCATGCTGAAGGAAACAGGATGGGAAGGGGGTTGGAGTTCTGAGGGGCACCTGGAGTAGGTAGTGGTCCTGAAGAAAGAACAGTGGTCATCCACGAGCCACATGGAGCCTGGGGACCCTCAGGACACAGGATGAGCCTGCCTGGGAGCTGGAGGCCTTCACTGGCCACTCCCAGTGGGACCTGATTCCATCCCACACCACGCGCCAAGGCAAGGGCTGGTTCTCAGTTGCCTGGAAATGCTAGGTGTCAGCGTGGTTCCCCACCTTGTGGGCCTGCTCTGGCTCTTGCACTGCTGGCCAGGGCCTGCCCACCCTGTGCTACACTGCACAAACAGGCACTGCCCTTCCTCACTTCTCCCTGCACCACAGACTCCATCGACCCCCTCCCTGTTGTGGGCGGAGGCTCCCAGCCCAGCTAAATGCACCTTCTGTCTGGAGTCCGCCAGGGCCAGGCACAACCGGCCAGTTCCATGGGCTGAGCCGCCTGGGGGCCCCTGCTGGCTTCCTGTCTCTCCCGCCAACCCAGGAGCAGTCTGGAAACCTCTCTGGCCTGGTCATCATCTCTGTCCCTGGTGTGGGCTCCGGTGTCCTTCTGCAGACAGCTCACTTGCCCCGGCCAGCCAAGGGCAGCTCCCCTGGGTCCCTGAAGATCCAAGCCCTGGCCCTCCACCTTCACCAGACCCGGTCTATCCCCTCACCCTCTGGTGGCTGCATCACTGTCCCTGCCCTGCCCACAGTGCCCGCCTGTCCATCAGGCAGTCTCCATGACTGGGCCGAGATGCAGTGAGGCCGGGTTAGATCCCTTCTATCTGCCGGCCCTCAGCTTTTCTGCTCTGTTGCTGACAGGCTCATGTGCTGCTGCCACCACACAGAGACAGGCAAGCAGTGTCCACCATGTGGCCCAGAGGGCAGCCCAGGCCCACTGGGGATGAGGCAAAGGACAGACAGCCCCACAGGGACCGAGCTGGCTCCCTCTTCCCCTCACACCCTGATCATGCCGCCTCCCAGCACCCTGTTCTGGTGGCCCTGAGGCTTTGATGGCTTGGGGGGTGGGCAACCCCAGGGGTGGGGCAGGGAGCTGCCCACAGTCCCTACCCATTGCAACGTATGTAGGGGCCTCTGCTGGCTGGGCAGGGCCGGTGAATAAAAATCACCTGTGTTATCAAGTCAGAAAGGCAGTGGTGCCTGGAGACCACCAGCTGCCACCTCCTCACACACCCCCACTCTGCTAGGTGTGCAAACCCTTGTTGCCCCTGATGCCCACCTGGCTCCCTGAGCCCCAGCCATACTGGCTGGCTTGGGACATGCAGCTGCCCATTGCGGCCCCTGGGCAGTTTCTGGAAAGCAGGCCCAGGCCACCCAGCACCCAGTGCTGCAGAAGAGATGATGGTGCCCCTGTAAAAACCACTCAGCAACTGGACCCCCCAGAGCCCAGACTCCCCATGGTTGCCCAAGCCCTGACCCTGCAGCTCACCTGAACAGGGGGCTTCCTCAGGGCCACCCAGACTCTCAGAGGCCAGGCCTGTCCTCAGCAGCTGCATCCTGGGGCTGGAGACCCCTGAGCCCAGTGGCAAAGCTGCCAAGTGGCTGCCTCCGAGGTGGCCTCAGGGAGGCCCGATGCTGCCGCCCTGTGGGAGGAGGCTGGTGCTGGCCCCAGTGGGCAGGGTCTGGCACTAGCTCAGGGCACAGCAGGTAGGCGGGGCAGGAGGACAAAAGCTGTCTTGTCCCCGGCTGCTCACCCATGACATGCCCCCGTCCCTGACTCGGAAGAGGAGGCTGCAGAGCTGGCTGCCTCTGTGGAGCTTGTCCAGGAGCTGCCAGCCTGCCCCCACCTGCTGCCTGTCTTCCAGTGTCATGCTGGCCAGGGGACGTGGCACAAGGGCTAAGCCAGGGTCCTGGGCAGCAAACCTCAGCCTGGGACAGACACTTCGTCCTGGGTAGGTGGATGAGTGCACCACACGCACCCAGCACCCTATCCCTCACAGAGGACCAGCAGTAACCTCTGGAGAGGGACCTGGCCTCATCCCTCTCAGCACCCTTCCCACCACAGGGGAGGAGGGAACCCCTCACTACACACAGAGCCCTCACTGGGTCCCCAGAGGCCAAGGAGGAGGACATCCCGGGAACACATCCTCTGGGGCCCCTGCTCACTCCCCCAGCCTGGTACCGTGCCCCTCGCCACCCTGCTCACGGACTCAGCTATGTGCTCTGCAGAGAACACTCTACTCTGGGCAAGCTGGCCACAGACCTGGCAGACAGGCTGCAGCCAGTGAATGAGGTCCCTAAGTGGCCTCTGCTGTTCTGCCTAGGGCCACCCCTGATCTGCATGCTAAGCCTTGCTTGGGGCTGTTCCCTGCAGGGCGCTTGGCTGCAGGTAGCCTTGGGCTTCCTGTTCTCCCCAAGGCCGGCCTTGTGGTGCCAGCAGGGTTGCAGGTGTGAGAGGCCCAGAGAGACCACAGGTCCTTGGTGTCAGGGGATGGTGGGGACCTGACTCGAGTGGATGGGTGTCCAGTTGGCCATCCCTTTCCTCATGCTGCCCTGCCTCTGGAGCACTCACTGCTGTCCTGTCTCTGATCTCTTCTGATTCCTGAGCTGCCCAGGGTGACAGTGCCCTTGCCCGTGTCTCCAGTACCTTAGACACCTTGTGTCTCCCCAGCATGCTTCCGGGCGCCCAGCTATCTGTCCTCTTGCCGCACCCCCACAGTCAGCCCTGAGAGTGGCAGGGGTCTCCAAATCGGGGCTGGTGTAAGTCTAGAGTTGGGGAGCAGCCACAATAGCCCTACCCCCTGCCCCAGGGGTGCTGGCACCAGACTCAGGGCCTTGGAATGCTACACTTTGTCCTGATGCCCCTCCTGCCAGACCCATGCCTAGACGCGGCTGTGAGTGTGACCAGGCTGAGGCTGGAGTTGAGGAACAGGACTCTGGGTCTCTGCTGGGCACTTACCTTGGGCCTCATAGCCTGCCAGATCTGGCTTCTCTGTAGCGGCCGGGCTGCTCAGTGGACCCAGCGCCATCTGTAGCTGCGTGACATTCATTCGGGCTGTCAGCTCCCCGTTGCGGTCCCCAATCTGTTGTGAGCAATTGGGGTGACTGGGGGGTTCTGAACCCACAAAGGCAGTGCTTGGCCTCCAGCGCACTGCCCCTGATCTGCTGGACAGCCTGGGCTGCCCCTGCGGGTGGAGTGTAGTGGTCTGTCCCTGGGCATCCCCAACAGCCCCTGGACAACCCCAGAAGTGCTCAGGGACTCAGACACCCTGGCCTGCCACAGTACCAGAGACCCAGGGGTCTGCACTGTTGGGGGCTTTCTGGTCAGGCCCTGCTGGCCCTGTGGCCCAGTTCCATCGGGGTAGGGGCAGGAGCAGCACTGGGACCTAATACCCTGGAGGACAGAGCGCAGTGCAGGGGACAGCTGCTCACCTCCTGGGAGATCTGCAGGTGTTTCTTGGCGAAGGTCAGGGCCTGCTCTGGGCTCCCCATGGACACGTATGTGTTCCCCAGACTCCAGCATGCTCGGCCCTCACCCACTCTGCAGAGAGTGAAGGGTCCATGCCTATACCCTATCTGCCTGCCACCCTAGGAGGGCCCCTTGGGGCTGCCTCTACCCTGTGGCACCAAGGGTCACCACGGGACCCCAAGCCCAGCAGCACTGACAGTGTGGCAGGACAGGGTGTCCTCAGCACAGTGGCCCACGCACTGCACCCACAGGCTAGGGCTCCCCACAGATTCCCACCAGCAGTGATCCCACCCACCAAAGCTGTTAGCACAGCAGAGCTTGGCGTTGCATACTGTATCCCCTGCACTGTGGGAGGCTGAGGCAGGAGGATCACAAATAGAGCCCGGCCTGAGTAATTTATCTCTTTATCAGTACCCAGTTTCAATCAAATATAGACAGTCTGGGGGCATAGCTCAGTGCGATGGCCCTGGGTTTAATACTGGGTAACACACACACATCCCCAAACAAAACTCTGAAAAAGCTGGCGTATGACACAGCTGCTTCCAAGCTGGTCCTGCCCTCAGGGTAGTTTTTCACTGCCTCTGGGCAGGCCCAGGGCAGCACAAAGTGGGTAGGGGCACAGGAGGCTCAGTTCTGCGGCCTGGCTTGCCCCCTAGTGGCCAGCACAGCAGTGCTCCTTCCGCCCCAGGCTGTTTCCTGGTCCAACAGAACCTTCAAGAGACGCCTGAGCCACTGTCCAGGGAGGACTTGGTGGCATTTATGTGGTCCAGGGCAGTCCTATGGCCCCAGGGACTCTGAGTCCCTGAGCCCCTGAGCCCCTGAGCCCCGTCCAGACCAGGGCCTTGCCTATCTCTCAGCTGATATTCACTCAGACATGAGGCTCAGGGCCAGGTCTCTTTTGTGCCTGGGGTAGGCATACGGGGCCCCCACCTGTCGGCCAGCTCCTGGGCGATGAGCAGGTGCCTCAGGTGGAACTCAGCCGCGCGCTCGTAGTCCCGCAGCAGTGTGTAGGTGTTGCCCAGGCTGTAGCAGGCCTGTGCCTCCACTGCCTGGTCCCGCAGCTGTCGCGAAAGCTGCAGCGTCTTCCTGCGGAGCGGGCAGAGGGTCAGCCCTGGACAGATGGGACGGGGGACAGACGGAGGGTTCCAGATCCCCTCCACTGGGCGCCAGGTGGGGAGGGGGTGCGCAGCGGAGAGGGGGCCGAGCAGGGTGCAGCCCCAGAACCCACCCCAGGGTCTCTCTGCTGCCTCCTCGTCCTCAGCAGATGTACCTGGGTCCCCACAACTTGGTGGAACCCTAGCATTCTGCTGGCTCCAGTGCACCCAGTGAGGTGAGGTGTCTAGGATGGCCACACCCATCACTCAGGGCCTGAGATGGGGGTTCAGGGCTCACAGCAGGACCTGGTCCTGATACCCTTGCTGCGCTGGCAGGAGGTCCAGGAACCTCACAAGCTGGGGACCCCTACAAACTGTACCTGTCTGGCCTTTCTGGGGCACCTGAGAGCCCCCTGGCTCTGGAGGAAGTCCAGCAGTCAGTCCACCCAGCCAGGGGCCCTGCTCCTCCCCTTCCTTCCCCGCCAGGGGCCTAGGGGCGCCGCCTACTTGTAGTACTCCGCTGCCACATCGAAGCATCCCAGGAAGACGTGTGCGTTGCCAAGGTTGCTGTAGGCCCTCCTCTCGGCGGCCTTGTCCCCAAACTCCTTAGCGATGGCAAGGCGCTGCAGAGCCAGACAGGGCTGAGGTCACAGAGCGGCCCTGGCCCCGACTGCCAGCCCTGTGACTGGGTGTCAGGGGTCAGACAGGAGTCGCAGAATGCAGTGCAGGTGACGCAGGGTAGGCGCCCCTCAGCCCCGTGGGGCCACTGGAGACAGCGAGGCCCCACCCCAGTGCAGCCCACTGGACGCGCCAGCCCGCGTGCGCACCTCCTTGTGGAAGCTCGTGGCCTCTGTGAAGTTGCCCAGGAGGTAGTGGGTGTTGCCCAGGTTGCCGTAGGCCCGGCCCTGCGCTGCTCGGTCTCCCAGCTCCTTCACCAGGCACAGGTTCCTCCTGGGGACAGAGCAGCGTGAGCCTCATCCTTCCTCTACCTAGCCAGCAGGTCGCCCCCGCCCCCAGGTGGAAGGTGCCAGGTGGCGGCCTTTCCAGAGTGTGACGGGCTTCTGGCTCCGTACCCCTGAGCTCTGCGGCCGGGAGTTTGGTGAAAGTCTGACAGTTGCGACAGCAGGAGTTAGGCCGCGGGTAGGGGAACTCGCTGCCTGGGGCTGCTGCCCAGTCGCGCGGCCCGCGTCGCTGTGCCGCGCCCCTGCGTCGCTGGCCCCGCCCAGGTCTGCTGGCCCCACCCCTGCCCCGCCGGACCCGCCCCTGCCCCCTGGCGGCTCACTCGTAGAACTCAGAGGCCCTGCACAGAGTCTCCCGCACTTCGGGCGGCAGGTGCCCGGGGTCCTGCGCCGAGTTCCAGCACAACTGCTTGCCTTTGGCGTGGTACACGTTGCCGATGTTGTACAGCGCCCTGGCCTCTCCGACCTGTGGGAGGCACAAGGGGCTTGGGGGACCTCTGAAGTCCCCCGCGTGGCCATGTGCCTATCCCCAGGCCTGCTGTCCCAGGCCGAAGAGTGGGATGGGGGAGCCCAACTCTGCTCCTTTCCTGCTGCCTCTGGGTTGGTGACAGTGACCAGGCCCTCAATGCTGACCCTGAAACCCACAAACTCTGCCCCAGGCCCCCAAGGAGCTGAGTGAGTGAGCACATGCCACAGGTGGCTGGGGCAGCCAGGAGCCAGTCCTGGGCATCAGTGTGAGCTGGAGGTGGACCCCACTCCTGAGGGACCGCAAACTCCTGTTTCCGGGATCACCCTGTTTTCCCTCTTGCAGGAGATGCACGGTGGGGCTGGATCCAGACACAGCCAGAGCAGGGTGGGAAGGGCAGGCAGCCCAGGAGGCTGGGATGGTCACGTCCCTCAGCCCCCTGCTTTGGGGACGGCAGCCTACCTTGTCCCCCTGCTCCTGGGCAATGTCCAGGTGCCGCTGGCAGCAGACCACAGCCTCATCAAATCTGCCCAGGACCTTGAGTGTGTTGCCCAGGTTCCCACTGGCCTTGGCCTCCCCCATGCGGTCGCCAATAGTCCTGGAGAGCGGGAAGGAATTAGGGACCAGGCTGAGGGCTGGCTATGTCTGGGTGGCAGCTTGGGGCTGACTGGGAACCTTTGTCCCCTGGGTGACACTGGGCAGGGGGCCTCAGGAATAGGCAGGCCTGGCCTGAGGGAAGCCACCAACTGGAGTCCCTGGCTTAGGGTCACGTCCTCTGCTAGGCTTGGATAGGGCGAATGCCCTGCCCAGAGGGTGAGATCAGCCGCTGGCCACTGGCTGCTGGTGCAGACCCTAGGCCCAGTGCTGAGGACAGGCTGGGGATCTCACCTCCCCCTGAAGGGCAGAGACAGGGAAGAGGCACAGCATTGGCAAAGGGGACTCTGGGGAGTCTGAAAGGTGGAGAGTGTGGGAAGAGGTGCTGGGGTGGGGGCACCTGGTCATGCCACAGCAGGGATGAAGGGGAAATGAGCCAGGATTCCACAGCATGGAAGGGGTGGGTGAGATGTCCGGTGGTTGGTACAGGAGATACATGGATGGTAGGCAGACAGACAGACAGACACAGAGCCCTGGCCACACCCACACTCACATGGACATATATACATGCCTGGCTTGACCACAGCCACCAGGGCCCTCCCAATCCTGGCCACTGGCTTTCTGGGCCCTGGCAGCTGGACACCTCCCGGGATGGCCCATGCCCAGTGCTCACCGGGCCAGCAGCAAGTCATGCCGGTGGAACTGCAGGGCGCGGCCATACTCCTTCAGGTAGAAGTAGGCATTGCCCAGCTGGCTGTAGATGGCACTCAGCGTCTTCAGGTCCTCTGTGCCCACCTGCACTGCCGCCTCAAAGAAGGCCACGCCTGCCTTGAAGTCGCCCGCCTTGCACAACCGCTCGCCCTCCAGAGCCAGCTCCAGACATGAGGCCTCCATCCTGGGGAAGATAGGGGCGTCACGTCCACCCCGTGGCCAGCCTCCATGGGCCTGGGCCTGGGCTGTGTCACCTGTGTCCAAGCAGGCATCCATGCAGCTCACCTTGCCTCCCACCTGCCCCTGCCACCATGGCCAGGCAGTTGGGGCAAGGCGTGCACTAGGGTTGCAGGGCCTTGGCCACTGTGTCATGCTCAGTTGTGGCCAAGCTCAGGCTGGGAGCCACTGCCCAATGCCTTTGCTCTATATCCAGTGGCATGGGCAGAGGGGCCACAGCTCCGAGCATGCTGGCAAGCAAGGGTAGACTCCCTACAACCTACCAGGGACTAGGGAGGTCCGGGGTCACAGGATGGGATCTGATCCCCAGGCAGGACCCGGCCCCCCAAGCAGCCTCCCATCTGCCAGTGAGACAGAGATCTGTAGGGCAGGGTGGCAGGTCTGGGCCCCCCTCCCTGTGGGCTGAGAAATGGCTGCCACTGCACTGGCCAGGAAGAGCTCATGAAGGAAAGGACAGCAGCGCACATCCCAGGCTGACCCGGCCCCTTCATGGCTTGCCCAGCCTCTGCCCCCATGGTCCTGTGGGTGCTGTAGACCTTGATGTCACTGCTCTGGGCAGAGGCTGTGAGGGACAAGTTCCTCACCCTTAAGAAGTTCCTCACCCTTAGGACCTGCCAGCCCAGGGACCCAGGCATTGTCCTTTCCTGGCAGTGTCACCTCCACTATCTGCAGCCTCAGAGCCCCCTGCATGCACTCCTCAGGCCCTGTTCAGGGCAGGGTGAGCCTGAAGGATCTGGGACCCTCAGCCACTGCCTGTGCAGTGTGAAGCCAGGCCCTGGCTGGGGTAGTACCTCCTATGGCCACAGGCTCCTATCTGGGCTCCCTGCCAGAGGCATTAAGGACACATCCCCCTGGGCATTGCCCACCAGGATCGGGGAGCCTCAGGCAGACACCATACATGGGGCACTGCCACAGCTCAGGTGTGTGAGTGACCCCAAAGTCACTGCCTTGGGGACAGCAAGCTCCTCATCTTCTCAGTGGATACCGACAGGGTGGGAGATCCCTCTACTGCTTGCTCCCCAGAGGCTAGCAGAGCCCTTAAGGCCATCCCCACATGCAGCCACCTTCCCCAAGGGTCTTCTCCTATGGGGCAGGTTCTCTGGATGCCACACCTGTCACCAGAACCCACAGTCACCATGGTAACCAGCCACAATACGACTCCATGCCTATGGCCAGGGCCAAGCATAGGTTTCTTAATTAAAGCCTGTTTGTCTCCACCCAGCTGCCCAGAGACAGCCAGACATGGCCACCGTCCTTCGAGGACGTGGTGTGGTCAGGGACAAGGTGTCAGCAAAGCAGGCTTCTACCTCAGAAGGGCCTGGGCCAGAGGCCTAGAGAGGTGCCCACAGGGGTTTTGTGTGGCCAGGTGACGCCTGTGGGATCTGGGTCAGGAGCAGCTCTTCTGATGTCAGAGGAGCCTGCACTGGCCGCCAGGCTGGCCCACCTCTTCCTGCGCATGTTCCGCATCTTCTGCACGTACAGCCACAGCTCCAGACCCACAGGCAGCAGCAGTGGGCGCGGGCGGGGGGCGCCGTACACCACCTTGCACACGGCCTTCTCTGCCAAGCTCAGGGCTGAGGATTGGCCCTCCATGCCGGGACTGCTGGCTTCCTTCCCTCACGCAGCCTCAGGATGGGGTCCTCTGACTTCAGAGAGCAGGACTGAAGACTCAGCAGCCCTGGCTTTGGGCAGCCCTCCGTCCCTGGCCTGACCCAGCTTGAAGGATCAAGGGCGGCTCAGAGGCTGGGTGACTCTGACAGCAGAGGCTGGGCAGAGGTAGGGGCTGGCACATAATCCTCTTATTTCCTGTGGGGTAGGCACCTATGCCAAAAGCTTCAGGCTGAATGGCGTTGGCCACCCTGCATTACTGGGATGCTTATATGCAGGTCCAGCTCTGTGGCCAGCTCTGTGCCTAGGCTCTGGCCCCCTGGGGGGCCAGGGCTGCCTGCACCAGATGCCAGGCTCCTCCTGCAGCACCTGCCTGGTCCCCACCAGAGCCTGGCCAAGATGGAGAAGCTGAGATTCTGGGCAGGGTTGGCACCTGGTCCCTTCTGTCCACTCAGGACCTTGTGTCCAGAGCACTGCTCACCTGACCCAGCCTGGCCTGACAGCTTCAACCCAGTGGGCACCAGGATAGGTGTCCAGCACAGAGCAGGCTGCACGGACACAGGACACAGCATTCTCAACACCCCACTACCTGCCTAGCCATCTGAGGTGAGCACCAGGCCCCAGTTAGCCAGTGTGTAGACCGTGTGGGTTAGGGGAAGCTGCTTCTGCCAACTAAGCTGCCCTAAACACCCACGGCCCTGACCTCTGCCTCAGTTGCCCCACTGATGCCCTGAGGAGTATGGGGCATGGAGCCCTCCTGGGGCCTGGGGAAGACCGTCCAGGGCAGAGGAGGACACCGGGTCCAGCTACAGGGGCTCCGAGCAGCAGGGTCCTTATCTGAGGCCTCCCCACCTGCCTACTCCAGGGCTGCCAGGAAAGCTGGGGTTAGAGGGGTCCCTGAGGCTGAGCCGCTAAGCAAGGGGGACCTGGCTCAGAGGGAGCAGGACTATGGGGAGGGAACATGGCAGCCTGAGGCCACTTTGGGGCACTTGCAGCAGGCCCCCAAATGCTCCAGGCCCTGGGTACCCTCTGTTCCTACTCAGGCTCTGCCAAGGTCCACTCTGGGACAGTTCAGTCAGGATAGGGCAAGGCCTGGGCCATCTGGTTCTGGTCAGGATCTCCCCAGACACCACCAAGCTGCCTCTGCAGGCCACCCTGCCCTCCTTGGTGGAGACTCTGGAGCCTCTGTCCCTCAACAGCATGCTGTGGTCTTGGAGGCCTTGCTCTGCTGGTCACCTGTCAAGGTGCCCAGTTGTACCAGGGAGCCCAAGAGGCTGCAGCCCCCTGGGCTGGGCTGCCTGGAGCCCTGAGAAGGCTTGTGCACCCAGGGCTCCCAGAAGCCCACTCAGGCTAGAGATGGGGTTTGCAGGGAGGGAGGTTTACAGCCCCCGTCACCCACACCACCTTAGGCCCATGCAACTGCCTGGGATTTTCACCTTGGTAAATTGAGGCTCTGCTTAGTAGACAAGCAGCAGCCATTTCTCTGCCTTGATGGAGGAAAAAGACCCTGCCCCTGTGGGGAGCCGGTCCAGCCCCAGTGCCCCATCTGGGGTCCTGACCCAGATTCACTCCCCCGAATCCCACTGGCAGGATTGCGCCCCATGCCTCTCTCCACAGAGGTGGCCAGTGCCAGACCACAGCGGCTGGGAGCCGTCTGCCAAGGTTCCATGGCTGCCTGCCAGTGTCCCGGTCAGGGAAGTGGCCAGTGTGGCTGCTGTGGCCACCACATCCCGTGTCCTTTCCACCAGGCATCTGTACTGGCAGAGTGTCCCTGGGGAGCCATCAGCCCCCGGCCCCGCACCAGTTGGCACTCTCCAGGTCTCCTGACTCATGGGCACACACCAGGCTGGATCATCTGCCTGTCCCCCCCCCCCATCTGAATCCTCACCTGCCACCTCCGCCAAGGCACAGGATGCTCGACTGACCTCAGGACCGAGGGTTCATGGCTGAGCCCTGTCCAGTCACCCCAGAGTGAGTGAGACCCCATCCATAACTGGGAGCAGGGAGAGAGCCAGAGACTGGATAGGGCAGGTGGTGTAGTGGGAACAGCAGTCCCTGGAGCTGGGAAAGATCTAAGAGTCATCAGCCTTGGGAGAGTACCTGGGCTAGGAGACTCAGGGACCTGTTAGGGGCAGTGCCCATGTGGGGATGCACTGGGGTTCATCCTACCAGAGCCCAATCCTTCCCAGGCTGCTGAAGCACTTAGCTGCTGGCCCCAGGGGTCAGGGAGGCCTGCTCTGAGCCAGGGGCCCATGCTGACCCCACCCTGGCCCCATTTTTTCTGGCACCCCACACTCCTCCCACCCAGGGACTCCTTGTGGGCACTGGGGGGCTCGGGGGCTCTCAGGGCACCCCCAGCCCACCTCAGGGTGCCCTTCAGGCAGAGCTGCCTCCTAGAATCAAAGCCCCTCCAGGCAGGGGTACGACTCGGTCCTTCAGGAAGCTCAGGACACCCTCTTCCACCGAGTGTCAGTAGCCCTGAAGTCACAGCCCTGGCTCCCGTGCCGCAACTGATTCTGGTGTTGGTAAGGGGACAGGTGACCCGTGGATGTCTTTCTTCCCCATCTCAGGGTCCCTGCTGGATCTGAAGCTGGGGACCAAAGCCCCTGCCCACTCCCAACTGCCTCTGTGTCCTCCACATCCACTTGCCCACTGGGACCAAGGTGAGGCCCAGTACTCTCCCTGGGGGCCCGTGGTCACTCAACCCTCATCTGGGCTTGGCTCAGCTTGGTGGAAGGGATACTGGCTGGGCCCAGGGCCACTCTGAGTGTCCCCTGAGTGCTGTCCTGCCAGGGAGGACTCCCGAAGGTGGTTTGCCCAGCATGTTCTCATGGACCCCCATCCTATGGAATCCAGCAAGATGATGGTAGTGTTGGCTGTGGTCAGCCCCGTGGTCAGCTTGGCATCTCCCAGGGGCACAGCTACCCCCTAGTCTGCACAGGTGGGAGGAGTGTGGGGTGCCCCCTGGTAAATGCTACCCTGCAGAGCCCCCATGCTGTGGGGTGCTTGGGGGGCTTTGAGGGGTCTCCTGTGTCTGCAGCCAGCAAACCCATCCTCCAGGCCCTCCCTCTGCCGGCCCAACTCTGACCCGAGACCATACAATGGGGACTGTGTCTCTGGCAGGCAGTGGGCAGAACAGAGCAAGATAGGGGTGGGAGCCTCCTTGGTGTGCTGGGGCAGCCTGGCTGGGCTGGGCTCCTCGGCTGGGCTCGTGCAAGGAAGCCCCCAGGTCTCAGGATGGTCAGAGGGAAGGGATCAGTGGTGCTTCAGAATCAGGGCTGGGGCCATGGTGGAGAATGGCCTGCCTCAGCCTCTGCCCTGGGGACTGTTCCTGAAAGGGTCACACATCCAGCCCCTTGTCCACTCGGGGGCCAGGTGCCACCCTCCATAGGCTGGGAGTCACAGCAGGCAGGTGTCACCTGGATAGGGCCACCCGGACATCCCTGGCTGCTGGGTCACCTGTGGTCTGCTAAAAGGCAGGTGTCTTTGCCAGGAGGTACACGCCCACCTGGTAGCAGCTCCTATCCAGCTCTGCTGGCCTGGGGCACGGTGGCCAGGGACGGAGAGATCTCATCTGTGACTGTGGTCTCCGGCCACACCACCCCTGTGCTGGGTCACGATAGTGCCAGGAGAGAGAGGGGCCTCCAGGCAAGGAGCCCTGTGTGCTGCCAGGCCCTGCGGCCAGCAGAGGGGGAGGAGAAGCCTTGTCCCTGCCAGAGCCCTCGGGGCTGGGGAGGGGCCCAAGGCAGAGCCCTCTGCTGCCGCTTCTGCCCATCGGTGGCCAGGGAGGTGCGTCCCCGGTCACGTTGTGCGCCGCCTTTGTTTCGGGCCGGCCGCCCCCGCCCTGTCGCCTCAGTCCCATCCCGGTCCTACCTGGAGTAGAAGCGTCTGGCAGCGGGGCCCGGGAGCTCCTCGGCCGCGGGCGGGGCCGGGCCTGCCATGGGGGGAGCAGAGAGCGCCGCCCCTCGCCCTGCCGCCGTCTGTGACCGCCGCCTGTCCGAAGAGCGTCTGCGACGGACCGCGGGAGGAGCCGAGGAAGTGATGTGCGAGCACGGGGCGCCCAGGCCCCTCCCGCCGCCACCGTGATGTCACCGCCGCCCGCGTGGAGGGGAGGGCAAGGCAGGGGACGGCGCCCACCGCAGCTGCCATACGCCCAACCCGGGAGTGGGGGTGGGGGGCGGGGCCGGGAGGGGGGCAGCCCCCAGCCACTGCAGGCCAGGCCGGGCAGTGCAGAGGAGGGGCCTTTTGTGTAGGGCTGCCCATCCCTATCCCTGGGACTTCTATGGGCTGAGAGCCCTGGGTGACAGCAGGGACACCTGCACCTTTGCCCCCCCACCCACCTACTTGCTGGACAGGTGCTCCTCCCTGGGGCTCCCCTTCTCCCCTGTTGGTTGAGCCCTGACCAGGGAGTGGGGGCCCTGGGGTACCTGCTTCTCCCCAGAATGGGGCCTGATGGAGGACGCAGGGGGCCCTGCCTGCCCTGTCTCCAGAACCACACTCAGGATTATGCAGCCCCTCCCGGCCTTGGCCTCCTGCCCAGGAACGTGGGCACTTGGTGCTTTGAGAGAGGTGGGGAGAGCAGCCACTGCCCATCCAAAGCCAGTGGCCTTGGGTTCACTGTATCCTTTTTGCCCTGATCAGCATGGGGCCCAGGGTGGCAGCCTGGCGTGGCCTTGCTTTTGGCTCTGTCCACCCCTTCCCAGGCCTCATGGTGTGGTCAGGAGACCCCAGACCCAGGAGAGTGGCTGTGTCTTGTGGTGGGACAGAGACAAGCTGGGCAGCCGGAAGTGGCTACATTCCTCAGAGCTCCTCCCTGGGCCTGGCCTAGCAGGAGCTGCCCGAGGCCACCCGAGGGTGAGCCAGACCTCAGGCAGGCAGATGGATGCAGCCACAGCTCAGCGGCTTCAGGCAAGGAGAAAGGGCAGAAGAAATAAACATGGGATAAACAGGGGCTGTGGCCCGCGCTGGTCCACTCTCCCCAGGCAGTGTGACAGCTGGCACTAACAGCCATTGCCTGATGGCAGGGGCCACTGGGCCTCCCCGTGCCAGGGCAGTAGGTACACAGCCGGGGGAACCACCTTGGTGGACTGCAGTTCTGTGCTGGGCCCCCCCAAGTAGGCCAGGGATGGTGATGGGCTTTTGGTGGCAGGCTGTCTTCCTGTCCCCAAAGGATGTGACCACCCTGGCAGCAGCTACCGTAGGCCCAGCCTTGTGCATACAGAAGCCCCTGGGACTGTACCGGCCTCAAAGCCCCTGCATGTTCCTGAAGAGCAGGGAAACAGGAGCAAGTGCTGCGCTGACAGGCCAAGTTTAGAAAGGCGCTGTCACCTCACTACCTCTCCTAACCCTCGGGGACAGCGTTCCTGCCCCCTGTCCTGCAGAGGGCTGTCTTCTGTCCTGGGAGAAGGCCCGGAGACAGAGTGTGCTGATGAGGACGAATGGTGCCAAGCCCACCTGCCAAGGATGACAGGAATGAGTGGGGACTCCAGGATACCCCAATGCATGCCTGCTTCCTCCCCAGCTTCTGTGTGGCTCTTCCCTGCCCTAGCCTCAGGGGACTGGGCCTTGCTGTCCCAGAGCCCCTGGCACCTCCCTCCATGCAGGGGTGTTTGGCAGGTAGAGCTCCCTTGGAACCATGGACAACCCCCACCCCCTTCCCACCAAATAGGCCTGGTCCGCTGAGGGGCCTTAGAGCAGGGAGACGCAGCCAGGCCCGTGGACCCTGTGTGTGCCAGGTGGCCGCCCAGGCCAGGCATTCTGAGGAAGTGAGTGGGACTGGCATCATCTCAGGCCTGCCCAGCCCTGCTGGGGGTCAGCACTGGCCACCCTGCCACAGTCACCTGCCCATGACGACTCAGCGCTCAGAGGCACAGTCTGTGACTTGGCAGGGGGCCAAGCTTTGTCTTCCTGATTGCCTGTGTCACCCTGTCCCTAGCCTGCTGCTCTGTGTGACTCTGGTGCCCAGGGGCAGTTTTGGGGTCCATGGCCGAGCCTCCAGGAGTGAGGAGGCCCGGGCTCAGGAGAGGCAGATGGATGGTCAGGCCAGTGGGGGCCTGGGTGGGGATGGCAAGGGTTATCTGCAGCCACCCCAGGGACAGTGTGCTGGTACAGGGACCCACAGGACACATGGCCCCAAACCCCCAAGTCTTCAGGGCCGGGTTGGGTTGGAGGGTCTGTGGCTGTCACTGAGCCCCCCTCAGGACCCTTCCCCAGGGCAGTGAAGGCTGGGACGCCTTGCGCCAGCCCCTGCTGGACTCCAGATGGAGAGGGGACACATGTCTACGCACACACAACTACACACTTAATTAACAGGAGCCCTCGGTGCCCCTGCCACCTTCAGACCTCTTGTGAACCTGCGAGGGGACCCATCATGCTTCTCCCAGAAGATGGCTACGTCCTCGCTGTTGCCAGCCCTGACCACGACACTGCTGCTGTTGCCTGTCCTCAGGGCCACCAGGTCCCTGGGGTGCGGCACTCTGGGTGAAGGAAGCGTCTGTCCCACCCAGGAAGCTCTGAGCATCATCCTGGTCATGACACACGTGCACCCAGGAAATGTCTCGATGCCACCGTGTCAGCATGGGACATCTGGCCTCGCAGCATTCCTGGGCCACTCGCTGGAGGCTATGGGCTCTGTCACCCTGTCCCGTGCCCAGACCCACCCATTCCCTCCACCTAGGCGGGGCACCGGAAGCCCTCATGGCTCTGCCTCCTGAGGATAGGTCCAGCAACCCATACCATGTGAGGTGTGGGGCGGCAAAGGGGCTCTGACATCCCAAAGTCAGTCTCCCAACCCCAGCTCCCTCCCTGCTATACAGGCCACGCAGCCTCGCCTGTTTGACACAGAGGCCTCTGTCCAGTCTGACCCTTTCTGCGATGTGGGGAGCTGATGCCTGGTTCGGCAGCGTCCAGTACCTGCGGTCTCGCAGGTCCAGTACCTGTGTCCCCTCCAGGGCTGCTGGGAAGCCGCACCCTGGGCCGGTGACATGATGCAGAGCGTGTGCCCTTGCCAACCCCCCCCAGGGGACCTCCTAGGTCTCAGTGGGGGCCCAGCAGGCATCTCTCCACCCCGTGTCCCCTTCTGCCTGGTACTTGCAGTTCAAACCACTCTAACTTGGGATGACCTTGTTATTCTTTTTTTTGATTTCTTTCTTTCTTTCTTTCTTTCTTTCTTTCTTTCTTTCTTTCTTTCTTCTTTTTCTTCCATTTTTTTCGAGACAGGGTCTCACCGTGTAGCCCAGGCTGACTTCAAACTTGTGGTGCTCCTCCTGCCTCAGCCTCCCAAGTGCTGGGATTACAGGAGTGCACCTCCTCACACAGCTGATCTCGTGATTCTCGTTGGTCCCATAAAGAAAGGCCATGTGCTTAGCTCCAGGTAGAAGCACGTTTTGGGGTACCATGCACACCACACCCACTCTTTAGGGCACTTCCCTGCTCTGCTATACTGTTGTCTGGGTCATGAGGGCCATGGTCCTTCTCCTCCTCACACCCTATTGCCCCCAAGGTTCATACTTGGGACCCAGGACCCAGGGAGACAGGGGCCTCGGGGTGGCCTTGGGGGTGACTGTCAGAGGGCCCCCGGAGCCCCTGCATCAGCAGGTGGAGTCCCCTGCAAGAGGCCCCAGGTACCTCCTGCTCTTGAGCTTTTCCCGGAGCACAGCACTTTCCTGCCCTGACGCTCAGCACTTGGCCTGGGCTCTGGACTGCCAGTGACCGCTGCCTGTGTTCTATAGAGGCCAGGCTGCCTGGCAGACACAGCGGGCCTGGAGTGCACCATCCTGTGGGTGCCTTGCCACCCTTCCACCCAGCCCTTGCCGGTGACATCCAGCCATATGTGTCCTTTCTGCCCCACTCAGCGCTGGTGCCATGGAGAGGCAGGCACAGTGGGCATGGCCTGAGCCGGCCAGGAGTCTGTCCACCCTGACTCAGGCCCGGGTGGCTGGAAGTCCTGGGCTGTTGCTGGGAGGACAATCTGGTGACAGAGCAGGGGACACAGGGAGCCTGGGCCAACATGGCGTGAGGTCCTGGCCTGGCCATACCAGATGTCTCTCTACCCATCCCGGCTGCTCTGCCAAAGGGAGCCTGGTGGGCACCATCTGCTCACAAAGCCCTTGGTGTGGGGATCTTGGCAAGGGACAGCGGCCACTGTGCAGCCATGTCTACCGGTCCCTTTGACCATTCTGGGCTGCATGTCCCTTCCTGTACCTAGCTCTGGGCAGACAGGGCATCCCCTGAGCGTGGGCCTCATCCACGGACATCAAGGCCAGAGGGTGCCCAGGTACCCCTGGGGCCACCAGGCTGGGAGACAGGAGCTGGCCAGGAACGTGGAATGGTGGCAGTTTAGGGAGCCCCTGGTTCTGGCCTCCGAGAGCCACCCTCTGGCTCATCCTCAGCCTCTGCTATGATCGCCTGCTGGGCACAGGCCGGGGCGTGGAACAGCATTGCCATGCCCTAGGTTCATAGACACAGAGGGTGCCACCCGTCCATTGGTGTCCAGAGTGGGCTCTGAGCTCTTGTCTGGAAAGCCATATTTCCCAGGCCCTGGCTTCCCACACCATCGCCCAGTCTCATGTTGGGCAGCCTGTGGGCAGACAGGGATGTGTGTCCATGCTGAGCCCCGGGCAGGGTCACAGAAGGACTCGGTGGCAGAGGGGACAGCCATGGCCGATACTGGGGACAAAGGGCTACTTTTCCTTGAGTTAGGAGCTGGGGTGCTACAGCTGTGGAGATCCCTGGGGCTCCAGGCTAGGCCAAGGGGCTGCTGGGAGGGGACAGCTGCCCAGGGCCCCTCAGGAGCTGGGGACAAGACAGGCTGCTGACCCTGGCTGTCCTGGGGGCACGGGCTTGCTGTGTGGCTCCTCCCAGCTGCTGATCTACCCCTGGGTCCAAGGTCTCCTCCCTCTGCCTAGAGGTCCCACAGACCGGCTGTGAGTTGTCTGGGAATCCCCCACCCCTGCATTTCAGCCTGCTTCGGGTGCAATCAGCAGCAGACTGGGGTTTTCTCCCCCACACACACCTGCATGGGCCAGCACTCCACGTTCCCTCTCAGGAGCCCAGATCGGCTGGTTTTCGACTCAGGAAAGGACCCGCAGTCCCTGTCCCACCCCAGACCTGCAGCAGCACCCTGGAGGGTGTGAGGCCAGGACCCTAGCACATGGAGTCAGGCTGGAGTGTCCAAGGCTGAAGCTTCACTTCCATCCCGAGGAGGGTCAGGCTGTCCATTGGCACTGACTCTGACCCCCCTGAAAGCCTCAATGAAAGCAGCGGAGAACCTGTCTGCTCTGTGTGTGTGCACATACGTGCATGTGCACACGTGTGTGTGACCGGGGATTGAACCCAGGGCCTTTGCACAGACTCAGCTACATCCCCAGCCCCTTGTTTAGTTTTTCTTTTGAGACAGGACTTTGCTAAGACACAGGGAAGGGCATGGTCCTGGGCAAGGTGGTGCTTGGTGTTAGAGGGGCCCCTGGGGGGGCTGGCAGTTGGGGTGTCCTCCACTGATGATGCCTTTAAAGGCTGGCATGCTTCCTGGGTGCCCCTGCTCCTGTGGCCTGGGATTCCAGGGTCACAAGCCCACCTGCCTGCCCTGGTAAATGCCAGGGTGGGATGCCCAGGATGTGAGGAGGGGTTGGTTGAGGCCTGGTGGGCACAAGTCCAGGGCTCCAAGGGAGTCTCCTGTCTGGTTTCCCCAGTGTGGGGACTTGGGGAGCATTGCTTCAGTCTTTGGACGGCAGTACCAGAGCTGCACTGTCCCCAGAGGTCACACTTCCGCTTAGAGGGTCCGCTGTGCTGGGGGCTGTGCAGGACTCTGGCTCCACTGTTTAGGATCCCTTCTCCACAGGTGTTCAGTAGGCACATAGGTGGGGGGACGGAGGGGCCGCTCTGGGCCACAGAGACTGCTGGGTCTCTAGGTCTCACTTTGTCGACTCTGGTGGCTGCTCAGGGTGCAGTGACATGGTAGGGGAAGGTCCTGAAGTCCTAAGGCGTCAGCTACTCATGGGTTCCAGGTTCGGTGCTCACCCTCGGGCAGATGGCCCCATTTCCCTGATGTTGAGGACAGGGCTGGCACACACCTGAGCCTTCTCCTCGTGCAAGAATGGACATCTGGGTGCCAGGTGAAGGGCCTGAGCTCAACTCTGCTTCCGGGACATCTAGGGCCCCCGCCCTGGGTGCGGGCTACTCCCTCCTGGGCACCACCCTGGGCAGGAGCCACCCCTGGTGTGGCCTTGCTGTGGAGGCCCAGCTCCAGTCCAAGCGGTTTGCCTGGGGAGCTAGAGCCCTGCCCATGCTCCTTGGGGTGCATGGGCCCCTACAAGTATTCTAGAGACCAGGCCATGGCCATCTTCCTCCCATGCCCCAAACTCCTGACACCTGCAGGGGTCTCTTTTCTCCATGGGAGAGAAACCCTGTGGGGGTACATGAGGGGGACGATGGCTCCCCTCCACCCCCAAGGCTTTCTAGCAGCATGGAGAAAGGTCGCCCCCTGCTGGGTCTGTGCATCACAGCCAGGGACCTGAGTTGACATCAGCCAGGTGGCCTGCCCCAGGGTGTAGGTCCCCAGATGCCAGCATTTGGGGTTGGGATAGGAGTGGGAGCAGGTTAGCACCCCAAGTTGAAGCCCCTAGGTCTAATAGCATGTAGGAGAGTTCTTGGCACGTGATCTGGGGACCGGCGCCCCAGCAAGGGCAGAGCCTGAAACCTGGCATGCCCTCACCCGCAGCCTCCTTACGTGTCCCCAGGGTCCCCGAGGTGCCCACAGCCTCACTCTGGCCATGTGAGTGGCTCTGCAGGTTTTGGCCCTGCGGTGCTGAGCCACCTGCCTCTGTTTACCCACCCACCTGCTGGACCCTGGCTGTCTCAGTGTCACCTGACTGCACTGTGCTCCAGGCCGCTGTCCTCTGCTGTGTCCTGCTGGCACCTGGGGCTGGGCTCTGCCAGGGTCTCAGGGACCCAAGAGCTTCTGGGGCTCTGAGTGTGTGCTGCGTCTCCCCACCAGGGCAGGGCTCAGGGGCAGGGGAGACCTGAGGGGGGCAGTGTTGTAGGTGTGTGTGTCCCGCCCCACACCAGGGCGGTGCAGCTGAGGCTCCTGGCAAGGGAATAGGGTTCTCAGGCTGCTAGGGGAGAGCAGGAGGCGTCTGCGAGGCCTTGGTTTCTCTGGCAACCTCTGGGCGGGGCAGCTCCTCCAGTACCTGAGCAGCTACCCTATGGCTCCAGCTAGGGCTGCCTGCTCCTGGCTGTTGTAGCAGGCCATAGCCTCTGGCCAGCGCCCTCTCCCCAACAGGGAGCCCGGGAGGTATCCAGAGGGTGAGTGTCAGAGTGGCTGCCTGAGCCCTGCTCCATCCACCCGGCACCTTGGGAAGGAAGAGGGTGGGAAGCCAGAGGGCAGAGGCAGGTAGGGAGGCCCAGGATTCTTTCTTGCCTTGGACTTGGCCTCGTGCAGATGTGTCCCCTCCCTGTCAGTGCAGAGGCAGCCCCGGGAGCCCCGGGAGCTGGAGAGCTCAGGTCTCATTAGGGGGCCTGCACCCTAGATTATCATCAAATGACCCGTAGGATGTAATCCTAGAGACTCGGGAGGCTGAGGCAGAAAGACTGTAAGCTTGAGGCTAGCATGGGTCACTTAGAGAAACCTTGTCTCAAAACAGAAATTAGAAAAGAAAAAGGGTTGCAGGTGTTTCTGTGGTCCAGGGGCAGAGTGCTTGCCTAGTACCCACGAGGACCCTGGTATGGACCCTGGTGGACCTGCATGGCCCAGCCCCTGGCAGAGGTGGGGAGCCAGGGGAACTGACCAGCACAGACCCCCTCTAGCGTGGCTCACCAGTCCTGGCCCTGCCAGGAGCATCTCCACAAGCCTGTGAGGTGCAGTGGATATGGTGGCAGTTGTGGAAGGAAACGCAGAGCTGTGACCCGAAGGCCTTGGCCTCCATGACCATGCCCAGCCCTTGTGGACCGCAGGTCCTTTCCCATGTAACTTTCACTTGCATGCAGCCCAGGCCATGGGTGTGTAGCAGTGGCTCCCTGGGATCCCAGTTAGGGGGCCTGTCCAAGGCAGGGACTCGACTCTGCGCTGTGTAACGAAGGTAAGGTGACAACATCATCCTCAGGGGCTCACGCAGGGGCTCACATGCCTAGGGGACATTGCTGTCTCTGTGGGCCAAAGCGGTGAGCAGCAGCCTGGCCAGCCCAAGTGGCTCAGCACAGCAGCACCCGAGGTAGTAGGGCTGGGCCCCTGCTGGAGCTAACCCGCGCCAGGAGGCTGCTGAGCTCCCTGGGGTGGCTGGCCAGGTCCTCTCAGAGGCATGGCAGGCCCACCAGGTCATATGAGGGCCTCTTGGAGACTGAGCCCCAGGTGGACAGGAGGAGCGGCTCTGGGACAGGGCCACTCATCTCTGCTCCACCTCCCCTGCAGGGCCTCCATCTGGCCTCCCAACACGCCCTGCTCGCAGCAGCCTCCCCGGTCTGTGCTGTGTCACCCTGTCCCCGCCCCTGCACCTGCCACCACCTCAGTGTAGGCCCTATCTCTGGGGGCACGGCCGGCTGGGGCATCAGTGGCTGGGGGCACAGGGTACAGGGCCCAGGGGGAAAGGGGAGCAGATGCCCCGCCCTGGCACTGGTTCTGCAGAGCCCTGTGGGGGGTGCATGTTGCATGCACAGTATGTGGTATATAATGTTGTGTGTAGTGTGTTGTGTCACCTGTTGTGTGTAGAATGTTGTATTGGCACTTCCTGTGTTGCGAGTAGTGCATTATGCATGTAGTATGGTGTGGGTGTAGCATGTAGTGGATGTCACATGTTGCATGTTGTGTGCACGCTGTGGGTGTAGCATGTTGTGTGTGATGTGTCACAGGCAGGCTGTGGATGATGGGTAGCCTGTGCCTTTCACTTGTCATTCCATGAGACCCATCCCACCCCTGCTGTAGGCACTCAGGGCCCTGTCCCTTTCTTGGTGGCCTCAGGGCAGGCACGGCCACAGCAGCCGGAGGCCAGGGAGGCACTCATGGTGGCAGTTGGGTGCCATGCCAACACTCAGTGCCAGCTGTTGTTGCTGTGGAGAGCGCTGGGGCCCCATGGTGGTGGGCGTGGTGGCCTCGCCCTCGCTGGCCCTGCTGCCCAGGTTTGTGTTCCTAGGACCCAGAGGTGAGGAGTAAACATTGTTGCTAACAGGCATAGAGTGCCTGCTGGTCATTCATCAGGCAGCAGGTATGGCTGTGCCTTGTGCCTGTCATAGCTGTGGGGCCTGGGGTGTCACCTCCAGCAGACCACACAGGGCAGTGGTGGGTGAGCTGGCACTTGGGATGGAGGAGACTGAGGTGCCCGGGCTCCCAGCCACCATGCCCAGCTCAGCTCCCGTGAGTTCCTGAGTCTTTTGCCCTCTAGGAGCCTGGGCAAGGTACTAGTACCTAGGAGGCAAATGCCAGGGCAGGGTCTCAGGGTCCCTATGTACACCTTCTTTGGGACAGGGAAGGTTCAAGGCCCCTGTGGCTCCAGAAAGTGGCCCCTGTGTGTGGACTCTGTGTTGCCCACAGACCCCAGGGACCCCCTGCCCTGGGGGGGGCAGGTTATGGGCGTGGCTTGACTCCTGGCCTCGGAACCCACCAGGACTTGTGGCAGGCTGAGCCCGGACACTCCATAAAGTAGGGGTGCCGACAGGACACCCCCATGGGATGCTTCTGGGCCCACACTGTCCCTGCCAGCTCTTTGGGGAACCTTCTGCTCCCCACCAGCTGACCAGCTGGTGTGGCCATCCAGGGGACTGGAGGGTGGTGCAGGACCTGAGCTGTGCCACTGTCGTGACACCAGCAGAGGGAGCCTTGCCCTCAGGAGCCTAGGGTCCCACCTTCCATCTGGGGGCCACAGTACTGCACTGTTGAAGAGTGGGAGGGGGAGGTCCAGCACACGAGGTTCCTGGCTGCTGGACCTCAGCGTGGGCTTTATTTCCTACCCACCAGGTATCTGTGACCAAGTGCTTAACTCTGCTGTGTTGTGACAGGGATGTTGGGGCCTCCAGTGCCCACCTCTTGAAAACGTCACCACGGGACACATGTGAGATCTCCTCCATTTCAGCCTTGAGGGGTGACGTCCGCAGGGGAGCTGCACAGAGGCCTTGTCCTGGACACCAGGTTGGGCAGACTTGGCAGACTTGGACGGTGCTGCCGCGGGAACCTGGCTGCAGAGGTACTGGGGTGCCCAACCCCACGGTGGGTGCCTGGACTCACACCAGGAGTGCACCAGGACTTCCTGCTCTGAGGCTGGGGAGGTGGCACACGGGGGCATTTGCCCCCCACATTCTGAGTGCAGGGCTTTAAGAGCGGCCGGGTCAGGGCAGGAGCTGCTCAGGGGTAAGTGCTGGTCCAGTGTGATGGGGCAGGCCCAGAACTGCAGAACAGAACGAGCACCCTTGGGTGCTCCCCAGGCCACCTAGAACCAAGGTACCCTTGCCTTTCTTGGAGGACACTCAGGAGGGAAGGAGCATTTTGGGGATTCCTGGCTCCCCACTTCCCGTGCCTGAGGTTAGCCTGCAGCTGGGGTGAGCCCAGGGCTCCGAAACCCCCTCAAGGCGGGAGCTGGCGCTCCTGGCCCTTAAAGCATCTGGGGCACAAGTGGCAGCTCCAGGCTCTGTCATGGGTGACACAAGGTTATTATGCTGTCACCAGGCCACCTGGAATTCTCCTCACCCTAGGTGGCAGCTCATTAGGAAGCCCCACCCGCTGCCAGCGGGCCCACACCCACTGTCCCCAGTTTCAATGACCGTCCAGAAGGCTTGCGCTTGGGTCAGGGGACCAGCGCAGGCGGGCACCCAGGGCTGGCAGTGCCAGCCATCCCAAGAAGCCATGGGTGCCCAGCTGTAGGCGTCGAGGCCACCATGTGACGACACCACTCCCACTCAGCCCCTCGCCCACCCCAATCCTGGGTGGGTTGCCCACCTGCCTGGGGGGCGCGCTGCTGCCCTGCACCAGGGAGACCCTGAAGCTGGGCCTGTCCTCCCCCAGGGTCCTGGGGACAGGGGGCCCCGGGAAGGCTGGCACAGAACACAGGTAGGGACAGCGTGGATTGAGGATACGTTGCTAGCATGGGTCAGCATGGGGCCAGGCCCGGCCCTCCCAGTCTCAGGGTCCCTGTCTAGATGCTGGGCTGGTCTCATGGGGTGTGGACAGGACTTGGGACAGCCAGGGCGGGTCACGGCAGGACCTCTCTGGCCCTTCTGCCCTCTGAAGTGGGAAGGGGAAGCGAGGGTCTTGGGACAGCCCTGCTTGGCTCAGGAGCTCAGTAGTGGGGCTCCAGCCTGATGGCTGTGCCTGTCTCTCCAAGGGAGGACAGGTTCCGGCGGCCTGCGGCTGAGGACTGTGTCATGGCCATGCTGCGTTGGCCTGGGCCGGCCCAGCAGCCAGGTGCCACTGGAACACATCGCCTCCTGGCCTGGTCGGATACCAGTGACACTGCAGAGCCATGGTGCATAGCTTGCAGGCTGCCTGTGTGGTCCTCTGACCAGGAGGCCCAGGATGGGGACAGCTCAGTATCCTCTGGCCCCCTGTCTGGCTCCTCCGGGGGCCATATGCCTTGTGCCCCTCCCCATGGACCCTGGAAGGAGAGGCCACCCCTGGTCTCAGCATTGCAGCAGCTGCCCAGAAAGAGTGACCCAAGGCTAGAACGGCTGCGGGACCGGATCCGCCAGCAGGCATGGGGGCAGGCAAGCTGTGCCTCCTTGGGCACCTCAGCCCCCTCCAGCACCTCATACCTCTGCTCCACCTCCACGCTGGCGCCCAGGAGGAGGACCCGCAAGGTGACAGCCGCCCTTCCAGCCCCCGCACACCCAGGTCCGCGGCAGCCCCGGGAAGGGGGAGGCTGGGAGGGAGGCTGGGCGAGGTGGCCGCATGGGAGGTGTGTAAGGTGCCCTAGGCCCCAAGGGCTCCCTGAAGCTAGCTGGAGATTGGGGAGGGTATCATTGCTGGGACTCAACCCCTGACAGGCAAAACTTATAGGAGGGGGACTCTGTCTTGGCTCACAGTGTGTGGACATTTCAGCCACGGTGGGGTGGGTGGCTCCAAGCTGGGTGGTGTGGTTCAGGGGAGCCTATCACAGCACGATGTCAGGAAGCAGAGAAGAGAGGAGTGGCAGGGAGAGGGACTCTCCCAGGCCACGCCCCAGTGCCCAGCCTCCAGCCTGGCCCCACCTCCTGTTTGGAGGAGCTGGCTATGGTGCCCCATGGTCTAATCACCTGCCACAAGCCCTGCTTATGATCACATGAGGCTCTTGGGAGACATTGTGATCTGAACCACAACAGAGGGACTTCCAAGCCAGGTCTAGGATAAGACAGACTCTCCGGGGAAGACGGAAGAATAGGCACATGCAGGGCTTATGGGAGGGTCTGGGCCTGGCATCTGTCCCTGCTGCCCTGGGGTATATATGAGAGTTTAAACAGACAGCAACATCTAGGGGCACCTGCTTCCCTCCCAGTGGACACAGAGCCAGGGCCAGGGTGATAATTAAGCGGGTATCTAAAGAACTTCCCTGCAGAAGGTGGGGACCCCATCTAAATGCTTAGCTGTACCTAAGGAGATGGGAGATGCTTGCCATTTCTTAAAAAAGATATTTGCTTACATTTAAAAATCATGTGAAAATACATATAAAATTTAACAGCTAGATACCGTGGTATATGACTATAATCCCAGCGAGTAGGGGGGCTGAGGTGGGAGGAGCTCAAATCTGAGGCCATCCTGGGTAATTTACCAAGACCTTATCTCAGATTAAAAACAAACAGAAGCCTTGTAGTTGTAGTTCAGTGGTGGATCACCTGCCTGGGGTGCATGAGGCCCTGGGTTCCACCTCCTATGCTAGAAAGAAGAAAAGAAGAAAAACCCCAATTCTCTCTGTCTATCTCTGCCTCTCTCTCTCTCTCTCTCTCTCTCCCTCTGTGTGTATATATATATATTTTTTTTTCATCAATCATCAGATCTTTTTGCACAATTTTGGGTTTTTTGGTGTTTTGGGTTTTTTGTTTGTTTGTTTAGTACCAGAAATCAAACTCAGGACCTCAGGCCACATGCTTGCCGGGCAGGTGCTATGCCAGTGAGCTACATCCCTGGCCCACAGAATTTTGCTTTTTGAGACAGCAGCTTGTAATGTATAGTTCATGGGGCTGGGGATTTAGCTCAGCGGCATAAGCACCTGCCTTGCAAGCAGGCGATCCTGAGTTCGATCCCCAGTACTGAAAAAAAAAAAAAAAAGTCACTTGTTACGTAGTTCAGGCTAGTCTTGAACTTACTATGTAGCCAGGCTGGCCTTGAGCATGTGGTGATCCTCCTGCCTCAGCCTCCCGAGTGCTGGGATCACAGATATGTGCTACCGTGCCCAGCTGCGTAAACAGGGTTTCAAGCTCAGGCCATGACCCCCTTGCCTGTGTGTGGTCCAGGCCGTGCTGGGTGCCGAGCAGGAGGCCCCTAGAGCTCCCTGCTGGTGTGAAGCCGCCTCAGGAGCCATGTGTGTATGGCTCTTCCCAGGGTGAGCTGCAGCTTCGCCACTGCAGCCCCTTTGTGTCCTGCGGCTCTTGAGACGCCTTCCTGGCCTGGGGCTTGGGTTGGAGGTGCCACTGGCTGAGCTTGCGCTGGAATTCCACTTGGAATCTCTTCCCCACGTACCCTTTCCCTCTTGTCTGTCCCAGGTTTCAGCATCCTCCGCATGATGAAGCCTCAAGGGAGAGATCAGATGTTCCTAGGCGCGGGGCGGGAGCTCTCTCGGGCCACCTGGCACCAGACTCCGGGTGAGTGGATCCAGGGTGGGCAGAGTATGCTGCCCCTCTCCATGGAGAGGACATGGGGACCCTGGCTGGGAAGGGGTGTGCGTGAGTGAGCGTGTATGAGTGTGCATGTATGCATGTTCCAACTCTCTGCCTCTCGGGGAAAGAGACACTGGGCAGGGTAGGCATCCCCAGAGAGGCCAGGTCATCCCCATGGACCCTGTGGCCCTGCCCTCCTGGGTCTGCTGGTCATCTGTCGGCTGGGCATGCCCAGCATGGCATGCCTGGTCCCAGAGATGAAGGTGAGGGCGGCTCTGCAGATGTCAGGACAGTGTTTGGGCCAGGCCCAGGGCACCATGGTGCTTTTATGCTCAAATTGATAATCAATTTTCACAATCCACATAGGCCTATTTACAAGGTAAGCAAAGCATATACATAAACACACACACACTCATACCAATAAAATTTTGCCACAAATCATACACCCGTGTATGCAGAACAATCTACTTACCATTTTAAAACAACTAATTTGTATCTCTTAGACTACTCTCATGTCCTTCTTTTCTGATAATCATGATAATTTGCAAAGGCAAATTCTACCATTATCATTATGCCACCGAAAAAATCTGAGGCCCAGATTCCATTCAAGATCACATAGCCAGATAGATTGTCTTAGAACCCAAGCCTAGCCTTTAAAAACAAATCCACTGTACCTTCATTTAGAAGGCTTTTTCTTTACCTCTAATAAGCTGCCTCATAGTTTTAAAAATGGTATCTGTGATGGTAATGTTGCTGTCTGCCCAGCCTGAAATCAACAATATTTTCTGATTCTCAAATGAAAACCTAAAGTGGATATTCCCATAGGCAAAATCTTGGAAGCTGAATTAGAATTAAAATTGAAAATTTTTAAATATTGCCTTTGCAATGATAATTAAAACCCAGGTACCTCATGTTAGGGATGTGAAGATCCACCAGGCATTGCCCATATCTGTTCTGTTCGACCCAAACATGATCTTCAGAACCTCTGGTCAGCTCTGCCATGTCTGCAGCTTACATGTAGGCTCACACAATGTTCACACTTCATTGAGGGCCACATATTTTATAAGTTGCAGAGTTCTTTGCTGGTACTTTAATTTTGCATCAGAACAAATATTCAAATAGTGGGGCTGTGAACATTTTTACTGGCATGTTTCACAACTAAGAAACACTACATTATTTTATGTTTTGTGTCCAGCTATCTGAAAATACAGGATTTTTAAAACATTTCCTACCTCAAGTACAATATTAGAGTTCATATAGCCCAGCTCTTGAATGAACCACACACACTCATCTTTGGGAGCCATGGAGCTGAATGGCTTCACTCTGCCTTCATGTTAGGACAGTGTTAGGGCCAGGCCCAGGGCACTGCGATATGGTGCTGGGATCTTGGCCTTTTTCCAGGCAGTAGAACCATGGATGGGCGGCTGGGGGTCAAGTGGAGCCTCTGTCCCAAGTCAGGAGAGGGTGACCCCACTGACTGGGGAGGGTTGAGCACAGACTGGGCTCCCCTGGCTTGGGTGGCCTAGGACTCTGCAGTGAGGGCTTTCCCTGGGCTGTGGGAGGAGGACATTGGCCGGGAGACCCTTGGGCAGCAGCCATAGTGCCTGTGGGGTGTGCGGCTGGCACTGAGCGTGTGAGGCCAGGATCCCGAGCAGAGCCACGTCTCCTTCCCTGGAAACGATGCATCAGCCAGCCTGGGACCATGGCCAAGCACAGAGTTTGGGAACCTTGACCCCTAGGCCTTCTGGTGATCCATTCTTTTGAGGGACGCAGGGGCCCTGTGCCCTTCATCATGCCTGTGCTCTGCCAGGCCTCTATGCCAATGCAAAGAGCTCAGCTGGTGGCAGGAAACCCGACAGCCTGGGCCATTGGCCTGGGAACTGCAGACAGCCTCACACCAGCTGGGGATGCAGTGGGGACTCTGCCCCAGGAGCCTGCCCACCACCACACTGGCTGGGCTCACTGTCTTTTACTCACTCAGGGAACCGCGAGGAGGTCCTGCCACTCACCTCCCGGCCTCACACCCGCTCTCCTCCCCATCGAGGTCCCCGAGACAAACCCAGGAGGACTCGAAGCCGCTCCTGCAGGAGGGACAAGGGCCCTGGGTCACCCTCACCCAGCAGAGCCGCCAAAGGCAAAGGTAAGGTTCGCTCCTGGGCTCCAGCTGCCCAGGATGTGGGTCCCCGCAGTCCAGGGAAATGGTGGGTGCTGGTGTCTGTCTTGGGGACCTGTTGGCTCTGTTTCGCGCTGTATGGGGTGCGTCCTCTGTGGTGACCCTAAGGTCACCAGTGCATCTCTGGCCGTGAGGTCTGTAAGGACACAGCCTAGTCAGCAAATCTCAAGGGTACAAGCCAGCATGTGTTCCAGAATGCCATCCAGTGACCATGGGTAGTGGGGAGAGGAATTTCTACCTCAAGGTCCCTCAGCCTGAGTTCTGGGCCCTGCAAAGACCCTGGTACTCAGACTTGGGTGTGGTTTTCAGAGTTTGTGGGGTGAGCTCCTAGCTGGGTCCCTGGAGGCTAGTGTGCTGCATCCTAACAGTGGGAAACTGAGACTTGAGGAGGTTCTGTGACCTGCTCAGGGCCACTCAGGCAGCAGAACCAGGGCCTGGCACTGCCCCATCCAGCTTGACATCCATGCTTCAAACCTGAGGCCAGCGTATCTTGGGGCTACACCCAGAGGGTCCCTGGGACTAGGAAGGCTTTGGGGAGACCCTTGCCCTGAGCACTTGTGTGACCCCAGGGCCAGGTGGGGCTCCTGAGCTGCCTGGTGGGCCTGCCTCTGTCTCTCCCCAGCACCACGGCCAGGGCGGGATGATGGAGCTGTCACCCTGTGCCACTCCTGCCTGACATGGTCAGCCCCTCTGCCCCTGGCTGCAGCATGGCTTTCCGAGGGGAGATACTGCACCTGGGTGTTGCTTGGTGACATGTCCCAGGGCTGTGTGACATGTGTCTGCCCAGAGGTGACCCTGGACAAGAAGAAACTCTTCCTGGAAGGAGAGTACAGGACACAAGAAGGTCCCCCAAAATGCATAAATTGTGCCCCTTCTATGTTACCTCCCCCTGGCTTTTGGGCTTGTTTCATTTTTATGGCTCAATTGAAAAACGACCTGCCTGCCGCCCGACACGGGGTCGGGAGGGCGTGCCACTGGCCACATCCATCATCGTAAGCACCCTGTCACCCTGACGGTGGTCACCATTAGTTTCTGTCAGTGACGAACTCACAGCTGGGCTAAGGAGAGATGAGCCTGGGGTCAGGGGTCACAGCCACCGGACTTGGGAATTGGATGAATTAGAAATTTGCTGTAGTTAACAAAAAATTAAATCACAATAGTTATAAAATATTCATCCATCCCGGCCAAAGGAAAATGAAGCCCGATCTTTAATTTCCGATTATATCGCCTCGCTTTGCATTTTTTATCGTAGATTAGGTTGGCCTGGAGCTGTGGCAGGGCACCTGGGGACTTCATCCATTTCCACAGATTAAAAATCCTCTCATAAAAAAATTAATTGCCATTAAACGGCTCAGCAGAAGAAAAAATGTGCCCGTCAGGACCCATTTATCGACCAGATCCCCTCTGCCGGTGGATGGGGAGCTGGCTGCATGATGGAGGGGCCCAAGGGGCGTCCCCTCATCACAGAGGCAGCAGGGCCAGCCGTGTGCGCAGATCAGCTGCAGGGCAGAGTGGACAAGCTGGGTTGTGCTGGTGTTGGCGGATGCCGTGCTGAGCCAGCGGAATCCAGACCTTCCAGGTCACCTGCCCTGGAGGTGGTGACTGCCACCCAGCACATTGATGCAGGTCTGGGAGTCCCACAACTTGGGAGGCTGAGGAAGGACCACAGGTTCAGGCCAGCCTGAGCAGCTCAGTGAGGACCTGCTTCTAAGTAAAGCGGCCAGGTTCAGAGCTGGCAATGTCCTGTGGGGAGGAGCTGTTGGGCACGCTCTCCATTTAGGATTCGGAAGCCCAGAGTCCCAGCTGCTGGGTGGCGGCGCCCACGTCTGGGCCCACTGAGACTCACCATTGGCCTCCCTGGCCCTGGGACCCCATCTGCAGAGAGAGAGTGACTTGTGGCCAAAGGTTAGAGGGTGGATGGGAGGGAAACAGTGGCCTAGTCAGACAGCCAGGCAGGAGCAAATCTTGGTGGCCCAATGAGAGGCCTCTCCATGGGTACCAGGCAGCTTTGGATGACACTACCTGCACAGCATCTCTGGATACCACCACCCTGCCCAGTAGCAGGAAGGCAGGCTGGGGGTGAGGGGGTGGTTTCTGCTCGGGTGGGGCCTCAGAGCCGGGGGGGCTGGCTGAGCCCAGAGTGGAGCGCTTGTGCCCAAGCGTGTGTGTGAGCCAGCAGCCTGCTCCGTCTCTGCTGGGCCCCTGTGGATGGCTTGCTGAGGATAACGGACCAGGGTAGATCTGGTGACTGTGCCCTGGGGTTCCAAAGTCCAGCCTTGAGGGGTGACATGAATCGTATGACATTATCACAGGAAGCTCGCCCATGCTCGGGCGGGGGGATCATTTATCTCCAAGCTGCCTCAGAGCCTCACTGACCGGCTCCATCAGAGTTTCATCTCAGGTGGTGCCTGGGATCCCCTTGCCCTGCCCCCAGCGACTCCCAAACCTGCAGATGCAGGGCTGCAGGCTGTGCTGAGGCCCATACGCATGTTCTCTCTGTCCCAGATCCCGAGTCCATTGGTGTTCATGCCTGGAGGAGGGGACGGGAGCTGGCATGGCTGCTGCTGGGGCCGCCACCCTCCCAGACCACCCGGCGCACCCGGCCCGCGCGCCAGAGTGCAGAGCCCTCGAGGGACCTGGGCCCCGCCGTGGGATTAGGTAGCTCCCGCCTGTGCCATGCTCTGACTCGCTCTGCCACAGCGCCAGGAGGTGGGCACGAAGAGGGAGGTGCCTGTGTGCATACTGGAGGGGCCTCAAGGGACAGGGCTGAGGCCTCCCTGGGGGCCCTACAGCCACCCCGGGGCCCAACATACCTGTCACTGCAGGGGACTTCAAGAAGGCTTTGGCCTCGGAGGGCTCATCAGTCCACACCTGGCCAGAGAGGCCCACTTCAGCCAGCAGTGGCCCGCAGGTGTCGGAGAACACAGTCAGCCTGGCTTCCCACAGCCAGCAGGCGACGATCCAGAGTGCCATGGCCATCCTGCAAGATCTCCGCCAGCAGATTCAGGCTGGGCTGGAGCTGGCACAGAGCCCTAAGCACAGGCTGAAGCACAAGATGTCTAAGATGAAGCCACAGAACCTGGCCCAGCAGGGTACCCGGAACAATTGGCTCAGGCAGGGCTCCTTCCTGAAGAGTCCTTGCAACACGCCCGAGGGGACACACTCTAACCTGGACAGGGCCAGGCGTGCCCATCCCCAGCAGGCCTCGAGCACCTCGACCGAGTGGGAGCCCTGTCCCCAGAGGGCCCGGGCAGCCAGAGGATGGGAGCCCTGCTTCCAGAGACCTAGGAGCCCTCCTGAGAAGCTGAGCCCCTTTCCCCAGCAGCCCTGGAGTGTCCTTCCCAGGCAGGCCTGTCCTCAACAGGCCTGGGTGAAGAGTAAAGACTGGGGAGTCCCTGAGCCCAGACCATGGAGCCCTAAGGAAAGACTGCGTCCTGCCCCGCGGCGCAATGGTTCCTACCTGAAGAGGACTGGATCCTCCTGCAAGGGCAGAGGTGCCACCACCCCTCCCTCTGAAGCCAGGCAGGCCTGGCTGTGGAGCTCCCCACGGCAGGAGCCTAAGGTGTGGTCGTGCCCACCCCACCTGCAACCCCGGAGGCCCCTGGGCCACTCACGTGGCTCCGAGGCCCTGTGTGACTTTATGTGCCAGAAGGCACAGGCAGAGCGGCAGCAGGCCCTTCAGCAGACGGCCATGGCCACAGACGTGCTGGAGCAGAGAAGCCAGCGGCTGCAGGAGGTCTACCGGAGGCAGAGAGAGGCCATGCAGGGCAAGACAGTCCCTGTGGTCTCCCAGACCAGTCCTGGCATTGTCACCTTCGTGCCCAGTTCAGCACAGTCGGAGGTATGGGCTCCTCGATTCCCAGGGTGTGGGTGCAGCCAGGGCACCCAGAGGTATCTCCCGGGGTCAGCAGGGTTCCGGTGAAGCCATCCCCAAGGACCCTGTTGCCTCTGTCGAAGCCCCCATAGAGGTCCCAAGGTCTCCAAAAAGCTTGAAGTACCCAGCCTGAGATCTGGAGGAGGCTGGGCCAGTTTGGAGGTGCAGGGCAAGGCTTCAGGGCCTCTTCCCTGGGGACCTAACCTTGACCTTGTTGCCTCAGGTCCTGAAAGCCCCTGGGAGCCTGGAGCCACCTGAGCGGGGCTGGAGCAAGGTGACTTCCGGTGTGGTACTGGGGGACCAGGAGATACCCGGCAGGTGGGTATAGAGGTGGGGAAGCCACATGGAAGACACTGCCCAGGATGGGAGGGCCCTGGGGGGCTTTTCACCCCTGCCAGGCACCCCCAGGAATGTGTGGGGTGGAACTGACCCGTTTTCACAGAGGGGACTTCAGTGACCAACTTATAAATGCACAGCTCCGAGGCACAGTGTCGTGCGGATGCTGATCCGCCCAGTTCTGGGACGCTACATTTCACAGGAAGGACCATGTGCTCAAGCTGTCACCCCATCCCTCTCGCCTGCCCCTGGGGAACAGCATTTAGCTTGCAGTACACCCTTGAATGTCACAATCCCAACTACTGAAAGCTCAAAAATTCCAAAAATCTAAAATCCTAGGATTTACATTCCAAAAATATAACTCCAGACAAAAATAATTGAGGTATTCTCCCAGGACTTTGGAGGTTGAAGCAAATTCAAGGTACCAGCCTGGGCTACTTCGTGAGTTCAAAGTCAGCCTCAATTACATGGCAAACCTTATCCCCAAAAATCTTTTTTTTTTTAAATCGGTACTAGGGATCGAACTCACGACTGCCTGCTTGCAAGGCAGGCGCTTATGCCGCTGAGCTAAATCCCCATCCCCTCCAAAAATCTTTTTTAAAAGTGCTAAACTGTGCCTACCACGGCACCTGACCCTCAGTCCCTCTGGATCTGCTTTTATTTTACATTTCCTTTTAGCTGAAGCAGAAAGTGTACTGTGAGGGAGCTGCTGGGGGGTGTCTACCCGAAGGGAGCCAAATTGTTCTCTTCAGCATTTACCCTTCCTTTTTGGCGGAGCCTTCAGGGTCCTTGCTTCTGGGTTTTCGAAACAGGCAGTACCACACTGCGATCTGTAGTCATCTACCTGCCCAGCAGCACCCCTGAGCTGCTTGGCCCTACCTGGGCACTAGACCAGTGATCACCCCCTGGTTTTCACTTTTGTTTTGGTTTTTATTGAGACAGGGTCTTGCTGCGTAGTCCAGGCTGGCTTTGAACTCACTATGGCGCTTGCTACATGGCTTTGAACTTGCAGCCATCCGCCTGCCTCAGCCTCCTGGGTGCGGACCCACAGAGTTCTCATCTGCCTGTGCTAACACTGTGTCCCCCCAGACTGTGACACTCTCCATTCTACTTCTGGCTCTCTGGCTCGGGCACCTTCTATGAGTGGGTCTCTCAGGACTTGTCCTGTGGCAGCTGCCTTCTTTCCTCACACGCCATCCACATGGTGGCAGGCATCTGACTCCTGGGCCCCTTGGCACCTGACAGCCCCACCCACCATTGGAGGATGCTCGGTGCTTTCTCTCTGTCTCCTGGGGCAGCTGAGCCAGGCCAAGCTTCTGCTCTTCTCTCCCATCCTGCAGCTTCTGTCTGTGTCTGAATAGAGCCTGGAACCGCCCAGCGACGCCCCTGCCCGTGTCAGCCTCCTTGCCACGCTCCCTGCAGCTCCAGGACCCAGGCCGGGGGCTGCACATCTGCCTGGACCCACAGGCAGCTGAGCGTCTGAGTCTGTATGGCCCCCTGCATGCACAGCACAAGCAGGCCCGGCTGCAGGCGCTGGAGACCATGGCCGATGTCCTGCAGCAGCGCATTGACATCCTGACCGCCAAGCTCCGCCAGAGTGAGACATCGGCCACCACCCAGGACCTGGCCTCTGAGCTGCTGCCCCTGGGGCCCAGCACCACGCCTTCTGCCCTGGCCTGCCCTGGGGCCTTGGTGCCCAGTGGAGAGAGAGGGTCACCTCGTGAGGACTTCCTGGACATGAAACCGCTGCCTCGGGCCCCGGTGATCAGCTCTGAGAGCCAGCACCAAGGTGGGGCTGGGGCCTCAGGTGCCACAGCCCTGGGTGGCGGGAAGTCCCCCAAAGTCTTCTCTGAAGAGGGTGCGAGGTGACAATAGCTGGCCCTGCTGCACAGCACGTGACACATGCCACACCCGGCATCCTGTCCATCCCGTCATCAAGCTGGGGGGGGCTTTGCCAGGTCCTTGTCTGGCACAGCCGGGGGCACCTGTCACCACAACTCAGAGCCCCGTCCCCGTGTTCCTTGCTCCACCAGTGCATTGTGACATTGGCCCCTTTTCCAAAGGTGCCCTGCAGGAGGGACACTGGCAGCCTGAGCAGAGGCTATGTGGAGACTCGGCTGTCTTCCAAGCCGCTGGCACCGGCGCAGGGAGGTGAGCCCTCAGCCATTCTGTCCACCTCTCATGGCCCCCATGACCCCTTCCCCTGGCCTAGGGCCAAGGCCAGGCCAGGTCAAATGAGCCAGAGCCCAGGATCTGGACCAGGCTCTGATGCTGACGTACAGCAGCTCGGGGACACCGTTGTAGCTGAACCTAATCTGAGCCCCACCCAGGCCACGAGACACCCCAGACCAGGTCCCCCACAAAACAGCCTTTTGTGCTGGCTCTGAGCCCACAGGAAACACAGTCATCGCACTCTTGCCATAGGCCTCGGCAGCCTGCTATGTCTTTCCCCTTTTTCCCGCCCCATGTCTGAGCCCTGCTCACGGCTCCTTCACCTAGTTTCACCTCAGATCTGGCCCTGGCCTTCTTGGTGTCCGGGTGACACCAGTGCATGTGAGGTCCCTGCTGTGAGCGCTGGGTCCCTCCTCTGTGGCCCCATCTCACCCAGCTTCCTCCTGCTCTTGAGAGGACCCCTGTAACCCCATGGAGTCTCCAAAGCTGTTGTCCTGTGAGTGGTCTCATAATTGGCCCTGCATTGGACACTGCCCAAGGACACCCGGCTCCACAAGTGGTCCTCTGGAGTCTCCCCAGGACTCATGGACAGGCCAGAGCCTCCTCTTGAACCTCCTTCTACCACCCCAAAGCTGTCCCTGCACCCCAGTGCCTGCCCACCTCCTGGGGTGGTAGGTTAGGGTTAGAGGCATCCTCCAGGCACTCCACACCTAATCCCAGTGGCCAGTAGGGAGCAGCACTGGGCCAGTGGCGTCTCTGCTCTCTGCCATCCCAGCTCAAAGGGATTGGGCCCAATTGGGGAGAGGTTAAGATCAATGCCCCGGGCTCCCAGTAGACAGGACAGGTGTGTCCCCAGGCTCAGGCCCAGAAGGGCCCCGTGTTCCTGGAACACAGCCAGGGAGGGGCCCAAAGGCGGTGGGCACTGTGTCCCCTGCCTTGCCCAGACAGACTGGGCTCCTGTGGGGGTCAGGTGGTCTCCAGGCTGGCTGGGCGTCAGGATGGGCCCTGGCCCTCACCCCAGGACCCCAGGAGTTACTCTCTCTTCCACTGCAGGGACTCTGGTACTCATCAGGTGAGGGCTGAGTTGTTGCTTGTGTCTGTGTGCCAGGGGCTGGGGAGCCCAGCAAGCTGCCCACACCTTTGCCCCAGAGCACCCTCCCACTTCTTGACAGCAATTGCAGTAGGGGTCGTCTGCCTGAGTCTAGCCCAATTCCTAGTTGACTGTGCCAGTGCCCAGTACATGGCTCCTGCATCTCAAGCCTACTGTCTGCCAAGGCAGCAGTGCCAACCACGGGAGGGGCTGGTCAGGCTGGCACATGGCCCTCACCCCTCCCTGGGCCTGTTGGTAGTGCCCTTGGACATGGCAGAGGAGCTCTGCTCCTCTCCAGAGCACCCAGGGACCCCAGATTTGGGCTCCAGCTGTATCTTGGAGAGGTCTGGCTGGGCTCACTACCATGTGGGGCGACAGGGCACAGCACGTACAGTGCATCTCTTGCAGCTGCCCCGAGGTCACAGGTCAGGGCCTTGCCTGCAGGTCTTGCCTTGGACACGCTGACGTGGGTCCAACCCTGCTGCAGCTGCAGGCACCCTGATTCCTGTGACTGGGGTGCAGTCCCTCGTCTCCCACCTCCTCCTAGCCTCACCTCATACCCACCTGTGCTTTGTGTCTCTAGCACACTGAGGGTGGCTGCTGCCCCGCACCCCACCTGCGGCTCCCCGTGGCTGGAGGAGAAGCCAGCGGCCAGAGGGGCAGGCTTGACAATGCCCTGGACCCCCCGGAGCTGTGGTAAGGGCGAGCCTGTGGACAGGCCTTGGGCTGGCTGGCCAGGTGGCCAGGGGCATCTGCCGGGGACCCCGGCCACTGCCTAGAGCAAGCGTGGCCCTCAGGGTAGGGAGAGCCCATTCCACACAGACGTATTAAAGCGTTTCTAGGGCTTGGGCCCCCACTGTCGGCTCTGTGCTCCTGTACACCGTGGTGAGGCAGCTGGGGTGGGATCAACCCTAGACCCGTGGTCAGCCAGGCTCCCGACACCCCAGGGTGTAGCTCCCGAAGACAACGCTTCCCCTGGCCTCCAGCACCAGGCAGGGCTTTTCCTTTGGCTACTTGGGCCCGTTCTATTTCTGGGTTACATCGAGGAAATGCTTGGGGCTGAGGTGCTGGCACTTGGTGGGGGACCAGGGGTGCTCAGTCTGCTGTCACAGAAGCCCCTGAGGACCCCAGAGAGGCAGGTGGCCCATGCTTGGGCCTCATCCTAACCAAGCCCCTGGGGTGCTGGTGGGAGGTTTCCTGCCATGTTGGTCTGTAGGTTTGGACACACTAGGGACAAGGGGAGGTCTGGCTGTGACCCAGGGCAGTCCTAGGGCACCTCCCCTCCCTGAGGATGGGGAGACCCGTGTGGCCGAGCAGCTGGGGAGAGGCAAGACGTCAGCTCAGTCCTAGGCTTCTGCCCCTGTGGGGCACTAGGGTGGGATGGGAGGACTTCAGACAGGGAGGACTTCTACACTGAGGGCTTCCTGGCTCCTAGCTCCTCCCTGGGCCTGGAGGGCGCACCTGGCAGCTGTGGGCTCTTCTGTGGATGGGCGCAGGGGCTGTGTGCCCATGTGTGGGACAATGGTGCCCTGGTACTCACCCCTCATTCCTAGCAGGTGGATGTGTCCAGGGGTACACAGATGGGGCCCTGTGCCTCTGACTCCCAGAAATTTCCTCTTGGGAAGCAGCTCTCCCAGGCCCCAGGGGTGCAGCAGCTCTCAGCTCCCAGCTGACTGGGGATGGCATGAACTCATGGAGCACCCTGCTGTCGGGCACTGCGCGGTACCCAAGTCCTATTCTCGTGGTGCTGCGTGTTGGGGGCATGGCAGGAAGATGGGCATGGAACACTGCGCTTGGCATTCTGCACAGGAGGAGGCTCTGCCCGGGGTGGGGACAGAACACAGAGCCCAAAGATCCACAGCAGGGGAGGACCAGCACCCTCCGACCCCCTGCACTGCACAACCGAACTTCCCGTGGACAAACAGGGAGAGGACGGCAGCCACCAGGTGTAAGCGACCGCCCAGCTGTTGGCACACAGCCTGTGCGGCTGAGGACAGAAATTTATATTCTGCTTGGGTGAACCCCAAGTGGCAGGTGCGGTGGTGGCTGCTCTGCAGGTGGGCTCCCAACGGATGGGCATCCTGTGCCTCATCGGAGAGGCCATGGTTCCTGGGAGCAACAGTGATGGGCCGGGGCAGAGCCACCAATAAGCCACTGTGACAGCAGCACACAGCCACCTGCTGCTTTGGGCAGAGGGCAAATTCCTGGGGCTCCTGTCTAACAAGCAGAGTCAGGGAGCCAATCAGGGTCGGCCTCTGTACCTGGGGTGACCCCAGCTGTCTCCTGGGCTGCTTGGCCAGCTCAGGGCTTGCTGCTGCTCCTGCCCTATGGCTCAGGGCTCGAGGACACAGCCCATACACTCCTGGTGATCTGTCAGGGCACTGATGTGACCAGAGATGACCAGAGCTGTCCCACCTCAGGCCACATGGGCCTTCGAAGCTCCCATTACAAGAGGGGGAGACAAACATCTTCCTGCTTCAGCCTCCCCCAGGGACCACAGCAGAGAGTCCCTGGAGGACTTTCTTTCCCTGTGCAGGAAGGGTTACTCAGAACACATTCAATTGCTGGCCAGGGCAGCCTGTGGCCTCAACTGAGGTGGGAGGATGGCAAGTTGGAGTCCAGCCTGGGTGATCTATTGACTCAGAGACCCTATTTCTAGATAAAAAGCAAGAAAAAAGGCTGTGCAAAAAAGCAAGATAAAAAGAATAACAACATAACACCCAAACCACAGTTTGCAAGTTTTCACTTCCCATGGTAGAGAGGTTCCTGGGAAGCCCAGCGCCCCACCCGGCCTCTCTTGGCTATCCCAGCTCTGTGCAGCCATTGTTCACAACTCTTTAGCTGCTTGCAAACTGGGCTCTGTCCAGGAAGGAGTGTTTGGCCCAGAAGGATGGTCAAGTCAGGGCACCTAGCTAGGACACTAGCCACTGGCCCTGGTCAGCAATGACTGAGGGGCTCTGTCACCCAGACCAGAGAGCCTGGGACTAAACTGGTCTTCTCTGTGTCCCTGCCAGCTGTCACTGGGATCCAGGTGGAGGTTGGGGGAGAGGTGCTGACCGTACCCAGCTGCCCGGGAGCTCTGTCTACCTGGCGACAGCCTCCACAAAGCACACAGTCAGAGCTGGGTACCTGGGGGCAGCAGAAAGAGAGAGAAAGAAGCACCCTCTGCTGTCCTGGGGTTCGGGAATGCTGGTGAACTTCCCAGTCTGGAGAGGGGGCCTAGGAACAACCCACAAGTCCCGAGGGGGCCCAGTCCCTCCAGGGAAGTAGACTGCTCTGACCAGATGTGCACACTGGACCGAGCCTAGGACCCAAGTTTGTCCAGCAGCTCCTGAGCTGCAGACCTGGAGTGGAATTGGGGCTGGTGTCAGACAGGGTGCACCTCAGGGTGGGCACAGCAGCTGTGTGTGTGTCCTTCTGCCTGCTGTGGCTGTGGCTCTTCCTGACATGGCCAGTGCCAGCCCTGTATAACCCAAAGGATGAGCGTCAGCCCTCCTTATGACTGTGCCTCAGTCTCCTGGGAGCCCCAACCCATAGCAAAGCCATGTTGGAGAGGCCACGTGGCTGGCTGTGGAGCAAGTTCCCCGGCTGAGGGCAGAGCGAGAGCCCTGGAGCCCCCATCAGTCACTGCCTCCTCCATGGTCCCCAGGTCCCCAGGAGCCCGGGGTGCCATGTCCCAGAGACCAAGGCGGGCACCTCCCTGACTTCCAGATGAAGTCCTCGAGCTCCCTCAAGTCATTGAAGGTAGGTCCCAGTCTGTGATGACGGGCCAAGGACAACTGTCCTCTCCAGGCCACTTCTGTTTGGGAGATCCAGGAGCCTGGAAGGCTCTGAAGCACAGAGCCACAGGACTTAGCAGCAGAGCCCCCCTTGCTCTCTGCTCTACAACTGGGACACAGAGATGGGAAGAAGCGGGACAGATGGGGGGCCCAAGGGGGCAGCAGGGGTTCCCCAGAGGAGGGGGCAGCCCAGGGCAGGGTCCTGTCCTCAGCAGGACTGGGGATTTGGGTTTTCCCAGCAGCTGGAGCAGTGGCAGGAAGAGGAGGAGCAGGAGCAGGAGGAGGAGGAGCAGGAGCAGGAGGAGGAGGAGCAGGAGCAGGAGGAGGAGGAGCAGGAGCAGGAGGAGGAGGAGCAGGAGCAGGAGGAGGAGCAGGAGCAGGAGGAGGAGCAGGAGCAGGAGCAGGAGCAGGAGCAGGCCCTAGCCCTCCTGCGCCAGTGGGCAGAGGAGGAGGTCTGGGAGACACAGATGGCCCTGGACGGGCTGCTCTTCAAGCACCAGCTGGAGGTCAGCCGCTCCCCACTGCCTGTCTCCCTGGCCTCATAATGGTGCTGTCACTTCCTGCCCGGCCCTGCTGGAGGCTCTAGGCAGTGGACACCCCGCAGGGACAGAGCCGGGCCCTGCCACCCCAAAGTAGGGGGCAATGCTCCTGCAGGGGCTGTGTGTGGGCTCCTGGGAGCCCCAACCCATAGCAAAGCCTCAAAGCGGGGCCAGGACCAGCTCTGGGTCACAGAGAGCAGACTCAGCCTCACCCTGTCCTCGCCCCATTGTTAGGCCCAGAGCCGGGGGAGCACAGGGACACAGTGCCTGAGTCCTGTTGGATGGGCAGCCCAGCACCTGGCCCTGCAGAAGAAAGTGATGCCTGCCCTGGAGGCGTGTCCCCTGGGCCGGGGCACTGGCCCAGCTGCTGGCCCTGGTGCTGGCCCATGGGTTCACCCAAGCAGAATATAAATTTCTGTCCTCAGCCACACAGCTGGTGGCTGGGACCTGGCGAGGAGATAACTTTCTTCACTGTCCATCACCTAGGGTCTGCCACAGGACATACATCTGGGCAGGGGTTTCCAGGATGGCAGCAGAGCCTGGGGAGCCTTGCATGTGTGTCACACCGTGTGCATGTGTGTGCAGCGGGCCTCTCAGTCCCACAGAAGCGCAGAGACACCTGGCTGACCCCTCCCTTCCTTCCTCCTTCCCTCCCTCCCTTCTCCCCTCGAGGGCTCTGCTCCCCGCAAGATTCCAGCATCATACCCCAGAGGTTTGGCCTTGTGGATGCATGGCTGGCATCCACCCGTCCTTGGAGCTGCTGCTTCCTTGTCTGAGACTGCTGCCACCCCACCAACTGCTACTGGCACTGTGCCTGTTGGGCACATGTCTCTCTGCCCCCTGAGACCCCTGAGGTTGCTGCCAGGCAGTGAGGTACCCCACCCCCCTGGTACTGCCTCCCTGTTCCTACAGGGACTCATGGGGAAACACAAGGCCCATGGCCGGCTGGAAACAGCTTCGAAGCTGGAGCAGCCACAGATCCATGCGGGCCCAGTGCCAGCGCCCACAGTGCCAGCACAGAGCCCTGACCCAGCCAGAGCCAGGTGAGGCCAAGGCCCAGGCCAAACCCTCCCAGTGCTGAGGAGGGCGGGCAGGGCACCCCCTGGGCAGGTGGTAGGTACAGGCCCCAGTGGTAACATCTCTGGTGCACTTTCCCATCTGACAGGTCAGGCCCAGCCCTGGGCAAATATGTGACCGGGTCCTCCCAGGGTCCTGAGAAGGGACAGGCCAGTGCAGAGGGCAGGTCAGCTTCTGCAGGTGAGTGTCACCTGTCACCTGTGCTGGCGGTAAGGGAGGAGCTGCTGGCCCCGGTGCTGGCCCACAGCTGTGAGCAGATCTGGCTGACCCACAGGCCTGGTTCCCACTCTCCACGGCCACAAAGCACAGTGTGATTGTAATTCCTCAGCCTGGGGGTTCAGGCTCGAGGGCTGCCTGACTGGCAACTTTTCCCCTCTTAATGAGAACACGTGGCTAGGCAGAGAGCTGTGAGCCAATTAGACCCTGCTGCCTCCCAGATTGGCTGGATCTTTGTGGGTTTCTGCCCGACTGCAATGGGCATGGGAGCATGCATTGGTCCCGACAGTGGCTGTGGACTGTAGCTTTCCTTGCAGTTGCAGCTGTTAGTGCATACACAGGACAGCTGCATGCCCATCACACATCTGCCCCTTGTCTTTGTGCCATAACCCTGGCCGCTCTTGCAGGGCGCTGCTCTGAAGCCTATATCAGTATCCATGGGCCACTCAGCTCTCTTTTACTAGGGCTGCAGGAAACCTCAGTAACCACTTTCTCGACTCTCTCGCTTTCAACTTCTTTGTGCCTTGTTTCTTGTGATCAGCATACAGTTGGGCTTTGTTTCTTTTTTTCTTTCTTTTTTTTAGTCCTTCTGGACTGCTTTAATGTCGGTGGACGTTACAATGGATGGCCATCTCCCTGTGGCCACTGTCCCTCACACTCTCTTCCTGACTCTGGATCTAGGTGGACACTTTTTCCTCAGGCAGGGATGGACATTGGGTGGAGCATGTCAGCGGCCTGGACCTGGTCCCAGCACTGGTGCGCAGGACCAGGAGTGTCTCCGTGCCCTGGTCTTCTTCCTGCAGCGAGAAACTGCACTTCCTGGTTCTTGGTCACTTTGTGCTTCTGTACCTTAGGCTCCTTTTAAATCCATCCCATGGTCCCCAGAGACCATTCTGACATACATGCATTTGGCGGTGTTTTCCTTTGTGTGTTCCGTGCTGGTGTCTGTTGAGATTCTCAGGCCTGGGGTTTTATGGCTTTCTTCAAATGTGGAAAACTCCCAAGGCCTATTTCTTCCAATGCTGTCTCTGTCCTGAGGGAGCTCCTTACCCATGGGGCAGGGCACGAGAAGCAGTGTGCTCTTTTCTTCTCCAGTGTGTCTTCTGCCATCATCCCACAAGTCTCATCTCAAGTACTGTTTTTGTTGTTGTTGTTGTTGTTGTTGTTTTTGAGGCAAGGTCTCACTATGTCATGCAGGCTGGCCTTGCACTCACTATGGAGCCCAACCTGGCCTTGAACTTGTGGTGATCCTCCTGCCTCAGCCTCTCCAGTACTGGGATTACAGGCATATTCCACCATGCCCCATTTAAATTGCATTTCTAAGAGCTCCATTTAGAACTTTTCTTTGTGTCTTCCATGGTTCACTTAATTTTTCTTGTCTTTTCTTTTTTTCTTTTGGAAATACTAGTGATTGAACTTAAGTCTTCACATTAAGGTGCACATCCAGCACCCCCTTTTTAATGAAAGTCTCTTAGGGTCCCCTGAGTAACTAAATTACATGGCCTGGGTTTGCACTTGCAATCCTCCTACCTCAGCTTCACTTAACTTTTTTAAGCACACAGAAAAAAGCTATAAAAACCTTTAATGACTGCTGTGAATTCTAACACTGAGCGAGGCCTGGGTCAGTCAGTTTGCATCACCTCTTCCTGTCTTCATGGGCCACAGTGCCTTGCACCCTTCCTTGCCCCAGGGGCCTGGTGGATCTCAGCCTGGTGGAGGCAGGTATCCCTGGGTCTCCATGCACACCTTTATCTCTACTTTAGATGGCAGGTATCCAAGCTGAGCTGATCCTCACTGTTCAGGCAGAGCCAGTTCAGAGCCCAGGTAGGGCTAGGTTTCCCACACCACAGCAGGGTGCTCTGTATATACTGTCCGTGAGCTGACCGCGGGGCTGTCCGGGCCAGCCAGTGAAGACGGGCTAAATTCCCAGTCTTCCCAACCCCTGGACACCTCTTTCCCCATCTCCAGCTGCTTTTACCTGGGCTAAATGATGGGTTCTCTACCAGTACTCCAGTACTCAGTACTTCAGGCAGGCTCTATCTTATCTTACATAGTTGCCAAGCACCCCAGACTCAGCTTCATTTCCTCTCCCTCAGTTTCCCTCCCTGCATTCAGCCTGAAAACTCACACCTTAAGACACTGGTCCTCATCAGCCTTTTTCCAGCAGTAATCATGTTCTGGCCTGTTTGATTTTCACTGTGCTTTCCTGTGTGAACACACATACAGTTGTTTCAGATGTGATGAAAAGCCCATGGTCTGCTGGCGAGAGGAAATCTTTTGAAGCATGAGGTCACTTTCTGGTCAGCAGCTGGACAGTCACTTCAGCTGAGAATCAGAGCTCTTCAGTTGGGGCTCCTGCAGTGCGGGACCCACTTCCCACCCTCCAGCCTCAGTGTGGAAGCCAGGCAGCAGGGCTGCTGTTCCGGATGCTACAGGCCCCTTCCAACACGGCCTCACTGGACCCAGGATGGAGCTGTGTGCCTGATGGGAGTCCCAGGCATTCACTTTTGCCCCACCTCTCCAAAGAGGAAGAACAACCCCGGACATGGTCGCCCACCACGGGTACCCACCTGACCCCTACCTGCTCTGTCTCTCTCAGAGCAGGCCACACCTGACCCAGGCCCCGACCCAGAACCTGCCCAGCCGCGCCTGGCTAGGATCTGCCCTCCGGACGGCTCCGCCCATCAGGTACGGGCACTAGGGGAGGGGCACGGTCCAGGTCCGTGGTGTGTGCACTGGGTGTGGCATCAGAGCTCCAAAGGCTCCACCAAGCCAGGCTGGGAGGGCTCCCTGCCATCGCCAGCCATCTGGCCAGCTGGCCACCACACAGGCCTCCCTCCTGTGCTGGGCGACAGGTGCGAGCCCCACCCAGCAGTTCAGGGCAAGGGCACGGCTTCCCGGTACTCTCTGGAGCACTATCGAGGGACCGCGATGAGGCCCTGCTGCTCTCCTGGAGCAAGAGGCCACAACCGGAGAAGAGGGCGACGCGATGTCGGTCTGCTTTCCCCAGGGGAGCGCGGCGGGGACCGAGAGTGCTAACCCTGGAGCCGGTGAGACCGCGGGCCGCCTCTCGATCGCGGTGCTGGAGCAGAAGCCGCAAGAGGAGACGCTGCTCCAGCAGCACTGGGCCGCGCTGCTGCGCCTGCGCAAGACGGCGCGGGAGGAAAAGGCCCGAGCGGAGCGCGCGCTGCAGGAGCACCAGCTAGGGTGAGGGGATTCCAGGCCGGGCCCGCCCCCCTAACCCCGCCCACAAAGCTCGTCCAATAACCACACCCCTTGGCCGTAGTAACCCCGCCCTTCCAGAAGGCCCCGCCCCGTCCATATGACCACGCCCGCCCTGGGTCTCTGGGTCTAGCTCGTGATCTGTAATAATAAACGCGGGATTGCTGAGAAAGAGATAAGGCAGTAAGGCATCCCCCAAATAACCAATGGACCCCACCCATGGCCCCCCAGAGCTCTGTCGCTGTGCCCCTAAACCAAGATTCAGAAGCCCTCATGCCTTCCCTGAGTCTGTGTCACTAAGCCCACTCTTCCCCAGGCAAACCCTCCCAGAGGCCCGTTGGGTGCCAGACTGCAGGGAGCTCCCCTGAGCCCGGCTGGCCCGGGTCATGGGGCAGGTGGAGCTGCTGCCCACTGGTGGTCAGTGGTGGGTGGACGGCGGCTCTGGTGCCTGCCCTGCAGGGCTCCTTTTCAGTGTCTGCCTCCCCGAGGCCCCTGCACCCCAAGCCTGCCTATCTGCGGCTGTCCATGTCCACCTGGTGAGGTGACCTTGAGCTGTATTCCCCAGGTGTCTGGAGCACAGAGGCCACGGAACCACAGGGGCTGCCTTGGGGGAGAGGGCACCGCAGGCCCTCAGCAGGCTGGAGGAGGAGCGGGTACTGCTTGGCTGGGGTGGGTGGGGACGGGGACAGGCCTGCCTGGCTCTCCACACCTGCACCAGAGTTCCTAAATCCTCACCACCCTCTGTGGCTTCCTGGGACCCTGTGTGCCTAGGATCTGGGGTGCTGTCCGTGGTCCCTGGGGCGGTGGAGGGTGGCACAGTGGTCCTGGCTGCAGGGCGGGCTCAACTTCTTGCCAATCCTGGCCTTAGGCAAGTGGCTCAGGTTCTTGGAGCCTGGGTTTTGCATCTGTGCAGTAATGTCCATTTGCTAGGTCTTGGGAGGGTTTAATAAAGGAAGGCCAAAGGGGTGTAGTGGTGCACACCTGCAATCCCAGCATTTGGGAGGCTGAGGCAGGGGAGTTTTGGTAAGTTTGAGGCCAGCCTGAACTATGTAGTATGACCCTGTCTGAAAAACAATTTTTTTTAATTAAAATAAAGGATACCGGGGTGGGGCATGCCAGCCCGACAGTGCAGACAGAAAAAGGGCACTCCAGCTTCCTCCTGCCAATTCCTGGGGAAGCCAGTGGCTGAAGGGTGGTACCAGGAGAGTGGACAGAGGGTGTGTGGCCAGAGAGGAGGGCCGGATGTGCCCTGGCGCCCCTTTGCTGCTCATCTGCCCTCTTCTTTTCCTCACGGACTCCTGTGGGTGCTTGGCAGGTGCAGAGGGAAATGCCGGGCCTGCAGGACATGCATTGGCCAGTGCTCCAGGGCGGACAGCAGCTGCCGCAGCAGCAGGAGGCCACTCTCACCGCGCAGAGGACACCAACACCACGGCTGCAGGTGGGTGTTCTGCTGGGGGTGTCAGCTGTGGGCTGAGGACTTTCTGGGTGAGGTGTCCTGGCAGGTCCTGCAGGAGCCCGCAGACCTCTAATGGCCATGAGTGGCCCAGCATGTAGAGGAAGAAAGGTCCTGGTGGAGGCAGATGACCCAGCTGGAAGGAGGAGGGAAGGTGGAGTTGGTGGAGCCCAGCTCTCAGCCTGCAGTGGTGGGGAAGGACAGGCAGTGAGGACCTCTGTGACAGGAGCTCCACCCTGGTTCCACTTCTCGGACTTAGCAACCAGCCTGAAAGAGCTGTGTGGAAGGGGGCGTCTCCCTGTTAGTTGGGGGCTGAGGTCTTCTCTTGAGGGTGAATGAACAGGGTTTTCTGAAGCATCTGCCCCAGGTGGGCCTGCAGAAAGAGGCCCCTTCACTGCCTGGAGCTTGCTGAGGTGCCTCTGCCAGCCTTGGGTACCCTTCAGCAGGGTGCAGCCTGCTGGGGAAGGTGTGCCATTTCAATTGGTCTCACTCGGGGGGCACCCAGAGCAGAGCCCCAAGGGTTGCAGCACACCCCTGCCTGTTTCTCCAAGGGGCCACACCAGGCTCTTTCGGCTCTCTCTCCTAGAGTCCTGGCCCCCAAGTCAAGGCTGCAGGGGAAGGGGCCTCAGAGGCAGGCCAGCAGCTGGAAGGAGCCCTGTGCCCCCCAAAACCACACAGGTCTTGCAGCCCTGTCAGCCCACGAGTGCAGAGAGGCTCCAAGAGTGCAGAGGTCACACAGTGAGTCATTTGGTATCTCTGGCCCTTGCTTGTGACCCCTTGTCCTGTGCCACCCAGGGAGGGGACCCCAAGGGCACTGGGGAGTCTTCAGAAAGCTGGCTCAGAGCTGTCCAGGCTGGAGGAGCAGGCAGCAGCTGTGTTTCTGGTTCTGTGGTTGTGGGGTGTAGCCTCCAGGAGTTCCTGGGGCTGCCACAGGGTGTGGAGGGACAGCAGGTGTCTAGCCTGGCCGAGGATGGCTTGTGTGTGGCCACCAGCCTGTGGGCTCCCTCCTGGAGCTGGTGTGGGGTTGTCCTGTGGCTGGGCCTCTCTGGGCCATCAGGGTCTTGGTTGATAACATAAGGACCTCTTCGCAGGCTGAGTCAGGGAGTTTCCCTTGGTGGTGGATGGTGCATGGGCTCCTTTTCCCATCAGGGGTGTCCTGGCTTCCCTATGCTTGAAATACTTTCCCCAGCTTAGAGTGGCCCTAAGAGCTGGGTGGGGGCTCTCAGAGCAGCTAGCTGCCGATGTGAAGTCAGAACCTGCTGTGGGGCTGAGCAGACATGGTTGAGCCACCCCAACCCGGGGCCTTCATGGGGTGCCTGGGGAGTCCTCACCACCCAGTGGCTCTTTTCCCCCTGGGGAGCCCCCTGCTCCTGCCTACTCCCTCCCCAAGTGAGGATAAGACAGAGACAGTCAAGGTTGCCCGGGGTGTGTGCAGCAAGCCACCTGGGTTCTGGGGTACAGGTGAGAAAGCAGTGCTACAGGGTGGGTCTGTACAGGTACTGTACAGGTACTGACCCTACCCAGAGGGGGTTAGGAGGGCCGGCACCCAGAGGGGATAAAGGGTAATTTTTGCTGCCCTGGAAGTGTGGCCCAGGGAGGCAGGACAGGCTGCCCAGGGCCTAGCACCAGCATGGATATACCCGATAACCCCAGCTCCTCAAGAAAGGACAGCAAGTCTCCACTGGAAACCTCAAGGGAGGTCCTGCCAGGAGGGAGCCATGCCTCATGTATCCCCCTTACGGTGGGAGCCATGCCTCATGTATCCCCCTTACGGTGGGGCTCCTCCTTAGGGAGCTGCAGGAATGGAATGAGGGGACATGGTAGGCAACAGAGAGTCTACCTTACAGCCTTGCCTGTGACCAGTGGGAGGAGACAACCAAGACAACTGAAGATGCCACCAGCCACCAGCAGCCTCCGAGGCCAGCTTCAGGAGAGGACATAGCAGGGCCCAGCAGCCCACTGGAGGAGGAAGGCAGTCATATAGACCAAGGTAGCCCAGTGGGGCCGCAGCAGTGGTGCCCTTGGGCCACCTAGGGGCAGCAGTGGTCCCGGGTCAGACAGATCTGTATTCTGTCCCCCACCCCATGCTGGTGTGATCCACCAGCCAGGACCTGCTGACTGTGTCTGAGGGGCAGGCACAGTGCTGCATGGTCAGCTTTATGCAGAGCGTGTGGACTAGGGGCACAGATGGCCATGCTGCTCACAGCTCCTGGAGGTACAGCTGCTTGGAGCTGCCCCGCTGCCGGCGAGGGCAGGCCCGAGTGTCCCTGGACAAGTTGGGGTGCACAGACCTGTTGTGTGCAGCCTTTTCACAGCAGCAAGAGGGTTAGGCCCAGGCATGCCCTACCTTAGATGCAGGCCAGGAGCATGGTGTGTGTCAGAGGCTGGTGCGACCCCACCCTTCCCTGTCCCGTTGGCAATTGCTTGCCATCCCTGCGGGAAGAACCTTGGAAGAGCTGCACCTGCCCCTCCGGTCCTTGCAGCCCCTCTGCCCATGCCCCACTCTGCTTGGAATATTCCTTCCCTCCCGCCCTAAGTATCTGCTCGGTGGTCAGCCCTTCTCAGGCAGCATTGACGGCCTCTGTCCTCTCAGCTGGCCCTGGCTTTCCCATGTCTCACCCTTACCCAGGGACAGACACTCAAGTGTAGACAGACTGTGGGTGGAAGACTCCTGTGCCCCTCACTGGACAGTGTCTGTGGTCAGAGGTGGTGCAGGACAGCTGACCTCACACCTGGCAGGAGAGGGAGGAACAGAGGGGGTGGTATTAGGAATGGCATCCTGGGGCAGGGGCCCCAGAAGTGGGGGCCTAGGGTACCCAAAACTTGGGGCTCCCTGGGGGAAGGGGCAGTGGTCGCGGCACTGGGCCTGTCCTAACAGCTGTGACACTGGGACCATGTCTTCCAGAGCCTTGCAAGCCTTGGCCGGGATATCTGCACTCAGACTCGCTGAACTCTGGACAGCTGTTGGACTCTGCCTGTCCGGTATGCAAGTCCTCCAGAAACCCCTTCCGAGCTCCCTGCCTGGGTGGGGTCCCCATTCTGCCTGCCGCTGCTAGGTCTCAGCTGGGACCTGGACACCCGTGGTTCTTCTCCTGTGTCGCTGCTGGTCATTGCAGACTTGGTACCCACTCCCTCGTGGCAGCCTCTGCAACCCTGGGCATCTCTCCCCTGTCTTGTCCATACAGGCCCTCGAGGCAGAGCAGGACACCCCTGCAGCTCAGCTTGGGGTGCAGGAGGTGCTGGAGCTGCTCACAGGTAAGACCCCTAGAAGCGGCTTGTGCCCCTACCCTGTACAGCTCCTGCCGGGACTCTCGTCCCCACCCAGCAAGCCCTGCCCCAGGCCAGGTGGCCCCTGTGGACAGCCGAAGAGGACAGGCGCTGGCAGCCCCCGACCCTGACCGCAGACCCCTTCAAGGCTGGAAGACTGGCCAGCTCCGTTTCCCATGGGGTCAGCAGGGCTGCGCCTCTGCAGAGATTAAAAACCACTTTTAACTTGCTCTGACTGTTCTATCTGGAACGCATTTTTAAGTATTTGGAGATCAGCGTTGCCAGAAACGTCTTTTTCACTAATTCGAGGGCTGGCGGGGTTTGAACTGCCTCCTGAACCAGAGCTGATGGCTGCTCTGGGGTGGGACAGGAGGAGACAAATCTTGGCTCAGGTGACCTTGCAGTCCTGGCAGCTGCCAAACATAGAGGTGGAGGAAGCAGGTACCACTCAGGGGACTACCTCAGAGCTCTCCACTGCGGGGCACAGCCCTGGCTTCCTAGGGTCCCTCAAGGTTCCCCTCCGGAGCAGGACACACACATTCTCAGCCATGAGAGGCCCGAGACCACCAAACCTCAGGACAGACACGTGGAGGTGGGGAGGTCAGACACGCGCTGGGGGGAGGGGGGCATTCAGCCCTGGGCCTCCCTGGCTGAGAGCGTTACTGCCCGCTGCCCCTGGTCTCATGCTGACCACGTATCCTGGGGGTGGGCAGCTGGGTTCTACTCGCCACTCGGGGACCCTCAGTCTGTCTCGGGGTGAGCATATTCTTCATTCACACCCCACTGATGAGATGCCAGGACCCAGGGGCACGTGGGTGGTCACGCAGGTGGACAGTGAGGCTGGTGCTCACTCCAGGATTCCTGCCTACTCTGTTTCCTGGTCAACACCAGTCGTGTTCTGAGGAGCCCATCACCTCTGTTCCATCAAGGCCCATGGACAAGGCTCGAGGCATGTGATGACCTTGGGACTCAGGGCCTAACAGCCGTCCGGAGCCCAGTGGACACGGGTCTAGAAATCCAGGTCCAAGTTGGGTCCAGGCTGGGAGAGCTGGCCCTGCTCGCCACTCGTGGTCAGGAGGAGGCAGACGAGGGAAGGGAGCGGGCCTGGGAGGATTTCCAGCCTCCTGTGAGAAATCTGCCCAGAAGTAGAGAACGAGGTCTCTAAATTTAAAGTGCTTTTCTCAGAGAGGCTTTCTGGAGCTTCCTGTCAGTAACTTTCCTTGGTGTTTCTACATCCTTACATGGACCCATGCCACAAGGCGGTCCTGCGTCCCCATCAATTTTCAGAGCTCCCCACGCCCCTCCTGCTGCCCCTGCGCGTGTGAAAGTGCTGGCTGTGCCTTTGCCCACAGGGGACACCCAGACCCAGGCCAGAGACTGCTGGGCCAGGAAGAGGCCCCCAGCTCCGCAGGATGGTTGTGCCCACGGCTTCCAGGGGCACGGCCTGCAATGCCTGGGGGCAGACCGTCCATGCTGTCTGCAGGAAGCAAGTGTGAGTAAGATGTGGCCTGTGCTGTTCACACTCCTTGGGGTCAGGCCCAGCTGTACAGCCCTGGGGCACCCATCCTGTCATGTGAGGTGCTAGGGGATGGTGGCCCCAAGAAACTCCCTGAGATGTGCAGGCTCTCCAGGGTTCACCCCGACACTCTACTCATGGGCAGGAGGGTCTTTCATGGGGGAAGGGGTCTGGCGAGTGGGGCTCTATGGCCCTCTTCAGCAGGGTGGCCTTCGTTCCGGCCAGCCAGTGAGCCCCGGAGGGACAGGGCTCCAGCCCCAGCTCAGGGACAGGCCACACCCTAACCTGTCACCTCCTCCATGCTCTCATCAGATGACTGCAGAAAGCACATGCCCAGCTGGACTAGATGTTGCTGGGAGCCCGGAGGGGAAGCCCCTGGAAAAGCCTCCCAGAGAGCAGAGGTGTGGGGCCATGGACAAGGGTGGGATCCCAAGACATGGAGACAGGCGCTTGCCCCTCCTGGTATGGCCAGCTGGTGCCCTCTTTCCTGTGTCTGATGCCCTTCTCGAAGGAGAGATGTTACCCAATGAGATGAGGGGGTGCACCAGCCTTGAGAGCAGCAGAAGCCTTCTGAGCTCTCTAGGGTTCCCCAACTGCCACCAGAGCCAGTGGGGACCACGGCCAGATGGCATTCAGAGACAGACCCCTTGGGGAGCCGGGATGGTGGAAGGTAGCCAGCAGGGATCTAAGAGGGGCACTGTCAGCTGACCCTGCCTGTCCCCTGGGAGCTGGGAGCTGGGAGCTGGGAGCTGGGAGCTGGGGCTGGGAGGTCAGGTCCCCTCCAGGGGACACTCCAGGACTCACCACCATGTGCTCACAGGACGGAGGCATTTCAGAGGGACAGCAGCAACCCAGTGGCCGTTTCCCCAGGTGACGTCCCCGCCCTCTCCAGGGCCCCCAGACCAGATCAGAGACCCTGGAGTCCCTGCCTCAGGCTAGCCCCGAGCCAAGTTTCTCCTTGAAGTGCCTGGCAGTGCCATCCCCCTTTCTGCTGCCCAGGGCTTCCTGGCGTGGTGAGCGCTGCAGCCAGCGCAGTCTGGGTCCCCCTCCTGTGGCAGAGGAGCAGCCAAGCAGAACGGCCCCCAGTGTGGCCCCAGCTGCTGTGCTGGAGACCAGATCCCCAGATTCAGGCTGTCTGAGCTGGGGACGGATGGGGGCCAAGGGGCCTGTAGATGCTATCACTGTCCTGCTGTCCTACCTCAGCAGGGGTCCTAGTTCTGAGCTGCTGGCTGTAGGGGCCTGGGGAGTGACCTGCTTCAAGGATGCTGGATATCACAGCTGTTGGATGTCCCCAAATTCACCCTGTCTCAGCAGCTCCTGTGACCCTGGAGGAGAAGGCAGTACCCCCCATCCAGCCCAGGCCTGCTACGTCCGTGCACCTGGGCTCTGAGCTTGCACTCTCCTGGGGGTCTTCAGGGTCCCCAGCATCGTCCCCTCTGTCCTCACCAGGCTCTGGGAATGGCCTGTCACACTCTTCCCTCCAGGAGTTTCAGAAAGCCATAGCCACCCTGGCCCAGCTTTCCAACAGCTCCGAATCCCTATCTGACCTGGAGGCTGAGGGTAGCCTGGACACAGACCCCAGCTGGTCTGAGGAGCTGTGTGCTCACAAGGACTTTGGCCCACCCTCATCTTTGGAGCTCCACCAGGGTGACCCTCAACCAGGTGCTGTGCCTGCAGGTGCCGGGCCGGTGACCTGGCAGAGGCCAGAGCGTGACCAGGCTGCTCGCCTGCCTGGCCCTCCTGGGAAGGTGACTGTGGCAGAAGCCTCGGACCCAGAGTGGAGTTGCCCACAGGCAGGCCGGCCACCGCCTCCCCAAGACATCCATTCTCCCAGTCCTGGGTCAGAGCTGTCAGAGACCTCCAGCCAAATCTGGATCGAGGACAATGAGGAGAACCTCCGAGATCCTGGCACAGGGGCCCAGCCCAGCTCAGGGAGCTCCTCGACACTTGGCTCTTCCAGCTGGGAGCACAGTGTGGTTCTGCCCACCTTGGTCCAGGGGGAGGGACAGGAACCTTCCAGAGCCAGCTGGAGCCTGAACGGTGGGTCAAACACAGAGAGCCCCCAGCAGGTGTCCTCCAAGGCACCATCTACCAGTGACCTAGACCTGTAGGTCTAGGGATCGACAGGTCCTTTTCTTCAGGGACCTCTGCATCTGAAGGGGCTCATTGCCAGGAGAAGCCCTGGGATGCTGGCCTGAGCCTGTCTTCTGGAAGGAGACCCCCACAGGCCTCTGCAGGGCCTGAGGTCCTCTGTGGGCTTGCACTCTCTGTAGCTGAGGGCCAGGCATCTGGGTGTGCAGGGAACGAAGCGCCCCAAGTCTCAGAGCAAGCTGCACCCTCTCACGGTGCTGGCTTCCCGACTGGGAGCCTGTCCCCTGTGGACGAGGAGTGGCTTTACAGCAGTGGGGCCCTCCTGCATGGCCTCTCCTGGGACACCCACCTCCCTCCACCACTGCCCACTGCCCACACAGACCGTAAGGAGCAAGAGGCCCAGCCCTGCTCCGAAGACTTCCCGTCCCCGCCCAAGAGGCCTTGGTTCCCCAAGGCTCCCTGAGCCCCCTGGAGGAGGATGCCTTTGTTACCACTGAGGACTTGCCCTCCTTGTCTGAGGAGGTCCCACGACAGGCACTGTCATTGAGTCTCCAGGACTTGGGGCTCTGCCTGAGGACACGCCGACCATGGAGAGACCCTGAGGGTGAACTGGGCAGGTCAGGGTCCATGGTGGAAAGTCAGGCTGTGGATTGTCAATGGTCTGAACACGTCACCTGGCCAGAGTCTCCCTTGGGTAAAGGGGCAGGCAGTGTCCCCAGGAAGCTCCCGAGGGCACCAGCACAGCCTCTGTTCCTTTCCCAAGTGGCCCAAGTTGCAGAAGAGTGTCTGTCTGGGTTGTGGGGGGCTGATGACCCAGAGGCCTTGGGCAGGCGCATCAGGCCCCAGGAAGGGCTGCTGTGCTCTGAGAGTGCAGGGTGCCAGGGAGGCTGGGATACCCTTGCAGCCTGTCTGTCAGACCTGATGCCTTTGGTGGTCCACGGTCAGGCAGGGTTTCCCGGGCACACTATCGAGGAATGTATGGAAGGCCTGAGCTGCTGGGCAGAGGACTCACTGTGCAGAGAGCCACTCCCAAAGGAACACTTGGCCACTGGCCACCAGCCACTAGGCTCCTGCTCTAATCTCCTGGGCACAGAGAGGGACAATGCGGTGGCCCTGGTGTTCACTCAGCTTACCAGGAGGATCCTGCTGGACTCCATGGCTGTGCTGGCCCCTGGAGACAGCCTCTAGACAGTGTGATGTCAGTGTGTGTGTGAGTGTGGGTGTGTGTGTGCACATGCACATGCACATGCAAGAGCCTCTGGAAGCCAGCCCTTCCATCCTGGGGTCGACAGGTCAGGCTGCATGGCCATTGCGGCCAGCTGTACAGGAAGTCACCTGATGGCACCCGCTGTCTGCAGTTCTCTGCACGGAGGCTGTGTAGCTTCCAGATTCTTGAGGCCCCTGACCCAAGTCAGGAACCATCGGGGTGGAGGATGCACAGGCAGCAGGGGGCCACCTCTCAGGGCGGGGTGAGGGGAAGAGGGAGCTGACATTGCAGAGTCAGGGCGAGAAGAGCCAAGGAGCTGTATGGACAGAGGACTGGAAGAGGTGGCAGCTTGGGGGCCAAAGGTCATTTCAGCCCTGATCAGCAAAGCCTGGGGCTTGTCCAGTTAGATGGGGTCACCTCCAGTGCTGTGGACCCCCAATGAGCTTGCTGGGTCTCCTGGGCCTTCCCTCTTCTTGGGATCCCCTGAGGCTACCCTGCCTGCTTCATGTCCCAGTGGGCTCCACATCAGATGACCCTGAGTGGTTCTTTGAGGAGGTGGCCCAGGACACTGTCATGTGTCCTCTTTTCACAGAGGAGCCCGTCTTTCTCAGGACAGATGTCCAGCAGGAAGCCTGTGCTGTGGATTCCAGCACACAGGGCCTCCTGCATAGAGAGAAGCCATGGGGACACCCAGGAGCCGTGATCCTGAAGGTCCCCCCCCCAAGCCTCAGATGGCCTCCGCTGTTGTCCAGGGCAGACAGGATGGGCCAGTCACATTGCTGGGCTTCCTGGGATGGGCAGATCATGCAGAATGGCCACCTGTGCTGCCATGCAGGAAATCACCTACGTGCCCTGTCCCCCAGGAAGTCCACCCATATTCTGAAGCCCAACACTGGGAGAAGCACCACAGCCACCATCCCAGCCAAAGCCCCCAGCACCAGTGCCCCAGGCTGGACCCCGTGGGGCCTCCTCTTCCACCCCACCCCAAGGCTGGGTGATGGGGGAGCGGGTGGCGTGGAGTGTGCACCTCTGCTGTTTTGGTCCTGAATCTGCGCCTGCCATGGCCTCAGAAAAGTGGCTTTGCACAAGCCCAGTGGCCAGCGCTCTTTAAGCGGAAGCAGCTTTCAGATCCATTTTCTGACTCCTAAGCCAGGGCTTTCTGGAGGATGTGATGGGCAATCTCTGAGGTTATGCTCCAACCCCGAGCAGTGGGCATGTGTGTGTGTGCACATGTGTGTGTGTGCATGTGAGTTGTCTGTGACTTACCTCCTAGTGACCCCTTATCATTTGTCTTCTGTCTATTCATCCATGAATCTGTCTGCCCACCTGCTGTCTGTCCATCCATCTGTACCAGCTTGCATCTCAATCATGATAAATGACACTGAAATGGCACAAGCCTATGATCCCAGCTGCTGCAGAGCTGAGGCAGGAAGTTGCAAGTTCAAGGCCGGCCTGGGCAATTAGTGAGACCTTATCTCAAAAGATAAATACTCAAAAGAGCTGAGGGTGTGGCTCAGTGGTAGAGCGTTTGTCTAGTTTGTGTGAGTCCCTGGGCCCCAATCCCCAGAATTTCAAAAAGAACCAGAAAGCTAAGTGTGGTGACACATGCCCATAATCCCAGCACTCAGGAGGCTGAAGTGGGAGGATCACTGGAATTCAAGACCAGCTTGGGATACAAAGTCAATTCAAGACCAGCCTGAGTTATATATATAGCAAGAAGAAAAACCCAAGGGTAACAAACCAGTAACCAGAACCCCAAATATGCTCATGAGTAATTTGTGGCTCTGGCAGCAGCTGACATGACATGAAAGGCAGGGCACAGGGGAGCGACATGCATGGTGGCCTTGGAAAGTCGACACCAGGACACTCGAAAACACTGCACAGGGCTCAGCAATATGCACAGCTTCTGTGATTTTATGCATCAGCTCAAAGTAATTTAAAAAACCCCTTTGAATAAAGATTCTGGACGATGAAAGGATTGTTGTGAGGAAATGGCTATTTTCCCCTCTTCTACTTCCATATTGCTTTAGTATTTCCACAAATAACACTATTTTACACACACTATTCAGACGTAATTCCCATACCAGGGAGCTCGCCTGCCTAACTGCAGGCAGGAAGGACTTCAGATTCCTAGGGGTATCCAGTGGCTCACGTGGCCCTTCTACTTCTCGAGTTAGGTCCCTTCCTGGCCAGGTCGAGGTTGACGGGCAGCACTGACCCTCAGGTCTCTGTGCCCCGCAGGATGAGAGACAGGGTCTTTTACCTAACTGTACTCGGGGCCGGGGAGCCTACCTTAGCCTACCACAGGACACAGCTCAGTCCTTTTCCTTCCCTTCTCTTCCTCCTCTGTCACTCGGCCCCCTTCCTCTGTACAAAGGACCCATCTCCTAGTTCCTATCATCCATCCTTATCTCGCTCTTTGTTTATGCTTTGGGTTCACACAGAACAGAAACCACAGAGGCCTGAAGCTCGAGCAGCAGATTTTTCAGGTCTCATGGTCACAGCAGGTTGGCGTTGGCGAGGGAGAAGCCGGGGCAGAGGTCGGAGGTGGCAGGTCACAGGGCCCCTTCCAGAGAGCTGCTCCTGGCACAGCCCACCAGGTCTTGGGGACAGTGCTCCGCTCCGGTGCCTTCCTGGGCACTAAGGACAACTGTCATCCATGGTGTCACCTGGTTCTGTCCCCAACTTTCCCAAGGCAGAGAGCTTTGGGTCCAGTGGGAAAAATTTGTCCCCTGTGTGTGTGACTCCATGTTTTGAGCTACAGCTGTCTTATTGATTCCCTTTAGTTTTCCAAACAGATTAGTCTGTAATTTTTTATTTTTTCATTTATTGCTGACCCTGGGGATTTTTGAGGCTGTGTGACAGGAATTATGTATTTGACACACACGTGTTTGGCACAGCCATAAATCTACCTCGAAACCCTGCACATCTGCCTCAAATTCAATGCCAAAACCCAATCTCATTGCTTGGGGTTCTTGCTAGGGACTCGGTTGGCAGTGTCAGGGTACACCTGTGGGAGAACTGGGGTTTCCCAGGGCCTGGCAGTTACTTCACGTTGCCGGAGGCATTTATGGCCTTGGCACGGCGCCCTTGAAGGGAGGCTGGACACGGGAACTAATAAACCAAGCCTCACCTCCTGTGACAGCACTGGAGCGGGGCAGGGCTATAAAACAACTATGGTGGGTGGAGGAGAAGTATATCCATCCAAGGTGCTGGATACATTTTATATCCAACGTGTGCAGAGCCTAGCTCCAGCATGAAGATGGGGTCACTGGGTGAGGCTTTCCCCCGAGGTTCTTCCAAGGTCTCGGACACTGATCTTCGGTGACTGCTCAGCCCAATAAATCTCAACACCGGTCCCAAGAGAAGTCATTATCTTTCATAGAAAATGGTTATTTCTCTGTTAAACCCAACGGTTAATTTTCCAGCGATCTGTCTCTTTCTGCGTTCTGCTGATCTCACCCCTCCTGCATAAAAGCCCATCCTGCCACCAGCTTTGTGCTGCCCAGCCCAGGGTGCCAGGGGAGCCTCTCGGGTTCTTGGATTCCTGTCCCTGCACAGCCACCCGCATCACGGACACCCCATCAGTTTACAGACAGCAACAGCCACACGCTGCTGGGGGACATGGGTTCCAGCGTGCCTGCATGCTCACACTGGGGGTGTTCGGTCGCAGGGCTGGGAGCTGGGCGAGGTCACATGTCTTCTGGGTGGAGCGGTCCTGCGCCCAGTATTTCCTGCCCAAACCAAACCAGGCTTAGAAACTCAGCCCTGCCCATGCTAGCACCCCAAGTGGATTCTGGACACCAGGAACATACAGAACATCAAGCACCAAGGCCCTGTCCTGTGTACCCATCCCAAGGCAACCATGCCCATTAAGCTGCTGCTCTGCATTGCCCCCAACCAGCATCTGCTTTGTCCCAAGCCAAGGCCCCTCCCTAATGTTCCAAGGACACAGAAGACTGGGCTGGGGAGAAGCACTGGGCATCCCCCACCCAGCCTGGCCCAACGGCCCTGAAGCCCTCTGTTTGCTGCTTGATGGTAGGGGCTCTTACCTCAGGCGTGTCCACTAGGGTAGCATCACAGCACCGTGTGGCACTAACAACACCAGAGCCCCCTTCAGTCTACAGTTGCCTAAGGCCTTTTGCTGCTCCACCTCTAAAGGGTATGGCGCCTTAGCTCTGAACCTTCTTGTCCACAGCCGCCAGCCAGCCTTTCCTTGGTGCCTTGCTGGGGCCTCCCTCATCCTCACCCCTGGCCTGCTCTGCTGCCAGCTGAGAGCTCTGTCCCTCCACCTCAGGTCCTTAGTATTGGGGCTGCCTCCCTCATCTCCTCCTCTGCCCCATCCCCTCCTGTGCCCACTCCCCTGCCTTGTGCAGCAAGTTTTGTGCCTTATTTGGTGTCGGTGTCCGGGGGGGGGGGGAGTGTTTAGTTAGTTGGGCGGGGAACAAAGGAAGGATAAAGGAAATAAAGATAGAGACAGAGACAGAAAGCTGGGTTGGGAAGAGCCCTTCTCTGGATGGGAGGAAGAAACTGCTCAACCACTGCAGTGCATTGATTTGTACACCTGTCACACCAAGCCCCTTTGCCTAACCAGCTGGCTTCCGAACCCCCTACACCCATCCTGCTCTCAGAGCTGGATGCCTGCTCCCCTCTAGCACCTGGTGCCCTCAGGGCACTCCTGTTCCAGGTACTCGTGCTCTGGGCTCTGCACATGTGAAAGGTCACTAGCACAGTGGCTCCCAACACTTTTGAGACCCAGAGAGACAGGCTCTCTCTCCTCTCCTTGTTTCTTGACCTCGGCACAGAGCAGAGGTCAGACGAGGGCAGAGCAGGAAGGAGCAGCAAGTCGGGAGCAGAAGGCCAGGTCAGGGCTCTACCTTGCTCACCTACCAGGGGCTGCAGACTTCACACCAGACCAACCCTTTCCTCAGTCCAGGGAGCCACAGGACAGATGCCACAGCCAAAAGGCAGCCCCGACCCGCGGAAATGTCGTCACCAAGAACCCAAGTCGTCACCAAGAACCCAAGTCGTGGACCGGCGGAGGGTTCCTCCTTCGTGTTTTGGTCACAGGGTTGAACCTTGATGAGTGTAAAAATCAGGAACAGCAATCAAAAAGCCAGGTCTCCTGAGCCAGCGAGCAACAGGGGACGGAGCTGTGCGCACCAGGCCTGTGGCTGATACAGGGATTTCAGGTGACCTGAGAAGCGCACAAAGAACTTCCCCTTGAATTTACATTTCACACTGAACTGCTGCCCTGCCTGCTGTTCGTCCGGATTTCACATTTAACCTGGTGGTGGGCTTGGTTTGCCACCTGGCGGCTCTGAACCAGACCTCTGGGTCAGCGGAGGGGAGGAGCGCGCGAAAACCAGAGGCGTGGCCTAGCGAGGGGCGTGGTAAGACTGAGGGGCGGAGCCTACTCGGATCCCGGAGGCGGGGCAGGAAGCAAGAGGCGGAGCGCGCGCTCGCGAGAGAGAGAGAGATGGGTGGAGCCGGCGGGGGGAAGCGAGCATCCAGGAGTTGGATTGGTTAGAAATTCATAGGCGGGAGAGTGCACGCGAGGGGCGGGGCCGGAGCGCGCGACCAACGTGACGGCGGTTGCCTGGGTGAAAGGTCGGCGCGCCAGCGACACTCCCAACATGGCGGCGGCCGGGGCGGTTTCGCGTAGCCCGCGAGCCCGAGCTTCACGCCCGCCCCTGTCCCCTCCACAGGCCGTGCGGCTGCCGGGGCTGCTGCTGCTCTTGGCCGCGGCTGGCCCTGGCGCGGACGGCGCGGCCCGGCTGTACCGCGCGGGCGAGGACGCCGTGTGGGTGCTGGACAGCGGCAGCGTGCGCGGGGCCACGGCCAACAGCTCAGCCGCGTGGCTCGTGCAGTTCTACTCCTCCTGGTGTGGCCACTGCATCGGCTACGCGCCCACGTGGCGGGCGCTGGCCGGGGACGTGCGAGGTGAGGCCCTGCGCGCCGGGCCGGGCTGCAGCCTGGTCCGCGTCCTTCCGGGCCGCGAGCCGGGCCCGGAACCCCCGTTCCCGGCGAGTGGCCCTCCCGGGTCTCCCACCGTAGGACACCTATCCTTTTCAGCCCCAAGAGCTTTGTCAGGCCCCCAGGCCTCTTATCCCGACCCTTTCCTCACCCCCACCCCTGTAAGTCCATTGCACAGCCCGACAGCCCCATCCTTTAAGCACTCTCGTTCCCGTTCAGACTCCGCCGCTCCCTGCCTTTTAAACCGACGTCATCCTCTTCCTGGTGTGGCTCGCCAGCCATATGGTGGATATCAAAGTGAGCCCGCAGCTTAGAAACCCAGTGCCCCTGGGACTGCTGTATCGAAGCAAAGGAAGTCTAGAGCATTTTGTTGGTGGCTTCCTCTTCCCAGGCTCGCAGACCGCAGCATTTGAGAGAGAAATCGGGCATTCACCAAACTGCTGGTGCTTAGCACTTTTTTCAGTGCTGCAAGTTAACCCTCCTGCTCTGAAGAGCAGAGTTGCCCTAGCGGACATTTGCAGCCCCCTGCCAGGAGGCTGGGCTTGTAAAATGGAATTTAAGCAGCTTTGGGAGCACTTCTCCAGCAAGGCTGAGGTTTAGCAGAACTATGCACTACTGTTGCACTAACTTCTAATTACAGATTTCACTGGGCAAGAGCAGTTACAAATTGTTACTCTTCTTTCGTGCATCTTTTTTTTTTAGGTCTTATATGGAACCCTGCAGTATTTTTCTCATATTCAAATGTGGGGGTTGGGGTATTGGGGATCCAAACCAGAGTGTTTTATCCAACTCCATCCACCCACTGTTGTTTAAATTTTGATACAGGCTCTCACTGTGGTTCCATTGGCACTCAGCTAACACTTTTCTTTAAGTACACAATTTTAAATGACTTATCTTTAAAGTGTTTTTATCTCAGAGTTGGGGCTAACTCTAGTGGGTTTGTTCTCTTGGATTTCAACTTTTCATTAGTTCTTAATGAGCACTGTGTAGAACTGACCACCAGAAAGTGGAATCAGGAGCCAATAACTCCTAGAGGATTTGCTTTCTTTTTTTGGGGGGGGGGAGGACCTAAGGCACTCAAAGTTTTTAGTTCCTGTTTTTATTTAGTAGCAGAGACACAGATGTGTAAATGAAAGTGCTGGTAGATCTGGTGAGACCTTTGTGACCTTCTGGGGGTGTTTTTTGTTTTTGTTTTTTCAGTTTAGTATCTGAAATGTAAAAGTCATAAACCAGATTTAAATACTGCAAGCTGTTCTGTAGCTAAACCAGCATTTAGGGAATTCTGAAAATTGTCCTTGGAACTTGGGAGGAAGTTTACTTCTAAAAGGGAGATGGTCAAATCCATACCACAGTGAGGTTGCATAAAAAAGGCTGGCTGGCTGCCAAGTCCGGGCAGGAAGACCTGGCCTGAGCCTAAACTGAGATCTGGGTGAAAGCTAAAATTGGCAGGAGCACAGTGAGAAGGGCAGGGGTAGAGGATGCTAAGGTGAGGACAGAGCACTGAGAAGTATCCCTGGAGCTTATTCAATGCCAGGCTTTGCAAAGCAGAGTCACCTGGGAACTTGGCAGAAATGCACTTGTCCGCCCAGCCTGGGCTGCTGGGTGGAGCCCATCATCATGTGGGCACAAGCCCCAAGCTAGAAGACCACTGTTCTTAGGGATGCTAACTTTGCAAGACACATGCCCTGAGGGTCACAGGGCAACAGGAGAGGGAGCTGTAGTGGGGGCATGCTCCTCCTCGTGAGGTCCTCCACACCAGGGGCCTTTATCCTCATGACTCCTCCGTGAATGGGGCCTTTGCCACCTGTGCCTGCTCAGTTCCCCTGGAGAATGTGGGGAGGCTCTTCAAGGGCAGCAGTGCCCTGTGATTGACACTGCTTCCCTGGGTCTCCCTGGGTGGGTCAGGACTCAGGGAGGGCACCAGTATGGTTTTGATCCGCTTGGGCACATGGACCTTGCATTTGGGTCCTCAGGTACCTCCCTGTCCCCCCTTGAAATGGCAACTCGCTCGGCTTCCCCAGCCATATCCCACCCCGCCTGTGCCTACACCAGTGTGGTCACTGCCAGGGAGTTGCTGAGGTGAGGGTTTTGAACTAGAAGAGGCCTGTGCCACCTACCCTTATCAGCTGCTAGCTGCAGCAAGCAGAAAGGGAAGGGCAGAGTGGTCCCAAATACCCCCCCTCACAGCCTCGGGGGACCTGTTTCCTTGAGACTTAGTTGAACTTCCCCTAGCTCTTCAGTGGCTTTGAGTTTTTGAAAATAATTGTTTTTCCTCATCAGAAGTAGCTTAACAAACAAAAGATCCACTCTCAGGTGAGCCAAAGGTCACACAAACATTTCTGTGGACCTGGCTTAGGCCTGTCACTTCTGAATGCTTCCCCAAACAAGATCTGCTGTTCCTGAAAATCCTTAGGTGCAGGCTCCCACGGTTCTTACAGCCTTGTGGGGTGGACAGGAGGGGGGCTGCCCCCTGGCTCTGGTCAGCCCTGCGTCTCTGCAGGGTATCTAGGGCAGGAGAGGGCTGGTACAGAGCATACGTGACCGAGCTCCCCTCAGGGCCGGTCCTCTCTGCTTCATGCCAACCTGGGGAGTGAAGGAAGGGGCAAGTGGGTGAAGGTCTAATCTTGGTGTTAGAATTGTGCCCGAGGAACTGGGGGGCAGGAGAGGTAGGAGGGACCACTCAGAAGACCTGGAGTGCTTTTTAGAGTCTCCCTGAGGGGGCGCTGTGGGCAGTGGTGCCTGAGGCCAAGTGAGATGGAGTCAGTCTGGGCCACACAGTGAGGGACAGGCTGGAACCCAAGTCCAGGTGTGGGTGACTCCAATGCCCCAGGGGCTTACCTGTGTTCCTAAAGAGGGCGGCTGAGGGGTGGTGGGCACTGGCCATAACGTGGGTGCAGGTTGTGTTCCTGTGGGCACGGGACAGGGTATCCTGTGACTGCTGCCCACTGGTGGCCCAGCCTGCATGCCTTCCCCAGAGCACATCTTCCCTCTGTGTCTGTTCTTGTCTACTTGCTGGGTCAGAGTGGTCTTGGGTGAATGAGAGCATGAGGTGTCCCCAGGACGGGTGAGGCTAAGTAAAGGCAGAGCCAAGGATGCACACCTGCACTCTGAGGAGGCAGATGAGCTGGAGGATGCTAACATGTCCCTGCTGTCACAGCTCCTGGCTGTCCTGCAGTTAGCCAGAGTGACATGCCAGTCAGACCTCCAGGAGGCGGCCCTACCCCCACGTACCACAGCAGGAGGGCTGTGAAGAGGGCCTTCCCACCCTGCAGAGCCACCACCCCTCCACCAGGCCTGGGTCACCCGCAGAAGTGCTTGCTTTCTTGTCTGTCACCTGCGATGCTTTGGCATTGAGCTAATGTTTGTTAACCTCACCCTCCCTGTGGTCCCCTTGGACACTGAGAGCCATATCCGGTTTGGGCCAAATGCTGGCAGTGGGGGAGACTGTGCGGGAGGGGTGTCGTGGCTTGGGGTGAGCCCTTGCCTGGCATGCCTGAGGCCTGGGCTCTGTCCCCAGCACCCGAGAGAAGATGGAGCTGGTGTACCTGTGCGCATGGAGGTGTGACTTCTTTCCACACCTCCATGTCCCACACTTGTCACTTGAACTTGGAGGTTACCTGAGAAGACCTCCGCTCCCTGGGAAGAGCCTGCACTTGGAGACAAGGTTCTGGGGTCTAGAGTGTGGCCTGGAGCCCCTGACACTGCCCTGGCTGCAGGAAGCTGCAGAAGCTGCCACTGAGCCCTGCACCTCAGATACAGCCCTCCCACGGGCGCAGTTAAACCTCAGAGCCCAGTGAGTCTTGCCGCAGTCATGTCCCCGGGCCAGCTGATGCTGAAGCAGAGGTGGGACTTCTGTGGGCTCCTCACTAATCCGTGACAAGCAAAGACCTCGTCCTGCTGGCTTCGGTGATAGAGTGACTTCACAGCTAACCCTGAAGTCAGTTTTAGTCCCTGTGTAAAGAAGCTTAATTATTTCACAGATACTTTTAAGCCTGTGGTGCTGGCGTAGCCTGCTCTGGAGCGGAGCGGGTAGTAAGAAGCCACCGGAGGTTCACTCAGTTCCCTTCCCCTTGGAGGCCCGGCCTCCAGGGCCTCCCAGCTGGTGCCCCTTGACCCCGGACGCCCACGAAGCCAGCGAGGCACACTCGCTCGAGGCAGCATCCCCTTTGTGTAGTGGCCTGGACAGGTGGAGAGGCTGGGCAGGGAGGGCGCTGCTGAATGAGCCCCAGGCCCTGGAGCCAAACCTTTTCATCCTGGTGCATTTGGCTTGGTAAAGTGGGCGGCGGTGTCCTTTGTGTGGCTGTGAATGCCGCCCATCTGCTGGGTTCCACAGTGACTGCAGGCGCCTCTGCAGTGCCCGTGGCGCCTGTGTAACCGAAATTCTCCCTTCTGCCACTGAGGCAGCCCTGTTCAGAGAGACAAAGGCCCTGAGATGCCTGTGTCCAGCGCTCCTGGCCCCGCAGAGGCATCCTGGCCAGGATATGGCCCCACAGTGACCTGTTGATCACAGGAGTTTCAGGTGCTGTCCTGTTCCCTCGGCTACTGTGTTTGTAGGTGGCACTGTGGGCCACGTGTAAACTCGGGACGCTCTTTCTGCCTGGCTCGGCTCAGTCAGGGTGGGCCTCTAGGGGAGGAGCAGGAGCTGAGCAAAAACTTAGGCGAGGCGATTGACCCTGGCTGGTCATGAGGAACTCGGGGTGGTCTAGGTGTGGGGGACAGGTGCCCGGCAGCCCTTTGTGGCCTGGCGAATAGTGTCTGTCTTGTTTCCGAATGGCGGGGAGCCAGTGAATGGTTCTGCATGGAGGGTTTGTGTGTGGTGTCCTGGCCACTGTCGGGGCTGAGGAGAGCCCAGAGGGTCTTGGCCAGCACCTGATAGACGGCAGAGAGGCAGGGAAAGGAGATGCTGCCTGGAGTCAGCTCCAAGCACTCAACCTGGGCTTGGGGAGTGTGGGGCCCTCAGGGCGGGCACAGAGGCTAGGCTCCGGTCTGCAGGTGGAATTGCCGTGGTAGGTGGCTTAGGTAGAAGTGGGGTGGCAGGGTGGGGGGTGGAGGCTCCATCAATTGGATGGCCAGGGCACCACCCACCTTCCCTGCCTCTCCGCCCTGGTCTGGCTTCCTGTGTGGCTTGCTATGGAGGAAATCATGGTTCAGTCTCGGAAGTGACCCACTATGATCTCAAGTCCTGTTCCTGTCGTCCTGTAGTGCCCCACCCTGCCCAGTGTCTGACCCTGTGTCCCCACTGCCACAGGGCAGGCTGGGGTCTGTGTGGAGACATAGGCACTCATGTCCACTAGCAGAGGCCAGCCTTGCCCACCCTGGTGGCCCTGTGGCTCCACCCTCCAGTGCTGCTCTACAGGCAGGGACTGGCCTTGGGCTAGCAGAAGTCTGTAGGGGACTGTCCTGATGGTGCCCTCCTGCCTGTGTGGTCAGGACCCTGCCCACCCCTAGTGCTCTGACAGTGAGACTGGAGGCAGCCGGCAGGACCCCAGCTGAGGCATGTTCCCGTGCCCCAGCTGCCAGTGGTGCCGCAGTGTTAGCTGTTGCTGTTTGCCGCCTGGACGAGCCTGTCACACTGGTGGGAAACCTGAGGAGAAGAGGTGCTGTGGTCAGAGCTTACAAAGGAAAGGACTTAACGTGGGATGCGTAATTCATAGGGTTATTTTATAATATTCATCCAGAGAGTGGGGGAGATCTGTCCACACACTAAAGACCCAGAGAATTCAGCTGAGAGCCTGGATCCCATGGTAGTGTCCTACACTAGTCCAGCTGAAGACCAAGGGGTGGACCTAGAGTCCAACTGGGGGGCAGGAGTGTCCGTAACAGTGTCTCCTATAAGTCTGTCCCACCAATCTGCACTGGGAAGGCCCAAAGGTCAGCGGTGGAAGCTGGAAAGTCTGCACCAGTGGGGTGAAGGAGCTGTGCTAGCATGCTGAGGGATGTAGACTGGAGCCAGGAAGTGATGCTGGAGCTAAGGACCAGAGGTCCCCTGAAGAGAGCCACAGCCACCCTGAGACATGAGGACCCACGCTCCTCCAGTGATGGGAACAGCTGAGCTCATACCAGCAAAACCAGTGTGACAAGCTTCTCCAGGAGAATCTACAGCACTGTCTACTCCTCCAGGCCTGCTTTGGTGCTGCTGGTGGCCTCCTCGGGGCCTCCACGCCTGCACCAGAGCAGCTTAGTTCAGCATTACACACGTTGCCTGCCGCCTGTCAGTCCTCCACAAAGGGGGCTTTTTTCTTTTCCAAGCTGCATTCTTCCGGCTGGTTCTACGCATTGCACCCTGGGAGTGGGAGGAGGGAAAGTCTGGTTGTCCACAGGACTCTGCAAGGAAGAGGGCTCCACACTCATGAGTGGCACTGTGAACTTTCCCAGGGCCCTGGATCCTGCCTCCCCACTGCACCTATGGAGGACGGCACCCCGGTTCTTGAGCAGAGCAGAGGTGGGAATCTCTGGTTTGCAGAAGCAGGTGTGGGGCCAGGGCCAGGGAGGCAGGGTTGGCCCTGGATACCTCTTCCTCCTCCAGCCTTACCCAATGGATCAGGATGGAGAAGTGGGGGATCCCCTATGCAGTGTCCACAGTGGAAACTGCTCCCAGATTGGTGTTAGGAGGTGGCCCACGGTGCTCTAGAGGAGAGCAGTGGGCAGCGTGAGGCCACCCTGATGGCATTGGGCCAGAAGAACACGGAGCTCGGGTTCTTGATTGTCCCTCTGTCACACAGGGATGGATCTGTAGTGCCCCAGCTGCTGGGCAGGAGCCTTGACACCCCATCATAGGCCCCATGGCAGGACTGTGGGGCAGGGTGCTCCAGCACTAGCATGGGATGGACTGAGGAGCTGGCTGCTTGCTGGTGGACTTTGGGGCCAGGAATGGGGCAAATGCGAATGAGAGCAGCCTGGAGCCTTGCTGCTGGAGGCCGGACTGCAGGTGTCAGAAGGGGGACCCAGCCCCTGCTTCTCACTGGACTCCTCAGCATCTGCACCATGTCCAGGCATCCTTGCTGCAGAGGCCAGAGTAGTGTGGCTGCAGAGCTCAGCCTGCATGAGGTCAGGGAGAGCCACTTGCCATAGTCAGCCTGGGGCACACGGGTCCAGGACAGCAACACTTCCTTCTGAGTGACAGAAGGTGAGGAGCCCACACCTCTGCGAAGGCACCACCTCCCTGTACCCCATTTCCAGGTTGCTTTGGGGGTTCTGGCTGCTGTGACTGTCATTTGGCTGCTCCTAGAGCTGATTTTTACTCCTTTGCCCTCTTTCTCAGTAGAAAGTGCTGTGGCCGGGTGTGGTACACAGGAGGCTGAGGCAGGAGGGTTGCTGTAAGTTCCCTGGGCCAGCTGGACTACCTAAGTGACAGCCTGTGTCAAAAAGCCAAAATAAATAAAGTAAAACAAAACAGAATAAAAGGTAAAACAGAGCTAGGGCTGTAGCTCAGTGGTAAAGTACTTCCCTGACATTCAGAAGCCCTTGATTCCATTCCCAGCACTGGGAAAAAAAAAAAATTAAGGAAAAAAAAGCTGCCAAGGTGGGGTGGAAACATGCAGTGGGAGCACCGGGCACAGCGGGGGTGTAGGCCAGAGCTGGGTCTGGGGCGCCACGGGACTGTAAAGGGAGGGCTCCCCAACATGGTGCAGCACTCACCGCCACCTGCCTGCTAAGGACGGGGTATTAACTGTCGCTGCTCAGTCCTGGGCCTGTGTAACTCGAGAAGGGTCTTGGCACCTGTGACCTGTGCATTGCTGTGATTTCTCCATGCATTTGCTGTGGCCTTGGGATGTGTGTCCATCTCCGCATGGCTGTCTCTGGTCCTGGTTTGTAATGGTGGCTTTCTCCTCTGTCCCCTCTGGTCTAGCCATGTGCACCAGCTGAAAGCCCAACCCCGCTGAGGACCTGACCCAGTGTGCGCATGTGAGAGCCAGCATGGAAGGGCAGCAGTCGGGTGGCAGCTGCCTTCCAATGTGACCATAGCCACCTTGCCTGGGCCGGGGCGGGAAGGGGGCTGGACGTGGCTCTGTCCGTCAGGCACTCTGCTATAGCACCCAAGCCCTGTGCCCCCACGTCCCATGCCCTTTGAGGGCTTTGCTGTGCGGTGGGGCATGGTCCCTCAGCCAGCACAATCCCCAAGACAGAGGCCTTGCCGGTGTCCTGCTTCAGATAAAGCACGAACCAGACAAAGGAACAGGACCACTGCATCCCTGCCGGCTGTAGGTGCTATGTGGTGATGCGGGCAGTGCGGTGGCCACAGAGCCCTTGCCCCAGGAGGCGGGCATGGGCATCTCTAAGGAAGCGCGTGTCCCTGAGACCCCAGGGCACTTGTCGTGGGTGGGGACGGAGAACATGTGACTCAGGGAGTGGGGCACAGCTGAGGCCACACAATGCCATGTTTGTGTCTCTTATTCGTATGCTAGGCGATTTGCTGTGATTAAAAGTTAAAGATAGGGGGGTAGCAAGGGCTCCTTCCTGCTGCCCAGGACAGCAGAAGTGTCCCAGCTGAGGGGCTGTGGACGGGCATGGGGTGATCAGTCACCAAGATTCACTCCTGGATGTCTTCACTGCATACCCCACAGCCACTTGGTCCCTTACACTGCGGGCCCAGGGCTCACTGAGCTAGGAGAGGGCAGTGCGGCAGGAACCAGCTGTACTCTGAAGTGGAAGACTACGCGGACTCTGGGGAGACACACTCCCCTTTTCCTGGTGCAAGGATGCTCCAGGAACTGGGACTGGGCGCTCACCCACCCCCTGCCCCCCAGCCCAAGGCTGAAGGTCTCACCCCTGCCTTTCAGACTGGGCCGCTGCCATCCGTGTGGCCGCGCTGGACTGCGCAGAAGAGAAGAACCAGGAGGTGTGCCGCTCCTACGGCATCCACTTCTACCCCACCTTCCGGGTGCGTAACTGGCTGCCTGGGCCCAGGAGGGTGGGGACTGTGACGCTGTGGTCGGCCACCCATTCTCAAGGGGGCTGCTTTTACCTGGGGTTCCCACTGGTGTTTCTGCTCCTTGCTGTGTGTTCCTGCACTGATCCGAGAAACACCTGCCGTCCACACTGTTGCATACAGTACAGGGGCTGAGGAGGGGTGGGACAGAACCCGCACACGCGGCCCTGCATCCTGCAATTGTCGCCCTCTCCGTCCCTCCACACACAAGGGTGTTCCCACTTTTCCCACTAGGGGGCGGAGGGAGGCTCACCCCTGCCAGAGCCCCAGTGTAGCCCTGCTCGAGGCGTGGCTTGAGGCTTGGCCACCACCCCACACAGGACTGGGCTTTGCCAGAAGCACCTGGTGCTTTGGGGTCCTTTCTGGGGAGCCAGGTGCCTAGCACCATCCGCCCCAGGGCAGCTCGTGGACCGTGTCACTGGGTGCTCAGCCCCTGGTGCCTTGGCTTGCTTTCCAGTCCTACTTGGTAGCACAGGTGTCTGCCTGTTTCACATCCTTTTTAGTGTCATGCAGTGCCCTGCACACAGTGAGGATGGCTTCGAGGTGGCCCGTGTGGCTCTCGAGGTATCAGGGCCTTCCAGGCTGCCCCAGGCCTCTGCAGGTGTGAACAGCACCCCTGGGTGCGCTCTCCCACCTGTGCCGAGACCCTGCAGGCCTGTGAGAAACTGCTGGTGGTTGTGGTGCCCCGGGGCTGAAACCTATGCAGGTGCCATTTGTCCCTTTACCTCTTGGCTGCTGGTGCTCTGAGGGACCCTTTGTAAATCCTGACCACTCCTGGAGCCAGAGTGAACTTGCTGTCCACTGCGAAACCTGTCTCCACCACCTGTGGAGAAGCCCGCTGGGAGTCCCTGTAAAACTCCATCCCACCCGCTGACCACAGCAGTGACCCAGCTCCCCGTGGACCTTATGCGCTCACTGCTGCAGTGTCTGGTGCCGAGAACCAAGGGGGTGCGTCCTGTGCGATCCTCTGCCCAACCGCAGACACCCCTGCCTGGGTGTTGCTGTGGACCTGGCTGGGTGCTGCTGTCCTCGAGCCACTGGGTGCTGCTGACCACTCCTGGAGCCGGAGGGAGGGAGCTGCATGGCTCGTCCTTGGCTCTGGAAGTCTCGGGGAGCTGAGTGCCCACCAGCAACCTGGAGGTGGCCATGCTGTAAACATGCACAGGCTTCCCCTCAAGGTGTTCATCTGTTGTGTTTTTTCTTCAGTATTTTAAAGCGTTTACCAAGGAGTTTACCACAGGAGAAAACTTTAGAGGTAAGGACAGCAGCCTGGCCCTCGCTGTGAAGTGGACAGGTGCTCAGCACCTGTGCGCCTGCCTTTCTCTTAGGGATTTGGACTTGAGCAGTTCTGGCTTCCTTTGCCTGTCTTGGAAAATGGAGTAGGGAAATTTTTTTTGAAGTCGTGTGTGTGTGCTGTTGGGGCCTTTATACTGAGTTACATCCTCAGCCCTTTTCTTCTTACTTTTTATTTTGAGACAGGGTCTCACTAAGTGGCCCAAGCTAGGCTCAAATGATATCCTGCCTCAGCCTCCCAGAGTGCTGGGGTGGCAGACATATGCTGTCACACTCACCTTTAAAGTAAATTTTTTATCAAAAAGAAATTCTTTTGAGTCAGGTCTCACTGTATAGTTTGGGCTGACCTCAAACCGAGTTCCTCCTGCCTCAGCCTCCCGAGTCTTGGGCTGACTGACTTTTGGGAATGAGCCTGGCCCCACAGGCACTGTCACGTTAAGGCCCAGAGGGTGACTGGCTCCCAGGGTGGCACTGGAGAGACCCCAGCAGCACCCTTCCCAGAGTTCAGCTCTGTGGCCGTGCTACGTGTGCAGCTTGGGCAGAGACCAAGTCCTGCAGCTACCCCTCTGCCCTGCGCCCCTGTCCTTATGCACTGCTGTGGTGACTGTATGGCTTTTAGCAGCCTGCTGACTGTGCCATGGACCCTGGGGGGACAGAATCCCACATGGTAGTGACCAAGCTGCTCTGGCAGGGGCTGACAGGGAGCTTCGGACAGTCAGGCAGACAATGATCGACTTCCTGCAGAATCACACGGAGGGCAGCATGCCACCGGCCTGCCCAGCTCTGGACCCGATCCCGTGAGTCACTGTGAGGCGCAGGTCGCGTGTGGTCCGGGACATATCCCTGTGTGGGAGCAGCACGTGCGGGCAGCTTATGCTCACCAGGCCCTGAGAGCTCTTCTCTTCCCCCAGGCCCAGGGACATCCTCGCCCTCCTCGGCAGCCCCAGTGGTAGCTACGTGGCTGTGCTGTTTGAAGACAGCAGCTCCTACGTGGGACGGGAGGTACTGGTCCCTGGCACTCAGCCACTCTGGGTGGCAGGCATGGCAGGGGGCATGAGTGCATGGATGTGGTCATTCTTGATCCACATGCCTGGGGTCACGGTTGCCATTTTCTTTTTTTTTTTTTTTAATTTTTTTTTGTCTTTTTCATTTTTATCGGTACCGGGGATTGAACTCATGACCGCCTGCTTGCAAGGCAGGTGCTTATGCCACTGAGCACGGTTGCCATTTTCAAGCGGGGTCACTGGTCTGTGGCAGAAAATCAAGAGCGAGAGTTCCCCAGAGAGTAAAACCATAGACACCTCTTTCCGAGAAGAGCTACTGCCCTGTACCTGGGTCAGCCTGCTCGGGCATCTAGAGCGTGGGGGGTACGTGGGGGGGGGGGTTCTGTGGACCCCAGGGGCCACTGCTGTGTCCCTCTGCCAATGTACCTTCAGCCCTAGTGGCTAAGGCAGGTACCAGCTGTCTGCAGGAACAACCCTGTGCAGGCCACAGCTGTGGCTGGGCCAGGCCATTCTGCTCTGAGGCCCTTGCCTCTCACCTCCCAGCCGCCATGAGTGGGCACCAGCCCTTCCCAGGAGAGCTGCTGTGCCGGGCCAGTGTTGGCTTAGGGCTGGGCTGTGGAGGGCAGGTTTAAAAGGGAGAGTGAGGGCTAGGGATTTAGCTCAGCGGCATAAGTGCCTGCCTGGCAAGCGTGAGGTGGTCGTGAGTTCAATCCCCAGTACTGCAAAAAAAAAAGGAGAGTGAAGTCTTGGTCCAGTCTCCCTGGACTGGTCTGGGAAATCTCTAAATGAGATGATGGCTTCTGCCCATGGATACTCCTCTCAGTAGTTGCTCTAAAATGCAGTGCAGGCTAAGGTGCAGGTGAGTCCAGCTTGCGGCACAGGATGCCAGGTCGCTGCAGCGCAGAGCTCTGAGCCTTGTGGCCCACAGTGGCCTGTACCTGGGAGCCCTTGGGGAGGGTGGTGGAGCTTTCTGAGTTCACCGCCTTCCTCGGGAAGTGACGTGCCTTTCCCTGCCACACAGGTGATTTTGGACCTGATTCCCTACGAGAACATTGAGGTGCGCCGAGCCCTGGATGGGGACCAGGCCGTGCTGGAGCAGCTTGGTGTGACCGCACTGCCTTCCTGCTACCTGATCCACCCCAACGGCTCTCACGGTCTGGTTCGAGTGTGAGTGCTGGCCACATGGGTTGGGTGGGGACACTCCAGGCTTGGTAGGGTGTGGGGGTGTGCACCCCTCGTAGACTTCCTGGAGCGAGACAGGGAGGTCCCAGGACCAATCTGAGGGAGTGCCGGGCCTGGTGCCACCTCCCCGCTTTACTCTGATGTGGCCTGGGCTCCAACGGGGTTTTCAGACTGGGTTTTCCAGGGTTTCCAAACAGCAGACCCATGCCAGAGCTGCCCATGATCCCCTCAGAGCCTGCTCACCCCATAGTTCGGGACGTGTGTGACCTTTGCCCTGAAGCACTGTGGGGCTGGAAGGCAGAACAGAGGGGAAAGGCGGGGCAGAGCTGCAGCAGCAGGCTCCCTACAGCCTGACCAGCCCCTCCCACCAGCTGCGCTGGGCCTGGGCCTGGGCCTGGGCTGACCTCTCAGGTGGGCGCATGGCCTGTGAGAGGAGACAACATGCAGGGCTTGCCAGTGCCCCGCAGTTCACTGTGAGTCTGCACTGCAGAGAAGGCACAGCCTGGTGCTCGTGTCTGTGCCCTGACATGCTCACCAGGGTGGGGCTATCAGAAGAGCCACCTGTCCACTTCCTGTCACAGGTCACTGCTGGTCCTCAGCAAGGACCGCACTTGCTGTGGCAACCACAGTGCTCACTCTGGGGAGCCCTGCGCTCTCGAGGCGTCCTTGGCTGCTGACCCCAGGCTGGCGTGCTCTGCAGGGGGCTGCCAGATGCCTGCCATGTGGCAGATTGCGGGTGCCTCGGCCGGGCTCTTAGGCTGGCGAGCACGGGCAGCAAAGCTCTTCTTGGCAGATGCTCAGACCGGCTTTGCAGACGTCTTAGGGTCCCGCAGGCGGATGAGCCTGGTGATGAGCTGTGGATTCAGAGCAAGGCCCCTGCCCCCCTCCACTGACACCGAGGCTGGGGTGAATGGGTGCCCTTGGCCCACCCCACAGACGCCCCAGGAGGGCAGGTCACAGTGGTGCTTGGCGGGGTATCCCCACCATTCCTCTCCTTTCCCACAGTGCGAAGCCTCTACGATCCTTTTTTTCCTCATATTTGAAGTCATTACCAGATGTAAGGAAAAAATCCCTTTCCTTGCCTGAAAAGCCCAGCAAAGAAGAAAACACAGAAATCATGGTTTGGCGAGAGTTTGACAGGCAAGTGCCCCTCGGAGCCTGGCCAGGGCACGCCTCAAATCCAGTAACTGCTTCCCCATTACCACTGCCACCCGGGACACCCTGGGCAGGGCGGGGCGGGGCCCGCAGTGCAAGGCAACAGCTCCTGACTCCCCATCCTCCCAGGGCCAAATTGTACACTGCTGACCTGGAGTCGGGGCTGCACTACCTGCTGCGGGTGGAGCTGGCCACCCACAGGTCCCTGGCCGGAGCTGAGCTGAAGACCCTGCGGGACTTCGTAACGGTTCTTGCCAAGGTACAGTGGCCCCAGCTGAGGGTGCTTAGCAGGCTTTGTGCACAGCAGCATGCGCATTGTGTGATGATGTGGAGTTAGAAGGGTGACCCCTTTCTTCCAGTTCAGGCTTGCACAGCTGTCCCTGTGTATCTATGTCCCTAGATGGGGGCTCTGAGGGCCCTGGAGGGAGGATGACGGAGGTCCTGGGGCTTCACACACTTGTCAAGGTATCTGAAGCTGCTGGGGTGACACTAGGTGGCCACTGCCTGGTGCAGGGGAAGGTAACACATGGGGATGTGGCTCTGGGGGTGCAGATCTTTTGGGGAGGCAGGTAGGGAGCCCACAGTCCCCCAGGAGTGAGGCAGGGAATTGTCTCTGGCCTCGGTGCTGAGGCAGGCCACAGTGGGCAGGCGCCCTGTCCATCCACCCTACAACTGTGGCGCTGAGGCCCCTGCGTGAGGAAGGCAGTACATGCACTATTCCCAGCAGTCATTCTACAGTTTGCTCAGCATCAGGTGGAGTTGCCAGTCCGTGGTCAGTGGGCTGCAGGCTGGGCAGTTATAGCCTGTGCTAGCCGAGGTTCCGAGGTATAGTGAGCATGGGGTGTCAGGCCACATGGATGGGAGAGAAGGTGGGTGAGCCTGATCCCTTGCTGGTGAGTCACATGCTGTGACCATAGTTCGTCACCATGTAGTGACCATGTAGTGCCAGCCAGGCACAGGGTGGGGCACTGGCCGGGCATCTGCACTCGGTGCCTTAGTTTCTACCCTCCCATGAGGGAAGCCCTGGCTAGGGGAGCCGAGTTGAGTCCTCCCTGGCGGCTGCATAGCCTGGGTGTCTGACAGGCTCTGTGTCACCTCTGTGAGACCCCAGGCTCCCTATCGCCTCTCAGCATGGGTCCTCCTCACACAGCTGTTCCCCGGTCGGCCGCCTGTCAGGAAGCTGCTGGGCACGCTGCAGGAGTGGCTGGCCACACTGCCCCTGGACAGGATCCCCTACAATGCTGTCCTGGACCTGGTCAACAACAAGATGCGGGTGAGCCCAGCCCCACGAGCGTCTGCTCCTATGCTGGGGATTGAGTGCGGGGGAACAGGAAGCTCCAACTCTCCCCTGTCGTGCTGCCGAGGCCTGGAGCCATCGGGCTGTGCCTCCCATGCTCTCACCTCGGGCCTCTTCAGTGCCCTCTGGTACTCAGGAGCCCTGGGGCACTCATCACCGTGGTGACCATGATGGTGAGGTGACAGTGCCACTGGGCTTGTGCTCCTGAGCTGGCTGTAGGGTGCACTCACCCCCACCTTGCTGGCCAAGGGCTAAGACTGCAGCATGCTGTTTCCAACACTGCTGCTCCTTGTAATACTTTCTTGTAATTCAGCCTCATTTAGAATGAGAGGGGGAAGCTGGGCCGGGTGTGGTGGCACACACCTGTAACCCCAGCACTCAGGAGGCTGCGGTGGCAGGATCATTGCAAGTTTGAAACCAGCCTAGGCTACAAAGTGAGCTCAAGACCAGCCAAAACTGCATAGCAAGACCCTGTCTCAAAAAGAAAAAAAAAAAAAAAAAAGGAGGGAGGTGGGGTCTCTCCTGCATGCTGGACCTGGATCATTGAGACACAGGTGGCCCATCTCTCCTGGCCAAAGATGGAGAGGCCTGCCCGCCTCCCTGACTCAGGTAGTGCTGGAGCAGACAGACTTTTGTCTCCACTTGGTCTCACAGCAGGCTCCTAGTAAGAGGCTCAGAACTGAAGGCTTCTGGCCAGCACAGGCCCCAGGCAGCACCGTCCTGGCCAGGGGCGGGCTTGCTGAGCCCGTTTCAATTCTGACGTCTCCTGTTCTTTCCTCAGATTTCTGGGATTTTCCTCACCAACCATGTACGGTGGGTGGGATGTCAAGGAAGCCGCCCAGAGTTGAGGGGCTACCCGTGTTCCCTCTGGAAGCTTTTCCACACCCTGACCGTCCAGGCCTCTGCCCAGCCAGAGGCGCTGGCTGGCACGGGTAAGTAGCCTGGTCTGATGGACGTAGTGCCCACCTGCAGCTGTGTAACCCATGCCTCCTCCCCATGGCTCTCGCAAAACAGGGTGCTGGCCAAGAATTGCTCTTTGGGGGACCCTGTGTCTCCTTAGGGGGTGAGGCTCCCGCTGCTGGGCAGCAGGCCACCTGGATGTAGTTGCTGGGCCCTTTCCACCTTCGGCTTCTCTCAGCACCCCAGTCCGGAGCCTACTGGGGGAGGAGCCTTTCCTGCTCCCCCAGGCCCTTGACTGCCAGTCCTGGATTCTGTAGGAGAGGGAGCCGAGCTGGGAGGACACCCTTAGTGGAAGTGAGTCACAAGGCCACTGCTCCCAGGGAGCCCACGTGTCGGAAGTCACCAGGTCAGAACTCGGGCACGAGTGGTTAGAAACTGCAAAACCTGGCCGGGCACAGCAGTACTGTGTGTATGATCCCAGGTACTTGGCAGGCTGAGGCAAAAACATCACAAGTTCAGGGCCGGCCTGGGCTGGCTGCCTCTCTCTGAGCTCCTTGAGAGCGTTTCTTAGCCATTAGTGAGGCTGAGTGGTGTGGGCCTCACACTGCCTGTGCGGAACCCTTGACAATGACCTTTGCCCACAATGCAGTCTTCACTCGGTGTGTTGGGGATTCTGGGTCCCACTCTGCTCTGGCTCCTCAGCTAGCTGGCCTCCCCAGCCAATGGCCAGGTCCCTGCAGCCCAGATTCTGGGTGGAGGAAGTGAGTTCCATCTGCGGGCAGGAGAGGAGCCGGGTCACACTGCCAGGAGCAGCAGGCTGTCCCAGAGACCTGGGCCACATGGGGTCCTGCTCCCGAGGTCCAGGATGGTCAGGAGGGCTCAGGCCACGCCTGAAGGGAGGCAGGCGAGAGGAAGTGTTGGGGCTGCAGCCTCGAGCTGTTGGGCCAGAGGTAGAAGCCAGCAGCAGGGCCAGCAGTCAGCATCCGAGTGAATCTCAAAACCCATCACACCCCTGGGGGATGCCTGAGTGGGGAGATGCTCACATCCCTCACACCCCGTGCTCCTGGGGCTCCTGTGGTGTGGTGGCTGAGTGCTCTGCCCAGCGTGGAGTGCAGCCGCCTCTGAGCAGTCTCCTGCTGGAATTAGGTCAGGGGACTTGAGGATTATGTCTTGGAGGTTTTCTTTCCTTATTGCCCACTAAACCCCGTCCACTAAACCAGCAGCCCGCGCTAATCCTCCCCAGGTAGGGTTTAGGGTTCTTGTCCACTTTAAAGATTAGGGTCCTGGGTGCATGGCAGCCATGGGGAAGGGGATTACTGTGATGTGAGGCAGATGTCTGCAGATCTCGGGGTGCCTGAGCCACTCAGCCCTATGGCCACCCTGGCACACTCAGGTGGTGCAGGATGCCAGGCCGTCTTCTCTGAACAACACTGGCCAGGTCCTGGCAGACGTCGCCAGGCCTGAGGGTCCAGAGTCCTTGGCAGGGGGACATCCAGGTCGGGCTGGGAGTGGCTCCCCAGCCAGGGCCTCCTGGTGGGCCATCGCCATGCGCACCCAGTGGGCTGATCCATTGTTCTTAGCAATCACTTTGGTGCCACTGCCAAGGCACCTCTTGCCCCAGCCCCCTTGCTTGCACACGAGGCTGAGCCCAGCACAGCTCCCTTTTGCTCTCCCTGGGCTTGGCTTTGTCTCCGCCCATAGCGCGTAGCTCGAGGCACCTTGTTGTTGGCATCTAAGACTGCTCCGCTCAGGACACCTGCTGTGTATGCGCTGACTGTCACATGGCTGCTGCTTCAGGAAGGCTGACTCCTTACCCCCCACAGCAGGACGGAAGCCAGGGCCTTCGGGCTCAGCTCCCTGGCTGGGCTCAAGCACGGAGCTTCTGCCTCCACCTTCCACAGTGCTGGGGTTGCAGGCTGCTGCCTTGGTACCCTGTGAAGGGCACTGGTGGCCTGGGCGGGTTCTGTGGGCCTTGGCCCAGGATCCCAGTCTGGAGTAAGTGGTGGGGAAGAGGAGAAGCCCCTGGGGGTGGGCTGCTGTGGGCTGGGAAGCTGAGCCAGCACAGCCGAGAGACTGGCAGGCAGAGGTTATGCGGGCTGCAGTGTTGGGCCCTGGGCCCTTCCTGCTTGTGCCAGCACACACGATCTCCATGCCGGTGCCACGGGAACACTCCTCAAGCACACTCTGGGGCCCACCCTGACCATGACACCAGTGTCCCTGCACACTGGCGCCCGAGGGGTCCCAGCGGCTCCTCCTTGTCCCTCCTTGCAGGGTTTGAGGACGACCCCCAGGCCGTGCTGCAGGCTGTGAGGCGGTACATGCGAACCTTCTTCGGGTGCCAGGAGTGTGGCCAGCACTTCGAGGCGATGGCCGCAGAGTCCCTGGACACCGTGAAGACCCCAGACCAGGCAGTGCTGTGGCTCTGGAGGAGGCACAACGCCGTGAACAGCCGGCTGGCAGGTGAGCTACACTGGACAACAGGAGCCTGCTGTGCACAGCTGGAGCCCCCACCTGGAGGCTTTGCCTCTCTGGGCTCTGGCACTCTTCGGTCTTTCTGTCCCTGCCACACCCTCTGATGGTGACCCTGCAAAATATAGGATAGTGTGAGTTTCTCAGCAGGGCATGGTGATGTACACCTGCGATCCCAGCTCACGGGAGGCCAAGGCAGGCGGCTCACCATGAGTTCGAGGCTGCACTGGCCTACACACTGAGTTCAAGCCTACTCTGAACTATATAGTGAAGCCCTGTCTAAAAAAAATTTTTTTCCATAAGGAATTTAATATGTGTTCAGTCTGTTTTCAGAATACAGTGGAACCTCAGTTCCCAAATGTCATTCTTTTCACCATTCCAGTCACAAATCGAATTGGATAGGAACTGAGTCAAATTTTATTTGATTCAGTTTGGTTTGTGAGCAGAATTCTGGAAGGAATCAAGTTTGTGAGCCGAGGATCCACTGTATAAGAAACCTCTCGGTGGTTTTGTTTTAGCAGCTCTCACCTGTAACCTCAGGTACACAGGAGGCTGAGGCGGGAGAGTTGAAAGTTTGAGTCCAGCCTGAACAACTTACTGAGATTTTGTCACAAGGGACTAGGGTACAGCTCAGTGGCAGAGCCCTTGCCTTGCTTGTGGAAGGGCCTGGATTCTATTCCACGACAAAGGAGGGGGAAACTCTGTGTGTGTGTGTGTGTGTGTGTGTGTGTGTTAAAAAAAACTAAAAAGGATGTAAACATTTTCTTAGAGTTAAGTAATTCAAACTATTCCAAAAGATTAAAATTAGGCTTAAAAATAATTCTGCTGAGAAATACATTTGATAGAGACGAGTGGTAAATGCTAGTGGACTCCTGGCCTCCGTTTAATCCCTGTATTAGAAAACATATTACAGCTAAAGCACTAAAGAGAATTGGTTCTTTGCACCAAGCACTGCCTACTCCAGTGTCCTGGGATTTGCTGCATCCCAGGCAGCCGAGTCTCAAGGCTTGGTTAGTGGCTAGGGTGCCGTCCACCCTGCCCCAGGTCTCTCAGGGCCCACTGGGCCCTCGAGCCTGGGAGCCTGGGGTCTAGTCTGCACCTCCTGCCTGGGGCTGCCCGGGGCTCCTATGCTCATGGCCTTTCTCACGTGTCCACGCAGGTCCAGCAGCCTCCCAGGCTGTGCACACAGCTTAGGCACATGTCCAGCAGCAAAGGGCCAGGCCCACTTGGTGTCCCCATTGCACCCCTGACTGGCACTCTGCACTTGGCAAAGGCAAAGGTGTCAGGGCCACCACATTCAGTGAGGAACAGCACCTCCCAGGTGGCACTGTCAGGGATGTGGATTGGGGAGGAGGGGACAGTGATAGGAGGAGTCCTGCCGCACGCCTGAAACCTCCCCTCCAAGTCCAGGTGGCACGTGTGGGCCGTGCCAAGCTGGCTGTGCCTATTGGAGGTGCTTGCTTTTGGCATCTGTTCCCAGTGGGCAGCAGGGTCACCAGCCATACATCTGGCTACAGCGGTAGGAGGGCCTCTCACAGGGCATCTCCAGGGCCACTGGAGCCACCTGACATCAGCATGGCTCAGTGCCTCTGGCTTGGCCACATGGCCCCTAAGTGTGCTGCACCTCAGGACCAGGCCAGACCAGGTCCCCAGAGTGTGGTGGGACAGTGATATCCAGAGAGCCCCCCCCCCCCCCGACAGCCAGAGCAGTGGGGTTTGTGGAACCATGGGCCAAGGGGTGGGCCCTCTTGTGGGCAGTATCTGGGGTTGCTGCTGAGGGTCTGGTGCACACGTGTACAGGGTCTTTGCTGGGTGTAGAGGCGCAGGAGCCCACCAGAGGGTTGCACAGGAAGTGAGTGCCTCAGATGACCCTGGGGGCCAGAGCTCAAGGGGGTGGAAGGAGTTCCAGGGAAGGCTGGGTGGGACCTTTGCCCACAGTAACCTCATCCCTTCCTCCCAGGTCAGCTGAGCGAGGACCCCAAGTTCCCGAAGGTCCCGTGGCCCACTCCAGACCTCTGCCCTGCCTGCCATGAGGAAATCAAGGGCCTTGACAGCTGGCACGAGGGCCAGGTACTGGCCTTCCTGAAGCAGCACTATGGCAGTGACAACCTGGTGGAGACATACTCTGTGGACCTGGGGGACGCTGGGGACACAGGCGCCCTGGGCCACGGGCTGGTAGAAGGCAGAGGACTCACCGCCCCACAGAGGCCCCAGGGGGACCAGCGTGCAGTGAGTCTCCGCCCACCCCCGGGGCTGGGCCCCAGGACTAGACCTCCCAAGAGCCCACAGCACGGGCTGGACATGCGAGCCCCGAGTGCCCAGGGGCCCCAGGCACGTGAGGAGGTGGCCGTGCCCTTCCTGGGCATCGGCTTCTCCAGCCTGGACATGAGCCTCTGCGTGGTGCTGTACGTGGCCTCCTCCCTGTTCCTCATGCTCATGTACTTCTTCTTCCGAGCACGCTCCAAGCGGTGGAAAGTCCGGCTCTACCACCCTGCTGTGTAGCGCTGCTTGCCTGCCGGGTGTCAGGCAGCACCAGGGGCCAGGACTGCCCCCACCACCACGGCCCTACAGCTCTGAGGTTCAAAATCAGGGGTTTTATAAACATGTTGGGCCAGGACCCCCCACATAGCCCCAGGGCACTGGTCCTGTGGGAACACTGCACCGGGGTATCTCTCCGCGGCCTCCCTGCTGCGCCACTGCATCCCTCGCCAGGAACAGAAGAGTAAAGGGCCACTACAGGGCTCCTCAGAGACTCCTGCAGGGCCTGTGTCCACCTGGAGAGACTCCCTGGAGGTGGCCTCAAGGTGGAATGGCAGGGCTGCAGCATTGGCCTTTCTGGGTACCTTGAAGGAGAGGCAGACGTGCCCTGGCTTTGCTGTCAGTGCCTTTGGCCACTTGGCAGCTTCTGTGTGAGCTGTGGCCGTGGTCGCCCTGGGCACAGCAGCAGCAGAAGCTCTGGTCACCTAGTGCCTGCAGGCCAGAAGGGCCAGGAGTTTTGTGGCTTGGCTTTCTCAGAGTCAACCTAGGGACCATAGGAGGAAACTTGGGCCTTAGAAGGGCCAGGGTGGTGGCAATGCCTTCTGTCCCTTGGCAGCAGGGATGGGAGGGCTGCCCCAGTGTGGCTGTCTAGGACCGACATGGGCAGTGTCTGGAGAGCTGCACAGAAGGCCCTTCATGCCTGGGTTCCTCCTCACCCTGTGCCAGGGGAACTGGGGGACTTCAGGAGGAGGCCGAGGCCCTGGATGAGGAGGAGTCGTGCTGGGGCAGCCTTCCGGCTTCTCAGGAGCATCTGCCTGTTTCACAGTGTAAAGCACATCCCCTGCAAAGCCCAGCACCACACTGGTGAGCTCCTGTCGCAGAGTTTAGCAGGACACAATAGGCCTTCCCTGGACCCTGCCTTGGACTCCTGAGTCCAAGGCTGCTGTCCCAAGCTGCTGTTTTGGATAAGCGGGTTGGTGCCCCGGTATGCTTGAGTGTGCACCTGCACATGTGTATGACCAGGAGAGTTGTAAATATTTTTCCACTTTCCTATCTCATACTCCCTTGTTTCCTAAGGACAGTCTGTCGTGAGCACTGTCCTTGCTGCCCTGTGAGTCATGTGGACAGCTGTTGCTGGTTGGGGAAGCCGGCCGGAGCAAGGGGAGGGGCAGGGAGCACACCGCCTGCTGGAGGATTGTGAGCGGTCTTGGCTGCTAGTTTTGTGCCTGGGTCATTGGAGGTGCTGTCCCTGTCCCCTGGAGAACCCTCAGCTGTGGGGCACTGGCTGAGTCTTTACCCGGGAGGTAGATTCTGAACCCAAGTCACTGCCTCTGAAGCGGGGGCCAGTGGTCAGGCAGGGGATCTGTGGTCCATGCTGCTCTGGCCAGGGCTGGGTGGCTGGTACAGTCCCCCACACATCACAGGCCCAAGGCCACCTGTGGGCAGTCGTGAGGTCTCTTTCCTAAGTTCTAAGTATTCAAGAGGCATGGAGGCTGATGAATGTAATAGTCCAGTAATTTAAATGTTTATTTATTTTAATGGAAAGATTTTGATTAAAAAGCCAGTTGACATGGAAGTGATAGTGAAATTTCTTACCCATAAAGAAGTGTACATTTTAAATTTACGTAAACTACAATTGTGCACACTTTAAGAATAAAGAAAAGACATTTGGGATTGCCCCAGTTCTCTAGGAGCGCGAGCCTGCAGTGCCAGGCGAGCTGGCTGGGTGTCTGGGACCCCAGAGCTTCTCCCGTTGAGTCCCAGCCTCGGGTTAGGGGGCTCCTTGGAGCTGACGGGGACTGAGCCACAGGATAGCTTTGGTTCAGAGTGGCGGGCACGCTGAGCGGGGACCCCCGCCTGCCTGCGCATGGGGTGGGCACCTCACCCCCCTCTCCTGTGGAAGAGGCTGCTACTGGGGTCCTGGCCTGGCTTTCCTAGTAGCACCTCACCCTCCCCGGGCCACATTGCCCAGGCCCTAGGCACGTTCTGGGGTCCTGCCAGCTCGCATGCCCACAGCTGCCGGCTAGGGTAGGGTGCGTAGGAGGGGCCCACCTGTACCTGCAGCGGGGCCCTGCAAGCACACTCGGGCGCCTGGACTCAGCTTCCAGAGCCTGCTGCCCGGAGGCCACGTCAACGGCTTCTCCCCGCTTGCTGCGAACAGTGCCGACAGGCCTTTAACATTTAAGTAACTGACTTCTGCCAGCCAGGGGTCCAAGGACTCTCAGATCCAGTCTAGGAGGGACGTGCAACAGACACCGCCCGCGCAGACTTGGAGGGGGCTGGGGCTGGGGGCGGGGACAGGGGAGGGGCGGGGGCTCGGGTGCGACGCCTCCTTCAGCACCGCGGACAGCGCCCACACAGTTCCGGGCTCTGACCCGCGACAGCGCGGGCGGCCGGGGAAGCTGCGGCCGTCCGGAGACTTCCCGCTCGGGACCAGACTCCGCTGCGATGCTGCTGGAAACGGAGCTCGAGCAGGACCGAGATAGGCCCGGGGCCCCCGCCGCGCACACCCTCTGCACCTTCGGGGGTACTCGGGGTAAGAGCTACTGTAGAAGCTCGGGGTAGAAGCTGCCTGGACGGCCCAGGCCTGCGGGAAGGAGGAGAGGGGAGCAGGGCAGGAATGGCTACAGGGTGACTGCAAGAGGGACAGGGAGTGACCACAGAACCTCCCGACTGCTCGGCTCCCCAAACCGCCCCGTCCTATGGCAAGGAATTTCTGGCTGCCTCTCCCCCTTCACTGTCCTCCCCAGGGGCCATTCCATGGCCACGGACGTTGGGAGATAATAGAGGCATTGTTGGCGGGCCAGCCAGATGCCTGGAGCGTGGGGCCGCCCCTTACCCAGCCCCACCGCCGCTGCCGCAGCTGACACTCAACGGCCCACACCCCGTGCCCTGGCGCCCACTCTGCCCAGCAGGGCATGCTGGCCCTCCTTGCAGAGTGGCGCTGGCAGGAGGTCTGTGTATGTCCACATCCTCCTTCAGCCCTTGGTCCTCATAGCTCGCGTACCAAGCACAGATGCAGGTGAACGGGGTCACTGTCCTCTGGCTGAGGGCTGGGGAACCGTGAGGCTCGCTGATACCAACCCACTGGCTTCCCAGCACTTCCCAGGGCCGCCCTGCAATGGCCATACAGGCCTATGCCCACGCCTTGGGCCTCCTGCAGAGAGAAAGGGGTGTCCTGACCGTTGGGGGCCAGGGCAGCTCCACGGGTTCACCTGGGCAGCTCCACGGGTTCACCTGTGCGCACTGGGGCAGGATGCCGGGAAACCAGGCGCCAAGAGGTTTTGTGCACGCCGGACCAGGGCGCTGCAACGCACAGCTCCGGGCTCAGTCCACCTGGCCCGGTCTTGGCTGCCTATCCAGGCTGAATCCAGGCAGCTTAGCTCCTGAGAGTTACCCCTCCACGGGCATTTCCAGCCATGGCGCGGATGCCCACGTTGCTGGAGGTCCCGGGTGGCGTCTGGCTCAGGGAGCTGTCTCTGGGATTTAGTGGCCTTCTGCAGCCGGACGTGGTCTCGAGGCCTCTTGGCTGTGAAGCTCCCGAGGCCAAACTTCAGGGGGAGGAGAACCCGGCTCCCTCCGGTGCCCGCACCCCACCTCTTGCGGCGCCCTGGGGAGGCAGCTGCAGGGTAGGAGCCAGCGCCAAGGGCAGCACCGACCGGTCCTGCCCCGCGGCCCAGGCCCAGCCCGCGCACGCCCGCAACCCCGCCCCGCGCCGCGGCCCCGCCCCTGCGCTCCGCCCTCAGCCGCGAGGCTCGGGTCGGGCTGCCCGCGGGCGCAGCGACCAGCAGCGCGGGAGCGATTCAGACTCTAGCCGGGTCCCCAGGCATCGCGGGGCACAGGGGCGTGGTTCGAAGGTGGTGGCCCCATGGAGGCGCGCGCAGAGCTGGACCCAGCGCGGGAGTCGGCGGGCGGCGACCTGCTCCTGGCGCTGCTGGCGCGGAGGGCGGACCTGCGCCGAGGTGGGTGCGAAGGTGGTGTGCAGGGCCAAGCGGGCAGCGCTCGGGGTACAAGAACCGCCCCGGGCCGGCGCGGAGTCCCCACGACGGCTGTGTGCTTGTGGAGGCTCCCGCGCTCCAGGGACGAGTCCAGAGTGTCAGCGGAGGCTGGTCTGTGTCCCCCACGCTGTCCAAGGTCCCACAGCCGCACCCGCGCGCACCTGCCAGCCACCGCGTGCTGCTGGCCAGGCCAGTCCGCGCAGGAAGCCCGACCCAGGGCATGGTCTCAGTGGCCCCAGTGTCCACTCTGCGCTGGGAGCGGGGACTGGGGCAGCGGAAGGGTTCACACTGCGCGCCGAACCCTTCCCGCTTAGGAATTTATTTTCTGGGTTCCTGGGAGGGGCTGGAGGGAGAGTGGGGGCGCTGGAGGGAGGGAGCTCGACAAGGGCGCAGCTGGAACAGAGATGGGGGCTGAGGTCTCCAGGCAGGGTGAGCGGGACGCGAGGCCTCGAGGATCGCTGGGATCGCGGGTGTGCGGGAGCCGCACAGCTTTTGCCCGATGCGGGGTTCGTGGCCGCCTTCCGGGCGCTGTCCGGACTACGGTGCTGAATCCGCGCTGCGCGGGCAGCTCGGCTCCGATCGGGTGTCGGGAGCGCGGGAAGTCGCTGCTGGTGAGGGGACCCTGGGTGCACAGCGAGTCTTCGTGCTCCTTATGCGAACCCATGGCTTTGCCTCATGCGGGCCATGCATCCATCGCAGAAGCTCTCCAGCCGAGCAGGACCGAGGTTTCCAGGGTCTCCTTCCTCAGCTGGAAAGAGCCCTTCCCGAGTCCTCCCAAACCTGGGTGCGGGGCTGGAGCTCACAGTGCACCGCCAAGGATGAGAGCACAGCTCAGGGGCCCACATCCGGATAGGTCCCGGCTCCTGCGCACCGCTGCCCCCTCTTCCAGACTGGTGTTAAATTAGCAGTGTCTTCAGACACGACCACCTGGAGAGGCCCCTGCTGACCCCTCAGGGCTCTCTTGGGCTTCCCCAGTGCCTGTGGGCTCTCTTTGGAATGCAGAGGTGAACCATCCACTGTACACCCTGGCACCGGTGCCCGGGCCACGCTAGCCTGCTCATAAGTGCCCTGCCACTGGCCGGATGGGAAGGACGTTGGTTCTACCCTGGACACCTGCAGACGGGAGCACCAGGCGGGCGCCCTGCTTGCTGGGCATCTCACAAGTGAAGCCAAGATGCTTAATGGTCTGAAGGAGGTGCCTCAGGCCCCACCTGGGCCGATCTCGAAGATGTGCTTTACCGGGTTCCCTTCCAGAGTGGATCCAGGCTGGAGTGCACACTGAGCCCAACACACGTGCCCCTTGCTGGACACATCTGTACTTGGCAGCCCTCAGCCTCACAGCATGGCTGGGCACAGGACAGTGCCCCAACACATTTTTGAAACTGTTTTGTTTTCCTTAGCTGCCACCTGGCCAGGGACAAGTTTCAGTCCCTTCCTGCCCCTGGGAAGCCAGGCAGCCACTGAGGCAGGGAGCACGTGCAGTGACAGGGGTTGCTGGCCACTCTGGGTCCTGAGGGCTGGCGAGGAGGTTGGCTCAGCCTCGGAGAAGGCCAGGGAGCTCTTGCGACCCAGTCTCTTCTGTGCCCACAGAGATCCCGCTGTGTGCAGGCTGCGACCAGCACATACTGGACCGCTTCATCCTGAAGGCGCTGGACCGGCACTGGCACAGCAAGTGCCTCAGGTGCAGCGACTGTCACACGCCGCTGGCCGAGCGCTGCTTCAGTCGGGGCGAGAGCGTCTACTGCAAGGACGACTTCTTCAAGTGAGCCTCGGGGCAGGTGGGGAGGAAGCAGAGCACAGCCGATGGGGCTGTGCCTCTCCCACTCCCCCAGGGGCACCTGAGGCCCAGCCAGATTGGGGTGGGAGCTGGGGAGCACCCTGAGGGTGGCTTGTGCCTGGCCGGGACCTCAGCAGCTGCTAGGGGGAGGGAGTGACTTACTCCATAAACCGCAGAAGCAGCAGTTAAAAAAGCCAAATTTGCGGAACGCTGCTAGACTCACTCCCTCCTCACCCGGGCCCATTTCCCTTTTCCACCTGGAAAGCTTTATATGCAGATCAGGGCACCGAGGGCCCCCAGGCTGCGGGTTTAGGGTTTTACTGTTAAGGTCTCTATCAGCCCCGTTTGCAGGGCCTAAAGACTCCCAGGAGAGTGGGCAGAGGGTCCAGCATCCAGCACGGCTCCTTCTCCCGCCTTCCTCCCTCCTTCTGCCTGTCGGCCAGCCTGTCCCTTTCAACCTTTGGTTTCCCCAGCTTGATGCTGGGCCCGCCAGGCTTTGGGGCTGCAGGCTGCCCCAGGTAGCCCCGCTCCTCCGATTCAGTCCCACCAAGCAGTGCCAGTGGTGCCTGAGGCTCTTACCTCGGGCCAGGCTGGACGACCGCTGCCCAGTGCCAGCCCCACCGGGCCATGCTCCGAGACCCGCTCTGGGCGAAAGAGCTGCTGACTGAGCCTGTGCATCCTGCAGGCGCTTCGGGACCAAGTGCGCGGCATGCCAGCTGGGCATCCCGCCCACGCAGGTGGTGCGCCGTGCCCAGGACTTCGTGTACCACCTGCACTGCTTTGCCTGCGTGGTGTGCAAGCGGCAACTAGCCACGGGTGACGAGTTCTACCTCATGGAGGACAGCCGGCTGGTGTGCAAGGCAGACTACGAAGCAGCCAAGCAGCGAGGTGGGCGGGGAGGGGGTGGCGGGGGCTGCTGGGAGCTCCTCACCTTCAGACCTTCTCCCGGCTCTCAGAGGTCTGGGTGTGGTGAGAGGTTGGGGCTGGGGAAGTAGGGGTGCCTGGATGCCACCCCGAGTCAAGCAAGGATGACCAACCTGCTGGCTGATGGGGGAAGCAGTGGGGACCTGCGGCTCAGTGCACCTCATTCAGGTGTCTGGATTAGGTGGTTAACACTGTGCTCTGAGTTCTCCTCTCACATGGCTGCAAAACCCTGGCCTCAGACTCCGGGGAGCAGAGGCCCTGAGACGGGGCCTTGACCCCAAGCCCCTGTCTCTCCACTCCCTCCACTGTGTATGTGCGTCTTCTCCACTTTTTTCCAAGCCCACAGGCTGCAGGGAGTATCCGGGTGGGCCTGGGGACCAGGGGTACAGGGGTAGGCATTTGGGGTGTAGTGTGTGGGGACTGGGGCAGGTGGCCTCACCTCTCTCTCTCTCTCTCTCTCTCTCTCTCTCTCTCTCTCTCTCTCTCTCTCTCTCTCTCTCGTCCGGTCCGGTGCAGAGGCTGAGGCCACTGCCAAGCGCCCGCGCACAACCATCACGGCCAAGCAGCTGGAGACGCTGAAGAGCGCGTACAACACCTCGCCCAAGCCCGCGCGACATGTGCGTGAGCAGCTGTCCTCTGAGACCGGGCTGGACATGCGAGTTGTGCAGGTCAGCGCTCCTCCACCGCTGCGCCAGACATTAGGGTCCCCTTCTGGGAACCCTGCATAAAGTCCCCTCAACACCTCCATCCCTCAGGTCTGGTTCCAGAACCGCCGGGCCAAGGAGAAGAGGCTAAAGAAAGATGCTGGCCGGCAGCGCTGGGGACAGTACTTCCGCAACATGAAGCGCTCCCGTGGGGGCAGCTCCAAGTCCGACAAGGACAGCATCCAGGAGGGGCAGGACAGTGACGCTGAGGTCTCCTTCAACGGTAGGACTGGGCCCCGCCTCTGCCCGGGAGCTGGTGATCGGGAAAGATGTGGCTGCCTGGGTTGCCTGAGGCCAGGGTGCCGGGACTTCCTACATGGCTCATGCTCCTGGCTTTCACCTAGAGACCCAGTCCCTCCCCCAGGCCTTCGGACTGGCCGCTTGGGACAGGACCCTCCTAGTGACCCAGCTTGCCCCTGAGCTGGGCACCAGCCTAGCACCTGCTCCCTAGGGGATAGCCCAGTCTCTCTAGCCACAGCCCTGTATAATTTCAGGGGGCAAATGGCAACAGTCTGGGCTGCTTGGATTTGGGAAGGAGAGGGGCTCCTTCGTCCTGGGGTCTGCATGCTGGGTCATCCACACCAGAACATACTCAGCCCTGACGCCTGCCACCTGCTGGGGCCCAAATTTCCCGTCTGTAAAAAGGAAGGTGGTACCCGTACCCCGACCCCAGAGGAGCTGTCTTGGGGATCATACTGCTCCATGGCCCGGCTGCTCGGAATCTGACCCAGGCGGGGAATCCACATTCCGTAGACTTCTGCCTTCGGTCGGGGTGGTAGGCTGGAGGGCTGGGGAGTACGCAGGGCTGCCGTGAGTCCCACAGGCGGAAGAGGCTCCTGGGATCCTGTGCCCACTGAACCACCGGGCTGGACTGAGGGAAGGGGCTGATTGTTGCTCCCCACTTCCCTTGCAGAGGAGCCCTCCCTGGCCGAAATGGGCCCCACCAACGGTCTCTATGGCAGCCTGGGGGAGCCCACCCCTGCCCTGGGCCGGCCCACGGGAGCCCTGGGCAGCTTTGCGCTGGAGCACGGAGGCTTGGCCGGCCCGGAACCCTACCGAGAGCTGCGCCCAAGCAGCCCCTATGGCATCCCCCAGTCTCCTGCGGCCCCGCAGAGCCTCCCCGGCACTCAGCCCCTGCTCTCTAGCCTGGTATACCCCGACACCAGCCTGGGTCTTCTGCCCCCGGGCGCACCAGGTGGCACCCCGACCATGAGGGGGCTGTCGGGGAATGGACCCAGCTCTGACCTGTCTACGGGGAGCAGCGGGGGTTACCCCGACTTTCCTGCCAGCCCGGCCTCCTGGCTGGACGAGGTGGACCATGGTCAGTTCTGACTGAGGCTGCAAGCGCCACCCAGCACTGCACGGGAGGGTGGGCGGCGCTGGCCACCCCAGGACCTCAGATGGCAGCCAGATGAGGCCGTCTCGGGAGGGCTGGAGCCTGCGGAGCCTGCAGATCCCGCCTTCCGCCTGACCCTCCTCGGCTGCTCGGGCCGGCGCCCGGCTCCTCCCGGGAAGGATGTAGCTGTGGCTGCCCAGAAGCTAGACTGTGGCTGCGTTTTGCAGGCGACGCCCCCTCGCCCTCATCTTGAGTGTCTGCAGCTGCTCGGACCTGCAAGGCCCAGGGCTGGCCTCTGTCCCACCGCTACTGCGCTGGGCTGGAAATGCTTTAACATCTGACAGTAAAGATGCTAATGACTGTGTTTTCATTCCCCTGGCTCCTAAGCTGCTGAGTCGTTGATCCTTGACCCCCAGAGGTCAGAGATCGGGCTTGCTGGTGCAGGCTGCGGTGGGAGGGGCCATGTGGATCCTCTGTTGCCCGAGATAAGACCCCGGGGGTCCTTTCCTCCCCAGGGTTCTGGGGCCTCACTGGAGCCCCTGCTCCTCCTCTCCTGGATCTCAGCAGCCCCAAGGTGGTCCTGAGTACCCTGTGGAGGATGTGGGATTCCCAGGGTTCCTGGTGGGCCCAGATCCCTCCTTTCCCCTTGGTATTGTCCAGGCTCCACCGAGGACTCAGGTGCCAAACAGCCGGCCCTCCCCAGGGGAGGTGTGCGGGCGGAGCTCCCCCACTGTGGATGCTGGGAGGCGCCTGCAGCCCCAGCACTAGTCCAAGTCATTCCCCAAAGCAAAATTGGGGCTACCTGTTGGTTCTGTGACCGTCCTGTGACTTTTATTTATTCTCTGGTGATCAGCTCTTTTTTTTTTTTTTTTTTTTTTTTTTTGTGTCTTTTTCCTTTTTATCGGTACCGGGGATTGAACTCACGACTGCCTGCTTGCAGGGCAGGCGTTTATGCCGCTGAGCTAAATCCCCAGCCACAACCATGGTGACCAGCTTTTTCCAAGACTTCAATAAATTGGTCAGTTGCAGTCTCCAGTCTCGGGAAGGCTGTTTTTTGCAGGGCTGGGGTGGGGGCCAGGGAAGCAGGAGTCAGTCCTCGGATAGATGGGGGGGGATGCTGACCCTTGCTGGGGCTGGGACTTGATGCAGATCTGGGTTCCTGCGTGCCCTGGCAGCGTCTCTGCTCTCTGTCCTTGGTTGTCAGAGAGCTGGGACCTCAGGGTGCTGCCCAGGGTGGGGGGCCCTGGATACTGATATCCACCTGTGCTGGTGTCCAGGATCCACCAGCCCACTGTGGCCCAGGCCAGGCCCAGCCCTCTGAATGCGGCTCTCCTTACAGATAGGACAGCAGCGACTGACCCCAAAGGGAGACCTAAGGCGGGAGTCAGGCTGGCCGGACTTCTTTGGGGCAGGAGGCTGGGCCTACTCTCTGAGTATCCCCAGGTCCAGCCACCTTTTTGGACAAGATTGATGGGGCCCACAGCCTGCCTGGTCTCAAGGCTGGCCCAGGCTGGCCCACAGCCTTCTCCCACGGAAGGGAAGGAAAGGAGAGGAGAGGGGAAGGGAGGGGGAGGGAGGGGAGGGGAGATGGAATCGGCTCCATCCTGGGTAGGGGGGGATGGGAGCCCGAAGGAGGAACTGGGCCAGAGGGCTCCGAGGATCCCACAGAGACAGGTCCAAGCCCCGCCTCTCACCCCCCCCACTGCGGGGGCCCACTTCCCCGCAGTGGGGCACAGGGGAGGAGGCACAGGGGAGGAGCAGGGGGAGGCTGAACACTCTGCCTGCAGGGCAGAGCTAGGGTAGGCCTGGGCACAGAAGCAGCCACTTGGCTCCCCACAGGGAGGGAGGGGACCACGGGAGGCCACTGGGCGGGGTGTGGGGCACTGGGTACCTGGAGACAGTGACATGGAAAGCGCCCAGCATCTTCACAAGCCTGGGCAATACAAGCACAGAGGGCAGAGACTGCAGTGCCCAGCGAGGGTAATGTAAACGCCCACCCAAGGACAGAGGCTTGGGCTGCTGGATTTCATGGGTGGGGGTGGGATCAGGCAGCTGGGATGAAACAGAGCTGTCCTCTCTCCCCCCATCCCCAGGCCCCGAAGGCTCTGACTGGTAACAAGTGCTGAGTGTCCCCTGGAGGCTGCCTCTGCACAGTGCCCAGTAGGCTCCCAGGAGGGGTCTCAAGGCCGGGGCTTCCCCCCATCCAGTGCAGACTGAGTTACTGGGGTGGGAGGGTCAGTAGGGTCCCAGCCTGGTCCCTGAGCGCCCACCTGTGACAACGTTGCCGGCCTCAGTTTTTCTACCTGAATGGTACATTTATGGTCTGAGCAGGTCTGCGGCAGGAGAGGGAGTGAGTCCCTGGGCAGACACTCAGCTGTGACTCCAAGGCTCCCTCATCCTGCAGCCCTAACCTGGCATAGCCCCTAAGGCAAGGTCCCGGCCTCCCGTGGCCTGGGGTCTCGGGGCTGGGACCTGGTATGGAGGTGGGGCATTGGTGGTCACAGTGGACTTGGGACCACAGCTGACAGAGAGAAACCTGGAGGTGGTCCTGAGGGTTGCAGGTCCTGCCCTGGTTTTTCCCTTTCTGCTGACTGCCTTGGTGGAGAAGCCCCACCCTTACCCCCACCAGAGTCCAATCAGCCTGGGACACTCGTGCCCCTGCAGGGACACCTGGATCACTTACCCCTTAACTCTGAGCTCTGATCCTGTTACATCACCACAGTAAGCTCCAGAAAGACGCTAGCGGTGATCCCAGAGCAAAACAGGGCTCCTTTTCTCCCGGAGGTAAATCTTCTGGGCCCTGAGCACCCCTAACCAGGGGCCAGAGACACCTCTGCCTTTCTGCTCCGAGCCATCTGCCAAGGCAGCACAGGGCCAGGACCCACCTGGGCCGCAGCCCCAATCAATCAGTGGTTTCTCAAAGGCTTCGGCTCCAGCGCTGAACCCCAGCGCCGTAATGATCGATTCTTTAGGCCAATAATTGTTCAAATTACTCTGAGCAACATGCAACATTAATTTTAAGAAATTTAATAGAAAAAAAGCTCTTTAAATCCGCAACGAGATGAATGACACCTTATGGAGACCCTTTTCCGTACCTTGGTGACATTGAGGGATCTGAAAGTTATTCAGATTTTCATGCTTCGAGGGCACTGTTGACAAGCTTTTGGCCGCGGGCTCAGTGCTCCCAGGCGGGTGCGCCCCTCCCCCCTAATTAATGGGGAAGCCGTGACATCATAAGCAGAATTTTCATCCGTCTGCGGCGGCGACCTGGTGTCGGCTCCCACCTCCTGCAGCCCAAGCAACAGAGGCTCATTTTTTACCATAAAAATATCTCACCCGACCCTTGGGGACCCGGTGAGCACTCAGAAGTGGGTGAGAGATGAAGCCATCACCTCGGGGTACATGGGGAGCCCAGGACAACCCGGGAGCGCAGTGCGCTGTGGCCCCCAGAGTCAAGTGGGGGGTATGCAGTGGGGGCAGCGAACTGCAGGCTCGAGTCCCTGTCCCTGGATCCCCCAAACTTCCCAGGTGGGACATCAGGGGCTCGAAGGGAGCCGCTCACGCCAGGCCTCCGGCAGCTGTGCTCAGGACCCAACTCGCTGCCTCTCGATTTCCCATCGAGCATGCAAAGGGCAGGGGTGAGACCTCTCCTGGGACCACAAGTTACGCCCGGGGACGGGCATGGAGTGTACACACACACACTTAGCACTGTGCACCCCAACACAGTACCCCACCAGGCCCACGCACGCACACGGGGGAATGGACATCGGGCTGGATCTCACCGCGCTGGGTCTCACCGCTGAGGCTGCCCCAGAGTGACTGGCGCTTCCTGCTGGGGCTCAGCAGGGTGCATTCGCAGCCCTGTCCTCCCCCCTCCAGCCTTGTCTGCTCCCCACTGGGGGAGGCTGGACTGGAGGCCGTGACTGGGGGTGAAGACCTGGAAGAAGATCCAGGGTCCCCCTACCATGGTCAGTCCCTTCACTTGTCTTTGGGCCTCAGTTTCCTGTTCTGTACCAACTGCAAGTTCCACAGGGGCACTGGATCAGCTTATGGGGGTGCAAGGCCCTGGTCATCAGGAAAGTGGCAATCAGGACTCAGGGGTCCCTCAAAACTCTGAGTAGCTGGGGCATCAAAGCCCAGTGCTGGGCCAGGATGTGGCTCCATGCATAGTAGAACAAACCAACCAACCAACCCCGTCCAGAAAACCACAGGAGCCTCTGGAGACCAGGGAGGGAGAGGAGAGGCCGGAACCCTGCAGGGTCTTGCAAGGTAGTGCAAGACCCCAGTACTCAGGAGGCTGAGGCAGGAGGATCTGAGCGCCCCAGGTGTCCTCACCTCGGTCGAATCCTTCTTTGCCACTAAGTCCCTATGGGAGCGTTCAAGACCTGGTTCATAGCCAGCCCGAACTTCATAGTGAAAGCCTATCTCAAAAAACAAAAACTAAAATAAAAAAGAAACCCCAAGCAAAGTATTCCCGGCGGCTCCTGACGTCCTGAGCCTAGCGCAGCAGGCCCGGAACTGCAAACGGGCACCAAAGCTCCGCGTGGGGCGCTCAGAGCCTGTGCTGGCCGCGGTCCGCGGGTGGAAACAGAGCCGATGCCGGCCTCCCTCAGCCCCGGGGTGTCCAGCCCACCGGGGGAGGGGCGCTGGGAGCCTGAGCCGGGAGAGATTCCCCCGATGGGAGGCACGAACCGCGCACACCACACCCAGCACCCATGACCCAGGGACAGGAAGTGGGGGGCAAGCAGGGGGCCTCCAGTTCTTCCGGGAGGCGGAGCGCGGTACAGCCAGGTAGAGATAAAGAGCTTCACTTTTGTCCTCCGAATCACGCTCCTTCTCCAACCAGAGTCCAAGGCCAGCAAGTCCGGGCTCACGGGAGGGGGGCAGGCCGGAAGTTGAGGCCTGGCTGCTCCCCTTTCATCCCCAGGACTCACTGGCAGGCAGCGGGAGGAGCCCGTGCCTGTGGCAACCTGTCATCCTCCAGCGACCTCCTAAAAGCCCAGCTAGAACCCTGCAGGGCACACCCACCTCCAGGGCTCCGCACCAGGGCCCCTGGCCCAGGATCGCAGCCACCCGCGAGGCATTGGGGTCGGCCTCCCCACTTCCCTCTCCTCCCCTCCCCCGCCACATCCTCACCCAACGCCCACTGGACCGCCCAGAACAGTGCCAACTCCTCCCTGGCTCCCGGGGCTTTGGGAAAGGCTGGGGCCCAGTGGACCCCATAAAGCAGCTCTGTCCGGTCCCCCAGGTACAGTGCCGCCCCCACCTAATGGAAAGTCCGGCGGCGGGGACCTAAGCACCAGGGTGAGGCGGTGACACACGCCCCTCATACACTCCCTCTCTGCCCTGAGGCTTGGCAGTGGGTAGGGGAGGTCAGGAATGCAGGGCCTGCAGGGACCTGGGCCACCTGCCTGGAACAGGTCGGGTCAGGGAGGCTAGCGGGTCCTCCCAGAGCCCTCGGCACCTCGGAGCTTCCCGAGGACCTCGCAGCTCCCTGGAGGTGGCTGGGCCTCCTGGGTACCCCAGGCCCGGGGAGGCGGTAGGGGCGGGGAGGCCTCGCGCGGCCAGGAGGGTCCACCCCCCTCCCCCGCTCCCCAGTTCTCTCAGTGCGGAGCTGGGCTAATCCAGGCAATGACAAGGTTTAAAATTTAATTAGCAGGTCTCTGTTATGCAAAGTCTCCTCATTAAACTAAGTGTCCCATTAGTTAAATGCTGGGAGCGGGGGTGGGGTCAGGGCCTGCAGCGGAGATGGATCGAGCTGGGCTTCACTTGGCCGGGTCTGGGGTGGAATAGGGTCCTTCCCACCCCGGGACCCCTCAGGGGACCCAGGGAGGGGCCGGGCTGCGGGTGGGCTGCTGGGACCTCCTGGCCCTCTGGAGCAGCCAAGGCCTTGAGGCTGGTCCTGCCTCGGCTTCCCCCAGAGGGCAGCCCAAGAGGCGGCCACTGTGCCCTGCGCCCTGTCTGCTCCAGGGTCCCTGGTCCCTGCCGCCGGTCCAGGTGGCCAGTAGGCACAACTCATGTCTTTGTC